TGACCAAAGGTATTTAATGATATAAATATGGTCGTAAATTGGTGACAATTATTTTATCTTACAAGAGCGCTACCAGCTGTACATTATAGGATAGAAGAGATTGGTGATTGTATAAAAAAATAATCTTCTGTTTCGTATGGTTCAGTTATCGTTCATTGTTTTATTTGCTGCAATGAAAGAAGCATCTTCATAAATTAATTCAGGGACGTCCTTTTTAAACAAATCTTTCTTTCTGATAGCGTCGAATGCTGAGACCTGTCTAATTATTGCTTCTTGTTTTGTGATTATATTTAATACTTAAAAATAATACTTTTTTTTAGATCTTCTCTAAATGCCACGTACCTATATTCGAAAGAAAACACCTACTTATTCAATTGCTGATTTAAAACTAGCATTAGATCTTATTGGTGATGGTAAAACAACAGTAATTGAAGCATCTAACAACTATCGTATACCTATTGCAACTCTTTATTCACGGCTGTCTGGTAGTCGTGGTGGTAACCCATGCGGAAACAAAATATTGTCGGATGGTGAAGAAAAATTTCTTATACATGTAATACATAAATTTCAAGAGTGGCAACATCCATTAACAAGATCGGATTTTACATCTATAGCACGTACATTTATGATTGAGATGAACAAAAAGAAAATTACAGAAGATTCATTAGAATTATCAAATATTGTATGGACAATGGTATACATCTTGAATGTCTACCACCACACACCACTACGATTCTACAGCCCCTCGATGTATTAACACTATCAAAGGTCAAGACAAATTGGAGAAAACTTCTCCAGAATCACTACAAGGAAACGAATGCTGAACCAGTTTCGAAACAAAAGTTCAGTCTCTTAGTAAGTTCTATGTTCTTAATTTAATAATGTTTCACTTTTAATGTTTTTAGATATCAAATCTATTCAGGAACCACTTGTTACCTTCTCATTGTGCTGGTGGTTTTTCAAAAGCTGGTGTTTATCCTTTTGATAAACGTGCGATCTCGAAAGAAAAACTTCTTCCACCAGCAACTATCAAATAAACTGAAACATAACTTTTACTTTAATAGGTACCTCTTCCTTACTATTCGATGCTATGAAGACATTGTATCCTGATTTTGATCAATCACCAGTTCCAGGTAGAACGGTTTTAAAAAACTTATCGAAAATATAATATTTTTTCTACTCTAGATCCGATGATTTTTCAAAATCATGCATCATCTAATACTACTGAATTAGATGATACTTTTACACAAAAACCAGGTATCTTTTGCTAATTTTACATGCTTGGTTTTTAACTGTCTAATTTACCTAGATATTAATTACAATACAAATAGTAGCAACAACAAAGATAGCAACAATCACAATAGTTTTGAACGTGAAACAAAATATCGTATTGGTTCTAGCACACAACCATTATCAACAGTTGCATATTTAGAAACATCGGATTATTCAGTGGTCGATGCTATTACAGTTGCCATCAAGAACCACATGACACCAACTGTAGTAGCAACGAAAGGAACAAAGAGAAAAATAGATCGTCCTTATGGTGAAAGCATTACCAGCGTTGATGCCTATATGAAAATTAAAAAGAAAGAAACTACGCGAGTAAAAAGATCCAACAAAGAAAACTTACAGCCAAAAACAAAAACTATAGGGTAGGAAATTTTCATACTATTATAAATGAAACAATTTATTTCGTTTAGTACACGTCAAAGGAAGAAAAAAGCGCTTCCTGAAAATCCAGTAGCCAACAATGTTTATATGAATGTTCCACATGTTGATCAATTAGCATTAAACAATGCCTCATTTCAACCTTATCCACAACAAATAAGCTATAACTCGTCGTTGACGGCTACAACATCACCAACATATACTACAATGCTTAATTACAATATGAGTCATTCATACGCACCAGGTGTATATGAAAATCCAACAAATTGGCACCTTAATGAATATAGATCTTGTTATAAATGCAACAACACCATTCACTTCAATACAGAACAAGTTTCTCAATGTATAACATGTGATCGATTATGTTGCGCTACATGCATGTATCATAATCCATTTCTAATGAATTCATATTTAAAATGCGAATATTGTGCGTTAAATGACGCACTGCATACAGCACGATAATATTTTATTTTTTTCAGTTACTTTTTGCATTTCTTATATTTTTCTAATGTCAATGTACCACATGTATTATATTTTGTTGTTTATCGTCTTGAAAATATACTTTTTTCTTATACAATGAAATAAAAAAACTGTGAAATGGAATTGTAAACAATGAAACTATTTTTTCTTTTTCTCATTTCGACCCTAATTTGTTAAAAAAGAATGCTTATATTTTTTTAAGTTTCTTAATAATAATCTAGTATTGTAGATCTTGAAAGTCCCCTGGATTTTCACTCTTGAATTACTTTAAAAGCTTATTGAATTCATAAGTAAATTGTATTTTACGAGATCCGGCAAAGTCTGCTGAGTTTATACATTTACCCCAGTGACACCAGCGTGATTTCACACTCACCCCATATGAGGTAAATATTTTCGATATTTTACGAAATTTATTTTTGGAGCTGTTTTTGCTAGCTTTCTAAAAAAAGTTTGATTTTGACTTATAGAGTTAAGATTAGTTTAGAGTGATAGAGAAATGTTTGAGCTATCTATTGATGAAAAGAAACACACATAAATGAAGCATCAATCTCTCAAGAATTGTGTTTTACAGAACTCATATAAAATAGCAGGGATTATACATTTACCCCAGTGATGCAAGCATGATTATACATTCACCCCAACAGGGGTGAATGTAAACTCGAAAAATCGGGATCAAAGAATACCCTGCAGATAGCTCTACGTACAGGGTTTTCAGTTGATTTTTTCACCGATCGATAGAGTGTCATCTTAGCTAGGTGTCTTGTGACCAAAACTTTTCTTTAAAATAAAAGCTAAAAAAGTTATTGCATTTTTTCTGATGCATGCTATTTTTCATTTTACACTTACCCCCACTTACTCTATAGAATTCAAGAATAAATTGTTTATAGCCAGTAGATAAATTTCTACAGTTGTTATACGTCCTGATAGAAATTTTCGTGAGATCAGAATAACATGAACTGTGTTTCTTGTAGACAGAGCCAAGTACAAAATTTTATGTTTTTTTAAATGAAATATTATTTACCTTTTTGGATTTGGTAGATCCCACACACATGTACCATGATGAACAACAAGATTGAGACAATGAGCAAGACAAGCATATCGAGGACCAAGTACGCTTGAAGATGCTCCACTTTTGATGTCGGGACCGTTATCAGTAATAATGCCTGATAAAATGCGTGTACCTAATCCAAAACGTTCTTTTTCATACTCGAAAAATGATCTTATATTGATAGTCAATTTTTGTTCATTAAATTGATGAAACGATAATGGTAATGAAACAAAATCAAATTCCATAGAGAATGTATGTAGAGAGAGTGAAATAATATGTTGATGAGAGACATCTTTCCATAAATCACTAGTAAAGGCAATTGGACCAATATGAGGCAAAACAGATTTAAGATCAAGAATATGCTGATGATATTGATTATGTATACGTAAGGAAAGTGTACCACGATCAGGAGGCTTGTGACCAGGTTCAAGTAAATCAAGAAGTTTAATTATTGCATCATGATTAAATAGATTGAATGGTAGACCACCTTCGACGATGCAATTCAATACAGCTTCGTCAATTTCACGTTTACGTGGTACAGCCAAATGATTAGAAGAGGTTTTATTGATTTTTAAAACTCGTTGTTCTTCTTGAGATTTAAACGCATAATCTGTTAATTTGTGAACTAGAAGATGAGATCTTAAATTAGCTGTACCACGACCAGTCTGTTTGATCACCTAAATTATTAAACATGAAATAATTTGATTTTTTTAAGCTATAGCTTATATTATAGATTTTATATGTCATTAACTGAAGCAAACTTTCTTTCATCGATAGGACGAGATTATTTCCTTTAAGATGGATTAAACAATTTTTCATGATATATATAAGTACTTCGTTTGGAAAAGATTGTTTAGGAAAATCTCAAAATTCTCAAATATATTTCAACAAGAATTTTTTAATAAATTATTCAACTACGAAAGAAAAGAAATCGAGGTACCTTTAGTTCATCTATGCACAATGTACATTTGTACATTCCTTCAGATTGTTTTTCAAACAATTGATAGACTTCCATTGAGAGCTTTTTTCCGGATGCAGTAGTTGTTTTCTTTTGTGTCATATGTTCGTCAATCTCAAATTGGTAATTTATTTGAATTGATGTTTTCATTGACCAATCGATTTTGATTATTTAGTTCAATAACACTAACAGTATCTGATCTCATATCGAATTCATCATCATCTTCATTATTGTGTAAACTTTCGACATATCGTGAGTTATTGATTGACGGAAGAACAGTTGATGAGCGTGAGTTGGTGTTAATGATGGAAGAATAAGTAGATTTTCTTAATCGATCATTTTGTTCTAAAATCAGAAGAAAAGATTCGTGAAAAATACTGTATTTTCTTAGTTCATATATGGTAGCTGCTCATATTATGAGTTTTTTTAGAAAACGTATGATGGAAACTTATGAAATGAAAATTTTTAGGATAGCCTTAGTTTCTGCCGAATCCATGAAATTTCACTAAATCGAAGAATCAGAAAAGCAATTTTTTCAGACTTAGTCGACTAATCACAAAAATCTTTTATTTTTGAAAATAGAAATAGAGATATTATGTTGACATTTTATCCGTGTAAGTAATAACAATAGAAAGAAAAACAATAGGTACTTTGACTTCTTCGATAAAACTTGTATAATTATACTGTTGTGTATATTATAAAGACATTGAAAAGAAGAGTCTCAGTTATGGTGTTGCAAAGTAAAATATAGTGGGTAATATCTTAATCTTTCCTATAGGCAGTATGTCAGTGTCCCTAATCATAATCAGTAACTACAATAGATAACGAAAATTCGACCATTTTATATGGTGAATTTACTTACGTGTCGATGATTCTCGTCTTCGACGAATAATACTCGATGATGACGGAGATCGACTAGCTAAAGTACGATGCAAAATATGATTATCCGTAGATGATCTTGATGGTCGCGTTCGTAAACTATTAGAACGAGTTTGAGGACGTGGTGGTAAATGATTCGAACTTGAATAAGCATCACGATTTTCAGCAGTCATAGAATGGGCAAGAAATGAAGAAACGTCGCAATGTCTGTTGGAACTAATGAAATGTTTGAAACGGAGAAAAGGTTAACCAATATCTCCGTTCTTCAAAACAAACCCGACTAATAGAAATGAAAATAATCAGGCACAACACGATTAGCTGTTCTCTTTCGTTTTATTTACTACAAGCTGGCGTGACTGAGACACTGAATCTTTGGTTTACTTTTATTTTGCTTTCTCTTTCTGCGTCGAATGTATAGAACTTCTTATCAAAGAGAAAATATTTTTATACTTTTCTGTGTTTTCTTTCGTCCTAATCTTATGAATAAAGTGAGAATTAAGCGAGCAATGTGTTGATACGGACTATTATAGTTTATTTTAAAAATTCAATAAGTATTCGTCCAACAACACAAGAAAATAAGAGAAATAAGAGAGACAAACACGAAAAATAAAAAAAGTACCACAAAGTTTATATGCGTTGGTCTATCTACTTGTAGCATCAGGGCTTGCCTTGAATAGCAGTACATATCTTACGATAATAACGTCATATGTAAAATGGAGATATTATAGAAAGAAGATCACACCACACCACATAAACGACGAAGTACAATATAATTAAGATGAAGAAAAAAAAATAAAGTCATCGAGGGTGACTTCAATAACATAATGATGTTATTCATTTTATCTCACAGCCAGAGATGCATTAAACGGATGTTCAACAGATAAATCGTGGTTTTATTTTTAGTTGTGTTCAAATCTACCAGAATTCATTGATATAATTGCAGGTTTTATAACCAACACATATTCAACGATTTTAAGAAAATGCTTTTTATTTTTTGTACATGTACGCAGGCATAAAAATACAGAATGTTTGATAAATATTTAAAGAATCATAGTCAGGATAAATAAAAAAAAACCTGTAGTACATCTTTTACGAAAAGATAATTATTCACCTCGACATTTATCATATAGAATTTGCATGATATATGATGCTCACACCGTAAAAGACTCTCAGAATGGACTTTCCATTAATCAAAATCAATATTTGATGAAAGAAATTATCGTTTCTGAAAAAAATATCCATGTAGATCTGTCGCAGCCAAATATAAATACAATAGTTTTCTTAAATAAATGTTAGAAACGAAATCTCAATAAATAGAAACTGCCAGTAACTCTAAATTGATATATTGATAAGATGCTACATAATCGCGATAGGTATTAGTATTATATTAACAGTTATTCAAATACTAATACCAAGGTGTTAACTAATACTCCTAATACTAATGCAAAAGTATTAATATATTATTTTAATACTAATGCAAAAAGTATTAGCATTTTCTAAATACAAATGCTAAGCCAGCACTCCTATGAAAGAGCGATTCCTTAACGACGTTCGGGTTTCTTAGTTATTTTATTGAAATCTAAGGTGTTTAGATTTTGAAATCTTTGCTATTTCTTCTTTGATTCTTTCCCTTACACATAACTATGACTCGTAAATATATTGCTCACTGAATTTTGATGTTAATTCAAATGTTTTTATACATTGTTAAACAAATAAACATAACTTATGATTATTTCAACTGAAAACAATAATTACTGAGCTTTGTTTACTCAATATTTCCATCGCTATCATCATATTTTTCAGTTCGTAATGCATGTGATCATATTCGACATTTCATTTTTTTTAGAATAAAAGCTTCAATTGATTTTAACAATTATTCTTTGAACATATGTATGACTTTGATATAAATTTTTTAACTAAAATGAATTGAAGAAAACTTCCGTTGAATTCAGCTACAAGCAAATGATGATCATGGTTCATTGTTGTATATTTTTCTCTTTTCAATCTACATTGATTATTATTTTTAGTTGCAGTACTTGAACTTCGAAAAAAACCATAAGAAATCCATTGGAAATAAAAAAAACTGCGCGAGAAGAATTAGCTATAGCAGAAGAAAATGACGAACCAACTGAAGAACATCGTCTTTGTTGAGGCCATTGAAATTAATTTGATTTTTATAACAATTAATTGTTTTTCAAAGGATTTATTTTTTACTCCTGTTAATAATGATTTTCTTTTAGCTACAATCGGGCTTGTTTTTCAGCGGCAGCTGGCTTTTTGAATGTATGATGGAGCTTGCTTTCTTATTTTCAAAAATATATACAGATCAATGCATATATTTTGTCTTAGTAATATACACCTATAGATGAGATGTTTTCTTAGATTATAAAAAATGATCTCAATCATAGAGAATACCTAGGTCGATGATTCCGGACTTCGGAACCGACCGGAACGGAAGGAAGCGACGTAATTTTCCGATACTTCCGGTGATTTCCGAGTACATTACAATCGAAAACGGACCGGAAAACTATCCGGAAACTGGGAGCAGTATTCCGTTTGGAAATCACCATATTGTAACCGGAGTATTCCGCACTATTCCTGCCACCGTAACCATTGAGAAAAATTCCCGGAACCGACCTGTGATCAAAATAAATACAAACGGAACACGCGACTTAACTAACGAAATCCGACCGATTCCAACTGGGAAAATTCCGTAAGTTCTAATCTTCCTGAAATCATGCACAGATTTCCCGGCACCGCCACACCTCATCATCCTGGATAGTCGCATCCGCAAAAAAGTAAATTTCCAGCCAGCTTCCGTAATGCTAATAATCTCACGCACTGCTTCAAAATCATTCACTATACCATAGCAGACGAAAACAGATGCCAACCTTACTACTATAAAATTCAGGTATTTCGAAGACTTCTTCCTCGAAATCAACGGAGAAAGACCCTTGAAAGTCTTTTTAATTCATTACCTCCCATTTGAGGGAATAGCTGTCTAATTCGAGTTCGAATAGAAATGGAGAAAAAAAAGTTAAACTAAAACTATCGATATATGCGACATATTAATACATATATACCCTTCACTCGCGCCCACATTTGAGCATTCCTCCATAGTAACCATCATCAACACCCACATTTAAAGTACCCCGCATACCCCTCCTACTCACCTCCTCACTCGTAACGCCACCCACAGTTACCAGTTTATCCCCTCAACTCACCCCCATTCCATCTAAAACTAAATCTATTTCTATCACTTATTTTCGAATTGATACCATGCAGTTGAGCGTCCATTTATATTCGAATTCGAACTAGGCATCTCATGATTTTAGTAAAGTTACAACTCAAATTAATCTATGAACTAGATATTTAACATGAATCTGCACAAATAAATCATAGATCAAATCAAACTGACTTTTTCTAACTCGATTTCGGTTAGCTTTATCCTCTTTTTTGTTCAAATCCATCTGGATTCATTTTACTTCGGCGCGTTTTCTGTCTAGAATGTACATATTCATTCCCGGGTGCACATTTACAGATAGATAACTCTAAGGTTTACATCTTTTGAATCAAATCCACTCGCAATCAGGAAAAACTAAATTTATTCAGATAATTACGACAACTATAAATTTCAAATATTTCACACGACTTGCGCAATTATTTCACGACCTGTCTTCGAAAGAACTTCAAGATATCTCCTAGTTTCGAAAATTGTTTCAACTTTTCTGATGGAGACCACGTGTAACTATTCAATAATTCTGCAAAGCCTGTAGTCTTATAATCACAACAGATTTTTAACTGAGCGGTTAGTCGCCTCCACTAGTTTTGTTGTATATATGCGGTGAACGTGATCCTTTTCAACACTGCATGGTTGATTGAAAGCTTCGTTTCATTATATAATTATTAGATGAAAACAAAGAAAATTTTCAGGAAACCCGAAAACAACTGCTATGGGGCTAATTTAATTCAGTTTCATCTATATATGAAAAAAATTACTCGCAATTTTGAGAAGAATAAGACAAGATTCCTGAGTACTTGGACAGTTTGCGAACGTTCGTAGATGCGCTAATCTAGAATTCTACGTGTTAAGTTTGAATAAATTCTTCGTGCTACAATAAAAGTTGACATATCAAATATAAACTGAAGACTTCGGAAAAAGCCTTCAACGATTTAGTGTTTATACACAAAATACAGACATGTAGTTATGTTCAACTGTTTGTTGAAAAGGACCTTAGTGCAGCATTCTCCAAAATCATGTTTGTTTAAATAATCAAATTTTTGTACGCAATGAAACAAGGACATATCCAGGTGAGCAGCTAGTCGCTCGTCGGCGACCCTCTGGGACGCCAATCACGAATAGCCGTTGCCAAATTAATAATCAACTTCACCACAAGATGCCTATAGCCGATGCGTAATAAAATCCAATATAAGCATACGATATATACGTATATACCACTATCAACATCATCGAATGATACCGCTAAAAATTTTGCCGACAAAGAATTGCTATCACGAAAATACAATGATTTAAACAGCTCCTAATGCATTATAAACTTGTTGGAACTATGAAAGATTATTAAGCATTTAATACTCGATCCAGCGACAGCCGCTACCTTATTTGAATCAACTTTATTTATTTTGTTTAGGATCATAACCACTAATAACGTCGTTGTGGTACTCCTAAACGCTTTCGAAATACCAGTCACTCGTCAGTTGCTGGTCACTTAGTTTTACTTTTTGAAAAAGCTCACATGTTCATTCTGTACAATGGACTTCAAAAATCTGATCTCCGATTCGACTCCCTCGAGCCCGACAGCATCTGATCAAACTTTGCAAGGAAAACTATTTTCTCGAAAAGCATTTTTTCACTAAAAAGTTGAGGGTCATAAACTCTGAAAATCTCACGCCAGATTAGTTCCCCGACCCCGATTACCTTCGGTCAACCCTTATAAAAAAACTAACATTGTCCTAAAAAAGTCTTTCTCTATCCTAAAAAAAAGCAAAATACAAAATTTCAAAAAACTAACAACGCCATCAGCTTCCCCAACCCCGGTTACCTTCGGTCAAACCTATCCCTGCAGGATACTGTTTGAGGTTAGTTAAGTTTATGCATCTATTTTCCTATTGGACGAGCGAACGAAGGCATTTAACTCGTTTTTGGTAATACCCTCCTGTCAGTAGAGAGAATAGCAAGAAAAGAAGTATTCTGTTTACAATGTAGTATGAATTCCATACTTTCACTGATTATGAAATTCTGATGAGCTATTCGGCAGACAAACATGATTGAAGCTCCCATGCCGGATACTTTAGACACGAACCATCTTCATCGTCCATTGATGCAATTATATAAGAGTATTCGATCAATTAAAAGCTAGATGCTCTGACTCATACTTATAATAAACAAGGGCAAAAAACGAAATCCACTTTTCACCCTGCCGAACACTGCAGAAAATAATGATGATTATATTATTGATGGATCTTACATATTTTTGGCGTAAAATAATTGTGGTGCTGTTACACAAAAGCTTCCAGCGCTTATGTTCCAACTCACTATATGATACACATTTATGTATAAATAAAATTTATTTATTTCATCGATTAGTACTTATCCCGGATGATCATTTTCATCTGAATTGGTGGAAAAGAAAAACGCCGAAAAGGAAAATGTCGAAATGGAAAAGTATAATTAATAAAAGTGTCGAAGAAAAATTACTAGAGGAAAACGTAGAATGAAAAAGATGCCTATAGATAACAAATTTCTTTTTTGAGTTGGTATTGGTTGTTAGTGGGATAAGTTAAATTCGTTGTCCTCGTCGTCTATAGTATATACTTGTTCATTGTTAGCGTATACTATATATATATAAATCAGTCTGGCGAAAACAACCAACAAATAATTCTCTCTTCAATCGTTGTCAATGAACAGTGAAATATCATTCTTAACGACTAATAAAGGTAAACCATTACTAGCGTTTAAGCAATATATGTTCATATGCAATAAAACGTCCTCATCAGAAAAGTATTGGGTTTGTATTGAACATAGATGCGACATATCTGTGCACACCAATTTAGAAAATAAATTTTTATTTGTCTTTAAAATTATCAAAAAACTCAATTTTCGACATTTACCTTTTCGGTGTTTTCCTTTTTCTACTTTTTTCATTCGACGTTTACAATTTCTGTATTTTCCCCTTCTATGTTTGCCTTTTCGACGTTTTCCCTTTCTGCCTTTTCCACCAAGCCCTTTTCATCTCTATAGAAATTTTATTTTCTCTAATTTTATTCTGTTTTTATTAAATTGAATACTTTAGTTTTTTTTTGTCGATCAATATATTAACCGATAAAAGACTTTTGCATCAGGAAAATATTCTTGTAAAGAAGAATTCGAATATTTTGTTTCACCGTATAATTTTAATTCCTTTGTTTTGGTACAAGTAATTCGTGTAGTATTTCTTGTGCAATTGTGTGTTACTCGTTGTATAGATTTATCATGAATGTCAAGAAGAATACTGTTTGGTAAATACGTTTTAGCATCACGCAGAATTTGTTCATCATGCACTTCAACCAGAACAAGTTGGTAAATATGCTCTTCGCCAAAAGCCACATCGCCGAAATGCAGATCGCAGAAATTCGGCGATTTCCATTTCGGCGAACTATTATTTCGGCGATGTGATTATCGGCTATCTGTCGGATCGGCGATGTCACTTTCGGTGATGTGGCTATCGACGATAGTCTCGCATGATATTTACCGCATTCGAAAACTTCACTAATTCTGGCTATTGATACTTATTGTACTTCGCTAATAAGATGAAGTGCCAAGTTGATAACTAACTTAAGCGAGTGATTCAATAAGTTCCTACCTTGATCAAGTTAGGGACCGAGTCAAGTTAGGAACGGCCTCGACTTAGGAACCGAATCTCACGAACATAGATGACCGAAAGGTATTTAGCGATCAGCATTTCGTCGAATTTCATATCGATAATCTGTATTTCGGTGATGTTGATTTCGGCGATCTTGCTTTTCGGTAATGTTCGTTTCGGCGCGAGTTTCGGCGATTTGAGCTTTCGGCGATCTCACTTTCGGCGATGAGGTATACAATCGTTCTTGTAGATTCGACATTTGATAGAGACGTAGTAGAACCAATTCATTGTAATACAATGCTGTAACATTACAGGACAAAGAAAAACGTTTCAGATTTGGTAAATCACCCTAAGAAGAATTGATTTTTTTATTTGATAATATAGAGAGCTTTTCTTTTCAAACTAACTTGATTTATAATTTGTTCTGGGCGATAAATATGAATCAAATCGACATAGAACGTGTGAAACCGTGTACACTGATACTCAATTTCAAAAGAGCTGAAGAACGAAAAATAAGAAGTAATGGATCATTAAAATTGAATCGAACACAATCTTTACATGTTGATTCATAGATATAATTCTAAAGCAATCAGACGAGTGAAAATAGTCAAAATCCAATGGCATATGTTTATCAGTGACAATGATATCTCTCCATCATCATTATGTGTATTAATTGTAATTAGAAGTATTGCTATCTGATTTTTTTAAATACCAGATGTAAGCGTTCCATCTAAATATACATATATAAAATATTAAAAAGAACCAAAAAACCTATGAAAAGAGTATCAATAAGTTTGATAAATATTTCATTGGCTTAGAGTAAAAGCAATAAAGTTGAAATATGTTACCAGTAAAAAGACCACGAGCTGATTCTTCATCAATGCTATACAGACCAAGACAATCTAAATTAGGGTAATTGGCAGCACGCAAAACAGGCTTCATAGATAATGCCTCAAGGTTAAGCCATGTGATTTTATCATGAATTTCAGGTAAATGTTTTAGACAAAATGGATCAAGTACCACATCACAACTAAGTAGATCGATACAATGATGGGAAAACCATTTGACAAAAATTAAACAACTTGTAAAAATTGAAACATGAACAATTTTATTTAGTCACTAATTGGCACCTTGTAAAGAATAAAATATGTCAAGATAGTTTAATTGATTTTTAATAATCATCAGATAAATCATTTAATCCAATGCATGAATATTCCAAGCTGGTTTTCAGTCGACATTGATGATATGTTTTGAGTCGTGCCACTAATCCTATTTTTCTGGTGGTAACTTTGTTCAACAAAAGTTTTCAAGATTGAATTCTTTCGAGCATGTAAAATAATTCAGCATGTATAAAATCCAGTTCTAGAAACGTTCATTATCCCGATATACGTGCATTTCTAGTTGGTTAAGTCACATTGGTAGCGAATGATTTTGCCCATACGTATATCATTACATATGCTTATGATAAAGTTATGACGGTTTAGATAAAACACGAAGAGATTATTATTGAGATATAATGAATGTATATTTATCAGGTCTCCCAACAGACTTAACAAAAAATGTGCAGTCGCTTCACCCTTAGAGAATACAAGAAAGGCTCGTGAATATGATTTTTAAAGTTTTTAAAATTCTACAGATTTACAACGTCTTAAGTTCTCTCAAAACTAGCTATTTGTTCGTTTAATTTAACGAAAAATTATACAATAGACTAAACTCAGACAATATCCAATGATGAATCGTTGCCAAATGAAAAAACATTTATATCTATAAGGATGTTGAAATGTAGATTGTTGAGTAGAAAGAAAATATCAGCAATAAAAGTTTTGCCTGCTAGAAGATGCGGGTTTGATACTTTTTGACATTCACACCGAAATTAATCTAGATTTGTCTCATTTTATACATCATTTAGAAAATTAATAAAAGATGAACAAAGAATTTGTGATAGGAAAGTGCCATGAAATCGATCAGATGTGTTGCAATCACTCAAACTACATCAATTGTTTTATTGTTCAATTGGATTTGGAACTTCTTTTTATATTCAAACTACACTCACAGAATAGTTTTTTCGATAAGATCAATGTTTGTCTCAACAATGAAACAAAACTGAGATGAAGAACTAGTCAAACTTCAAAGCAGGCATATTATCAATAAAAAGTCAATGTACTATATATTGACCTTTAACTTTTACTGTTGATATCTTTCTTCTTTGTTTTCGGCACTGATCTATTTGATCTTTGATCAAACAGCGAAATGTCACCAATAATATATTTCTTTACAGGACCTAGTGAGTATATAGGAAATAAGAGTCTAGATATACTTTTCTCTATTCGTTTTAAGTAGATCACTTCATGATGTACCATTTACGGACAAGTCAATGAACCAATCGGCCTCTAATCTTTGATTATATAATATCTTAACCTTTTGTCGAAATCCTATGTTTTCGAATAATATGCTGAAATGTCATGCAAAGAATGTGCAGCGACAATGCAACCTTTATAAGTCGGAGATTCTACGAACATTTACTTGTGGATTACAATAATTCCTGGTGATTAAAGAAAGACGACGAGAGACAGAGAACAGCCATCCGTGAATAAATAAAGTAGGATCTGAGTTTTATTTTAGTCATAAAATTTTTACTTCGAAGTTAACATAAGAACACAACGAACGATGCTTATTACTACTGCTAGTGTGAGCCTTGTTTTTCTGTCTTTTGTTTCTACAGTTGGTAGGTGAACGTTGAATCAGTCTCTCTAGAAAATTCATCTTTTCTTACATTTAGCTGGGAACTGTTTGTTTGGTGGCTGTGGAGCTGGTCTCTGCTGCTCGGCGTACGGATATTGTGGAGTAGGTGCTGCATATTGTGGTGCAGCTGTTGGTCCAGGTGCTGTTGGTTGCCTAAACGGTGGTTGTCCAGCGGGACAATGCTGTTCACGATACGGCTAGTACGTATATGGATTTTCTTTTTGCGAATCATTGCCTGCTTTTTTTCTTACTCAGTTGTGGCACTACTGCTGAACACTGTGGTTGGAATGGTGGCAACGGTGGCAACGGTGGCATCAATGGAGGAAATGGAGGAAATGGTAACTGTCGTGCCACTGGTTGCGCTGCAGGAGCATGTTGTTCAGCACATGGATTGTAAAAAATGAAACCCCAATAAATTTATGCTGTACCAGTGATGTTCACATTTTATATTTTAGTTGTGGAAACACTGCTGCACACTGTGGAGGAGTTACCTATGGTAACTGTGGTGTCACAGCTTGTGGTAATGGTCTATGTTGCTCACGATTTGGATAGTATGTCATTGTATAGACATATTATATATAGACAATTTATTTTTCATGTAGTTGTGATGCCATTAGTGTTAACTGTGCTTTCGCTAAATTCTTACCCGGTAAACCGGCAGCTGTTCTCGAAGGTGAATTTGAAGGAGAAGCAACATACTACAACGCGACCATGGCAGGTTCGGAATATAGTACCTGTGGTATAAGTCGAGCTCGTTCATTGGATGATGGTGACGAGAAAATCTACACAGCTGCTCTCAATGAAGCACAATTTGATCCATATACTGTCGGCGGTATTCCAAGTACTAATCCAATCTGTGAGAAGAAAGCACTTGTAAAGGGAGCCAACGGCGAAATAGTCGTTCGATTTGTTGATCGATGCCAAAATTGTGAGCAAGGTAAATCTTATCAATTAGATAATATCGATGGTTTAACTTGCTTCATTTAGGTAATATCGCCCTGACACATGATGCTTTTATTGCTGTAGCTGGGGAACTGGGCAATGGTCATGCTAACATTGCATGGCATTTTCTTTAAAATGGAGAGTAAAACAGACATGTGACTTCGAGAATTCATTTTATTTTACTTTATTAATCAATCAATCCGGACTCGCTTTTTATGTGAATCTTTGCTCTTCGGTATTTTGAATTCTTATATAAGCCAAAAATAAAATTTCTCCTCATCAAACTGTACGAAACGAGTCAAAGTTTGCGCCATTTTCTTCGACTGTATTAGCAAAGCCTACATCCATTGATGTTAGCTATCCAAGCGATGCGTTAAAAGAACGCGTAAAGTTATTTGTTTTCTTTCATTCATATTCAACTCGACACTCCTAACTACGGATTCCAGTCTATTAGCTGAATCGAGTGTATTCCTATAACTTACGTAGATTTCTATCAGTATACATGCGTAAACAATTTTATATGAAATCCCGAAATAATAGAATCGATGATTCGATTAAACAAGTAAGAAAATCGATAATGTGGAGGTGTCCTTACAATGTTGTTGCTCTGATTATAACATCACAATTACATAACGAGCGGAGAATGAAGATGGTAAAAATATATGCAAATTGAAAGCTTAATGTGTCTCGGTGAACTATTAACTAGAGTGTTGATTCAAATGAAAATCGTCTATTTGTCGAATAATGTTGAACTTCTGTCATTTATCTTCAGCGCACACTCCTATAAGTACGGCAAAAATCGCGAGTGCATCTCAATGGAGAACACGATTACTCGGAATTATTCGAGACCGCTATTGAATTATGAGACTTGTCTGCAAAAAAAAAGAAGAGTTCAGCGTTTCGCATGATCCATGCATGAATTTTGACTTTAGCTTGTATTTATAATCGATGAAATAATTTTGCATTCCACAAATTCAACATTTCTCGATAAGTAATGATATCTTTCTCGTAGATACTAGAATATGTTCAAGAAATAGTAGCACTGTTATTTTGTTAAACCTATCACTCGACGGGATTTCGAAAGACACCGTAAACAACTGGCATCAGAGCAGTTTCACACATATCAGACAGTCAGATTGATTTTAACATGATACAAGTACCGAGCGATTCAAGGATGCCGAGAAGTTCGATTTAATAATATGTATGTACTTAAAATTTCATGATCTCCAGAATCCATATAGCCTTACGTCTCAGCTATTTGTTATTAAGCACAAAAAGACAATTTTCATAAGTTCCTGTAAAGTATTTTCATCATTGATCATAACTAATACCAAGAGATAAAACTACTTCGCGCCAGTAGTTGACAAGAAGTCAATCGATGAGAAAAACTCCTGTTTCTATAATGGAAATGATGGTCGAAGAAAAAGGATGAGACTATGATGACACGATGGAGAAGATCTCAGTGTGAATAACTTCTGATAGTACTCGTGTAGATTTTCGAAATACATCGAGTATCTTTCACAATACCCATCATAGTTTTTATTTTACTACATTCAAACAAGATTTTTTCAATCTTCATGTAACAAACTGTTTTCTAATTTGATTTTTTTAGTGCAAGAAGTTATCATCCTGTGCTTCAATTATTAATTTTTTGTTGACAAATGTCGCTAATGAGAAACAGAAAAAAGTCACACTTCACAATATTTTAACCATTTCTTTATATCTATTATAAAATAATACAAAAACAAGCATTCATTATTTTTTTTTTCGCTACGTCATTTCTCTTTTGATTGTTGTTGACTCGCATATAAATAATAAGTCCAATAAATTAGATTAAATATTAAAAAAGTTAGCGGATAAAAAATTCTTGCGATAATATCAATTTGACTAATACTATTCGAATAAAAAATATTTTTTAAAGCTTGTCCTTGAAACGCTGAATAAGCTGGTTTACAATAAATGCTTTGCCAATATTTGCTAAAACTTTTTCTTGATGTTAACTTTTTTGCTGATAGTTTTCTTCTTACTGATGATCGATAAACTAAATGAATATCATTATTAGTTACATGATGGTCGTTTGAATTAGGATCATCATTCTATAAAAGACATAAAGACAAATCGATGTTTTATCTTAGAAGTTTGATTTCCTACTCGAATAATATAATCTTCTAATTCGCGCATATTTTCATTAAGATCACCTGTTCGTGCTTTTGTATAATAATGAACAAGTGCAAATTCGAATAATGTTGAGAAAACAAAAATAAAACAAACAGCTATAAAACAATCAAGTGCTGTAAGATAGGAAACTTTCGGTAGATCTTTTTTCCCTTCCATTATAACAAATATAAGTGTTAGAACTGTTGTTACACCTGAAAGAAAAATACAAACAAAAATATACGATGAAAAACTTTAAGCACAAAGATTTTTACCTAAATTAATTCGATCATTTGTTGCTTCACGATTTAACCAAAGACCCACCCATGATAAAAATACGACGAGTATACATGGAATATATAATTGAATTAAAAAATAACCCACATGACGACGAAGAGAAAATACAACGTATACTATGGATCGAGTTCCTATAGAAATAGATTCGATTACGGTTGTCTTCATTTTTAGAAATTATATAACAAAAGTCAAGATATGACATTCGAAAAATTAAAAATTATCAAAGTTTTTTTTCTATATTGAATCATAATTTGCCTAGTTTTTAATGTATCATGAAATGTTAGTATAAAATAGTTATGACTATAGAATTCTCTTTCTTATGGTTAACTTATTGAAAATCAAACTTTTAGTATTAGCCTCTCTAGTGATGGAAATCTCACTTAAAACAATTGATTCTTTGTAAATAAAAACCAGCGATATAGTTTTGATTGTAGCTATGAAAAGATATTATAGTATACTTTTCAACAAAAGAATACATTTAACGATTTTTCAATAGACTGAAGAGTACGCTAAGTCATCAATCAATGATAAATACATTCAAAATTTTTTGCGAAAACATCAAAAACTACATGCCAATTATCTTAGAATATCGCAACTCATAAACTAATCTAACCAAGTCAAGTATTACTATCGTCGTATAGAACATATTAATGGAAAACTCTCAAGACAGACGATGAAAACCTACTGATAAGGAAATAAACCTTTAATTTCATGTTCATACAGTTTTGATAAACTTACGATTATCTCTAATAAGATGTTGCGTACCGACACTTGCATTAACTAATGAAAATTGATTCATAATTAAATCACTTTGTATATCAACAGGACTTTTCGTATTCCATTCATATATTGTTTCTTCATTATCGTAAGCATAACTACCAATTAATAAAGTACAATGTTGTGTGTCAAGTGGTAAATTTCGAAGATTCATTGCACACGAAGCTCGAATAGTTAAACTAGAAATAGAATTTATGTAAAAAGAAAGAAGAAAACAACACAATTGTTCTACTGACCGTTGCGAATAAAGTATAGCACCGTTAGTTGCAATACGAAAAAATCGATTGATATTAGGTACTGAATGAAGATAAGAACGTCGACCATTATAAAAATATGTATCAGGCTTCCAAATTTTTGCAAACATTTTAATACTAACTGGTAATGATTTATAATTCATGACTTCCGTTGTATTAAAAACAAGCCGAGTATCAGTCCATCGTTGCCGAAAAAAGCAATCAAATGAATATTCCATGTCGAGTTCACTAACAGCGCCCATACTACGAATATATATATCAACAATGACTTTATCAGGTTTACCTTTAAAAAAATCATATAGCAACTAATAAAAATAAATAGATGATTAGAGAATAGACACAAACCGCCATAGGTTGGTCGATGAAAAGGATCATAAGATTTTAGTAAATCATTAAGAACCACAGAAACATTTCTTAAATCTGATGTAAAATTTGAACTAGAGATCAATGGAAATCTGCTCATTGTTATTATTATTAGAAAAATCATAATATTAATATCAATCATTTTTACTCTACTGGATCAACAAATAAAATAATATCATTCTGTAGATTGCTTCTCGATGTTATGCTTGTCGATTTTTTTTCTCGTTTTGTCTTTCTTTCGCATGGCTACTTATAATTCTAGCGTTTTTCTTCTATGTCTGTAATAGATTTCATTATTTTGTTAAATATACACTGACGATGAAATAGGAAGAGAAGTGATTTATTTACATAAGACAATAACCGGAAATAATCTATTAGACAGCATCGTTCTCTATAGAAATAACAGTATTTCGAATTCAGCGCTTTATTTGATTTCGAAAACTTCCCATCGAAAATTAAATTATCTTGGATTGCTTTTCATACGATTAATAATCATCCTTGACAGTATTGAAAATATCTCTGTTTCATGTGTTATTTATTTCTAGGTCACAATTAATTAGATATGCATTCTGTTGTATTGACTTCTATAGTAAATGATGAGAGAAAAAATAAAACATAACACGCAATTTTTTCTGTGAAGACATGAATACTGGTGCAGCTCTTTTCAGACTTTTAATAAACATTTTAACAGCTGATTAGTTATGAGATTTTGAAATTTTTGGCAGAAGCAGATACTGATTACAGGACTATCACTGAAAGAGAGAATCACTTCACCATTGGTATGCCACTTTTGGAACAAATATACTTGCTCAATCATCTATTTATCTTCAAAACGGCCTATTGCGATGAAACTCTATTGTTACATTGTGAAAGCGAAATGATTTGTACATATTTTAAATAAAACAGAATGTTTCACCCCCGATGAATGAATCTATTCGAAAAAACTATCTGCAATGAATGCTTACGGCCATACCACGTTGAATACACCAGTTCTCGTCCGATCACTGAAGTTAAGCAACGTCGGGCTCGGTTAGTACTTGGATGGGTGACCGCCTGGGAATACCGAGTGTCGTAAGCTTTTTTGCTTCCTCTTTTCTTTTTGTGCGAGCTCAACACTGACAAATGAGTTTTATTTGTTGCAATTTTTTTAGATTTTAACTACATACTTCTTACAAGAAATTAAAAATACTTTATTATATTAGTCTGTCTGCGTTGGTTAGCAGATTTTAAATCATGCAAGAAAAGAATCCAAAGATCATTTGATTTATTACATTAGTAAAAATATCTTATGAAATAAATATTGAACTTTTACCTAGATTTATCAAAAAGAAACGAAAAAATATGGCATAGTGATGATTAAAAAGAATTTTTACACCTGCAAAAAAAGAAATACTATAGACATCTATCGTAGAAAGTAAAACTTCTTGATAGAACAAATCTAGAGAGGTCTTCACTAGAGAACAAGCCGTTGAAATGAATGCAAAATAAATTTGTTTCTTTCTTATTTGAAAAAGTGAATTATCTAATAATAATAATACGAAATAATGCATAATTCACGTCATGCCATTAATACAAAACAACTTCCCTATGATCCAAATCGTTTATTACCTGACGATACAAATATTCTTATACTCGATGAAGATGGTAATCTTAGTCGACGTTCAACGGATAGTTTTCCGATATCATCAATAAATCGTCGTCAACAATATTCAAATACTGAAATATCTGATGATGATAGAATGGAACCTGGCATGATGTCAACTGTTCGTGAAGATGAGCCTTATTCTGAAACAGCACCCATAGCAAATAATCTTGTTGCTGGAATACTTGATGCAGAAACAGTTACAAAACATATTTCAAAAATAGGTAAAATAGCTGATGCATCAAGTATTTCTTATTTAACATTGACACTACCTGTAAGTGAATAAAATTAAGTTGAACTATTTATTAGAATATTTTTCATAGGGCTATGGATTACGTGATATATCAATTTTAAGTAACTATACTCATTTGCAAAGAATTGAATTACCATACAATAATATATCTGGTATGATCTTATACCGAAGCTTTGTCTAAGATTGTTTTGAATTATTTCTGTATAGATTTATCACCATTGGATAATTTAAGTTATTTACTTGAACTTGATGTTTCAAATAATAAAATTCGCAAATTATTTGATTTCTGGCCACCGTGTAATTTAAAAGAAGCTGATTTTTCATTCAACCTTATTGAAGAAATAAAAAATGTTGACAATTTTCATTATTTACAAAAACTTATTCTCGATAGTATGCTAATTTTATTCGAGTAAACACACATTCGGTTATGTTTTTGTGTTCATATTCTAGACAATCAAATATCGAGAATCGAAGGTTTAAAGAATTGTTATCGTTTACAACATTTAAGTCTTGCTCATAATCGTATTAGTCACATAGAAGAATTAGATGGTTTACCACTCAAATATTTAAATTTAGTAATATAAAAACGTTGACTTGTTTTCTCTTAGAAAAACTTCGTAAAAAATTTCTTTTCAGAGATCAAATCAAATTCGAAATATTGACAATCTTGATTCACTTCAATATTTACAACAACTCAATTTATCATGTAATCAATTGGAATCTTTAACTGGTTTTCCTGAACGATTAAATTTTCTTGAAGTTCTCGATCTTGCCGATAATCAAGTGAGACAGTTTCGAGTCGAATAGAAATCGAAATATTGTTGTTTTGATAAACTCTAGTTACATAATTTATCCGATATTGATCGCCTTAGCGAATTTCATCTTATACGAGATTTAAATTTGCGTGGAAATAAAATTACTGAAATTGATGATTATCGTCTTTCGATTATATTTAAATTACAACATTTAACTGTACTTGATCGACGAAAAATCGATGCAGCTGAAAAGGTATTTATATTCAATATCTAAAAAAATATAGATGATTTTTAATATAATATAACTTTTCGAATTTAAGATTGAATCCAAACAAATGTTTAATCCATCATCGGAATATTTTGCATCGAGAGATCATATGACAAACGTTGTTTTTTCATTTTTACAAGATCATCGAGTACAAGAGAGGTAAATGATTTAAATGCACAATCTTTATACGATTGCAATTTAATACAATTTTAGTACTTTACCGAATATTGAAACACCATATCCAATGTTAATTCTCTCCGGCCCAGATGGTTGTGGTAGAATTGAATTAGCTCATCGACTTGTTGAAGAATTTAGTGAATTTTTCGGTTACGGGTAAATAAAGTATAGTGTTAGTTTTGCGCAAGAAATAATCGCATTTATCGATATGTAGTACTTAAATACTGTTAGAAAATTTTCGACACTAGTAACTTTCAAAAATTTTATTGATAGTTCAGAACTATGATTCTATATTGATTAAATTAAAATATACTACACGTTAACAATAGTTAATTTTAAATAACCTATCGCGAGAAAAACGCCTAGAGACTTTCTCACAGACAATCGGACGATGAAAAATTATTATTTTAGAATTTTACACACAGCACGTGAAAAACGTCCTAATGAAAAAGATCGTGTCGATTATGTATTTATCAAACAAGAACAATACGAAGAAGATGTTACTAAAGTTTGTTAAGACTCATTGTTTTTTGAAACAGAGGAACTTTTGTTTTTGATGCAAATTTAGGGTGAATTTTTATGCTGCTATGAATATTATGGCGATTGGAATGGTCTTCAACGCTCATCAATTGAAAATGTTGCACGAGAAGGTCTAGCATGCGTCATACAAATTGAACTTGAAGTATTGAATTTATTATTGAATTTTTTTGTTTTCGATAAATGAATATTTTATTTCAAAAATAAAAATAGGGTCTTTTATCAATAAAACAATCACATTTTGAACCACGTTGTGTACTTCTGTTACCAATGGATCAACAAATACATAAACGTCGTTTACAATTACAAGGTTATGAAGAAGGTGAAATAGCTATGGCATTAAATCGTGTCGAACTTTATACTGAATATAATCGAACACATCCAGGTTTTTTTGATGCATTTATTTCAACAAGTATAAAACTATTTCAATTGTTTTCATTTCTCATAAATATCTTGTTTTCATTTTTTTTGTTTTCTAGATAGTCTTGAAGATGGTTATGAACAATTACGTGATCTTGTTATCAGTTATTTAGGTTTAGAAGATGATCGACTTGATGCACCACGACCTAATACATCCGATGAAATAAAACGTTTTGATGATTATGATATTCAACGATCAGGTTTGATCTATTTATGAAATCATTTCAATTTCTATTATCATCGGTATCTATACTTATATTTTAACAGATTCATTTTTACCGTCGACCAATGCAACAGGTTGTCGTAATTCATCTCATCCATCGGTTGATACGCCAATAATACCGGGAACCAATGGAACAAGTCAAAATATTCGATTGAAATTTGGTGGATCAGCACCACCAGCTATGATGTCAAACGATTTTACGCTTCGTTTATCAGCAAAATCACGTATAAAAGATTTATTTGATGCTAAAACAGCTAATATTAAAAATCAACTTCGACGACAAATATCTCGAACGGTTCCAATTGCTACACGTAAAGATAATAGGAACGCAGTTGATGGTCGATCAAGTGACAATCGTGGAACAAAATCAGCACCAACCAATGATCCAACCAAGCATAGTCCTGATTCAAGTATTGATAATATACCAGATCAAGAAGATATATTACTACTTGATCAAAATTCATACAATGATTTGCAAGGAGATGTCGAAGATAACATGTCAGTTCGAAGTTGAATTTATAGAAAATATATGGTCTCTATTTTTGATTCATTCTTTTATATATATATATATATCTATATATTTGCGAATTTTATATATAAAGTTTTTTTTCCTCGATCATATTTGATGCTGTTGAATATTCGAATGATTTGTGCTTATCTTAGAAAACTAAATTTATAGAGTTTCACTTTTTTTTACCAAAGTATCAGAGACGCAAGATTAAAATTCTTGTAAAAAATTACAATATATGGTCGATATATAAATGCTGCTCAAAATAAATAATTAGAAAATTGTTTTTTTTTGTATTGATTCGTTCAAAGACTATCTATATGAACTATTTTGGTGACTTACAATACCAGTTAGAGATACATATTCCGAACAAAAATGATTTGTTTATCGAATTAATATGTTTTGAATAAATAACTAAAAGTGGTTAGAAGATGATTCAGTTCAATTGCTTTAACATAGTTTCAGAGAATCATAGTCATAAACTATTATTAAACTTTTTTTTGTCAGTATGGCTATAAAAGAGTGATGCAATATGAACTTACACGACGGGTTATAACTTCAGACTTTTATCCACGTTACTACCATTCTTTTATTTTTTGTAAATGAGAGTTTTGAATAGAATAATGAATGAAACTTTCAATGATTCGTTCATAGAGCTTTATTGTGAGTGACACGTATTTATTTGTATTCAGCCAATGAATTTTAATATTGTTGAAAAGAAACTTGTGATCCTATTCGATCTGATCAGTGTTTAGTTGTAAGTTTATTTTCATCTATTGTAAGAAAAACACTCATGAATTCGTATCCATGTCACTATTTATTGACAGAATCTCTGTTTTTTAATTCATTATAAACGATTGATCATAGAAATATATATGAATTTTAAACATCGTTTATTCTCGGCAAGCTTAACTTGGAAGTCTGAGACATATATCCTATCGTATTTCAAAGCGTATTTTTCCTCTATTGTATGTACATGTCATCTTTGACGATATAGCAATTGTGTTTTGTAGAGCGGCGGCGGTATGACATATGTATTTTAAATGAGAATCAAAAAAGTTAGGTAAGCATTTAATGTTTGTCTTCATTTTGAGAAAGCGGATGACAGGAAGACAGAGAGTCGATTTCAAACGTTATATATCATACCGCAACTTATCCGTACGCGAAAATATTCAACATGTAAAATATATTATACAACAAAAACAAAAAAGGAGACTATAGCTGATCAAGAAAAATATCATAGAAGTGAATGTTCTATGAGAAACACGACTGTCATTCTATGTACTTTTCATTTTTCTTTCTTGCTTACAATCTTTGACCAATAAATATAATCAAATCATTTTTTTTCTGTCTGGAAGAAAATAAATGCTATTATCATTTCATTGGCCATTCTTTAGATTGTTTTTTTTTCCACATCGGAAACTCTTTCTACGTCAAATACAAGATTGATTATATGTCATAGAATCAAGATTTTTTTTTCTTCTTTTGTATGACTGAATTAATTGTATAATACAAGTTTCTTATCAATAGTTTTCTATGAACTGTAAAAAACAACAACAATAAAACTGACACTGAAACTTTTAATATTTATTCATGGTTGAATTAGAAAATCGTTTATTCAACGTGCACTAGTGCCAAAAGCAGAAATTCTATCTACGGCAAGGAAAGCAAAAAGAAAATAATCATCATATTAAATTATATTGAATCAATATGAATATTTCATGTAAACTAAATGGAAGATTTGTTGTTTTCAATTAGTATTTTTTCTTTCTTTCTTTCGTAGTTATCGTTTTTCAAGTATTTATTCAATCGTATATGATTAAAAGCTTTTGATAAATTATCGAAGAAGATTGTTCTGATTGCATCAAAATTTTCTAGAAGCTAACCACGTCAAACAATTAAACGATGAAATCATCTTATTTGTTTATCTGATACAATCGTTGACGAGTTACGCCTTTTTAGTTTTTATTCTGCGTATACTATAATGATTTTATTCAAACTGTTTATCTTGAGCTAATTCTATTGATATTTAGATAATTTCATTTTTCTTTTTGAATTGGTTAGGAGTTTTAGTTATCTTAGCTCACTATTCATCCATTAAGAAAAATATAAGCAACACGTCGTCTGTCTATTCTAATCTTTGAATAGGACAAATTGAGTGATAGTACAAGTGTATGGGAACACAATGCAAGCACTCTCATTGTAGTCGTTGTTATTCGTTGAGTGACTCGTCACTTATCAATAGTATGTACTATTATTTTGTTATAAAACATCGACATGACTATGTCTTATCTTCTTATTCTATTACTTTTCGAACAATATTTGAATAAATATAAGACTACATATATTGAGTACTTTTGTTTTGAAGAAAAATGCGAGACGATCTTGTTCAGTTTGACCTAATCATTGGATGTATATTTGCGATATTTACTTGCTAAACACCACACACAACATGTGTCCCTGCCGTGCCGCTCCATGTTCAGAAGATCAGCTTGTCCGATTAAAAAGAAAAGGAGGAGGTCAAGACAACAAATCATACTAATTGATGATGACTATACATATGTGCAAGCATGTCTACTATTTTCACGTTTTTCTTTTATTAAACAAAGTTTAGTTTTCATAAATGCATTTCTCTTGTTTACAAATCATTTAATTCGACACACACATCTGTCCTCTATTTTGTTTAAAATGATGAACACATGACAGAAGAATATATCATCTTTAAACGGTCTAATGAAAAAACTAGATCAATAAACAGAAATAAAAAAATATGTCGATAAAAGCAGCATTATTCTATGTACGTATATATCTAATTAGAATTTCAATACTCATCAGCATCTATTTTAGAGTTCATTCTTTTCTGTCTTTTTCTATTTTATATTTTCATGAGAACGTGTGCATGCGCTTTCGTAATATTATCTTTGTCGCCTTTTTCCTTTTTCTGCTTGCTTACTCTTTGTTTCAATACGGCCTCCTGCAGCCCACACATACATCAATATTAATATCCACACCCGAAAGGGAAGAGAACATAGAAAATTGCAATCCATCTCAATGCTTCAAATGGCACGTATCTGCTTTTTTTCTGTTGTTCTACTATTTTTGTAGACAAGCAAAATGCAAGAGGGAGAGAGAGAGAAGAAAAAAGAGAATATAGAGAGAGATACTAATCGAGTGAGATATATTCTTTCGCTTTATACAATTGGCTGTAACCATCAGTGAGAACCAATAGCAAACAGGAGCCAATAAGAAAGAGTATCGAGAAAAGTAATAAGGCAAAAAGAAAAAAAAAAGAACACAGCGAGCTAAAACGATACCAACATATCGTTCTGGCTTCCCGTTGGAGAAAAGGGCAACTGACGAACTAATCATATATTCTTTTTCTTCATTTTTTCTGCTGTATCTAACCTTGTGTCGAATGCACATATGAATATCGTCGGTATGATGTCAACGTCATCAGCGTCTAATGGAAATACTGTTCCATCAGTTTCTTATCAATTAGGTGAACAACGTGGTGTACGTCGTCCGAAATGCGCACGTTGTCGAAATCATGGAATGATATCATGGTTGAAAGGACACAAACGTCATTGCAAATTTCGTGATTGTGCCTGTGCCAAATGTATTCTTATTGCTGAACGACAACGTGTTATGGCTGCACAAGTGGCATTAAAACGACAACAAGCAAGTGAAGATGCCATCGCATTACGTGTGCGGTGTCTTTCGCCTTTCAATCAGTTACCAGTACGTAAAATTATTGATTTCAATACGAAAAGACAGAGGAAACAACAACAACAAAAAAATTTCTTTTTCTCTTATAACTTATTTTAGCCTGGACCAGTTTGGGGTGCAGTAACATCATCCAATGGTAGCCATGATGATGATGACGATGAAGGTAAATTTGATAGTTTGTAGAATTTTCATGCATATATAATAAACTAAATGCCAACATTGCATGTTTGTGCATGTAGTTTCTTACATGAGAATATGTCAATAAGACGAAGAAGAGAAAACGTACGTGTTTAAGAGTCTAAACCGACAGAAAAAAAGTTAAAAAGAAAGAAAAAAGTGAGACTTATTAATTTATTGATTCAGGTGATCATGCTTCATCATCGAATTCTCCAAGAAATGATCATGAATCAATTGTATCAGGATCTTCGCCAAAAACAGGTAGTAGCCCAACAAGTTCAACAAAACGAAGTGCTGATGATGGTACAACAACAACATCGAATACATCAGGTATACATTCGAATGAAGATTCATCAGGTTCAATAGCAGATGAACAACAAGCACATACAATATCACCACGCAGTAAAATTCGCCGACAAAATATGTCTAATGTTGAAATACTTGAACGAGTTTTTCCTATGCAAAAACGTTCAGTATTAATGGCTGCTTTAACAACATGTCAAGGTGATTTAGCTAAAACGATCGATCATTTTATAACACTAGGTGATAATGTTGTATCATTTCAAAATCAATTACAAAGTGATATAACATCGTCAGCAGCAGCAGCAGCCGCAGCCTCTACAACAACAACAACAGCCATAACAAAATCCGCTTTTACACCAATAGCAACAACACCACTTCAAAATGGACCCTCATTTGATTTTCGTGCTCCCATGTTTTTTGCTTCTCAAACAAATAATCAAACTCAACGTGAAAATCATTTACCATTATTACCTCCGCCATTACCACCACTACATCCAACACATCAATTTGCTAATATGTATCCACAACCTGCCAATTTCCTTCATCATTTTGCTCAGACACATCCAATAGCTTTAGCAGCTGCTTATGAAAAACTTATTAAACGACATCAACAAGAAGCAGCAGCAGCTGCCGCAGCCAATAAAATCGGCGATCGTTGAACTTAACACCTTACCATAGTAACATACGTACACAAAAAAAAAGACATAAATATACATATATATACATATACATACTATTGTTCGTGGTATTTTCTTGTTGTTTTTGTTTTAATGTCTCTTCTCTTCTTCTTTTTTTTTCTGTCTCTGTATACGCATATTCATATTCACTTTTACAAAGAAAAAAAAACTATCTAGAATCTATCGAAATGAACTTTTCTTTTTTATATGATAAAATTTTCTAACAGCTTTCTATTATTTATGCTAATTTTCTTAGGCTTTACTAAATGTAATTGATCGATCGATCGATCGATGATGATGGTGTCGCTATGCCGGATGTTTACCAGAAAAGGTTTTGTCGACATATAAAACAAACTTTTTTGTTCTTTTATGAATTAATGCTTTGCTTTCTCATAGATCGAATGGCGGCTACTTTTCTTTTGATGCATAAAGCTTCTTTCTTTTCTTTTTCTTCTCTGATATATTATAGCCCGGCAGTGCTGTTAGTTCATTAGTACGATTATTGTCTATATGTTGGTACAAACTGTTATCATTCATTGTCGTAAGTTTATTTATCCAATGAAAAAAACAGACGCATCTCAATTATCTATATTTAGCCTTTTAGTCGAAATTAGTTGACATCAATCTTCTTGACGATTTCTTTTTCTTCTTCTTGTAGTCGCGATCGATTCTTCGTTTATATCGAACGACATGATATTGTTGATAGTAATGATGATGATGATCTAATCGCATTAGTCTCACACTACGATTCCATCTATTTAATCAAGAATATGTGTTATGCGTGTGACATCAGACATCATGAGACATATTTGATTTCTAATAAACGTTTGTAAGCGAACTAATCCGCTCGACTGTCATTTTAACACGAACGACAATAAGAACATAGAAATGTTTTGTTAATAAAAACAAAATGTTCGCTCGTCGAATATCAATTGATAAACATACTATCAATCAACTGAATACACTAATAAGATCAACCTATGTGATAGATGAATTCCGGAATTAATGGCAATAAAGTAAGACAAGCATTTTAAACAGGCCAATGAAAGAGCATGAAAGAAAAGAAGCAGCAGCAATGTTTTTTTTTGTTGCTTGTCGCTTTTTAAGAACGTATTAATGATGTGTCTGATTTCTTTGCAGTAACGACATTAACATGTTATTTACTAACTATTATTCAAATCAATCGGCATGATCTTGTCGAATAATGACGCATGCAAATTAAAATCTCTAGTAGATCCTATTTCTCTTTGCCAAGCTTAAAAACCAGCAAATCTGATTCGATTGAAAATGATTGGTTGATGAGTATTTTTCTCTCTTCGGTTAATAGTTTTATTTATTTTCATTGCTTTTATTTTGATGATCGGGTTTTTCTAAATAAAATTTATTCAAGCTCTGGTTTTCGGTTATGGTATATAATTCTTGTTTATCTTGTTTCCAACATTCATGATAAATATAAGCATCGAACAGATAGACAAAATCACCGAATATTTGTAATAAAAGTACACGGCTAGAGTTAATTATCTTTTCAGTTCTATAAATATAATATGCTAATATTGTTGCGCATAGATAAATTAAATTGCCAATAATATTCAATACATGTGCCCATATATAAGCATTCTAAAAATAAAACTATGTCTACATCTATTTTTTTTCCTATTTTTTTTTCACCTGAAAATTACAACTATTTTTTGAAGTTTTTGCAGGTCGTCTTCGAAACACAATAATCCAACCAAGTAACGTCAAAAAAGACTCCATTAAAAACGAAATAATACCAAATAGATTAAATAAAAATTTTTTTTCTATCACTTGAATTTTTTCAAAAACTAATATAGCACCAATTGAATAGAAAATACTACCAAGATTTTGAAAAATACATGCTACAAATTCAGATCGATATTGTACTGGTTGATCTTGATATTTTCGTAATTTTACAGCATACATATACCAATCCATTGTATAGAGAATTGCGTCGATTACAAACACACTAGCAAGTATCATATAAATAATAGATGAAATCGTCGAATTGAATGACATGTACATATAACTAATTGTATCGATGATTAAATATCCTATCATACCAATGATATATACAATATTAGCCCAGTAACCACAAAGTAGAAATCGTGCAATCGTTGAATGCATTCCGATAATATCATCAAGATAGAGGCACTTGTCAATATCACTATGTAAACAAGAACAATGCAGGCATATATTTATAGAAGATAAATTCGATAAGAATAAATGGTTGTCAAGGAAAGAAATCTGCTATTTTTCTCAATCTTCAAAGTTGAAACATTCATTGTAGAAAAATAAAAATCAACCTTTTCTCGTGCTTTCTATGATATATATATATATATATGGTAGATGTGTGTAGCAACTGGTTTCATATTCCGTTTATCACTAAGCCCTCTTTTAGATAAAAAGATTTTTTTTTGTGTCACTAATTTCATATTTAAAACCATATGACATAAGTCAATAAAAGGATAGAAAAAAAATTGAAATAATCTTCACATTTAAATCGCGAACCAGTATAAACGTATCGAAATGATTCTTTCGAAGTATCTAATATGTTACTTTTTGTATTTATGTGAGCATGATTATGGACTTAAATTCAGAATAATCTACGTTGAGAATTATTCTCACCACTCCACCGACTCTGTGTTACTATTTTCGATTGATCTTGACTTGGGTACTCCTAAAGTCGAAACGTTTTATAAGTGTAGAGGAAACTTTTCGATGTAGTTTTTCTGATTTCTTTGCCTTAAAAAAATATTTCCGAAATTTTAGAATGCAATTTCATTAAAACAAAATTATCAGAACAATTTGTATTTATTTCTTTTCTCCTATTTTGATGCAATGACATACCGTATTAGTTTCACTTATGAATCATTTTAATCGATTGTTTTTGTTTCATTTTTGTTCTAAAAGAATCTGCCTTTGCTACAATAGCAAACAGACACACTTCGAACTACAGATGCACATGGTACATTTTCTTTTCGATATCACGAAATGTCAAGTACAAGAATCGGAATGAAGAAAACCCATGCACAGCTGTCAAGATTTTAGCATAAAAATATTAACAATCAATTATTGAAGAACATCTTTCATCAGAGAAAAAATACAAGCAAATGATGATCACCATCAGAGATTGAATGTAATCTGTGTGATCTTTAGCTTTTGAAATATTCTTTCTCGAAATAATTATCAAGTGAAACGAAGGAATCATATATTTCACAATTTTTTGTATGATAGATGGAGTTATAAGTTGTAGTTCTATACTATGTTATTTATTTGAGATAGTAATAAAAAATAGAAGCGTTTGTAAAATTTAATCTTCATGATCTGGTCAAATTTTTGAAATCATCAAATAAATTATAAAATGATATAATAAGCATATCCGTCACTATGGTTGGTTCACACCAATAGCAATTGTGTCATCGCGAAGTAGTAGTTTGGTCCTTTTTTTAGGAATTGATAAATGAGTAGTATTCATATTTCAGGAAGAATTTACGTGTCAAGTTTCTTGTACGACTTAGTAACGAAAGATTTTTTTATATATCCATCAAAAATCTTAGAAGCAAGATACGGTACGGAAGTTGTCTTACTTCTTTCTAGTATATTCTATTTATTTAATAAAATAAACTGGAAGAGTTAATAGTTCTCTTGTATGAATATCAACAGCATCTGTTGATTTTTTTTAACTTGATCAAACTATGCGATATTTCCACTTTTTACCAACGGATAAAAAACATGAAAAATCGTAGGATTGTAACAGAAAAGAAAAACATTGGGCACGTAGCTTATGTTATTATTCTATAGTATAGTAGCAGACTGTATATTTGAAGTAATAATAACTATTCAATAGAAGGTGCGCAATTCTTTTCTTTTTGTCTCAGTTAAACAATATATTTAATCCTCATGTATTCATTTCTTTTTCTAGATCAACTTCGCCAATCTTTTTTATTTTATTTTCATATCCCATGTGGTATCAATTTAGTTGTCATGCATTATAGTTCTGAAGTATATACTCAATGAAAAATACCAAGTAAATAATAATTTTCATTCTTTTCCTAATTGGGCCAATACAACGAAGTCAATAGCATTGAAGGATTTTTCCTTTTTAAAATCTACTAAGTAAACAATGGCCATGACACGAAACAGAACGATTCAATGACAAATAATGCAAGAAAAAAACTTGCATGGCCTTGTGTACATACGGTGGTTGGTGTAGAGGAAAAAAACATAAAGGAGCTTGATCGACATTGATTTTTTTTCGAATCGAATAAAAAACAGAACAGCATTACAGTATGAAAAATATCCGTTTTGCACATGTTATTCAAACGTAAGAATGTCATAATGGATGAACAGTGAGTGACTCAATTTAATAAATAAAGAGTACTCTTTTTTAATATAAGATATAGAACCTTTTACTCAGTTATGAACGATTTTTTCTATTTTATTTGTCTGTATAGAGGTCATTTCCATCATCAAACATATTCTATTTACGGAAATCATTTATCAAGATCTCGTTGGTTAAGTATGAAATCACAAGAATTCTTCGAGCACAGATTTATTATCCCCATCGTGACAGTCATACGTCTTATAACAATAATTCCTTACAAATGTGCCGTACGTAGTTTGTCAAACGTTGATAGCCGAAAGTTTCCATTTCTATTTATGCCTAGATGACAGTATTGCGATCTATTATTGATTTAGGCAATTTTAACTCTTGCAGTCATTCGAATGGAAAAGGTATATATGAAATATAGTCGATGATTATAATAACTTGTGATTAATTTTGTTTTTCTTGTAGAACATTACAGCTGTGAATATGGTTCAGTTAAATATTATATCTATTGTGGTATCGGTGGAATGATAAGTTGTGGTATAACACATACAGCATTAGTTCCATTGGTATGTTATTTGTTTTCATACATTGATAAAGATTCTTATTTCGATTATAGGATCTTATTAAATGTCGTTTACAAGTAAAACCTCAAAAATATGTGAATCTCATTAATGCCTTTAAAGTAACGATTGCGTATGTTTCTACAATTCTCTCTAACTTTTTGTTTTTATAAATAAAACATTTTTATGATTCATTTAGTGAAGAAGGAATCTTTGGTTTAACTAAAGGTTGGGCACCAACGTTAATTGGTTATTCTTTGCAAGGCCTAGGAAAATTTGGTTTTTATGAAATATTTAAAAATTTCTATGGCGGACTACTTGGCGAAGAAAATTCTTATACCTATAGAACCACACTTTATTTATTAGCAAGTGCTTCAGCAGAAATTTTTGCTGATGTAGCCTTAGCACCATGGGAAGCAACGAAAGTACGAATGCAAACGCAAGATAATTGGGCTTCGTCTTTGAGGCAAGGTTTGCCCAAACTTTATGGTAAGAATATTGCTAATGTTTTTTTTTGCGTTGTTTCAGTTTCCCTTTCTGTTTATAGCTGAAGAAGGACTATGGGGGTAAGATGAATATATTTTGCACTGTATTTTGAGATAGAAAAAGAACAACACATTATACGTTTCTTTTCCATAGTTTTTATAAAGGTATTGTACCATTATGGCTTCGTCAAATTCCATATACAATGATGAAATTTGCATGCTTTGAGCGAACTATTGAAGCACTTTACAAATATGTTATACCTAAGCCACGCGAACAATGTACAAAAAGTGAACAACTAGGTGTCACATTCATTGCTGGTTATATAGCTGGTATATTCTGTGCTATTGTTAGTCATCCAGCTGATACAATTGTATCGAAATTAAATAATGAAAAGGGTCTTAGTTTATTTGATGCCATACGACGTGTTGGATTTGCCGGTAAGTTTCAATGTTGATTGGTTGGTAATGAAAATTGTTTTATTACGATTTAGGTTTATGGAAAGGACTTGGTCCACGTATTTTCATGATAGGTACATTAACAGCTTTACAATGGTTTATTTATGATACAGTTAAAGTTATTCTTGCATTACCAAGACCACCGCCTCCACAACCTCCACTTACATTACAAAGACGATATGGTTTGAATGGGGATAAAGAACCTTTAATACGTGATTTGATTGTGAAAACTTGACCAATAAAGTTCATTAGCATTTTTTTTGCACAAATTTAGTTTTTGTTTTCATGCATGTCTCATGCTGGTATCATTTGGATTTATGTGGCGCTTACATTGTTATTTATGTGATATGTGTATATAAATTCTGTTGAATGTCGAAAAACGAGACAGAAAAAAATAAAACAAACATTTCTTTTATTCATAAATATACATATTTAGGCTCTCTATATTTTAAGTAGAATCTACTAAGTTCAAAATTTTGAATTATTACATAAACTTAAGGCATTAGTGTTGCTAGTCTCGTAAAATTTTGTGTGTTCGAGGTATATCATCGGATCCAATACTCGGATTTTATAACAGCAGTCACTTATTTATGGTTCTGAAAGCAACTCTGCTAGAGATGCTGGGAATAATCAATGAGCTATACTCGCAGCTCGAACGCATAAAACAAAGATGAAACTGAGAGAAAATTTTCTAATTACTAGTATCTCGTGTATAGCTATTATTTACTCAAATCAGAGTCAAACAAGCTATAGAACAGTTACATTACCTAGGTAAAATTAGCACAATACTTGAGGATTTTCTGTCGTGCTTCAGGCAGGCTTCGATTCCAAGTAAAACACGAGCAAAAATCATTCGCCAATCGCACACAATGAATGTTATAACAACTGAATGAATTTTTATTTATTTATTGAGTTCAAGATATCACAGCGAAAAACAACGAATTTTGATTCTTTATTTATAGAAAAAAAGACTTCTATCTATCTTTGATTCAATATATCATTTTTAACAATTAAGTTAATGCTTACCTCTAATTTAACATCATATTTATCCATGTCGTATACGGAGAAAAAACGGTCTTACAAAAAGTTCGTAATCGTCGTTCTAGGAGAATGTGCATAATAATTTATGGATGAAAAAGCTCGCAGGATTTCAATATACGAACACACAATTCACAGCATCGTAGATGAAACTTCTCACAGGTAAGGTCATATTTTCAGCATTCTACCGTGTGCGCATGAGTTACGTGCATCGCTCATATCCTGTGAAAGTAAAACCCCATGTTGCGAATACCGGATCGGTAAAATCGCGGTTAACCGCCGATTTTCACGCGGTTTTTATTACATGGGATCGTTGATTCACATAGCTGAAACGGTTTTGTTGAATTCGATAATATTGATTAATAACGAAAGACAACATGCACACTTTGTGTTTATTGTGATAACTGCTTTCGGCCAATAGAACTATATGCATAAGTTCTTGTTCGTCTTTCGAATCAAGTGATATTTTCATAAACTTTTTCAACAAAAATATCTGACCTCGTCGTATTCCACCTATAATTCACTCATACTTTTCTTGTCTATAGAAAGAGTCTTGGCTATGAAAAATTCTAAGATGTAAAAACGCATTGTAAGTTTTTTTCATATACGAAATCAAGCCACCACGTTTTCTTTTATTAATCAAAAAAGAAACTTCGAGATTCAAATGGGGTTTATTTGTCTACTCAAATAATTAACGTATATTTTTGTTTTGATCATGACCATATAATACCGAAAAATAAGAAAGAAGATTGATAGAGCAAAAAAATCGCAAAGGTGACGAGCGCGTATATAAAAAGCACTGCTTGCTGGTTGAAAAATTATATGTTTCATTGACTCAGGTAAACATTGATAAGTGGAGAAAAACCAAGTAATTTTGTCCACGACAAATACCGTTTACAACCTACTGTAAATGTACTAGACAAAGATTCGAACTCTTCAACATCACTTACTCTGCAAATATATTTGATTCCTAACATTTTTAGGCTAATCAAATTGAAGAAAGCAGAATCTGAGAAATATTTAATGTGAAAATGCTAAATGACCTGCTGCTCGACTTCAATTGCTTATAGATTATATAGAAAAATCATAGTGAATGAATTTTCACCCGAAGAAATCGGTCTTCAATTGAAGATTAAGTGTTTCTAGGCATACTTAAGTGTTGAATTTTCATTTATGAGATGGATAGAATTGTATGCTGCATTTCTTGAGAAGAATCTTCAATTCGAAAGGATAAAAACTACCAATCTTTCAACTCATTGCTAACAAATGCGAAAACTATTTAGTCTGTAGTTGGTTTTATCACGAAGTTATTAGAAATATCGAAGTATGTTGATCTTCTGCTTGTAAATCAAAAATTGCGAGTCTGTCTATCATTTGATACAACGATCGCTATAGTTTGAAGTCTCTAATGCTTGTTCCGTTTCGCTCTCGAATTCCATGGATGCGATTAATTAGTACTAAAGTTAGTTTCGAACAAAATCTGAATAGATAGTGGAGAATTTCATGAGCTATAAATTAGAAAATGATTGTTTTTTTCGAATATATTATCAAATAAGCGAGATAAATTAAAAATGAGAAGTCTCGTAAGCTTCTGTACTAGCATTCAGTACACCGATCATTGTATGAAATAGAAATCTAGATATTAAAGTTGGAACGCTCGTAGTACCGGTAATCTTGAATTTGGTCGAAAGTAAAAATGTCGAAATTAAAAATGCCGAAACTGAGATCGTACTTCCACATATTTTTTCTTTCTGAAAATCAATTAACCAATAGACTTATTTAAAATCACATGTTTATTATTAAAAAAAAAGAAGACTACAAGACAATCTAAAAGTTTTTCGAAATAATTGTTTTTCCATCTTTAATTAATGATATATTAGCTTGATTATAACTTCTTTTTTGCTACAATTAAAGACAAGCTGTTCAGGAGATCAGACGCTGCAATAAGATAATTCTTATATCTATCATATAGCGTATTTATTCGACTTTGTAATGCTGTTGTTCGAATAGTAAATTTAAAATAAGATAAGCCAATATTCATCGAGAAATAATGACATCTTCATCGCACACATTTCGGAATAGTTTCCATTAAAAAAAATTTTACAATAGAGTTTTATTTCAATTTTCCTGCTTTCGACATTTTTATTTTCGACATTTTTACTTTCGACCAAATTCAAAATAATCGTAGTACCAGAATTTGCACAGCACTAGACAGTATGGATAGTAGCATGAAAAGACTACGGATTCAATTGTTCTCATCACGAAGAGTGCAGACATCTAGAAGTGCCTTTCTTTGCCATTCAAACCATTAATTTATTCTTAATTATATTAGTAAAAATTCCGAAGTACTTCCAGCATGAATAAGAATAAACTAGCCATAGCTGACATCGCAAGCCATGCTCAACACAGTACCGAACATATATCACCATTTTCAAAGCAAGACACCACACAGACTTCAAGCAATATTGATGCAGCTTCATCGGTAGTGTTTCAATCACGCTCCAGAAGAAGCATGCAAAATTTTCTTCTAGTGCGGCTTGGTGCCAATTTACTCGTCGATAATGACGATTTTCAACATTCTTTGATACAACTTCGAACCATTGTTAATATATTCGAATATTTTTCTGATCCTGATCCGTGTACTGACTATTTGACAACTATTGAAGATGAACAAGTCTTTTTAATTGTTTCTGAGCGATATGGCGAAAACATTGTACCCCTCATCCACGACACGCCTCAAATTGATTCCATGTTTGTTTTCTGTAGCAATAGTGAACAACAAGAAGAGCGACTAACTAACTGGCCGAAAGTGAAAGGCATCTACAGTTTAATTCAGTCTGTATGCACATCATTAAACAAAATTGTACTCAAATGTGAACAGAATCTGATACCGATGAGCTTCGTTCCAAACCAAATATTAGCAGCCGAAACATCGGGACACACAGAATCTTGATAAATTAGAGCCATCCTATACGTATTTGATGTTCTTCAAAGAAATACTATTAGAAATCGAGGAAGATGACACGAAAGCGATCAATGAGCTTGTGATTTACTGCCGTAATTAACACATTTCTGAATCTCAATAGGAGAGTTTTCAGCGTGAATACGATCAAAAATCTCCCGTCTGGTGTTATGGCAGTGTTGGTTTCCTTTACAGTATGCTCAACAAGGCTTTACGTTTTATTAGGGGTAATATCTTCACCCTTCTCTTTATTGAGAAAAACGATAACTGACTAACTTCACAATAAACAAAAAGGAAAAAACAACAAAACAACGCACACACCTCTCCTCCTTCGAGAAGACAACATCAATTATATTTATATATATATATAAATATATCACATTGATAGATGTGGCGCGTGACTAGATGAAAGAAAAAGGCAAGATTATAACGTATGTGAGGGTAGGCCCGTAACACATTTACTTGACATGGAGACGATGATAAAAATGGGCGTTTCTATTCGCAAGCTACATCGGGAACTTGAGCAGCTGCATGAAGAACAATCCCATGATCATAGGGAAAGCATTAAACTTTTTCGGGGTCAAGGGCTCATACAAAGCGACTTTCAACGCTTACTTGACACAAAAAATGGACTTCTTTCATTCAATAACTTTTTCTCAACCAGTAAATGCAAAAACATAGCTATGGTGTTCGTTGAAAGTGCCTTGCAAGAAAATGAAGATATTGTGGGTGTTGTTTCTTCGATGAACGTCGATCAAAGTCAAATCCTAGCTGTCATTACACCATTCACCATGATGGATGGTCTCAGCGCTTTTGGAGAAGAACAAGAAGTACTTTTCTTAATGCGCACCATTTTCCGTGCGGATGATATTAACCAGATAACTGACAATACGTGTCAATGGAAAGCACAATTGACTATTACAAGCGAAAATGGTCCACAACTTGCCAGTATCACCGATCACATGTAAGAGGAGATCCAAGGTAAAGGATGGTATCGAATGGCTCAATTGATGCTAAACGTGGAACATTTCGATCAAGTCGAGGAACTCTTCAATGGTTTACTCGTTAATCACTCCAACGATACGGATACCACATTTATATATCACCAGCTTGGATCTTTGAAGCAACATCAAAGTAAATATCAAGAGGCAGTTACTTTTCACGCAAAAACACTCGCAATCGATCGGAGAACAATTCCAGAAGATGATACTTCATTGGCTCCTGTTTATGGAACATTCGCTGCGTTGTACAATCAAATGGATGACTACACGAGAGCACTTGAACTATACGAAAAATTGCATAAAATAGGAGAACAACGTCTGCCTCCGTGCCATCAAGATTTCGCAAACTGCTACTACAACAACATTGGCGAGGTGTATAAAAACGTGGGTGATTACTCGAAAGCATTTCCTTCTTTAGAAAAGGAGCTTATTATTAAACAAAAGTTACTTTCTTCGACACATTCAGACATTAAAGAAGCGATTAATAGTATAGAAATAGTGAAAAAGCAGCGGTGAATATATTTTTTCTGTACTTTTTACTCAATAATTGTTAATTGCATGATTATTGTTGCATATATGGAATTCATGCGGGCAATGAGGAAGAGTCTCTCGTCGTTCTAACGGGTACATATATAGCGGATCATGTGCGGGTGGAAAACCATGGCTTCTGTACTTAATTTGTTTTTAAGTACGAAAGTCGCGCTTTTCCCCTTTGATTTGTACTCACAATTTTCACAATCTAATGCATTTTGTTCTCTGGTTATCACAATTTAAAATATTGTTCAAGTCTCCATGTAGTCATAGCCATCTTTGTGAAAACTGTATCCGTCCGTTTCAATAATGTTCTCAAAGAACTGTTTCCATGAGTCATGATATATAATTGCTTTTGTATAAACTAATCAGCCTGGCTATAGATCAATGCTAAGTCTTGCTACCTTGAATCGGCAAGAGGAATCAAACAAAGTGTGTACTATATAGAGATCTGTACATCATTTATGCTGTTTCAACGAGCATAGAATGAAGTTCCGTGCTCCAGATCAACATGTAATAAAAAGCAATAGACTCCACGAATGATACAATCGCCTAACGTTCATGGAAACAATCATTTATAAGTATATATTAAATAAAGTTCGTTATTATATAACGAAAGTACTTTTATGTTCAGTACAAATTTTCGAGAAAACCAAAGTTTATATTAAGAATAAGCAATACTTCCAAATAAATTTCGAAAATACATCAATTATAATTGAGATATTAAATTTTAGTTGGATTCGTTTTTCTTTTCTTTAATGTATCCAAAAACATTTGTCTTATGTCTACGTTTCATACAATTTTCTATGAATATCATGAATATGTTTTTAAATTTAGTCTAGCATGAGGATTAAATTTATTGACGAAGGAAACGGTCAGTGTAGAATATTAGATATAATTAGTTGTATGGATTTGTTTCTATCTGTCACTTCGTCTTCACATGTATGTAACCCATGTAGATGGCAGGTGCATACTTTTTTGTGTCACATAAGTTTTATTCGATATACTTTCTATCAATATAAAAGCAATCTTTTATTTATGTTTAAAGAACAAACACTAGAGTTATTGATATATTTATTTATCAATAAATTCATCATATCCTGTTGATGAACGTCAAACAGCAATATATTGGATGCACCAAATATGACATGTAGGTTATTACCTATTAACATAAATTAGCGCTTACAGTTGATAATTTCGTGTAGTGTACTTTTATAAATATTACATGAAAGAAAAAACCAATAAGCTTGATCAACCCTGCATTTATCATGTGCATGACACCTAATTGAGGATTATATATATATATTTCTAACGTTGCTATTATCATGAATTTAACAAACATCTGATGACCTTCTTCACGATAATAATATATTTGATTTACTCTCGTGCATGTGTGAATATAATTTGTATTTAGATTATGTTCTTGTCAAATCTATCAGCCCCATTCTGCGTTTATTTTTCGCGTTATGGAATTTTTCTTGTATAGGAATTCGAATAACTTTATTTACAAATATTCTCAATAAAGACAAATCGAGCATTTCTCGTACGAAATAAAATATTTTAATTATTATTTCATATTATAATGTTTTTATCAATTTTTTTTATTGTTTCTCTTAATAATTATAACACAACACAAACAAACATAGAATAAATTCTAACAGTTCTCAAAATAAAACTGTCGGGAATAATTTTTTTTTTATTTCAATTAATTTTCTTTTAAGTCTATTACATTAAATCAATTTTTTCCACTTTGACGTCAACTATATCACCATAACCTTTCGTAAGCACTGGCACATTCGTACTGGTAATAAAACGTGTTTTACCATCAGCTACAATTCGTACACGTATAGAATAATTTGATGTTTTCTCAATTTCTTTCTCATCATATTCAAGTGAAAATTCTATGGGGAATGTTCGAATTTGATTTTCGAGAATTAATTTTGATACAGTATGAAACTTACGAACATAAGAACCATCTTGCGAAGCAATATCTAGATTAGGAAAGTTTTCAATAACAATATAGAATTGAAAAATTCATTTTTCTTTTTATTGTCTACATACCAGTTAATGTCATATCGTCGAGATAGATTAAAACCTTGTGATTATCATTGAGAACTTCACTACGTTTTTCATAATCGATTGTGCCTTCTATATATTTAACCATTGCTAATAATTAATACGAATGAAATAATTTGTTTGACACTTCTTAAAGATATACACATATTAATGAAAGACTTCTTCTATTGAAGATCTTCTACAAACCTGGTTGGTCTTCGCTCGTGTTGATGCAAGTTCTGCGAGAATAAATATAATTGATTGCGCGAGTATGAAGAAGAAGCAATCTAGACGTGAGATAATGTGTTTACCGGCTCGAGTCGACAAGGTGTATGTGTGTGTGTGTTTGCTGGCAATAGACCGCGTTTTAAAAAGGAGACGGAAGCTTGCGCTCATACGAAGCGATTGTTTCTTCTTTCTTTCTTTCTTTCCCTATTTCCATATCCGTTGATTGTTAGAAAAGCGTTGACTCTTTCTCTGTAATTTTTTTTTGTTAGTCCTTTCTCTCTCTCGTTTTTTAAAAAAGAACATGAAAAAACCTGCAGCCAGAATGCTTAGCATCGTGCGCGACTAATATCACATTCAGTTCTTCGTTCTTACACAGAAAATCGAAGGAAAATGTCTGTCTTATTAATGAAAGTTAAAAACAATCAAAAAAAAATAGGAACAATACTAAAAGAAGAAAAAAGAAAAAGTTGGTTCTTTTTGTTGTACTTTTCCGATCTATAATAAATTTGTCATCTGTTTCGGCTGATTCATTAGCACGAAGGAAAAGCAAGAAATTAAAAAGTTGAAGTCTTAAATAAAAATGAAAAGAATAAAAAAATTGCAAAATTTGACGCACTCATTCATTCCTTTTCTTGTTCGTACCGTTTGCACTATATTCATATGCGTGCTAGACAAAATAATTAATTCTAAATTAATTAGATTCAATTGTTTTTTACTCACATTTTTTGATTGTATAATAAAATTCGATGAGGTTTATTAGCAATTAAGAATTAAACTTAAATCTATAACGATCGGACAACTATATCGATCAATCAAAGAAAAGAAATAGGTTGAATATGAAGTGTACATCGTGAAATCATTTAGATTTGTCTTTTGATGAAATATTTATGTTGGTTTAAAATATTTAGTAATTGTAAATAGAATAGCTACTGAAATTTCGTAAAACGGAAAGTTAAACGTTTTTAATAGATCCACAGAGTTTATGAATAAGTATGATTTATTCTAAGATTCATTGGATAAATGTAAAAGGAAGTGACATACACAATTTATAAGATTCTAAAATTAATCACAAAAAATATGAATTATCGTCTTTCAAGAAGATTTCTGTCAGAAATTTCTATGGCAATTTTCTAACTTAAAAACAATAGCTCTACATACTAATTTAATATTCATTTACAACAAAATCTAAGGCATGCCAACATCTTTCTAGCATTACAAGGAATGAATACAGGAAGTAAATTGTCGCAAGGGAAAGTTACCTAAGAAAAACAGTTTTGATTCTTCGATTTTCTTTTGTTATGACGGAAATCACAAAAATTCAAAGTCTAGATGTTGGTTATCAAATTCTGATGAATAATTTCTAGAATTAAACGCGTTCGTTATCAGTGCTATCGATTGAAGAACTATGCACTTTATATACGCTCTTAGTAGCAACAAAGTTCTATTGATAGATCGCAAACGATAATTTCCAAACAGCTTAAGAATGACATTGCAGTCTTGTTTGATGACTTCAAAATTCTCTTTATACATTTGTAAATACGAATAGCTCGGAAAATATGAGCTTTTTCAAGATGCTGCTGCAAACAAAATGAAGATAATACGCCACCTTTGGCTTTATGAAGCAATATTTTGGAAACATTTATTTAGTCTAAATTCGATTTAGATTATTTCAGAAACAATTTCTAAACGCGAAAATCTCCTTAATAGTTTTGAATATATTTCTCTTTTCTTCCCCTTGATTACTCATTGTTCCCTTGAACGACAACTTTTACTCTCCGTACTAATAGTTGTCCTTTGCCTATCAGTACTTACGAGTTTCATCAACGTTTCGCTCAATAAACTAGAATTTTAATAAAATTAAAATGATTTCAGAATTCAATGACCTTCTTATAAGTGAACCTTTTTAAGTATTTTTCATACTTTTTGACTAAAAAGTACTGATAAGTACTTTTGAAAGTAAGAAAAGTATGATAAATCACTATAGAAAGTGGAAAAATTATCAGAAAGTATTATAAAAAATGAAATATAGTAAGAGAAATTACTTTATTTTACTTTACTACTATTAAAAGTAATTAAAAGTGACTTTTAGTTCACTTTTTTTTTACATGGGTAGTAGTTCATATTTATTAGGAAGAAAAATCACAGGTGGAATTGTTCTTTGACTCTGTTATATTGATCCTAATTTACTTCACAATTGATCATACCGAATTCAACTTTAAAGAAATCAGCAATCCGATTAAGAATATGAAAAGTAAACGCAACTCAGTGTTCGTTGTTATCATTGACTCAAATTGAGTTTCACGTTATACAGTGAATTGTTTATGTTGGCGAATTGTGTTTTTTTAATTCATCAAATCATAATGAAAGAATGAAAGTTACAATTTCTTGAAATATTCCAGTCATAATCCAGCGAACTCTTTATTTGATTGTACATTTCTACACCGATATTTCAATACCATTCAAATGACATATCCAATAAAGGTTGAATACCACGTTTCTTTAGTTGATTTTGTAACAACGAGAAAACAAATATATGATCGATAATGTTGAAATAGTCTAACTGTTACTCTTGACCTTGTCACCTTTCTCGTAAATATTTTATTGAATTAATTATTTTTCTCGATGTTTTGCATCAGAATTTTTCTTTTATCTGTCAACACATGTGCGCCAAGCTTTTGAATATTTAATCCGTGGAAAATTTAGCATGAATTGATTAGATAATATTAAACATAAAACTACAAGATTCTATTTACTGACATGTATGAAATGAAATCTATAATTTTCTAAAAATGATTGTTAAATTTTCCTAGTTTGACGTAATTATGATTTAGACCAATATGATACTTGTTATGACAAATACATTTCTATCTACCAAATTATGGATACTTTTGGTATTGATGTGATGATTCATCGGCTTACTTCAGTCTACTACTAGGATGATTTATACAGACAAAAATATAAACAAGTCAGCCTGAGTTTTCACATTCTACTTGCGCATCTACAGGAAAAAAATATCATTAAATATGACGCATTAGCAAAAGGATGTAATTACTTGAAAACAAACTTTTAACTATATGAATCATCAAATATGATTCTGAGAACATTTAATTGTTAAAATTATACAAAAATCATATAGCTAAAAGTTATAGAGAATCTTGTACTAGCCAAATCTAAAATTGATGCCAATCTTTTGATATTGATGCTGTGTTGTGCAGAAATACAAAAGTAGATGGCACTAGTCGTATAGAGATTTTCTCTAAATCCTGACATGATTCAATCAGATCATAGACAACTCGATTAACAAATACATTTAGAAGATTATTTTTAAATATTAGTTTCTATAATACATACTTTTAATTCGAGTTGTAGTTTTTTAAAATGACAGAACCAATCAGAATGTGATTATCTATTACTCATCACATCATGAGTATGACTCAGAAATATCGGATAAAAACAAACTGCGACAAATACCTAACTAAGTTCATTTTCTCGTTTATCAATACTATTGACGATGATTTGTCGTCAATATCTAATATGCTTTATTATTTTGCTGTTGATCAATGCAATTTTTACAGATATTTATTTACATAATCCAAGGTAATATATATATAATATATAAAATTATAGAAACTACTATTCTGAAATCTCTCTCTCTATATATATATGTATCAATTTTTAGAGGAAGTAATGATCGGCACAATGAAAAGACTCCACAACGTACCAATGACAAATTGTAAATACCTTTTTGAATTCATTATCATGTTCGAATATTCATAATTATCTATTTTTTTTATTTCACAGGAGTTTTGATTCAGAAAATAATCCTCGCGGTGGATATAATGTTGGCGATAATGGAACAATGTATTATTATACGAATTCAATACTGGCAATTCAATGGTATTTAGAATTGTAAATATTCTTCTGTAATTTTCAACATTTCATCTAGGACTAATCAACATTCATGTAACGATGTTAATGCTGATTGTACAATTATACTTCAGTATACATGCGGTGATCAACTTCGCGATGGAATGTCAACCACGTATGTCATTGATAGAATGTTTTCATTTTATTAATTTTTCAAAAATAGAACAATACCTGTAACAGTTGATGGAGAAAACAATGCAACATATAGATTAACAGAAGATTTAACATCATATTTAAATTGTCGTGTACGAAGTCGAAATAAGAATTTATTTACTGCTAATAAAGTAATAGAATAGAAAACAATGAATATGCTTTTACTAAAAACTTTTATTTGATGAATAGGGTCCCCAAGGTGATTCATCAATTTATACACGACAAAATACTGCTGGTACACAGTATGGCTACGAATGTCCAGAAGAGCGTGATTATTATCCATATTGGCAGCCAACTGATTGGATTGTAAGAGATATATTTTCTTAAATGCTTTCATATTTTATTTATTCTCGATTTCGATAGGATATTGCTATTTTAACAAATCGACAAGATCTATGTTCTTACTATCGTCAAAATAGTCAAAATGTTCAATCACGTTTTGCTTGTTCATTTACTATAAAAGCTAATTTAATTCAAGCAAATAAACTTGGAATTATTTTACCGAATAATAAAGAAGCATGCGAAGTATATTTATCATTGAGTTATTTTTGTTTATTTGATTTTAATTCTATTGATTATCTAGGCTTACAATGGTTCACTTGTAAATGGTGAGAAACCTAGTTGGGTTGAATTTCCAAGTAATAACCAAGCTCCACCTGATTGTTACTCACCACCATATACAACAGAAAATCATCTTGGTGATATTCAAGGTTCTGACATGGCAGTGTATAATTGGACATTACCAAGTACAAGTGCAGCAAAATGTGTTTTACGTGTTCGGTAAATTGTATTTGTTAATTTTGCTTTAATATTTTTTTCTTGCTTTAGATATAATATATCAACTAGTGACTATGACGGATGGAATGTAAGTTCAAAAAATAACAGTGGCAATCTTTATATCATGAAAGAGTAAGATATAATAGATTTTTAGAGATTATTCATACAATTAGATTTTCTTTTTCTGTTTAAAAGATTTTTTCCAAACGCATCAGTTGCTGAACAACGTGGATATCGTTATAAGGCCAATCCTGAAATTCAATTATTTGATAGTTTAAATTTAACATTTCAGCTTGCCATCAATACAGCGCAATATGGACGAGTTTTTCAAGACAGGTTTTTAATTTCAAAATAATTATTTACAATAACAAAAATAAAAAAATATTATGAATAATTTAGATCGTATGTATTTGAAATACGACAACGTCCAGCTGCATATCAGGATACACCTATTTATAATCTAAATGTACGAGGTAGACGTGGAAATATTGTTCAAGGTAAATAAAACAAAACAAAATCGAAAAATCAAAAACAGTTCTTTATCAGAAAATATTTTCATTTAGTATATCCAGCTATTGAATATGATTTTGTACCAAATCGATTAGAAATTCCACCGAATTCATATGTTCATATTCAGTATGCATTATTTTATCTTAGATAATCGATAGAATTTTGTTTTCATTCAGATGGATTGGTTCAAACACAAGTCCGGCAGGCAGTGGACAAGGACAGGAAAATACTGACCGAAGTAATTTATTACTTTTAATTCAAAAAGTAAGTTTTAAAGTTAGATCAACGATGAGTAAATGTAGACTGTCTTGAAAATGAGAAATACCGCATTTACAACTGTATTCAAAATTATTACAGTTGCAAAAACAAGCTAACGCCCTTGTCTGCATTCAATATTTAGAGTGTTTCGAGCAGCAATGATAAAACAAATAGTAATTATAATGACTGATTTTGTTTAGGTACTGAATCCGAATTGGAATCCCTTTCAATATTTGAATTCAACTGGTTTATTCAGTGCTAATATGCCAAGTTTATTAAATACCACAAACTTTCTTAATTTACCAGTGAGCGATCTTCGATTATTGGCTGCTTCGGGACAAAGTAAAATTTTTATTTTATACTCTACTATCGTTATCAGATATACTTATATATATATATATTTTAGATACGGATACATTACTAAACAATGCTTCAGCATATTTCGATCTTGGGCCACGCTTAATATCTGCTGCTTCAGCTGGTGTTTATCAGTACGTATCAACGCGTAATAATGATTTTTCGAATCGAGATCAAAAAGGAAGAGTTATTGTTCAACCGTTTCAATTCAAATATCAACTTGTTGGACTAGATAGTCAGACCATTAAATTAGGGTAAAGAATAATTTCACTTTTAATTGATTTTGTTGAGAAAAGGCTTTTCTTAAAATGCTTATTTAGAAATGCTACTTTGATATTTTCCGAGAACAATGTCAAATCCACAGTTACGATCAAATTTTCAAAATTTAATTGTGATCAACTTTCCAAAATTCTTCCTGAAAATGGGCAAAATATAGTTGTATGTAGAAAATTAGATTTCAAAAATCTTGTCTTAATTTAAAATATTCTCTCTGTTAGACAAAAGAAACACTTTTTGATAGTGTATACGTTATTGAACCATATGATCTTCAATTTCCCTCGAATATTGAAGTCGATATTCCTTTTACAGAATTTAACAATGACGAAGGCAATGTCGACGTTCTTCAATTTGAACCTCAATATGGTGTCTATTTAAAATTACCTAGAACACTCGATTCAAATACTCGTATGCTTAAATTTCAATCAAATACAGGTGGTATTTTTGTATTTGTTAAAAAGCCGCCAAGCGTAAGTTTATAATTGACATCATTGCTTTTAATGATTGCGTTTTGTTTGAAATTGTTTTTAGCCAATATGGATCGCTGGTATTATTATACCGGTTGTATTAATATTTATTATTATTATCTCAACAATAGTTTATTTCAAATTAAGTCCAACTAGGTATTCAGCCATTAAAGATGAATTATCAAAAACAAAACGCTCATTTTTTTCACGCATTTAATTTCTTAATAATGTATATTAACAAATCTTTTTTTATTTTTATTTTACTATTAACAATCTATTTTTGTTTCCAAAAGTTTTCTTATTAATAATGTTGATAAATTAACATTCATGTTATTTTATAATTCAATAAATACAGTGAAGCCAATTTAAATTGTTCAATGAGCATAAAAAAGGCAGGAACCGAAAGTGACGAATTTTTTTCTTGAATCAGAAAACTATTAACTGAGCAATGTGAAATGAGAAATCTTTTAAGTCGCAGTTATTTTCCACAAGTAATCATTCATCATGGAATGATCTGTCTTACTTATTTCTGTATGTCGAACAGAAGTTTTATGTTTATTTACTACTGGTCTATTTTTGGTAAGTTCATTTTTCTTAGTAATTTCAATACTTTAGTTTATATTATATGACGACCGAAGAGAGTTAATGTGTTACTACCCATTATTTCTGACAACAACTTCAATAGATATTTTTATCTAATCGAGAGTCACAAATACTGCACTATGTGGCACATTCAGAAGCTTATTTCAACCAGTTTGGTCTCTAGAATATTGTTGATATTTTCCCTTTGATCATCAAAAGAGTGAAAATAAGAAGAATGAAAAGTTATTCGTCCTTGATTACTAAGGAAATGTACTGTGTGACTGTTTTCTTTTACCAATCTACTCTGGAAAAACACTTGCACGTGTCTAAACGTCTAGGAAGGTGGACTGAAAAAATTTCAATTGTAATCTTCATTGACTATTTCCTTTGAAAATACGGGAGGATCATATTAATAAAAACGACATTTTGATGGTTTCTAAATGGTTAGAGCATTTCGCATAATGATCTATTTGGTCCTTACGTTGTTCGCTAAGAGTAAAATGTGAAACAAAACTTTTCGAGCTTTAAAGTTTCACTTGATAGACGTAATAATGAATGTTATGGCGTGGCATTTTTTCGATAGAAAATTAGTACTGGAGAAAATGAAAGAAACAATACTTCTGGGCAGATTTTATCTAGATCTCACATATGTTTTACGTGTACATAAACCGTTCTACAATCGACAATCAAAAACTTCACAACCCTAATTATTCTTGTAAACATAGTGTGCACGATCAACCCATATCATGTAAAGATAGCTAGTTTTTATTAGTCTCAATGGTTGCGTGAGAGATTTCAAATTTATAACTGAATGGAAGTAAATCTAAGTTAAAAAGAACGATTTAATTTATAAAAATGCTCACTCTTTCATACAATTGAACGAAGAAAATGTATTCTACAAGAATATTTTCATCATATGTCTCTTGAAATAATCGCCGTATGCACTTTATCTCAGCTTCATTATTATGATTGATTTTCTCGCATGTTATTCGTTTGCATATGATCCTTGTGATAATTACCATATTGATAATGAAAGAAATGAAAATACTCTTAAGCAGAAAAGATTCCACATTGATAGAATAAAAGAATGATGAGAACGCGGCGAGTCACTTCGCTAAGAGACATCCTGTAACGTTACATCAGTATTTCATTTTCAGCTATTAAGAATCTATCGTTTGGTGTATGTCATAGAAAAACTTCTCCGAGTTGCAACAACAAAATCTTAATAGATAGTCATCAGATAATTGAAAAGCTATTTTCTTGACAATAGGTGAATTTGACGGCACCATCATGAACTAAAGTAATGCGAATTTGATGTTTCTCGATGATGACTTCTCGATTGGGTTGTTTTTACATATAACTTTATCCTGGTGGTAAAGTCATGTTTTCATGGGTAACAAAGATATAGTAGAAGGGCTAAATCGCGTAATCGTACACAAGCCTACAACAGTATAGTTCCAAAACAATTATCAGAAGAATCTCACCAAGCGATAATAAATGTAGCTGATGTCGATTGTTACACTCAAGTGACAAGATTCACAAATACTCAATTAGATCTAATTGTTTGGAAGCAAAGTCCATTTGATTGACTATTACATATGTCATACAACATAACATTAATAATAGTACAGTCTGCTAGTAGGACAAGTCTGTTATCATATTTATCATAAGAGACTTCTGCAATTATTTAAATTATACTCAATAATATAAGAATGTACTAAGATATTTTTATCAAAGAAATTCTACCAGCGACAACGTTATTAAAATGTATAAACTCAAATATTTGATTGATACAGTAGTGGATATATTATATAGAAATAATCTCGAACTACGAGTATATATCTATATGCGTATATTTCAAAATATATCGATTAAAAAAAAAGAAACAAGAAACAAACGTGTTTAAAAAAAGGATCACACTCTGTCTGATTTCTAGTTTTTCAAAATTTGGTTTTGTTTTATTCTTTCCTTCTTTTTTTTTTGCTTCTTTAAAACATAATAAACAATTTGATTGCTGCAAATCTTTTCATTTTCTAGAGATGTATATTAGATGAACTGTCATTGCCGATCGATACGTAATAAAGTAAACGAAAACAAAAATAAACAAGAGTGAAATACCACATTATTGCACAACAAAATCAAAATAGAGCAGAAAAAATATAAGAAAAAGAGCACGACAACCGGTATAGATATTATTTAAGCAGCTGATTCGGCTTCTTTTCCGTCAAATGATTGTGGCACGGATCGTTCAATAGAACGTTTTATACTTGCATTTTGACGATCATACTTTTGAGAATATAGCCAATCCGTTCTATAGAAAATTTAAAAAATAATTCATGAGATTTAATCAACAAACACCTATATCACGGCAAAGTCAAAAAGAAAACAAACCACAAATTGACAAGCATTTTGAATACTAATACTAACATAGGGGGGAATCAACATGCATATTTTCTTTCTCAAATCTGCAACTTAATACTTACATATTGATGGTATTAACAACAGATCCCAAAAAATCCGACTCTCGATTGACGTATATCAGATCTGAATAAACATTAGGAAGAAAGATTTTGTTGATACTAATACAACGGGAAAAGAATTGCATTGTTTTCCTAATTCGAAATTTACAGACTAAACAACGTACCTAAATACTCGGAGGCAAAATTTAACGCCGAGAATTTTTCTCTTAAATTTAAGAAGCAGTATTTGACTCTATTCAATGAGTCAAATGTGCGCAAAAAAATAACCTTTTCTCTATCGCATTCAATACTATTTTATATTCCTGTTTCTATTGTACCCGATCTATTTTGTCTTGTCTAAAATACAACATCATCTCTATCACCAATGAATAAAATAAATACGAATAAACAAATATAGTGAACAACACCGAATTTAATGTTTCTAAACAATATGATACCTTTTCTTGCTTTCTTTTCCCTATTGAGAATCCGTATATAATAATGATTTAAAACCTCTAGAGAGATATTATCAAATGATTCCAAAATTTAAATGTAATTTATTCAAGTCGATTGAAAATCAAAATTCAAACTTACTGTTCAATGATAAGTGGAATTGTGATAGGATTATTAGGAAATTCTCGTTCAAGTTCAGCTATTGTATATACATAGTGAACTTTATGATAGAATTTATTGCTATAAATAAATAAATAAATAAATAAAATAGCATTTAATACATATAAAACTAAAATAAAATTAGCTATATGATTTTCCATACCTAAAGAAAGGTCGAGAAACAGCAATAACAGTACGCAACCATCTTGTTGGATGTACAACATAAATACCACGAAGATTTTTACGTAATCTAATGAATGTTTATATAATGAAGAGAATATTTTGATTGAATAAAAGACAAAAACATTTACTACCGAAAATTAACCATTTGATAATATTTACGAAGAAATTTGAATTCCGGTGTACGATGTTTTGGTGTGGCTCCATGAAAGTAAACTAATATATAATCATCGATCACTAATTTTTCCAATTTATGATAAATATAACTATAAAACAAAATAAATGGAATATTGATAATATAAAATGTAGAATTACTAGAAGAGTTGATCCATAATATAACGATATTCTCTTAAACGACGATCTGGTAGCCAACAACCATAGATAGCAACAATAGCTGTTTGACTATCTTGTTGTAATTTACCCACTGAACCAAAAACACATTTAAAAGGTGAAATTGTTTTAGCATCGATATTAATTTGATTATTATCAATCGTACATGAAATCACGCCATTTTCTTCATCCGGATCAATATCAGTCAAGTCATTCGATGTTGGACGAAGGATAGCTGTACAAATAGAAAGAAAGAAATATTAAGATTTTTTTCTTCTTTTCTATAGTTAATATTAGATTAAATTTCTACACGTATGGTAGTTATTCTTTTTTTTGTGTTCTTTGTCTTCTGTTTATACATGCAATAATATTAATGAATATGTCAACGGAAATTAATCGAGGTAATTTCCTGAAATATAAACTACATTAGATAAAATATATCTTAGATATAAATCTTCTTTTTCTTTTTTTAGTGTCTAATTTGAGTGTGTGCGGCGTATACATAGAAACTATAGACTAATGTCATGCATTCGATTCTCTTCTTATCCAATTATTGAAAACATATTTTCTTAGATTCTCTATCTCATACTCACTATTCCTACGACTAGTACTTGATTATCTGTCAGATGTTCTTTTTCTCCATTATTACCATGCTCTACAGAGCAATGATAAGAACTTGATATTTATGAATGAATGAAAACAAAACAAGAAAGTCTACTAGAGATTTTCTTACTACTAGAAAAGAATTACATCGTTCATCGTACGATTGAGTATTGATGCTGTTATTTCAACTAGCAGAGAGACCCGCACATATATATTATAATCTTCATTCATAGAACAAATCTCATTTTATTGTCATTAGTTCTTTTTAATATAGCTAATTCAAACGAGATTGTACATATATATATATATATATATATATATAACAACATAACTGAGATCTGGAACAATGTTTTTCTTTATTTATTTTACAAACGAATTCTTTACTTTGTTTTTCTTAGGACAAAATGAATAATCCCATACGAGGAGATAATAATGATAACAATTCATCGTTAAAAAAAACTTTAGTTCTTGGGTTTACACCACTTCTCATTGCTGCATTCCTTTACACTATATTAAGTTTGTGCATTCAAATATCAAGATGCTATTCAAATTGGCGTCTGAAAAAACAATTAACTATTTTACGATGTTCAGAACAATGCCTAGTTGTTTCAAATCCATCATTAGATCGCATTGGCCAACAGTGCAATCCACAAGTCGTTTAATACACAGACCATGATAGATGTACAGTTTCGCATTATATATCAATATAAATGCCATGATGTTGTAGGTGGTAAACACGATGGGGGATATTACATGCAATCGTTTACTTCTCGTTATACCCCTGCTGTATATATATATATATATGTATATATAGATCTATATTTCTGCGGGGATAATGCAGACATACTACTCTACTATCGTTTTTTTTCCTGATGCATCAGGCCTCGTTGTTGTTATTATTATTATTGCCTCTTTTTTTTGTATCAACACTTCGTTAACAACATGTCATAGTTAGTAAAGTCAAGAAAATGTCCATTCTATGCAAGTCTTTATCAGAAAAAAGGGTACCATAGGATCTCAGTGTCTTTCGAATGATTGATACACCAGATAATTGTATAAGTAACTGTTTTCTATGCAATACTATGGAACAATGTTCACGTCAATGTATTCGTCGAACATTCTATGCTGTTCTAGTCGGCGTATCGCCCATTGTTCTTTGTTTGTTATTTATTGGTCTGGCGCGTTTAATTTTATATCGTCTTGAAATGGTTTATTATCGTCGGCAAAAAATAACCGATCGTCGTCCATCCATATTTTCTTGTCACAGTGGGCGTCTAGCACTTTCTTATACACCTGTCTCCAATGCTGAAATACAACGTATTATTCAAGGCGAATATAAAAGCCAACGAACAAGAGAATCATGCGCATTTGTTTACAATAATCCTACTAATACACGTAAAGCACCAAGATTTATTAGATCAATATTACCAAGACGTGAATCAGCTTTACCAACATCGAGCATTCTCTCAAATCTTGTTATACGTCGTAGTATATTGGATGCAAATCCCATAATGACTCTTCTTCCACCTGTTGACGTACCATTACAACCTACGTTTTCCATAATTAATGAACAAAACAAACAACGCGCAAGTACTGGTACGATAACAAAAGACTCAATTGAATCAACAACAACAACAACAACAAAAAGCATAGCAGCAATGAACCATAATAATAATCACAACAATAATGATGGAAATGTTATGCCTGTGCATGATTTAACGGTATTTGAACCTGAACCAATAGCAAATGATTATTTATTCACTCCATTAAAAACATTGACAACAACAGTTTTTGTTGAAGAATTTCTTGAATTTCATTCAGTTAGTTCATTGCCATGTGTATCAACTATGCTTAGTTCAATTGCAGAAAATGATAATGAGAAGAATTCAGAAATAAATAAAACTATCGAAGAAAAATAATTGATCAGTATTATCAAAGGAATAAAATAATTCCATTTTATATGATCATAATGTTGGACGTAGAGAATGATAATGGATAAAATGTATATATCAAACTGTCAAGGTTTCTTTCTCGATTATATTTATAAATTTGTATATTCATCCTATGAAATAAATGCATTAACTACGAGTAATACCTATTTAAATACATGTTGTCCTTGTTGGATGCTCTTGCCCCTGATTTATGCGACGCAAAAAGTAATCTACTACACTGGCACAATCAATTATACTTTATTTCCATGTTTGTCTATCACCTCATCATCCTTCGGAATAAAATACACACAACGAAAAAATTCAAATTAGATGCTTAAAAATTTATTACTAATATAGATGTTCTCTGATAATTTTCAGCTGTACGATTTTCACCAAATGCAACATGGTAATATGGAAACATGTCAATCACAAAAAGAAGCCTAATAATAAATCTATATGTATCGAAGACGAGAAAATTGTTTACAGAATTTTGATTGATACTAATAAGAAAACCAAACTTCGCCGTTTTATGTTTGATGTGACTGATATAATTAACATATCAAGTAAACATAGGCATGCAAATTCAACAGAGAAATATACTGATGTACGCGTGTTAAAAGAATATGTTCATTTGACACTCAAAGTAAAAGAAGAATTTGTATGTTTCAATAAATCTATCAACAATAATAATAAAACAAAATTTATTAGATTTCCTTTTTCTAATCTTACCTTACATCTGTCTAGAATATCCGATGAATATTTGGTTAAACAAGAATAAGTAGAAAATATTAGTTTCGAACTACTATGCTATTCTTTAACAATTCATGATTTAATCAAAAGAAAATATTTGATTTAGAAATCTTCATCAAGACTATAACATCAATATATCCGAGTAAATAATAAATAAATAACTATGAAAAACAGTGAATTCTTCAAGAAAAAAAAACATAAATTACTCTACCTGAATCGAACGATCGAAGAATTGGTGCATCTGCATTGCTGAGTAATTTATCATCAGTTGTTGTTTGAACGGTTGGAGTAATTTCTGGATCAGAACGTGAATGTATTCTATTTTTTAAATCTATATTAACTCTTGGCGACGACGATAGTGCTGATTTTAATGGAATGTTATCACTTGAAGTAGTGGCTGTGAAATTAGAGAGATAATTTCTAATAATTATAAATCTATGAGACTAGGAAATTGATTACTTGTTTTTTTATTTAGTGGTGGTAAAGGTGGTAATGGTGGTGGTAAGTCTTCACTTTCTGTTGATGATATGTGACTTTCTGGCTCATGAACTACATGACGTGTCACAACTTCAGTTGTTTTAATAGTATTATTTGTTTCTTTCTCATTCATAAAATCAGTAATTCGATCATTAACCATTGAAAAATTTGCCGGTATTTCTTCGTTGTCAGTGTCATCAGCTGAGTCAGTAGTTGAACTTGCTTCTTCTAATGATTCTTCAAGACTATCTTTTGGTGTTAAAACGGCGACTTTTTCTATATTATCATCAAAACGTACAGTTTTTGTTGAATGTCCTTCAGAATTTTCAGCTGGTTTTTGTTGTGAAAAATACTTATCATAATTATCATTTTCATTTTCATTTTCATCTTCGTCACTACTCTCTCCATGGTACGTATCTTTTAGTTTTGGTGGTAATGTTCGTGTTAATGTTGATGTCGGGGAATCCAATGGTACGTTATCATATGAATCAAACTTTTTTTTAATACTATGATGTAGGGTGTTTCCATTTTCTTCACCACTATCCTCAAGTTCCCATGGTTCGTCACCATTATTCAAAGCATTTACCGGATCGGATTCTAGTTCAAATGGTATTGTTGACTTTTTCATAGGTGATGTTTCATCAGATTGATTATCAACTGCATCTGTAGCTGATGCGTCATCTAATGTATGAAGTAGTTGATCACTAGCATAGGCTTCAAATTCTAACATACGTGATGTAGTTGCAAAGAACGTAGGTGTTCTTTTCAGCGCATCATCATCATCATCGCTATCGGAACTTGTACTATCATCTTCTTTGTTTGCTGTTGGTTGTGTTGTATCAGTGGCGAGTTGATTCTCAGTTGACTTAAAAAATCAAAAACAAATCTTTTATTTTATCGAATCGAATACGACAATGTGTATGTACCGATAAATTTGTTGATGCTAAATGAATTTTATCATCAGTGTCTATTGATGGTTGATTCTAAATGTGCCATTCAATAAAATTATTTATATATGTATATAGAAAACAATAAGAAATAAATTAAATCAAATGGAAAAAAAATGCACGCGAGCTGAAAGCTTAATAGCGTACTGTGCTCAATCAGTTTACCCATCAACTTAAAAGAATTTTTAAAGTAAGATAAAAAAAAGAAAAACTTTGCATAATGGATTATGAAAATCATTTACCTTATTTAAAATAGAACTGTGGTCAATATTATTATTATTTCTAACAAATGCTATTAATGAATATTGCGTTAAATTATTATCTGTTATGGCTGTGTCAAAAGGATTTGTAAATAATGAAAATGGTGAAATGGATTCATCAAATGTATTCGAATAGAATGATATTGGATCAAAATTATTCTCATCGATGATATTATTCGATATTTGAAATTGTTTAGTCCAAAGACTATCGAATTTTTGATCAAACGGATCTAGCAGCTGTTCATTTGTTTGAACATCATGATTGATATTCAATTTAAGATTATCAATGGCTAATCTATTATCCTCGTTGTTAACTTCATAAATTGCTTGTGATAATATTCGATCAGCGAGATGTTCTGCTTGTCGTTTCGCTTCATTGATTTCATCTAATACGAATTGTACGACATCTGAAACCAATTGTTCAACTAGTAATATAATATCAATATCAACAGAGGATAACATAACATTTTCTTGCTGATTCCTATCGGATTGTTGATGTTCATTATTAGAATGTTCGATTGTATTTAATGGAGTTGAAGATTGTAAATCATCATTTAAATGACTTATAATCCAATGTAAATATGTTATCAAATCATTGTTATCTGTATTTATAGTAAATAAAGATTCACAAGGGATTGATCGATTGTGCAGATAATCTGAATTCGTATTGTCGTTGATTGTCATTGCTGTTTGATGTAAACTATCATACATATTTGTATTTCTAATTTGAGAATCATCGATTACTAATTGATTTGACAATATTAATGAATCGTTAAATTCATTTGTCGATGTTATAAGCGACGATGATCCATCAGAATCGACCATAATATCAACAGAATGGGATTCGTCATCGTTAAGTAATCCAGAAGATGTTAGAGATGTCAAAGAAAAAAATGTCGACGGAAGTTGTCCTCCTTTTCTTTCAAAATTATTTTCCTTTTGACTTTCATGGCAATGAATAGTATTACTTAGATCTTTGTCATGTTGTTGATTTTTTTCATTTAATAGATTTGTTGTATTTAGGTTTTGATTATAATTATCAGACGATAATCGAGGCGTATAAACTAAACCGTGAAGTTGAGCAAGAGTATTTAATAATTCAGAATCATTATCAAATTCATCATCTGAACTCATCATTCGATGAAGATTTCTTTGTACTTGTCTATTGCTAACAATATCCTGTATGTTGACGTTCGAACAACTCTCTCCGTCCAGTTTCTCTTCTTTTTTCTCGAGTATATTACGACAATTGATGCTATCAATATTTTCCTGCTCCTGTTCTTCTCGTTGTACGAGAAGGTGATTGACAGGAATAGCAGCAGTAGTAGTATTAGACGGATTGTTTGTTGTTTTTATATTAAAAGGATCATACTCTTCGCTGTTCGATACTGATAATGAGGATGATTGCTGACGATATTTGTAATGCTCGATTGATTTCCTTTGAATTTTATTCGGAATGCACGGTTGGGCTGATGGTGACGCATCGGACGTATTAATAGAACTATTTTTTTGCTTGGCTAATTCATCGGATGACTATCAAAAAAACAAGCAGAAACAAAATAAGCAATAGATAAATTAGTCTTTTATTCTCTTTTTCTATCCTTTTAGGTTAACCGATAGATGGATAATGATGACAGCTTCTATCAATACGAGATTACATAATATATACGGATATCTTCTCAATAGGATATAGCAATTGCTGACGAAATATAGAGTACGTACATTTAGCGAGAAAGAATGAGAATCAAAACCACATGAGAATATAAAAAGATTATTTATCCTTGACTTTTATTGAAGGACTCTTATGTGATTACTATATGGAAAGAACTTACCTGTTCATTGTCGTATAATACTTCTTCAAATATACTTGGATTATGCATAACAGCCAAAAAGTCATCGTCATTATCATGTTCATTTAGAATATATCTCATATCGATAATATCATGAATAATTTCATTTTGTCTAAGTTGATTTCTCAATTGAGAAAGATTTTCTAATGATATTATAGACAATATTGGTTGATTAGAAGTAAATGTTTCTAAATCATTCTCATCATTAAGCAAAGCTATAGGAGCTGATTGAAGTGGTTTTGTTTCATGCATGTCTTCATCAATAGCAATTATAGGTGACTCATCCGGAATGGGAGATGATGAATGGGAACGATGATTCTCCTGATATGAAGATTCTGAAGATGATCGTGAACGATGATAATCAAGATTAATTTGTAAGGATATATCTTCAATATTGTCAAGATTGGATATATCATTTTCAAAATGAACTTCATCTTCATTATTATTAGAATCAGATGATGTGGAAAGATCATCATGATCCTCATCATCTTCGATAAAGATTCGTGCTTGATCATGATAACCGATACTTAAATGTAGCGAATCATTCGAACATCTTGAATTACTACGTGATGAATCAATAAAATCTACCTGATCGTGAAGGTTTAAATTTAAAGCTATCGGAAGTGGTGGTAAGAGAGCAATTGGTCGATTATTTTGAGAAGTTGTTTTTCTAAGAATAAAGTCATCATTCCATTGTGTGACATCATCATCTTCTTCTTCATCGTTATTCTTATCGATTTCAGCATGAGCCTTCTCCTCCTCCTCCTCCTCCTCCTCCTCCTCGTCGTCGTCGTCGTCTTCACGTAAATGTGATGATGATAACAGAGAATCAGGTGATGACGAACATATTGAATCTGATCGATCGAACATATCCATAGGATCAAATAGCATTTTATTATTATTATCATCATCGTCTTCGTTTTCAGGTTCATTTGGATCATCAATATCAGGAATATTTTTAAATAAAGCTGGCATTATTTCTGATTCATGTTGTTGTTCATCTGTGAAACCATTTAAAAATAATTCGACATCATCATCGTCGTCACCTTCATTATCATTGTTATCTTCATGAGTATTTTCAAGAGAAGAAGTAAATATATCTAGTAAATTCTTCTTCTCAGAATGATTGTGTATTAAATCATTATCAAGATTTTTCTTTATCAAAGTAGAACCATATCGAATAGAAATACCATCAAAATCATCTTCATCGTCCATATCACTAATGTCTTCGATTGGTATTGTTGATGACTGTAATTCAGATTGAATATCACTAGTATTTGAAATATTATTGTCTTTGAATGCAGAATTATTATCATTCATTTGTTCTTCTTGATTTGTCTTCACGTCATTCGATGGAAATGTAGAATTAATAAATGCAGCCTGAGTAAATGGCTCTGAGCTGGTGAATACGAATGAGCCAAATATTGGCGGATATGTTTTTTCACTAATAAGAATTTTTGTAATCGCATCGGAAGATGATTTACTGATCGTTGATGGATCAGTTTCAAAGATCGAGGGTAAATTAGCATAAAATCTAGTAAGATCTTTAACGTCAGATGCCATATTGCTCATATGAACATTTGTTGCATTCGTTGCGAAAAAAAGCGAAGATAATCGACGGTGAGAAAAGAAGAAAAGAAAAAAAAGAAAAAGAAGAGAAGAAAAGAATAAAGAAAAAGAAAAAAAGTACTAAAGAATTAACAAAAATTGAAAAGAATTCATCGGAGAAAAAAGATGATAAGTCTAAAACATTGTAAGAGGAAAATGCAAGCGAGTAAATAAGCTAGGAAACTAAATAAAAGAAGGAGTAATAGCAATAATAAAAGAATACACTAGTGAAGGCTTCATAGACACTTTTTTTCCTCTTATTCTTTGTGGTTTACTGTCATTTTTTTTTCGTCGTATACGCATTATTCTGATGACTCGAAGTGGCCTTCGTTTATAGTATTGAAACAGAATTTCTCTTTCTTCTACTGTCAAAATTAATATGTGACACAAATAATATTCAAATGTGATCAGAAAAAGAAAAAGACAAAGGGAGAGTTTTGTGTGAGAATACCAATAGATTTTCTTTTCTAGAAGTACTATCAACTACAAGACTTGTCAATACGCTTGTCGTAGGTTAATCTCATCAACTAAATAAATATTGTCCAAAGGACAAACATTGCTTTTTTTTCATCTGAAACCGATCTATATACAGATACGATTGAAAAAAGTATATCCTTCGGAATAAATTAGTTACTTACTTATCCTTCATCGCGAATCAAAAACACATTCACTCACCTATTTACATAGACAGAATGAAAAGAGAACGCTTTTCAATTGATTTCAGAAGCTTTCATTTTAGTCAAATATAACGCATCAAGAAAAAAAACTGACAACGATAATTGATTAAGATTTTACACTCCGCAGACATTTAACGCATTTGTATATGCATAACGGCATGCACATCTCGCACAACACTGATGTCATAGGTGAGGAGAAGGATGCGACATTGACTATTGATGGACGACCGATAATTAACTTATGTGTAGGAAGTAATTCATTTTTCTTTCTTTTTCTCTATTCTTTTTTTGCTTTGTGTTCTTCTTCGTTTTTTTTTCGACGTGAAAGGTCGCCGACATCGTTATGAAATCCGATAGACGAATAACATCAACGATTTATCAATTCAATTTTGGGTTGCTAACAAATCAGTTCATTTTCATGCTTAGACTTCAGAGATTCTATTCTCATTCATTTGAAAAACAAAAGAAGTTTTTCATAGAATACAATGATTACGGAAGAAAGAAAAAGATCTACGTGCATTAAAGCAGCCATTTAGGGATCAACAATTGCATGCCATTATTTGCAGTTGTTTCATATTCTTATATAAAGCAATCAATTGAGCGCATCAGCCATTTAGCATACTTACGGCATTGATTGATGCGGAACCATCTTGTGTTAGATCATTCGTGTTCACATTGACAAATTCAGGTTCGGATTCTGATGATGACGAAGAAGCGGTTGATAGAAACGTAGCTCGTTTTGCTGCTAATGTTGCTCTTACGTGTTCAGCAACACTGTTGGATGTATCTTGTAGAGTCAAAACAAAATCAATTGTTATCATCAATAAAACCTAAATTATCTCTACTTACTGCAGGAAGCAGATTCCGATTGAGTAGTCGCTTCAGTTGGAGGTGAGGAAGGAGGTAACGATGTTTGTTCTTCATCTTCATTAACACTATTTGAACGACTTGTACTTGGCGTGGCAATATCATCATCTTCAAGTTTTTCCATCGTTTTGTTTTTGCTTTCGATCTAATATTTTATACAGTAAATCTTAAAATAACATAGAACAATTCATCCTTTGTTGAAAATGTTAGAGACGTGCAGATGTCCTTGGAATGCAACATCGAAATAATACTTTTTTTTAAGATAAAGAACCTTCTTTTTTATCTTCAATCGTCAAGAGTCAATTATCAAAAGAGGAAGAAAACATGCCCTAATAAAGACAAAACTAATAATACTATTGATTTAAATATATATTAATCATAAATGCATGTTATTAAATCTCAGTGCAAAGGTTTTTCTTCCAAACCATTAGTTGATAGGCCATTAATCTATCATGAATGAAATATATAATCCTTTGATTTTGTGAAATGATTCGTTCGAAACAAAAAAACACAACGAGACAGAGAGTTGATCTTTTACTTACACAACGGCAAACATGCGTTCGACTACAAATAATAATAAAATTCTATCTGACTAAAAATAGAAATTGCGTTTCTTTTTTCGTCTCTTGAGTAATGATGAAAAAAAGATGCCGGCAAGATGAATAAGCACACAACACAAACATTGGCATACAAAAAAAATTGTCTTATCATATGACATTACCATGCATTGTATTGTTACCGTTAGAAGATAGTAAAATAGAAAGAAGTAAACAGAAAAAAAAGAGAGAAAAAAAATTCAAGTTTTTCTTTTACAATGGTGAAGACCCTATAAATTTCATGAATGCTAATATGGTGGTTCACAATGTAAATATTGTTCTTTAAAAAAAACGACGAGAAACAAACGGTGTCGCTTAAATAAAAATCAACAGTTACTAAAACATTAGCATAAAATGAGTATTTAAGGACAGCATATTTTTCAAGATTAATACAGAAAAATTATTTCTAATGCCAACAGCACCAAAACGACAACGCAGTTTTGTTACTTCAACCGTAGCCGATGGACCAGGTTTGATTCAACGATAAAATTACTACCGACCATGTCTTTTCCTAGGCTCCACTAGTGAACATAGTAAACAAGTTCGAATTGTTAGAACTCAAAGTCGATTACGCATGCTAGTTGAACAATTGCCGAACGGACGAAAACGTTTACATTTAAAAGGTAAAATTTCATAAGGAAATTAATTTTCTTGAAATACAAATCACTATGCAGGTATTGATACCATTGCCATACCAACGGAGTTATACGAATTAACCGATTTGGACATTCTTGATGTAACACCTGAATCTAAATCCGGAATGAATTATACATTATCGCGTGTTCCAGCTGATTTTCGTTTCTTAATTAATCTTAAATGTTTACATTTAGACAATAATAATATTGTTTCTTTTCCGGCGGAAATAGGTGAATTACCTCATTTAGAAACGTTAACAGTAAGTAATAATCATTTAACAGCATTACCTGATCAAATACGTCAATTGCAACGTTTGCAATCATGTCATTTATCAAACAATAAATTTGAAGAAGTGCCATCATGTCTATGCTATTTATCGAAATCGTTATTATTTCTTGATCTATCTTATAATTATCTACGACAAATACCATCAAGTATTCACAATCTGAAACAATTACGTACATTATTATTACTTGGCAATCGTATTAAAACTTTACCAGATTCAGTATGTCAACTATCGAAACTAGAAACATTATGGCTTGGTGATAATAAACTGACAGAATTACCAAAAAGTTTTCCACAACTGAAACATCTTGATTGGCATCATCATTGCGAATTATCATCGAATTTTGAAGGAAATCCATTAGTAAATCCGCCATTAGACGTTTGCCGAAAAGGAATGGACGCTATCGAACAATATTTAAAGAAGACACCGAAATAGTTTCTTGATACCTATTGCCACAAACAAGCGAATCAATAACATGATACTGTTTTTTTCCTTCTTTATTTTGTACAAATATTAGTTTATTTGTGACACAAAAATAATAAGATCCAATTTTATTTTTGCCTAGATGCACAGATTTTACGCAGAATTCAGACCCACATTTAGTATCTACGTATACACCATCATCAAAAACGTTTCGAAGTCAATCTGCTCACTTCAAAGAGACTTAGTTATCAGGGTCCAGTTATGATTTTGAGATAGCTAAATCTTCTTGGTCAGATAGATTAAAATGAATCGAAAAACATTATTTATATTAATATCCGTACAGCAATTTGATAAAAAAAAATGAATACGTGAGTGAATACAATCACGGTTACGTTTCACATCAGAACGATGATTCCCGTAAAATAACCGACGTATTCAATTTACGTTTCACTTCATTTTTTACGTTGAGTATTGCGTGAAACTGCCGTGTGTAATTTTTGGCTAATCGTCTTATTGATGCAAATTTTAATCATTGAAATTTGAGTCCGATATGAAATGAATTGCTAATCCTAGTAAGTCCCATACAAAGCACATTAAATTTGAACTATTCATCGGCGCTATTGAATCACTGCATGTATGATTAACCCATTCACAGAAGAAATCATAGTAGGCTTCGATTGGACGTGCTGCTATTCCGGATGAAGCATTCATCCTGTGTTTATTCATCATATCGAATGATGTATTATGATTGATATTGAAAAACCAAGGTCTACGAAATACCTTCACATACATTTTTTACTATGAAAACTTATTGAACATTACGAGGTCGGCCGGGTTGACCGAATCATAATAGATAAAATAAATTTTCGTATAGAAATGAGATTATTTTCATTGGTTTTATTCATAATACGATTTTTTTTTGTTTAGAAAAAGTTTTCATTTGATGAAAACGAAGATTGTCAATCATTGGGCACAAGAAATTCAGTCTAATCAAATTTATTTGTTTTCAAAACTTCCGATAAGTCAATGACACATTAGATTGACTTAGCAGCTCTGTAAGTTTCTATGACTACAATGAATTCTAATCCCTCTAGTAGACTTTGACATCATACATGCGTGATATAGGTTAACTAGACAAATTGTAACCTATCACTTATATTTATACAACGATCTCGTTGCAAATGAAAATTTATCGTGCGCAAAAAGCCTTCCTACTTTTAGACGTATACTGCTTTTCAATGCGCTTCCGTTCAACATGACATTCCCGATTTATTGTTGAGCCTGATTCAAACGATCTTTATTAAATTGTAATACACATAAGCATAATTATTCTGTCTGCTGTCACGATCTTAGCTTTTCCTTTTATTTTTCGTTCCACTCAATTTTTTAGCAAATTAAGTCATTCTAGCGTGGAAACCATGATTTTGCGTTGAAAATTAAAAAAATTTGCTTTTATCGCTTGGGTTTTTATTTACTCAATATTTATACAAACAATACAATTTGGCTTTTTAAGAAAGAAACAACCTGTAAAATCAAAATGAATCATCAAAACTGACAGAAAGACAAAGTTAATACTTAATTCTACTGTGCTCTTTTATTTTTTAATGTTAACCGATAGTAAGAGCAGCAAATAGAGATTGCACTTGATTAACATGTAATTCTGTCAAAAATGCTGTTAACATTAAAGCAAACCAACCGATCGTACTCGTTTTAAGTATAAATTCCTAAATGAACCATACAATAATAAAATTCATGGTCCTAAGCAACAAAACATACCCATGTGCGATCAATGAAAATTGAAAATAACAAATAATCTTGAAGACTAAGTGCACATTGATATCTCCATAAGTAAAATATCACTATCGTCAACGGTGAATGTAAAATACTTAATTGTAAAGTCTAGAAAAAAGAACACAAGAGAACTATTTTATTAAATATAAATAATATGAATTCAAACCTTTTGTTGTAATGTGTCTGTTTGCGAATCAAGTAACTGTTCATAGAGACGAACATATCGATCCCAAAAAAATGCAGATATCGAATAACGTAATGAAAATACTAACAATGTTATAAATATAGTTCTTTTTGTTTCAAGTAAATTTGAACTTAGATCATTTTTTCTCGGCGATGAAGCAGCATGTGAGCATGATTGATCATCTTCAAGATTTAATATCATTAAATCGTTATCTTCCCTACTTCCATCACTTGCTGATGAACCTGGTGATACGCTCGAATTTATTGTCGCTGTCGATTTTGAACGAAACGGACGTTCCTTATAAAAATAAAGTAAACAACCAATAATAAGACATGTACCACCTAGTATGTCACTGAGTGCATCAACATAATAGCCAAAATCGCCATAGTAAGATTTATAACGTTTATTATTTGAATGTGCACGAAAAACCACACCATCAAGACAATCAAGAAAGGTACGAAATTGGAAAATCAGTACACCTAATTGACGTCGAGAAAATGATTCACTTGCAACGAACTTCATTGATACAACTGACAAAAAACAATGAAAAAATGATACAGCATTTGCTGATATAAATGGAAAATAGTATGTAAAATGTAATTTTGTTTCAACGCTTTCAGCTAAGGGCGAACGAACATAATGGATCTATGTAGATAATAAAAACAATAAATCTCGTTTCTTTTTTTATCATAAAAACCCTATTAATAATTGCAATACTTACAATTGGTTCAACCATAATCTTTTTTATTGGCAATGGATTGAATATATAAACTGAATGAATGGCGCTTTGAGTATTTGTTTGATTTGATGAGTTGAAATCGAGTGGATCTCTTGTACGAATTTTAAAGTAAAGGATGATATCCATAATTTGTAAATATATTAAAAATAATATAAACAATGAATAACTCGGATAAGAAATCAGACGGTGAAATGCACGAACACAAAAATGTCCATGCTGATGAGCAGGTCGTGCTGGACCCGAGCCAATACTTAATTTACGTACGTCGACGACCATCTGTAATTTATATTCGAAAAAAAAATCATCAATCACCCTTTTAGAAACAATACCGATAATAGACTAGAATAAAAATTCTATAATCTTTGTCATGTGTCAATAGTAGAAAATGTTCTATCTAAGTGAAAAAAGAATCGGATAAGAGAATACGCATATTCAGATGTCAGACCATCATCAGCTGCTCCTTTTTCCATCGCTAAATATCTTTTTAAATGGATTTTGTTGTTCTCTTCTTTTAATTCACAAAATATAGATATACTACTCATGAGTAGTAGAGGATGAAGAAGGCGAAGAAAGAACGAGAGAAAAAAGACAAGAGAAATTAACACAGCACTTACTTGAACAATGCATATCTGCTAATGGTCGATAACTTTTATCACAAGTTACTACTTACATACCTTACCATATTGTTTGATGAAGTAAACTCAAAAAAATTTTCTTTTTCTCTTAATTTTACCTTTCTGTTCATAACAAGTATATGGAGTCGGAAGTATNGATGAAGAAGGCGAAGAAAGAACGAGAGAAAAAAGACAAGAGAAATTAACACAGCACTTACTTGAACAATGCATATCTGCTAATGGTCGATAACTTTTATCACAAGTTACTACTTAGATGCTGTTTAGTAATTACCTGATCAGATGGGCGGTTTTATTTTTGGAACGAACAATATCTTTGAAATGTAGCATGTAAAAAACTAAAAAATCACGGAAGATAATTGACACGCATAAGTAAGCAAGTCATAGATATACATATGTAACTGTTTTCTTCTGGATTTGATAGGCAAATTTTTAGATGAAATATTATACTCTGTAGATGCTCTTCCTGGAAGATCCGTTCGAAAGTATATTCTATTTTCAATAACTATTAGAAAAGAAATTTCATCTTTTCCTACGAAGAAAAACTTTATCGAACAAGCAAATTAGTTTCCTAAAAGATTAAATATTCAATAGATTGTAGGTTTCCTTATAAGAGCCTATAGTGATATAGTAAACCTTGTGGTTTATCTTTTTTTTTCAAATAACTGGTCGTCATGATCAACATTTTCAATTATTTCATACATTCTACACAAGAACGTAGTATGCATTCGATTTAGAATAGTTACGAATAATAGTGAATCAATTCACTAATACCACGACATTCTCATTCCAGATGGTGATAAGCGATGTACTGTGTACACCTCTTTTGTACTTAATATTCTGACTGAGGAAAATCGTCTAATCTATCAAATATTTTCTATAGCTTAGGATAATTTTTTATACGAAAAAATTTACCATAAAAGCAACCTTTAAGTTCAATGATTACTCATTGAATATTCGAATCAATGACCATTTGCGTCTTGATTAGTTATCTTCTTTTTTTAATGTAGTTTGACCTTTATCAATAGAATAAACTATAAGAGCACTCTTGCGAATGCAGGATAATTGAACAATTCATTACATACCTTACCATATTGTTTGATGAAGTAAACTCAAAAAAATTTTCTTTTTCTCTTAATTTTACCTTTCTGTTCATAACAAGTATATGGAGTCGGAAGTATCTTAATAGTGAAACTCATAAAATTTAGCGAGTTCACAGAACAAAAGAACAAAAAATAAATTTTCCTTTTCTTTTCTTATTGACGACCGAAGTAATTATCCGTGTGTTTACGCCGGTAAGTGTCAAGGACAAAGTTGAACAACAAACGACCATCTAGTGTCCATTAAATTCATATGAGAAAATGGGTATCTATATGTATGTACGATTCGACAGCTAACACAACGAGATGTACAAGAAGTTTACTTTGAATCAAGTATTATTATCAGCGGTAGAAAATGGCGTGATCGTAGAGTTGACTGTTAACCTTAGAAAAGAGAAGAAAAGACTTCAGCAAGAATAAATAATTTTTTTCATAGGCGAGCACAATTTTTTGTTTTCTTTATTTGATATTGTGTCATTTCTTTGATAGTAAAAGCAAACAAACCAATTGATGACTCATGTTTAGAACAGCCAAATATATCTTGTTACGGCAGTGTTTTTCTTGTTCTAAATGTAATTATTTGAATCGAGAAAAGACGAGAACTGAAATTGTTGTCTTATTATGTTGGCTATCGGTAAATAATAAAAAAACGAAAAATGATTGCATACAATCCAAGTATACTTTAGTTTTTTTCAAATTCAAATCAAAAAACGAGTCAAGAAAAACAAATGATTAGGCAATTAATGTATTTCTTGATCAACTTGTATCCATCGTGTTGTCAGTGGGCTTTTTTTCTTCAGTTCCTTCGTTCGATTTTTTAAAATGTTTTTCCATTGCTTGAGCAAAGGCCTGTATGTCACCTTCATTTGCAGCGGTTATTGCTTCGTCTGGTAAACCAAATTGAGCCAAAACTGGTCCTAATTGTCCTGTTTGTAAAGCTACACTAAACGAGACAAAGTGAAAAAAAGAACAAATATTTAATTCTAATGAAAAAGATGATCAGACAAACCTGAATGTACCAACAGCTTGTCGAAACTGTGGCGATTGAATTGAATCTCTCAATTCTTTTTCTGAACCTGTTATTGTACTACCTTCAGGCAAATGAGCTCGTAAACTTTCTTGAACATCTTTATTGCTTAATATTGGAATTAAATTCTAAGAAGATAAAAACAAAGAATATTTCTTCTGATTAAATAATAAAATTCACCTCAGTAGTCATTATATCATAAAGATCAATAGCTGGTTTATTAGCGGGTGCTGCACCAGTAGCTTCTTGTGTTGTACTTCTATCGCTTAAATTAGCCAAAATATTTGAGAGTGCACTCAATTGAATAGCACCACTTTTCGATGCACCAGCCGAACCTGTAGTTGCTGCAATTTTTGGAGCAGCAGGAGCAGCAGTAGGAGCAGTTGATGGCGATGAACTTGTTCCAGCATTACGAGGTTTCGATGATGAACCACTCGGACGATTGCTTGAAGTCGATGTCGTTCCACCGGTAGCTGTTGCAGCTGCTGCTGCTGCTGCAGAAGTACGAGTTCCAGCAGGTGCTGTATTTGGACGTGAATCCGGTGTTTGTTGTGAAAATGCATCTAGAACAGATGTTGCGTGTTGATTTGATGAACCAGGCAATACTCTACCACGATGACTACCTTGCATTAAGCCAGAAGCACCACCACCGCTTCCAACAGAAGATAACAATGATGCTAAGTCACTCGGATTCATTCCTATATTTTAGAACAATCAACAAATAGTTATTTTAATGATGAAAATAGTAACTCTTTACCACGCAACACATTGGATAAATCATTCGGATCAATACCACCTGCTCCACCGCTTCCAGTCATTCGATCCATTAGAGATTGTAATGGATGAGCACCACCGCCTAATCCACTAGTTCCACTGCTGTCATCACCGAATCCTGGTGTTGGTGGATGATTTAGCTAATCAGAAGGAAAGTATTGTCTTACACTATATTAAAATTTAAAAAAGAGAGATTAATTTTACCAGATCGTTGATTTTTTTACACCATTCTTCATCTTTATCGTCTTGTGACTCTTGCATCCAAAAGAATAATTTCCGAGCATTGCTTCTCCATTTAAGTATAAAAACACGACCTGTGAATGCAAATGATAGTGCTTCTTCAAAGTCATTGATTCAATATTTCTTACCTGTAGTATTTTGTGTAACCTTTTTAAATTCAATTTCATCGGGAAATATAACCAGATCGTCTTCTGGTGTATTATTGGATCGTTCTTTCCAACAGAAATGCATTAACATATCATTCCCTTGATATAAATAGACAAGACCTTTGCGTTTATCTGGATGGACCTACAATGTGAAAAAAAAATCAATGAATAGCAACAAATTATTACGACATTTTATGTAACACACCATTGTACCACGTAGATTCATTTTTCCTGCTTTAAATTCGACTAAATTTCGACTACGAGCTTGCGATGCAGCTCCACCGAATAACGACATTGTTTATTCAAGTTTAGAAATTGAGTAAATCTAAAAAGTAAATGTTGCAAGAAAATCAATGGATCTATGGACAAACACAAATGAAAAGATGTACAGAGGAATATTTATTTGCAATGATTAATTCTTCCCATAAGCCAATGATAATTTCATCGATAGAGGTCGCATTAGTACTACTAGAACATATAATTTATTTTGGATGCTTTCACAATAGCCAAGAAAAAAGGTTTGGACCTTGAAATTTCTCAAGGATACTCGATCATAGTCATAAGGATTGTTTCGAAGAGTAAAGTGGTGGTGTAAGAACTTGTTTCAGCTCTGGCACTTAGGAAAAAAGTACACTCTTCTGTCTTTTTTTTTGAATATTTTATAATAAAAGAAATCGCTATAGAATTTTGGTATGTAACAGAATGAAGCAGAGCTACTCATGGTAATGTGTGGCAACAGACGCATGTTCAAATAAAAAGACTTCCACGATTCGTACACGTCCGACATGCACGTGTATCAGAAACTATGTTCAATCGTGTTGACTTTAACAAGCGATAGGAAATAACAAGGTTATTCATCGTAGTTTTGTGTGGTTTATACCTATAACTTCGACTATAATTCTCTCATTTTGAAGTTGAAATGATACAAAAAATTATATATATATATCAAAATTTTACTTGAAGATCAATCAAAATGATCTTTTCAATAAGGGCATCTGGTAAACTATTGATTACATCTGTATATATATATATATATATATACTTATCTGATATTCATCAATATACGAATAGAATTTGAATGTGCCAAAATATCATCTATCGAAAATCGTAGTGCATTTTGCGTGGTAACAACAGTAAAACTAATTGAAATCATCGTCTTTGAGTTCGATACTATAGAGTAGAATTCGAGTAACAATAACATAAACTGCTGTCAGTCTAAAAACATAGCATAATTGCAAAAGGTCTCGATGATGTTTATTTATCTCATTTTTGATTAATTTCAAGTATATTATGATAATAACATCTGTAATTACTTCTACGAAATATAAAAAGAAATATGAAGCAGAGAAACAATAGAAGATCTTTCAGATTTTATTACAAAAGTTTGATTCGTAAAATACAAAAAAAGAAAAGATTTCGTCCTAATTATTTTTTTGTCACAGCAACCAACTGCGTCCTTATTTGTGAAGGATCAGACAGAAAAAAAGTTACTTTGCTATTTTATTATCTGAAGTTTTTCTTGTTCTTATACTTGATTATGAAAGTGTAATATTAATCGACTCTTAATGTTAATACTTTTAATCATAAGCCAAGTAGATTGTTTCAAATTGGTCGCACGTTTTTGTGATTTTTATCTTTGCATTTGATTATAAAATATTCATATCAATTTGAACTTATCTTTTTGTAGCATATTACAAATATCGAATGTAGTTTACAGCACAAGGCATCAAATTTTCATTACATCTTTAGTTATAAAGAATCAGGTAATGTTTTTTCTGCCTACACCCGACGAAAGGTAATTTAAAATAAGAGTACAACAATGCTAATATTCGATATTTCTATCATAGAAATTCGTATAAATAATAGTTGTGTCTCAACGAGTCTAAATATATTATTCTACATCGAGAAATAAGTTTCATACGCATTTAAACCCATGCAATCGGGAGGAAGCTTGATTGAATCTGTTTTTGAATATAAAATGTTATACAGAATCGAAAAACAGTCGATAATGCGCACAGAGAAATATTTTATTCTTTCATTATTAAAAAATAAAAAAATCGATTCAATTACTTTATTTCTATATACTTTATTTACAAACATGCCATGGTATCGGGAAACATGCGGAGACTATATTCATGCTATGAAATTTTTATGCGCTAACGTTTTACATGAAATATAGATCGATTCTTTGCGACATATTAATAAATGCAGACTAATTTATTTACTATCAATGCCAATAAAATTTTCTTCACGATTGATTTTCTAAACAAACGATCTCTCGTACGTATATAAATAAGCTTGTTTCCTTAATATCAATATGACATCTATATATTTCGCCATGATAAGCTATATATTTTCACCCATAGGAAGAGCATAGAACACATTCATTACCGAAAACAGTAAGCTGTTATACGATTAGGTCTTTTGGTCTTGTACAACATTAAAAATATTTAGAAAAATATACATGATTACAGGATTAGTCATCGTCTTCTAGGCGAGATTTTTTCATCGCTGAATCACGAGTTTTAGTGGTCGAACCTTTGGTAAATTCAGCTGATTCTTGTTTTGTTAAATCAAAATCACTTTCATCGGACGAATCATCGTCAGTATTACTCGTATACCTGGGATCTTTAGATGGTTTCCATTCAATATCACCAGGAGATTCACTACTTTCTATAATAAATATATGATCAAAGTCAAATATATTTTTTTCTAGACAATGTACCTTCTTTATCAGAAGCACAGCTACTACCGCCAGTTGTTTCATCATCGATAAAACTGTCATTATAATCATATTCATTCGGTAAGCCATCATCGTCGTCGTCGACTTGACTTGCTGAAAGGTAAATAGTGTTTTTACACGTATGTATCAATAGACAAGTTACTTTTGCGTTTTCTTGTGCTTCGTTTATCTTTAATTTCAATAGAACTTCTTTTAGAATGATGATATTGATTCAGATGTTCAAGATTTTTTCTATAGCATTCATGACCATAAGGACATTCAGGTTTTGCTTTATTTTTATCATTTTCTTCATTATTCCAATCAAGATCACCAGGATGACTAGCTTGCTGACGATGAGTAGCATTTTTCCTATAGCAAGATTCTCCAAATACACATTGTTCTCTTTTAGTAGAAGTAGCAGCTGTTGATGATGTCTGATTGTCTGTACTTGAATCGACATCATTAGATATACTAGTTTTTTCTGTAATAAATATAGAATTGATATCATTATATGAGAATGACGAACGAGAAACTTTCAACCTGTTGAAGCAACAGCAGTAGATTCATCATTCTCATACGTGATTTCTTTGGTCTTTTGTCTTTCAGAATCTAATTCATAGATAATATTGATAAAAACTCAGACAAGAACAAAATAATAATAAGATATTTACATATTTGTTTCTTCGCCGATGCAGCAGTGTCTGTTGCGTCTTTGTCTTGTTCTTTATCTCGTTTTGATGCTGATATCGAACTATTCGATATCCAAATTGGTAGTGCACGAGTTTTACTTGAATTAGAACTAGTTTTTGATTCCATTTTTTTCTCGTCATCGTCTTCGGTGGCTAATACTTCATTCAGTTGAATTGGAGATTTTGGTATTGTTGTTGAATCGATTATCGGATCTGATTCAAGAGGTTTTTCTAATTCTTGATCGTGTGATTTAATTGAAACTTGATAAAAATATTCATCTGGCAGAAGACCAAATTGATCATTATCATGTAGTTGATATTCTTTATCTTTCTTTAGAGTAACTATTTGATTTGCTTTTGTTTTATAAAACGTTGGATTATCATGTATCGATTTTATCCATAATGTTCCATCGGATTTTATGAATAACTGGGCATGATTACGAGATATTCTATTATCCATACAACCTGTATGTAATGTACGGCCGATTGTGGTTGTTACAGTGTCATCAAGATTAATATGGTTGCCTTTACCTAATGGAATTAATTCTACTATAGGCATTTCTGTTTAATTGAGAACGTTTTTCATTATGAAATACATACATTTTATAAGTTTTGCCTAGTCAACTAGAAATTTCAACATTGGTATGTAATTACAATATAGATTCGTCGAAAAAGCAGAGAATAAGAAAAATATTTAATAGAAAATAAAAATCTTCATACAATTCAAGTTCAATTGATTCAAAATATACTTACAATCGACACCGAATGAATGCAATAAAGATATCTCGTCGTTTTAACTTATTCGATATCTCTGGTAAGAACTGCCATCTATATACTATCTGTTGATTATATAGTATAGTATATAAAGAAGTATCAAATGGTAATAGATATTCTTGAAGCAGCTAAATTAGCTTTTGATGATAAAAAATATCGGCATACATTTAATGTAATATCTAAATTATATCAATATTGCCTAACTCAATACAGTAGTACCTATTCTGGTGAAAGGATACCTTTAAGAAATTTGCTTAATCTAATTTTGTAATTCAACATCTTTTCAAGGAATTAAATATCTGAATTAATAAATGTTCTATCTTTTAATTCAATATATATTATCACTTTTAACAAATGGCTATCAATGGATCTATCGACTTATCTAATTAAGTTAAACGTAATCTATAATTGAAAGAGTATATATGAGCTGGGAATGACGATAAATGATAGGAAAAAGCTAGTTTAAAAAATATCTTGGGTGTGAGTGTGGGTGTGAAGAGAGATAAACATACCCATACCCGCACCCTCAAGATATTTTTCTATTACTTTAATTATTAATTAGATATAACTTTGTTGTTAGGTAGTGTTATTTAATCATTAAATATAAATTTATTTTAAAATTAGATATAGATTGCTATATTTTTAGGTATTGGTTTATATTTACCCCAAAAATATCCACCGATGATAAAAACATCTATAAACCTGCAACGAATCCTTCGAACCCTTGAGAAAATATTTTGTACTTTACTCCTACATCACAGCAGAAAAGAATAATCAACGTATCATTAATTACAAAAATATATATATATATATATATATATATATATATAAATGTGACACGTAATGATTCATGTGAAACACTTGTATTGAATAGCATATCGAAATAAATACAAAAATTCTCGTTGAAAGGTTCCATAGAAAAAACATTCACAAGTAAGTCTTAATCTTCGCTTCCGTGAGTATGTATAACTTGATTTTTTTATCATACATATATTTTTACATGAATTCTCATCGTATGTGATTCCTTAATCATTCGTATTTTTGTAGAATCAGAAAAAGGTTTCACAAAAATTATTCAAATCATTCTTTTTTTCAAATAGAAATGAAGAGCTTTTTTCACCAGCATACTTTGTAAGTACCACTTGAGCCAAACGTAAATAGAATCAACTTTACATTAGTTACTTTCGGTCAGTGAGTTTTCTCCTTTTTTCAAGTATTCTCATAAGAAGAACAAAAGCATAAATGGAAATGGTGTATGCTTACGTATGTTATAAACAGATGTATATAGTCTTGAATCAACACCATCATGATGCATGTCTCATATTTGTATTTCTTTCTTTTTTCTCTCCCTTTTCTCCTAGGTCTATTACGCTTATAATATGTATGCACGTAAATATAAAGATAAGGGCGGAAAACAAAAAGAATGTTAACCTTTGGCACAGAGTTAACCATGCATAATCAATCATGCCGAGCTTTGTTTGTTGTAAACGAGCTGCATTTTATTATATTTTTCTCAGTTTTCGATCGTTGTTCATGCTGAAAATTATAAAAATTATATTTTATATCGATTAATAAATGAGCCGTATCAAATTACATTTTTTTAGAGTTTGTTTTGATGTTTTCAATCGAAATACATTTGACAATCAAACACTATAGGAGTCATTTCGAATGAATTTTTTTATTTCTAAAACAGTTGATCAGAAACAAGAAAAGGTCTCGTCAAAGGTTTGTATCCAGATAAATATATATATATATATATATATATAGCACAAAAGTGAATAAATGTTTTTCTTCAAATGACTACAAGAGAACAGGAAAAAAACTATATACAAGTAAGAATCGATCGCATGATGTTATAACTCTATGCTCGTCATATTTTAATGGTCTTTTGCTATTTTTACTATAAACCACAAATATATTTATAGAATATCGTTTCAAATTACATGAAACACTTAATTTTGATATCAAATTACAAATCATAGTTTTGTTTATTTCTTATTAAATTATAGATGAATTTTGATGCAAATTTGGATAATTATTTTGATGAAGATGTTGAATTAACATCTGAAACCGATCAAGGTGGTATTGTAATACCTAAACAAACATGTGAACACGTTCAATACGTAAGATTAGTTGAAGGATTCAGTCCTCTTAATAATAAACAATGCATCGATTGTGAAAATACAATTGAAAATTGGTTATGTTTATCATGTGGTGAAATTCATTGTAGTCGTTATATTAACAATCACGGAGAAGGTCATTGGTTATTTACGTTACTTACAGATGAAAAATATAATATTGGTCATTGTTTAACAATAAGTCTTCAAGATTTATCTGTTTGGTGTTATCCATGTAAATCCTATATAAAAAATGTACGTCTTATTCCATTAATGAAACATCTTGAAAGAATTAAATTTGGTTTATTATCAACAAAAGAAAATCAAAATCAAGTGAATTCAAATGCAATTACTAAATCGGTTGTAAAAAGAAATCTTGAAAATCCATCAACAATAATTGCTGTGCAAGATCTTTCATTGTTAGATGAACTTGAAAAAACTGATCTTCTATCATATTGTTATACACTGAAATTTCGTTCAGCATCCATTGATGAACTTGTTTGTTTACATTCAAGTGATTATGTTAATATGATTGTATTAGCTGAAAAAAATCATTTAAATATTTCAAACAATCATTTCGATTTACAATACGATGAAACAACTTTTTCTGAGGCACGTATAAGCGCTGGAATAACCATTGATGTCATACAAAATGTTCTTAAAAATCATATAAATGGTTTTATACTTCTAAAATCACCTGGTCACCGTGCTGTACGTCATCATGGAAATGGAACATCAATATATAATAATGTAGCATTAGGCATTAATAGTGTTCTTATGGAAAAATCCAAATGCAAAGAACGAAAACGTTCCTTGACATTGTATGATTCAAATAATTCTTTAGATATGCAAGGTGCAACACCCATTGAAAATGCTATTTGTCATATGATACATATATTAAGTCCAGCATCGGCAGTCGATCATCGAATCAATTGTAAAGCGTCACCGGCAATTATCGATACAAATAATAATAAAATTCAAATTGAACGTGTACTTGTTATTGATTTAACATGTGAACATGGTAGTGGAATTCAATCGATCTATTATGAATCTAATCAAGTTTTTTATATATCAATACATGGCGACAACCATCAAGCCGAATGGAATTATCGTGAATGTGGAAAAAATGATGGACTTGGCTACACGATGAATATTCCTTTATCGTCTATAGATAGTATTGATGATAAAGATTATATTACTATTATCAATGAACTTGTTTTACCTATTACAAAAACATTTAAACCCGAATTAATTGTTGTTTGTGTTGATTTTCATGTTCAAACGTTAACTCCACTATGCTACGCTTGGATTATTGAACAATTAAGTTTGATTAGTAATAGTAAAGTTGTTGTGGCTTTTGATGGTAATTTATCATCGATATCTTCAACGGTAACGTATGTTCAAACTGTACTTTCTGTTCTTATTGGAAAATTATCAACAATTAATAATGATAAATGGGAAAATAATATTAATGTTCATAGTGACGTTCGTCAAAAAATCGATCTTATCAGACACGAACATAGAAAGTTCTGGCCGTGCTTTACATAATTGTAATTTGTTATGAAATGCCTTTTTGTTTCATTTTTCAAAACGTTTTTCTTTTTTGTATATAGCAAATTCATTTGTATATTTACTAAATATTGGTATGATAAATAATTGATATTTGTTGTTTTCAAAAGTACTTTAAATAGAAACATGAAATAAAAATTCAATTATTCTTTGAAGTGTATACAATTGATCTATTTTCGAAATAAGAAATGTTTCAATATCAATTGAAACAAAATAATTTCATTAAATATCAAAAGATAACAATGGAATATTTGTAATTTAATTTTAAACAGAAAATAATTACAAAGGAAAATATTCGCTCATTTGTCAAACTTCAGTCGTTTAAACAAAGAAGAATTCTGATAGAATGAGAACTTGATGATAACGCCTTATGTGTTATTAGAAGTAAAATTAAGAAAAAAAACTTATCTGTCTACATACGAAAATACGAAGCGAAATATTAAACAATATGAAATTCTACCTATATTTTTCAATGAATGAATTAATTCCTATAGAAATCAGTATTTCGAAACTACAATTTTGCGATTAAGACGACAGTATAGTACCATGTTGATGGAACTAAAACATATCACTAACATGTAGCTATTGATTTTAACCATAAAACTATTGATTTAGTTCGCTATCTTCTTAGTTGGTATTTCACAGATGAAACGAACAAAAGCTATAACGAAATTTTGTTAGTATGCAGTCTTTTGTTAGATATCCATGAAGTAATTATGTGACGATTTGACGCTCTCCTCTATCATAAGATATGGAGTCGGTGCGGTGCAAAATTTGACCCTATCTATTTTAACATCCATTTTTTCGATTGTATTTCATAAAATTGACCACAATACTATTCTATAAAACAACGATTTTGAATCTACATGAAAGATCTGATGGTATTTGTCTATTCGTATTTCAACTTTAGTACCATTACCCAAAAACAAGGGACAATTTCATGTCAAGACTTTCGCTCCATAGATTATGTAGGTCGATTCACAATCAATACAAAACGTATAGCATAGAATATATGAAACAATGAATCATTCATTGGTTCAAGAGAAAATGACTATTATTCCATAAATAAAAAATCCATTCTAAGCATACTAATATGATAAAATGTTCTTTGTAAAAAAAAAGACCTCTAGAAGTAAAATGCGATGGACACAACAAACTAAGAATAAAAATATCCTTTATATCAAATACTTTGTTAAATCTAGTGTTTTTCTTTTTATTCAAGTAATTTACATAATGAGATTTATTTTCAAAATTTTCTTTTAAGATCGATTTGAATAAAGATTTCAAGAAATACAAATGTGTATATATATATATATATTCTAATGTAATACGAAAAACTATGAACCACGTGTGTGTTATTGTTGCTAGTCTATCTGATTTGTATACAAATGGCAGGCAAACGAAATGACACGTTAAAGTCGATATCTTTCTTTTATTTTTTCTTTTTCTTCTTCTTTATTTTCGGCATTCGATTATATAGCGAGAAGAAATTTTGTTATAAGCCGTACTGTACAGGCCAGTTTAGTACATAGAAACAGTTAGTGCAACCATGATGTCGACATCAATTGATCTTCATAATAATATTAATAATGGACGATCCTTAAGAATTGTTTCTACAAACCGACTCTTTACTAAAGTTAGAACTGAACAATCAACTGAATCAAGTATTTCATTTTTCTACTTATATTTAATCGGTATTTTTAAAGAAAATTATTTATCGTTTTAGTATTACCATCGATAATCGATGCATCGAGTTTATTTTCTGATCATCATCTTGACGTATTTTCAAAAGATGAATCAATACTTAATGAAACAACAATGATACCAACATCGCCATCGTCGCCATCAACATCATTTGTTGATTTTCATCATAATTTATCAACATCAACACCGTCAACACCAACATCATTTTCACCATTACAACATGATCATAGTTATGGTTTATCGACAAATTCTTCATCATTGCTGCCATCACCATCGTCACCTAATACATTAACATCGCCCGATTTAGCGATTAATAATACAACAACAATAGATTCATCAAATCGTTCAACGTGGCCACAAATTAATTGTCGAGCATTAAGACCTGATGATTATCATATGTTACTTGAATTATTATCATCAAATACAAACAATGATTCGCCACCGACTTGTTTTGGCTCAGCACTTATTGATCCAACAACGCCAACACCCTATTCGGATGCAACGCGCACACAACCAAAGAAACGTGTACGCCCTGGCCATGTTAAACGTCCAATGAATGCATTTATGGTTTTTTCACAAATTGAACGTCGAAAAATTGTTCAACTTGCACCGCATTTACCAAATGCTGATATCAGCAAGTAAGATTGTGATGAAAACACGAAATTTTTAAAATTATAGGCATTTATTTTAGATGTTGCGGAGCGAAATGGAAACGAATGTCATTACGTGAACGACAACCATACATGGAAGAATCCGAACGATTAAAACAACTTCATGCACGACAATATCCAACTTATAAAGTAATTTGCTGTTAATATATTGAGATTTTACGTGAAAAAAAGAGCCATAAAAAATCGATCCCTATAAAAATCAAATTTTCCAAAGCAATAAGAAATACCCCTGCTACACCTCCGAGAACAGAAGAAAGCTGCTATCCAAAAACCCACTGTTGAAATATTCTGTAAATTCTTCCTACATTCTATGAAAGTGACTAACAACGATCATCTAATACTATTGCCAGTCGATTGATCATAATGGATAATGTAGAAAGGTCTCTTTTGATTTGATTTGATTTATCATAATTTCTTCTTCAGATTTAATCGTCTTCCTCAGTGGATTATCCTAAACATTTATAGTAGCTATAGAATACAGTGATGATGAAAACTGCAACTTGGGATTCGATCAGCGAAACATTTTACTAATATCGATCATGACCCATTGAATCATAATAATTTTGAACAAAAACTTTGTTCTTGTGTTACCTCAAATATATGCTTTCCACATGAGTGAAGTAAAAACGTGCGTCATATATCGTTTTTGTTTTATGTTTAGTATCAACCACGAAAGAGAAGCAAAGCTAATCAACCATTAAATCCACCTACTCGATCAGCAGCTACTGCTTCATCATCATCTTCACCGCCTCCATCTACTATTCTAACTACAATTCCTTTACAATCATCTATTATTATGAAAGATCAACCACAAACGCCTCCGCCATATTTATCACAACCATCGTCATCCTCAGCATCATCGTCACCAGGATCAAATCCAAATGATCCAATATCACGTTTAGTCGCAACTTTATTTGATCAAAAACTGGCTATGTTCGCTAGTAATTTTCAACAATTTAATATTGATCAATTACAATATCATTTTACACCACCGAATGCTCAAATTTATCCAACATCAACATCAACACCATTTGATCCTATCATTTTTCTTGCTAAACAACAAGAACATCGACTAGTTTAAATTTATCTAAGCGTTTACAACGTAGATTTACACATTTACATATATATACATATATATACATATAAGAGTAAAACTAGACGAAACAACAATGCAGGAAAACGAAAAATTTTACTTTGCTTTTTTTTCACGTTTTATTTTATTTTCTTGTGTTTTGTATGATATGTGATTTCTTCTTTCTTTTTTTTCTCCTTGGATCTTGCTCTACAGTTCTGGTTTTGTTTGTTCTTGGGTCGTATCATAGTTGGAACTTGCATCTTTATCCATATGAAAAACAAAAGAGATCTCGCTGGTCATTTTTTATTTTATTAATACAATAAAACGAAACAAAAAAAATATGATTCGTATTATTAATTTTATACAATATCACTTCCACGATATTAAGAGGAGTTGAAAAAACAATATTAAACTATTTTCTATCCAAAAAGGATTTTAACAGATTGTTTAATCAATCAAATACAGAGCAATTCTATTAAAAAAGTTATGGTTAACAAAGTTAAATCTCAATATAATAGTACAAAAATTTATTTTCTCGATTGCTTTTCAATCGCTGACATGAACTTAAAATGAGGATTTTCTTGTTTATGCTGGATTTAAACCCGTCAACTTCGCTCAATATTGTAATGTAGCCTGCAAATCGAAGGTGCACTGAAATTAATTTTAAAATCATTTTTCTTGTTTCTTGAAAGCGATTGTCGACATATTTCTGAAGTTTCTTCTGCATTCGTAATTATTATCTACAATGATTTCAATTTCACTATTACGCTTTTCTAATGATTAATCATTTTATGTTCGAACAATAGTTTTCAGAGAGAAAAATAGTTATATCTAACAGATTATTCATCTACCGTAAAATGGTTCAAATAGGTGTGAGAAAGCCTAACAATTTTGTGTGAATAGCCAATTTTCTCTATCGTATTAAATTGAAATCAAAGAGTACTTTTATATAATTTTATTACCAACAATTTTACTTTCTATTTCTTGTTGTTGCTTTTTTTATCCGTTCATTATTAGCTAGCCATATAAATTCTCTTATTCGTCGTCGATATTGATCTATTCAAACAAGACTAAAACGAAGCCGAAAAGAAAAAACAAAATGAAGGAATAACAACATAGAACGCACTGTAAAACAGCTTCTCTTTTCTTATTTGACTATATTCGCACTATTCCTTTTCTTCTATTCTTGTTGTCCACTTTCATCATTTCCATCTTTTGACCGCACACATACAACACATCTAGCATCTTTTCCCCTCGCACTCATCGGATCACCATCTAAAGAAATGTTTACATCAACTAGCCAAACTAGTTTTAATCCGACAAAAAAGTTAAACATCAATGCTTCGACATCATCACATTCTCAAATAGCAACATGTAAACTATTCGTTGGTAATTTAGCAACGCATACAACAGGCGCACATTTGCAAACTATATTTCATTCATATGGACAAGTAATTGAATGTGTTAAAGTACGTGAACGTTACGGTTTCGTACGATTCGCAAATGGTGAAGAAGCGCAACGTGCTTTAACTGCTTGTAATGGCGTGCAATTAAATGGATATCCAATGATTGTTGAATATGCACAAAATGAAATTCTTATTAGTCCGAAATCGCCACGAACCAATAGTACGGGTTCATCAGCATCATTTCGACCTCATCCATATCATGCTGGACGATCAGCTATGTCATATCAGGTAAGTTAATTGTTTTTTTGTAGTAAAATTAACATAAAATACTCTTTTGTATATTCTATTAAAAGGCTGATGCAAAATTAACAACACCCATAACAATAAATACAAAACCTCATCAATCAACCAATCATACGAATCGTGATGATATACCATTATTATCAGCTGCAACAGCAGAAACAACGAAATATTCTTCATCGAAACTTAATCCTGATGCATCATCGTTTACGCTTCCATTTTCGCCATCGAATCATTATCAACAAAGTCGTACTAATAGCAAAACTGTTAACATTGAAAATGTCTGTTCAACAAGTGATTATCATTCACAATCAGGTGTATTATCAAGTGGTTCATCATCAATTCGATCTTCGAGTTCTGTATCGCCATCGATACTTTCAGCTATTTCTCCATCGAATTTATTACCATTTGAATCATCAGATGAAGAGAAAAAACCTAGTCGTTCTACAAATATTATTGAAAAACGTCCAACAACTAATTCCTCATTAAATATTTTTATTGGTGATAAAATTCTTAGCTTATACGGTTCCACAACACAAGTTGATACAAATAATAATCAAGCAGAAACAATGAATTTAAATTGCCCTGCTGAAAAATCTACACCATTACAATTTGATAGTCGTGATATTGATCCACGTGATCCGATATTTATTTGGAATTTCGTATTTTATCCTGATGTCTCAATAAGTCCATTCGTTAAACGTGGAGATATAAAATCATTACTTGAACGTAGAGTTTCACTCTATGCACAATAGAATTTCCTTTATTTTTCTTCTTTTCACTAATATTAACTGCTGGTCAGTAAGAATTGATTCACTGATTTTCTTCTCGTTCGTTAGTATGTTCGTATATTTATTAATTCTCGTGTTCAATTTCAATGTGTGTGTGTGTGTGTGTGTGTGTGTGTGTGTGCTGGTCCTATGTGTCCTGCAGTTTTTTTCTTTTCCTATTTTCCCAAAACACTCAATGGTCATTTTTTTTCTATGTTGAGTTTGCTCTACGTAATCCGCCGCCGTTCTCTTTCCTTGCTAAGAATTTCTCTAAATTATTCATTTATACAGAATCTTTAATATTTTTTTTCTTTTCGAAATCAAAAAAAACTAATAATTGACATTTTCTTTTTCTTCTCTCTTTCTTTTTTTTCCTGTCTTTTTTTTTTATAAACAATCGTCGACTAAGAATTTTCTACGTGTGTATCTGGTGTGAAAGTCTAGGAAACGAAATATGTTCATTTCACGCCGTAATCTATTTTTTCTTTGAATTTAATGATATAACAATGTGTACGATGACAATTATATTAAGAATATATATACGAAATGTTCTTTTCAAAGCTGAACCAATGTTTCTTTCTATCATCTTACTAGAGATCTTGATCATAAAGCCTAATAAGAAACTCAATACAAAAGTAATTTCTTAGAATTTAAAATGTGGAGAAATCAAAAATAAACACAAACAGTAAAATCTATTGATGCTCGTTCTAGTATCAATAAGTATAAACCAACCATATATTGTTGTTTACAACCAGTTCTTATCAAAAAATGTCACAAAATTGATATGTTCATGATATGTCTTTGTGTCGCCAATCATCGAATTGAGAAGAGTTTTTTTGGAATCCATGATTTATTCAAGGACAAGGAAAAACTATGGAATATTATATGAAAAAGAAAGTTTGCGAGTGTGCTTATTAGAAAACACATCTATCATAGAATAAATATAATAATGAATCAAATAGTTATGAACCAATTTTTGTTGCAATTTCTTTTAACTTAAAATTTTGATAAATGCAGACTTGTTGAGTAAATCTTACTACTCCTAATCATACGGTTTGTTTTCCGAATATACAAAATTTTCGATCAACGAAGAGAAAACAAGTGTGCACTACAGATTAATAGCGATCGTCGATATTTTGAACTTTATTGTATTTTAGAATTCTTTGCTTTAAACCGCTTACTATTCTATTCAATAGAAACATGGATGGACTTTGCTATCATGCATACGCTTTACAGGTTTGCACTGCACGCAATTATTGTGGACGAATGTTTTATTTTATCTTTTTTTGTCTTATCTCTAAGTAAATTAGTATTTCTTGTTGTTGCTGTTGTTGTTCGCCCTTGGTACACATTTTAAACTCAACATCGACTATGAATAAAATTCCGGTTGTTGATATATCTCAATTACTAGTAGAATCTTCATTCAATGAAGAAAGTAAACTAGATGTGTCACGTGCAATTCGACATGCATGTGAGACAGTTGGATTTTTTCAAATTGTTGGTCATGGTATTGATCCACAAATTTTCGATTCATTAATAGAAGAAGTTCGTCGCTTTTTTAATCAAACTTCAGAAGAAAAACAAGAATATGCTGTGAATAAATGGAATTCAAAAAATAAAAATGTATATCGTGGCTATTTTCCATCGGCAATCAATGGAAAAGAAGGATTAGACTTGTCATCGCCATATCTTGATCCTGAACATGAACGTGTAAAATCAGGTGATTCATTACATGAAGTCAATCTATGGTCACTGAAAGGAATATTAACTGAATATTGGGATCATATGTGTAAGTTTAGATTTTAATTGAAATCTCTTAGAGTAACCAATAAAAATTTTAATTTTTCTATCAAGGGCGTATTGGAGTTGAACTAATGCGTGCCGTAGCGCGTGCATTTGACTTGGATCCTTCATATTTTGACACATTGCTCGATGATCGATCTTCAGGTGGTGCTGGTTCTCTTTCTACTTTACGTTTTAATTTCTATCCAAAACAAGACAATTCTGTTATAGTATCAGTAGATTCTAATAGTAGTCAAGCTTTATCATGTGAAGAACATTGTGATGGTAGTATTTTTACACTTCTCTATCAATATAAAACCGGGGGTTTACAAGTTGAAATACCCGATGGAACATGGTTTGATGTACCTGTGACGTCTTATGGCCTTGTTGTGAATTCAGGCCGATGTTTAGAACGATGGACAAATGGACTTTTAAAATCAGTAAATCATCGAGTCAAATTCTTGAAAGAAGAACGTATTTCAATTCCATTCTTTCTCGAAGCATGTTATTCAACGCCGATTGCCGTACTTCCGACAATAGTTGAGCCACTGAAATATGAGCCCATTATGTACGGACAATATATCATAGAAAGTAATAAACAATTCAAAGAATATCAACGTGACAAGGATAAGCTGATTTGATAGATATTATTTATTATGAAATCAAAAGTACGAAATTTTCAAATAGGCTGCAGTATATGAATGACTGAAAGATTTATAGTGCTCTCTCTCTCTCTCTCTCTCTCTCTTTTTTTCTTTTTGTCTAAATTAGATTGAATAGATATGTCAAATAAAATTATTTTGTCTTCTATTATTTACTCGCAGAGAAGTAGTAAATATATATTTTTATCTTATACAAAAGAAAAATGACGTTATTTTGCTCAAATCACTGTTCATCGTAATGAATAGAGCTATTTTAAATGTTTATATGAAATTTAGTACAATGATAAATATCAATATCAAAGATAAAAATCTAAAATACATATAATAAGACTTTTTGTAAAGTCCTCAAGTTAGTTTCACATATGTTTACATACATTAAGGCTCATATACGTATGTCAATGTTCTATGTGCTATTCCCTAAATTACTAACGTGCATATTCGACATTTTAGATGCATGATTGATAGGTCGATTTTTAACGTTTTCACCTGTCATAGTATTATGATGACACATAACAAATGGTCATTTTATGTAATATACAATGTTTTATATCACACAATATGATCATCATTTGTATATATATATATATATATATATGTGTGTGTTATCTATTATTAATTATTATTTGTGTGGTTTCGCTCTCTTTTTTTATTTGTTTTGAAATCAAACCATGCTTTTAAATGCTAATATGCTTGAGAATCCTATTTGTTTTAATCATTGTAACGAATTTACGCATAGATGCATTCATTTCATCATGATTATCTACTCATCAACATCGTGATGATTATCATGATCATCATCAATCTAAAGAGAGGGAGAAAAAAAAGAAAAGTCTTGCCTTTTGGCTGGTTTGATTGAATAGAGCTTGCATTGACTTGACATGTAAGCGAGCAAGACGAGACATACATAGAAGAAGAAGAAGGAGAAAAAAAAGGAGAAAAAGAGAGAACGAGAAATCGCAGTGCGATCTGTCAACATCAATCAAACCTCGTTGTCATATACTTGAGCATGTATAAAGCAGGCGGGTGAAACGAAGCTCAAGTTTGCTAGTCAGCCGATCATTTATAACCAGAGAGAGAGAGAGAGAGGAGGGGAAATGGGTCTCTGCACAACTTGACATTTATCGTTCTGTCTGGTATACACAAAAATTCAACTTGTTGTGATCCATCTTATTCTCTTTTTTTATTCTTTTATGCTTGACATTACTGTTCCAATGGTGTCAACTGAGCAATAGAGCGATGGCACTTTAATGTTTTGAGGCCTGTTGAGTCTGATTTATTGCCTCTGAATAGTAATGATGGCTCATAAATCAAAAAAAACCTTCTCGTCTCTTCTTTCGTCGTCCAGTTTGATTTGTGAGTTTCATTCTTTTTCTCAATTGGAAAAGTCATCTTTCTTGTTGTCATCACGCGTTGGTGTTCGATTTGAAAATTTGCGCCGACATCTCACTCTCCATCATTCATCATATATATATATATATATATTTAGATATATATGCCTGTGCACCAGTCACATCTAATTGCTCATTCATTCTACTTAGATTGACGGGAGCTACAGAACGCATCTTTGTGTTCAATAGATGATGAAGTACTCTTGTCATTCATACACAAATGATCTGTATGCGTGATGAAAGCGACAGAAAAGTTACCAAAAGATGTGATGATACGCTTCATATGAGTTTCCTCTCTGGTCCATTTTTTCCCTCTTTTTCTCTCTAATCGATCATCAAGTATGTATAGTATTTAGATATATAGAACAAGACAGAAACACGAGAGAAAAAGATTAGAGCTCGAGAATGAGAAAGAAAAAGTTACTGACAATTGATCCAACAAGATTGTATATAACTATAGCTATATATATATATATATAATGTCATCGAACAATCAATCTTCGAATAGTGTATATTATATATATATATATATGAATTCATATTCAACCATATGAATATTGACGTGCATTTTCTTCATCTAGTTGACGTTGATTTCTAATGATGTCGATGACGGAAATTGCATACGCATATCTGTATAGTATGTACATATACGAGAACGTGATAATGCCAATGAAATGTTGTTGTATGCATCTAAGTATTTAGTCCTTTGGCAGATAGATAGATAGATAGAAAGATGTGTGCTGATCGTCGTTGTCATCCAACACCATTGCTGTTGTTGAAAACGAGTGACGTGTGCATTGCGCGACAAATCGAGCTCATTTATCTTCATCAACTTTCCTCCCAGGACAGACAACTAACCTGTCAGTATCTCTGGTCGTTGTCGGATCTCACTCAAACATCATTCTATTACTTTCACAGACTAATGATGTGCTGGCTGCCAGTCAGAATGGATGGAAGAAAGAAAACTACTAACGCACAGGCACTACTCGTCATCGAATCAATCCATCAAACAGTCACCTCATTTTCTTCCTCCTCCTACTAGACTTCATCCATCTCGTCCATTTTATTCTACTCTTTTTCATACTTGTCTTACTTCGTTTGCATCAGTATGTAACAGTCAAGCTGATAATCACTATGATGCATAATACTGTGGACTAAAAGCAGAACAATTCAGAATGGGTACATAGATTTTATTTAAAAAAATGAAAAGTAATTTGACTATATTTTACCATTCTGATGTGCATACGTATACAAAAGTTTTTCCTTTTTCATCATTCCACATGAAAACAACTAAAAATTAGTTCGCTCTATGGTTACTGGCCCATCGCCATCATTATTTCCGATGATTGACACATGATTGACATTGTAAGTTAATCAAAATGACGTGCAACTCGCCATTTCATATTTCTTTTTTCATTTTTTCTTCTTTGTCAATTTTTTTCCTTTATTATTATTGTTATTATTATTATTTTTCAGATTCATATGTTCAATAATATACACGCATAGAAACATCAATCATTCTATAACTTGTTGAAGATTGATCAGTATTACAACTCTTCTTTTTTCTTCTCGCATCACATTATATATCTAATATGTAGATTTGTGTATTGCTATCAATCAAACAAACAAAAAATTGAAGGCAATATTCGGTAAGTATTTCTTTTGTTTTTCTCCCTCTCTCTCTCTCTCTCTCTCTTTCTCTTTCGCTCCTTTTTCCGACATCGACCCATCCATCACTCACTCATTCACTCACACGAGTGATTTCTCAACAGAGAAAGAAAGCGAATGCGAAGGTCCTTTCTTTTTTATGTGTGTGTTGCTCAAGTCTATGTGTTTTTTGCTCTTTCGTATTCACTCACTCATTCATTTGTTCTATTGTTCTAGAATGACGGATAATAGCAGTGCACCCATCGACTTACGTATTAAACGTAAACGTGATGATATTGACGAGTATAAATCATCGACAAGAAAGAGACCTCGAAATAACAATAATACTGAATATGAAATTCCACTTGATTTATCTATTAAACCTCAACCACCAGAACAGCACTCCGTATTTAATTCAATGACGGCAGCATCAACATCAATGCCTTTCTATGATCCAACTAATCTTCTATTTAATTCATCAGCACTACTCTATGATTTATTCTTAGCAAATTTAAATTCCTATTATCAACAACAGCAACAGCAACAGCAACAACAGCAGCAGCAGCAGCAGCGTGCCAATATTGAATCAACATCAGCACCCATACCGAAATCAATTAAACAACAAACAATAAATTCATCTCGTATTATAAAAGATAATTCAATAACTAAACAAGAATCCTACGCATGTTCTTGCGGTGAAAAATATTCCAATGTAGCACATCTTGTTAGCCATCTTAAAATAACAAATCATAATGCACAATTATCTTCTACACATGATGAAGTTGCTAAACTTGTTCGTGGTCAAGATATTTGGCTTTCACGTGATACCAATCCGGCTAATCAAATTTTAAAATGTCTTCGTTGTTCATTATCATTTGAAACGTTACCTGATTTAACAGCACATATGATGAAGACAAATCATTTTACACAACTTTTACCTTCACCAGCAGCAACAACAACAACAGCAGTAACAACATCCTCCTCCTCGTCGTCACCATACCATCATTCCAATTCAAAACCACTACCATCACAACAACATTCACCATCAAAACTCATCAATTCTTCTTCGTTAATTCGTTCAACATGTCTTATTTGTTCACAACAGTTTGCACGTGAAGTTGATCTTGTTGATCATATTCAACATTTTCATCAAATACGTTTTAATTGTACAACATGTGGAATGTATTTCGAAAATGAAAGTCTTTATAAAGAACATATTTTAAAAGAAATGCATCATAGAAATGGAAAAGCTAATCGAAATCGAGATTATTTTCTTAATCAATGTAAAACTTTACAAAAACGAGCATTAACCATTACGAAGTAATAAATTTCCATATTTTTATTTCCATATTGCTTTTTCATAAGTAATTGCTTTTAGACCTGAACGACCGAAATCTCGATTATTAATTGATAAAGAAATTGAACAAGTTATATTAGATTTAATTGATCGTGTTGTTCAAAAATATGAAGAATCAAAAGAATCGACAACAACGACAACAACAACAACAACAACAACAACAAGTGCTAATGCACTTTCACTTCTACAAAATTTCGTAATTAAACAAACTCCATCATCTAATCGACAATCAGATTTAAATAATAATTATGACGATGAAAATACAAATTTATCTCATAGTGAAAAATCTTTATCTGCAAATCTCTATCATCATGAAAAACTTTCAAATAATATCTCTTTAAAATCTAACGAGAGTCCATTGGTATCATTAGAAAAAATGCTTTCGTATCCCACAACAACAATTCAATCTTTGTCATCAACTATAAATGATAATGGAACAATGCCAAATCTATCAAATAATTCAATAATGACAATAAAGAAAAAAAAGTTTGATAAGTATAGATTATTTGCGGAAAAAATGCTGCGATCTACGTTGTCATAATTATTATAGTTGTTTTTTCTTTTGGTTTTATTGATGTTTCCTTTCTTTTTTTTTTCTTCTTCTTCATTTTGCCCTATAAAAAACAAAAGTCAATTTTTATATCAATTGAATTTTACTTTCTTATTGTTGATGGCCAATCGCTTTTAGACATTCTATGTCTGTATCTATATCTATATATATATATATAACTATGAATGATTGATTGTTCGTTCTTACTTTGTTTTCCATAATATCTCTGGGACTATAAGTATTTTCTAAATATTAATAATATGCCATTTCAAATCAATTTACTTTTCTTCTGGGAGCATTGAGAAGATTTACGAGTAACGACTTTTTACTTGGATCTAAAACATATATAGATATATATTGTAAATGAATGATTTCAGAAGGTTAAGCAAGACTTAGTCCACTAGGAAATGAAAATGAGTGATACGGAATGCCTTTGATTTCGTTGCCCATTCGGATAGACTCTTGTTTTCCGATTTCTCGTTTATCGATTCATGTAGGTGTGCTTTTCTAGCAATTAATAAGTTCTAGATACCTTGCACACCCTACATGACATTTCATTTTCTATCTTGTAGATTTATTACTAGTTTTTAATTCACTAATACTTTGGCTGTCTTGCACATGAATGTGCTTGACATCTATGTTATTTACGGGAGAATCGTTGACGTTACCATCAAAACTGTCAGAGTAAATATTGCAGTGCCAATTGAGACCGATCGTTTTTTCTCCTGACCAAAACAAAAGCCAATACGATTCTGGAATTATCCTGCTTTTATTTTCTAGGATATTAGTATACGGAAAATAGTTTTGATATGTAAAAGCAAGGTTTGCAAATATCTACTAATATACAGTTGTCAGTCTTTTGGTGTTGACAGCAACTTTCTTATCGTTTCACTTATGAATATGTTCGTTTTCTTGCAAGCAATATGATGTTAACAAAGAGATGAGTAGACGATTTGCTGATCCATATTGAAAAATCAGATATATTTTCAACGACCCAGTATTAGCTACCATGAAAAGAATTCTTTCCCCTTGAAGATAAATCGATTGAAATTCTTCTGTATTTCTTGTCAACTGAGAAAACTAAGACAAATTTTCCTCCCAGAAGCAATTCAATTGGTATAGTAGTCAAGTCCTAATATGAAAACCAATAATTATATCTTGCTCCGAAAAGTTTTATCTTCTTAATAACGACAAAAAAAATTTTTTTTGTCATAAAAATGTCAGAGCGGACTGTTTTTTTACCATTTGCTTGTCTTCGAAGCGCACCTTTCTACAGCTAGAAACTCCGACGTGCAACTATAAATTAACATCAACTGATATGAATAGCATTATTAGTATTAGAAACTACTGTCTCTATAATTTATTGTCATGATTTTATGAGAACTCCAAATGACATTTGACTGAAAGTTATGTAGGAGTGACAAATTTGGAATCATAAAAATGTCAGATCAGAATGTTTTCTCCTTTGAATTCTACTTATATAGATATCAGAGGCATTCATAAATACCCATGAAAATTGAATATAATAGAATAATATATAAAAATTAAAATCATCAATTGAATATTTATTTAGATAGTTAGTCAATGTTAAACGCGAGGGGTCCTCGAATTATTGCATTCTTTATCAGAATTTCAAGTCTCATCCAAAATCTAGTTAAGAGTTTTCAAGTTAGAAAATATCAGTGATTTTAAATTAAACTACAGTTTTAATCTGTCATACGATCATAGTGATACCGATTATTTTTAAACGAAATTCTTTCTTGGAAAGCAAATGTGTTATTAAACATATTTTAATCGCATCAGCGTTTTGATTGTTGTAGCCTATTAAAAGAATGTATTGCTTGATGTTTTTTTTATATTATCCTATAAGGTGTTTCATGTTCGACTTGAAGTGTATAAGATTCTGGCCACGATAACGAATGTGCTTTACAAATGAATATTGTCTGTGAATATTGTTGTTTGTCAGAGATGTTTTTATTGAAGACATTTCCACATCGGTAATAATTTAAAGATGAAAAACGATTTTGATTTCGATAACAAGGCAATAAAGTTTTATTTTTCGAGATCAAAGGTACTACATTCTTATGAATAGGCTGCTGTTGATAAGTACAAGAAAGAATGTTAGATGTAACAGGTATGATAGCTGTTGAAACATTCGAATCGAATACTTTCGTTTGATTCTACGTAGGAAAAACAAATCCCAAAGAAATAAGTAGCTCTTATAGACTGATCTTTACTGGCGTAGAATGATCAAGTTTAACAATTGAATCAGTTTCTTTTTTCTTTTTTCTCGTATTCTTTTTAATTACTTTTACACGTTTCTGACGAATTGGATTATAAATAACGCCTAGATCAGTTGAATATGTCCAATTAGGTATTATTAATTCATCATGTTGAGATTGAATTTCAAGTTTATCTTTACGTTTAATCTTCGAACGCTTAGATAAAGATTTTTCTATTTTGCTCATATCTTTTAAATTTTCAAATGATAAAATAGATTCATTCTTTATTTGATTTCTTTTGTATCGATTCAAAACCACTATTGATTGTTTATGTGACAAGAGAGAAAAACAATTCAAACCTTCACTAAGAAAAGAATTACGAAGAATATATTTGATTATATAGGAGATCTCTCTTTGCAATTAAATACCGCAAATAGATCAGGAGTAATTTTTCAATAATAAATTTTTCGGCATGATTAAATAAATTTAAATAAGTGATCGATGGCAATGTTTTAGGTGAAGCTATCCGATTACTAATGCTTGGTATTGTGTCTATTGGAATGTTTGTCTAAATAAGAGTTCGATATTTACGATCAAGAACATTCGGAAGTCGTCTCCATTGGGAAAAGAGAAGGCCCCCAAGGCTGAGTATAAATATGAATGTAGTAATTAAGGTGAGATTGAAGAAAGGAAAAACTGTGTGAAACATCGCTCCATATTGAACCTTGACAAAAGTGAGATATTTCTTTCTATTCACACGAGAAATCTCGTCTTGATTTTATAATGCAGCCGTTTTCATCTACTCGAATTCTACCGTGTCGATTTTTCCACTTTATGTCTACAAGAAGACGATGGAAAATGCAATTAAGCCAAGGGCAAAAAACCAGTAAGAAGTCAAAAGTTGGGGATCACGCTCAGCACACTATACTTTTGCTACTGCTTCAGACGTCGACATGTAATGATCATAAATATAATTTCCTTTGAGCTTTGCCATATGAAATTCTCTATCTTGCCAGACAAAACCACATGATGAAAATGTATTAAATACTTCCTGATAGCTATGATACATATTTGATGTTTTTTTTTGCAACTAGATTAATGCATTTAAATACAAACTTTTTCACATCATCCAGAAACAGAAGATCCTCTTGGACTCTATCTATCTTATAGGCATGTGATCCTTCGATTTCAAAATTAACTGTTGATAGATGATTTAACATATCGATAAAACGTAAGCGAAGTTGAGGAATTTTAATAAATCGAAAGAATTGCACAACACGTCTGACGATTTGACACCATTTTCTTAGCTAGAATTGAATGTTGTTGTTTTTTTTATATTTACACAGTCTGCTAATAATACTTTATTGTTTTTATGTAAACTATTTACACTAGAATTATGACTGATTGTTTTCGGTGATGATTCATGTTCAACACTAATTGAAGGTGATTGTTGCATAAAGAATTTTTCATTTAGAAAACAAAATTTTTAAAATTAGCGCGATATTTCAAAACTTCATAACTCCTTGATTATTAAAAAAACCAGCTGTTATGAGAAACACATAATAAATATTTTCGACTCACTTGCACAAAGAGACAAGATTCCATTTTAGGTTCACTTGATATTCAAAACTTGTCTACTGCAAAAAATCAGTTCTTATAGAAAGTTTTTCCAATCCAATTGAAATGATATTACCATTAATTTAAGATATTCAAAACTATAAGATTGATTTGAATAAAATAAAACGTTTCCATGACGGCAAAAATTGATTACAAAATCCATTTTTTCTATGTTCACACAATTTTGATTAGAATTTCTGTTCTAACTTTCTAACAAAGTCATTAAAGGACACAGACTATGGAACATTTATAGCTTTAGATCATGTTTTCCTTGCTTCAATCGCCGACAAAGAAGTTGTTACGACCTTGTAGATATTATACTGATAAGAGAGACAAATACCACGTCCAGAAAGTCAACAGTTTTGCACTGTAAAATCTTCGTTATCGAAGGAGTCTACCATTGGATTTCTACCAAGCTGAAAAGTATTCAAAAATATTTAAACTATTTATTATGAGCAACTCATAATACACTTTCGAATTATTATTATTGATATGATGTAATCGCTTGCATTTACACTGTAAGATTTAAACAATAAATCATACTAAAACTTCATATCCTTCTTGAATCTTATTAACAGTGATTTATTATCTAGTTTTGATTGATTTTATTTTTAGACTGTATCAATACGATTGTGTATTGCATCGCTATTGTCTTTTTTTATTTTTCATCAACATCAAACTTTTAGCAAAAAATTTATGTTTCTTTTTTTTTTCTATGATGATTACAAAAAAAAGAATTTACACTTTAAAAAAAGAAGGTTACGAACTATTTTGTTGGTCTTTCAACTGGAATAAAATATAAACTACAGTTCATGGATAACGTTCGATTAACATTGCGTGGCCCTAGAAAAGAAAAATTGCAATTGAGGATGATTTCCTTTTTCGTTTCAAGTTTTCACATACTTGACCACCAGCAGCGCAAGCAGCTAACAATGCATAACGTTTATTTTCTTTAATTAATCGGTTAGCAGCCGTAGTCACAAGTCGAACACCGGTAGCACCAAATGGGTGGCCGATACTTAATGATCCTAAAAATGTATCGAATCAGTTATAATTATTATATGAATGATCCAATAAAACTTACCTCCCCATGTATTAAACTTTTCAAGCGGAATTTCACCAACCTACGAATTAATTAAGAAAAATAAAAGAAGAACGATAAAGAAATTCTTACCTTTGATGAACGATTAAGATATGTTTTAGCAAAATAATCCGAATCAAGTGCTTTTAAATTTGCTAAAATTTGTCCCTAGAATGAAAGGTATATAAAAAAGCTTGTCAGCGCAGCCCCGTTGGAGCTAAAATGTGGAACTCACATATTTCGATCAATTAGATACTGATCAAATAGAAGTTTTATTTTTTCAGTGTAGTGAGATCATATTTTGTTCAAAAATAAGATAATAAAACCTTTTTAACATTTGAAGTTTATTGGATCTATCAATAGGGAATATTACTAGAGAGAACGTATGAACAACTTTTTGTTTAAAATATGTCAGTATCAGTATGCTGAAGTGTTTAGTGGTTTCATTGAGAAATATTGTGAATGATAATAGTTTAAACAGTATTTATGATATAGCTATCAATATTGTTGAGAAATTTATATTTTTTCGTATTACCAGGTGAGAAATTGGTACATTTTTTCATAAACGAAAATTTGATAAAAGCTTCCCAGTGGATGGAAAAGTTCCGAATTGTAAATACACTAAAGTGGACTCAAGCTCTAGAATAAGGTATTCGTGTGAGAAAAAAAAGATTAAAATCTTCACCTGCTTACTGTAGGTGATAGAAGTAACGAATGTAATAGTAGCATGAACTAGTTGCTAGTTTCTGTAGCGGTAGCATACGCTCGTTGCTAACGTCTGTAATAATAAAAATATATAATACTGTCGTAACTATGGGCTATAATAATAAAAACGACAGATTTTGATGATTAATTAGAGATTAAATCCTAATTATCTTGATTTCTAATGAGTGAAATTAGATTTTAATTGCTGATATGAGTAGTGACGAACATAGTCAATCGATCTGTACAAAAATTTTATCTAATTAGTGCACCGAAGTGTTAGTTTTTTTCATGTTTTATGTCTGTAATGGGGAGGGAGTGGGGTACAGGGGAGCCGCAAAAACCTTACAATCCAACTTACACTCACTATTTTCTTCGACAATATATGTGAGTTCCACAAAATAGCGATATATTAATCCAACAATGCAGGGATTTTCAACACCTTAGAAAAATTGATGCTACAATTTTAGCTGCTATTATTTCTCTTCTTCAGACAGTTAAACCATTACTAACAAATGAATCATTTGTGAGTACTGATAAATCAGTATGAAAATGAACAGGCTTGTTTATTTTAGGTCGTCAATAATGTAAATCTCATGACGTTACCTGGCAAGACAGCCAGTCGATTTTTACTATCAGCTGCACGTGTTGTTTTAACTAATGAACAATTTAGTAATGATTACCTACCAGATTTTCGCGGTGATAAAGCTGATCGTGTTGTAATTCCACAAGAATCTGTTGAAAAACTACGAGGTTTTCTTATATATAATTTTGATATTTCTTTTACAGATGCTGTAAAAAAAATATTTGGTTGTAAAGAAGAAGATATGAACAGTATATGGGGTGACCGCTCAATTCGTCGCACGACAATTCGTCGCGATCAATTCGTTGCAATCAATTCGTCGCAGAACAATTTGTCGCGTTCTGTTCGTCGCATATTTTTTTCCGTTCTGTCGTCGCAGATAAATTCCTTCCGTTCTGTTGTTCGCTATCTGTTTGTCCAATCTCTCATGGTTAATTAATTCTTTTTTTTTAAGACAAGAAGTTGATCAACTAATTCACCTTTATTTAGTACATCATACATAACATAATGATGAATAGGTTGAGAACAAAAAAACACAAAAAGAAAGAAGAAAAAAAATTAAAACCATGAATCTAAATAGAAAAAAACATAGTTATTAGAAAGAAAAAATTACCTAAAGAGTAATATTGGCTGCGACATTTTTTAAGAATTGATCCATTTGAGATGCGTCGAATGCATTGACCAGCCGAGTAAGACGTTCGTCCAATTTTCGATAGCAGGCCTTCTTTGTCTTGATATCATGACCTTGGAGAATCTTCTGCATGTCCACTTCGAATTTTGATTGTTCACGACGAATTTTTTCAGCCAGCTTCACGATGTTTGGATGATTGATTGCGACACGAGTTGCGAATGCATTGTGCCAGCCTTCCACGGAATTGTTGGAACGAGGTACAGCAGCGATGACACGATCATAAACATTCCATAGTTTATGATCAAATTGAGGTTTCGTTCGACCAGTACCTTAGAAATTTGAGTATATTTCAAATATTTCAAAAATGAAGAAAAAAATTACCTCTTCTTTTTTTTTCACCAATCCACGTTTTTTCAAAATATTCGAGTAAATCATCGGCGTCATCGTCGAATTGATCACAAATTAAGTCAAAGCCAGTTGTAACTTTATCTAATGGAACAAAAGCCAGAGCAATCAGTTTTTTTACATTTAAACGAAAATACTCATCCTCATTATATTTGGTTGTTAATCCCTTGCTTTGAACTTGTCGCCATACCGCTTGTGAAAAATGAAAGAGACAGCCTAGAAAAAAAATCAATTACTTTCTTTTATGAATAGATAAGAACGTACCTTTGTGTAGAACATTAGGCAACATTTCTCTCACTGATTTGATTGTGCCAGTTTCGAAATCAGTCATGATTGACTCAGGTTCGAAGTTGTCTTGTTCTAAAACTTTTTCAAAAAATAAATTATAATCTTCAGAACTTTTACCAATTAACAACCCATAGACGAGAGGAATGATTGCATTCGTCATCATCGCATGTAATGTGAACAGTTGATAGTAATCATCAGGACACACCTACATGAAAGAGAATAAGAAAAAAAGTGACATCTAATTAATAGATTACTTTGAATGTTCCATCAGCAAACCAATGTTTATTTTGTTTAAGAATAGATAAATTGGATTGTGTTGTGAAGATAATTAATTTGTTGTCTTCGTGTAATATGAAATCTTCGTCGCGATACGTCTTCCTTAATTTGTCTGGTAAACGACCATTGGCATCGACTGCTTCAGCAGTACGTTGTCGTCGAATCATTAGCATAAGTGCCTCATTTTTTGGAAGTTGACCAGCGGCGTTGAGTGGATAATTTCTTAAAGCCGAGTGAAGAATTATACTTGATTGTTCCTCTGTTGTTGCAGCACGAGTTTTAATTTCTTCTTTCAATTTAATTGCTGGAACACGATCAGGTTGTGGAGCATGGCAGTGAGCTGTTGGTTGCGAGACAAATGCGTCCATGTATACATTGGTATGACAACGAGCTTAATTAATAGATGATTTTTATTTCAATTAATTGATTGATGTTCAAAATAACCATACCTTTGCAATCTCGATTATGACATCGAAGAATCAATTTCGTCGTTGTTGTACGTTCTACGGTGTAGATGAAACCTTCGTAGAGAAGCATTGATTTTCCTTTTTCAGTAGTAAGTTTTTCGATTTGAGACATTTTGTTTGAGCGTAGTTCGTATTGAACAATGTGAGTGAGAAATGAAATGTATTTTTTTATATCATTGGATCTCATAACTAAGACCATTGAATCAATGTTATCGTTAGTCTAGATTATGTTGAAATTCATTAACTGAGTTACAATTCTAATTATTCTTCACTTGTTTTAGCTCTATCACAGTATTTTTGATTAGTTTTTTTTATCCGCTTTTCCAATTAAACAGTCATTTGCTTTAGAAAAATCAATTATCTATCGTTATTGTACATATCTTACAATTACTCATTTATTTTCTTTTCTTTTTATTGGTTGCATAAAAAAAAAGAATTAATTAAGAGAGATGGGAGAAACAGATAGCGAACAACAGAACGGAAAGAATTTATCTGCGACGACAGAACGGAAAAAAATATGCGACGAACAGAACGCGACAAATTGTTCTGCGACGAATTGATCATGCGACGAATTGATTGCGACGAATTGATCGCGACGAATTGTCGTGCGACGAATTGTACTAGTACCTTTTATTCTAATTCTAAAGCTGAAATTTAATGGCAAGAAAATTTTGATGTAGTGATTATGGCGAAAGCATTCGTACTGGGGTGTGTATAGAATAGAACAGTCACATCCACATCTACATCATCGCTAAAAAAAGAAACAATTTTTATATGTTTTCAGTGTTTCGATTTTTTTTAAAGCTAACCAGCGTCGAACCACGGATTAACTTACGTAATATTCCAAGAACAGCATTCAGAAACCAATCTTTTTATCATACAGCTTTGTGCAATATGGAAGGCTTTATCAATTTCGATGAAGTAAAGCCGTGTCAATCCAACAAGATGCAAACATGCATGTGAAATAAGTAGTTATAGGTACTTATGGCTCGATTATTATCCGTTAAATATATTCTACGACGACCTTGTTGTATTTATATCTTTTTAACAATTAACAGCCTGCTATTTGTGATGCATCTCAAATACCAACAAATAAACAAGGAAATACTTAGAAAATTAGGAACTTCTTATCCATCATTTCAATTGGATGCAAGAACAGGGCAAAGTATTGCAAACTACTTTGAACGAAAGTCACAGCTCATGAAGCAATCGCCTTTTAAGACTGTACTTTCTAGAGAATTTCGAAGAGCATCTAATAAAACATTGTTTTCAATCTATGCGTACACAAAATATCATAAATTCTGTAGAAAATATAACAGTGAATCGTTTTATCTATCGACTTGTCCTTTTCGAAATTGTCAATTTACATGCGATACTTCTTTGATTCATCGAACTGACGCTATAATAATGCTCTATAGCCATTTAAACTATGAAAAGCTGTTAGATCTGGCTGTATACCGAAATCCGAATCAATTATGGCTGCTATGGCACGATGAGCCGTATGCACCTGCACCTGTCTACAATAAATTTCTATTTAACTGGACAATAACTTATCGCTTGGACTCAGAAGTTAGTGTTGCAGCTTATGGAGTTGCGTACGTGAGAAATGAGTCGATAAATCAAATAGCATTCGCAAAATGGATTGATGAAAATTACAAAAAACGACACAATGAAGCTACCTGGTAAGTAATATTAATAATATTGTAGAAATTAATAATATAATAACATAAAATTAATTCAGGTTCGTGAGCAATTGTAATTCACAGAAACGTCTTCACTTCTACGAACAACTCAAACAACATTTTCCTATATCTGCTTTTGGAAAGTGTGTTAAAAACCAAACGAATGATTCTCATAAATGTGCTCGAAGTTCTCAGTGTGAATTTGAAAAACTTTCTACATCGAAATTTTACTTAGCATTCGAATCGACTACATTGAGACGCGATTATATTACTGAGAAGTTTTGGCGATCTTTATCTCATGGTGCAATACCTATCGTTCTTGGTCCGAAGCGTCAAAGCTATGAACGAATTGCTCCACCTAATTCATTTATTTATGCGCAAGACTATAGTGATCCTATAACACTGGCTAAACATTTAAATGATGTGGCGACAAATCGGCAAGAGTATGAAAAGTATCATGCATGGAGAATTAACTATGAAACACGTTATCTAAGTCGTGACGTTGAATCGGTTCGATTTTGTGAATTATGCTATAAATTGAACACGAATAAAGATCGTATTTGGTATACCGACGTAAATAAATACTTTTTGGAAATAGACTAACGGCTTATATTAAGAACAACAAACTTTTATTACGTACTTTTTTGTGTACTCAAAAAAAAAAGAGTACACTATAGAATCGGTCAGTGTGTCCGGCCGTCCGTTTATTCGATAACTCTTCACAATTGCATTCGATTGAGCTGAAATTTTGTGCACAGAATTGTCTTATCAATATCTAGGTCGAGTTCGAAGATGAGAAGGATCCGTCAAGAAATGGCTGAGTTGTCGAAAAAATTGTCATTTTTGATCAGACCATCCCTGAGGGGGAGTACAGGGATTTTTCAAAAAAAAAATTTTCTCAGAATTATTCACAACATATATAAATCGACTCAGTTTTTAACGCTGATTCTAAATCTGATATTAGTTTTGAACTAAGTCATAGCTTTCTAACGAAACATCGCCTGAAAAACGTCTCAAAATTCACAAAAACTCCATCCAGAAATCAAATTGTCTAGTTTCTCATGATAATTTTCGTGTTCAGGCATTCTAGAATGACTCATATGTCGCATGCACTTTTTGCAGTACACATAACTCTCGGATGAAATCCGAAGTTTCCACATTTATTTAATAATATATTTACGAAGTTTGATACATCGCGATTATTGAAAATTATTCTATTAGATTAAATAGAGACACTTAAATATTGTGAGCTGCCTCTGACTATTAAATCTTTATTATTTTTATAATAATGAAAATAAGAATTGCCAGATAATAAACAATTTTTTTTGTTTACGTTTTGAAGAATTCATACAAGTATATTTTGAGCCTGAAATTATGTAGCCCCTACTTTCCTCTCTGTAACAGCAGTGTTAAGGGATCTTGGTTAAATATTATTGATTATTTTTCTCGAGGCATGGATGTGGAAAAGTCGAACACCAAAACCAAACGTTGCAATAACAAATTTATATTCACACCGACATCCTTTCGTCGCATATCTCTTGACATTAAAAATATATCTTCAATTCTATGAAGACGAATTAGATTTTATTTAAAAAAATGATATATTTTGCTTCTAATCTCACATCAAGATTGGTAGCTATAAGAAAAATACGACGGGTGCTCGCTTTTCATAGTTTTATAATGCTCCATTACTTCAGCTGTGTCTAACTTACGTAGAATGTAAGATGGAAGCGTTTATGACAATTTGACCCAATGCTCTTGTAGCTATTATTGAATCTATCGAGGATGAAGATCGATGATGCTCTTTATTATCGGCATAGAAATATCCTTTACAAGCATTTTCGTATCTTACTTAAATAATACATTCTTACATAAAGTATGTCTTTTTTGGCCTCGTTTTCCTTTTGTCTGCGAATGTAACACTCCGAAGTTCTTACATAACGAAGGATATAAATAAATATGTTTAAACGACTTGCTCCATATTTTTAGGCAAAGCATTACACTATATGTCATCAATATTCAAAAGGCGACGTACAAAAAACACTGGCGAAGATACCAATTTAGCACATAAAATAATACGTGAAGTACAATAGGGAGAAGTATTGATAAGTAGTAGTGAGAGCGCACATGCGAAGCGAACAGCTAGAAGAAGAAGAAAGAAAGGACAAGGCAAAAGGAAGAAATGCAAGAGAACAAGGGAAGACAAAATTTAAGCACTATATTTTTGCGTAATCTTGCTATGTCAGTGCACATCAATGAAGGACAAACATTTGAAAATAAATGGTTCATATCGATCTATCAATTGACGCATACGGCGCTAGTACTAATAATCACATAGACGATCGTTTTTCTTTTTTTTTTACAAAACTTATACCCAATGAACACATCATCGAATAAAAATGAGAAACACAATTCAGTCATATACACCGTTTCAAATCTTCCTTGTATATAAATTTCGATGTTTTGTTTTAAACTAAACATTATGAAATTGTGATGCATGAAATATTTCTTTGTTGAATAAAAGTGGCGATAATTTGACATTTTTCTCTTGATTAAATTATTCTCATATTGAATGTTAAAGAAATTTCCAAGGTCAGAATTTCATATTCGAGTTCTTCGGCTTATTTCCTGACCAATATTCAAAATAATAACTTTCTTGAGAACAAAATCATTATTATTAGATTCAACAATACTTCGACAACTAATTCATTTATTTCTAATTTAAAAAATGATCTTAGTATTGCTCTCAAGTCAAACGTCTCTTTACCTCAATTAAAACTGTATAAACATGTGCATAAAATAATAGATACGAAAACATTACAATATCTGATAGCCATTACTTTGATAAACTGTCAAAACATAACTGCCCATAGTACTAGAAATACTACTAAACGATCGACAGATTTTTCAACAAAAAGAAACTTAAGTCTAAATCAATAATTATTGTTTGGTTGTTAAAGCACCGAGTTAATCAGTTCAAATAAAGAAGAACAAATCGTGAATAGCTTTTTGCAGTTTTTCTCTTCACCGTATCTATGTTAATAGTTATAAAATATGCTTCCTGCTGTTTCTACTGACTACCAGGAATATATTTCTAGATCAATGTCAACATATATTACCTATTCAAACGATTTTTCCCTTGTTATCAAAATGCGATGTCGCCTGTATGCACGCTGATTCTGTCACTTTTGTCCTTTGACGATAAGGACACCTTCTGTTTCATTGAAATATCTTATCAGTACATCATTTTTATGCACACTATAGGCAAAATTTTGAATATATACGAATATATTTTCGAAAAGCTGTTGCCCGCAAGTGATTATGTCAGATTACTTTTCAACTACCATTGCACAGTCTTATTCAACTCTTTTACAATTCGATAGCTACTCTTAACCCAACATATATTAATCATTTGATAATTACGCGGCAGTCATAGTTATTATCTTAAGCAAAATGTATCGCTTTCGTGGCACATTACTAATATTTATTTTCTTGTTCTTCTTTTTAATTATAATATTCTACGATGATCAAAAACAATTTGCTTCTAATATTTACAATAAGTACAAACACAGCTGGATTGAACAAGCTCTTGGTCAAATGCATACATGCACCCCTAATGATGGCCTTCGTCAACGTGCTCTTCTTTATACTCTTCTAGAATGGACTCAACTGGCTCGAAAAAATAAAATTCTATATTGGATTGGGCATGAGACATTAATTAGTTATGTTCAACGGCATGGCTTATCGCCACATGCTCTAGATCTTGATATTTTAGTAATGGTACAAGATACATCACATCTTGTTAAACTTCGTACATTATACTTTTCATCCGATTATGAACTGAAAGTTCATCCACAATGGCATCTTGTTGGAAAAAGAAACGACTCGTATTTCAACGCGGAAGGTATCGATTTTGTGGAACCTATAGCACGATTCATCAATCGAAAAGATCATGTATACATCAATATTTGGCCAATGCTTGATTACCATCCGAACAAAGTGAAAATCGGGAATATTACTAAAGAAATGTTTAATGAGTATGATGAAAATGATAAATGGGAATCATCACCAAAAGAGTGGACATTTCCATTGAGACCCTGTAGATTCAGTGGTGTCAACGTTTATTGTCCAGCAGAACCAGAGAAATTAATTACTAATATTTCATCAATAGTATGTATTAATGGATCCTGGCAGAAATCTGATGAGCCTATATCTACAAAAACAATCATAACGAACGAAAATAGTGAGATTTCAGAGCAAACGAGTACAGCGTAAGTAAAACGTGATAAACTTTATTTCGTCATTTTACTGGTTCCTCATAAAAACAGAGCAACTTGATGGCATTAGAGAAAGAAATGATACCTGATTGTATTAGTTTAAATAGGTCTTTTTTTCCCGCTAATTGATTATTCACTCGTTTAAAATGATCAGTAAGTATTCATTATAAAATGAATATTTTTATTTTGAAAGAGTGTGATAAATATAATTGCTTTTTTTTCGAATTAGTTGCGCTTTATATGAAGGTAATTTAAAATTGTCTATTCATGTCTAAATTTATTTCTCTTGTTTTTCTATTATTCTCATGCATAACGAAAGTACATTATTTTTTTCGTTCAATAGCAAATCTATAATTTTGCTGTGTTTGTTTACTGGTATCTTCAAAGAAAGATTGTTTGTAGCTAAAAAATGAGAGTAACTGGAAAGGAACATAATGGTGATTACTTATGTTCTTTATAAGTCGAAAGTAGGAGAATCTCATTATCATCGTAGCTGTACATTCTAGCAAAGTATTGCGTTAAATTAGTAGAAGCTCATTCATTGGGTATCTTATTGTCTCGTTTGTTCAATTATTCTTCAATAGAATAGAAAATAGTAAAATATACACCCGGTCACATTGCAAAACTAGAAAGAAGCTTCCAGTAGAGAGTAGTATTTCGAAACTTCAAACACAATTCAAATAAAAACAATCATTTGATCAGCTGTTAAATAATAATTCAATGCTTAATTATAAAGAATAGTGAAGTAAAAGCAGGACTGCAGCACTGAAATGAAACGATTGAAAGAAGAATGTCATGAGACTGAAGATAATAGTAGGAATTCAGGCATGGATTAGAGGCGATTTTGGCGATGAAAAATGTTTACGATCATCTATATATAGGTTATGCGAGTGTCCTAATTTTCTTGAACATAGCCTCTATATCATAGCTCCTCATTCTATTGAAACTAAAACGATTGTGTCGATCAAGCTGAAAGCAAGATCAGAAAGTGAAATTTATAACTGACCTATTTCGATATATACCATTTTATATTGATATAAATATTTTCGTTGTAGGTTGACAACCAATCCAATATTGAGTGATGAAGAACTTCTTGAAAAGGCCCTTAACAGCGTTCCAACATGCCAATCAAATGATCGTGATCGTCAAAGATACATTTTACATGGTCTTCAAGCATGGTCTCATCTGGCAGAAAAATATAATATTCAATATTGGATCTCATATGGGACACTTGTTGGTTTTATTCAACGTCGTGGATTGTTGCCACACGATTTAGATACTGATGTAATGATAATGTTTAATGATACACGGAAGCTGGTCGAAATTTCTAAATTGAACTTTTCTTCTACTTATGAAATTAAAGTTCAACCACAATGGGAAATATTCGATGATAGAAATCGTTCTTATTTTCGTAAAGATGGTATTCATTTTGTTGCCCCGAATGCAAGATTCATACATCTAACAGCCAGATATCATGTTGATATATATCCTGTATATGACTTCAGTCCAATTTATGCAAATAGATCAATAGAAAAGCAGGAATCAGAAAATTTAACAGCTTACGATAACTATTATAACTGGCTATCGTATCCAAGAAGTTGGACATATCCATTAAAAACATGTTATTTCAGTGAGATAAAAGTATTGTGTCCAGCGCAACCTGAAAAATTCATTGAATTGGTGTATGGTACTAGCACTTTAACAAAATCCCATAAAAAATGTGTTGAAGGCAACTGGGTAAACGCAGATTAAGATGATCAAGTAAAACATCTTTTCCATATATATGATTTCAGAATTTGATTCTTTTAAAAGAAGCCGTGTCGATGGCATAGTAATAATTCTTTTGATTTCACTTTGTGTATATTCTCGTTATGCTGAATTATTAAAAAATCTTGTTGTTTTAATCATATATAGAAGTTTTAGTATTTGATTAATGAAATGCTTCTAACTCTCTCTCTCTCTCAATTATATCGTTAGGAAAATAAAAGCCAACAATTCCATCGGTTGTTATACTGCAATAATAAAGAATCAAAACAGAATACTATTTAACTTCCTGTAAACGATAACATCAGTTTTGAAGAAGAAAAACGACGATACATTGTAATCACTTGCAAGGCAATAATATTATGGCGAAATGCAGATCTATTTTCAATAGCCGAATTTTATTTTTATATTCCAACTTGGACAACTACGTCTCTGTCAATTAGTAACTCGTGATGCTAAGCTAATGTTTACTCTGCACTCATGGAGAGTGATTACCTTGCTGAAAATGATTTTAAATTCAGAAACGAATGTCGGAAAATTTCATTTTGATAAGTAGCAACATTTTATCTCTTACCACGTTGCTACTATTGAACGAATGTTTTATGTAATACATAATTGATCGATACGTATAATACAAGTATTAGAAACTAAATAGTTATAAGTTAATAAATTACAAAGATATATTATATAAATTGAAAATAAGTCAAATTTTTATGATTTATATAATCATTTTTTAAATCACAAAGAAATAGAAAGCAAAATGAAGATCATATGTAGACTACACGAAATAGAATCGTGAACGAACGCTTCTATTCTTAACATATTGTTGTTTATGTCTGTGTCAGTTGAATCGCATCTATTCGAAACCTGAGTCCTGAGTGACTTGATTATGGTAAAATGTTTCAGTCCTCGTAATTAATCAAGAAGTCAGACTAAGAAAAGGTTTGCATCACAATAAAACAATCCATTGGTACATTGGTAGACACAAAAGCGTCTGTCACGCCATTCGAAGTTGAAGTATCAAAGTTTCTAGATGCAACGGTTTTGTTGGAAAGTTTTCTAATATGTCAAACATTTCATATCCTGCATCAAACATGTAGTTGATCGAAAACAATTTTAACAAGAGTAAGAAAAAACATATCATCAATTAGTCAAATATACTCTCTACACAAGTAACCATAAGTTTTCTTTTTATCAAACTAGTATAATAAGCGACCAACTTCTTCGCACTTTTTCTCTTCGATGTCAGCCTTCTAATTCCGATGCGTACCGTGAAGTCACATTCTATAGGAAGATTATATTGATTTTTTACTGAGAAAATAATCCTGTCCATCAACAAAAATTATTACGGAGAATGTCTTCAAGTTCCACTGTCGAAAACGATCAATCAATTCTGATTATCTTATTGCTGTTTAAAATCATCATCCTTTTCAGTTCTTCATATCTGATTCTATTTTGGCTAATATCTAACTAGTTTCATGAGCGTCTATAATGGTTGTAGATTTAAGCCGACAATATGTATTAAATCATGAGTTACAGTGTTGTGTGAAAGAGCATTCGCAAAATAATGAGCACCACGATCTGTTTTGATATTCGAGTCGATACGAAGTGCAATGAGTGTCTGTGTATAAGATAGATCGTCGCGAAATTGAGGCGAATAAGAATTCATGTACTACCGTATTGATCATAAGAGCATTCCCAAGACATTGTGCTCCGTGATCTTCAATTTTATTGGAGCTAAGATCGAGTGTAGTTAGTGTCTTTTGTGAGAGTTGAATATTTGCAAAAAACACCGATGCTCTAATTAGAGTATTACCCATTTTAGTCGTAAGTGCATTTGCAATATATTCTGCTCCTTGATCTCCGATTTCATTACAGAAAATGAAAAGCGTAGTGAGTATCTGCATGAAAAAAAAAGAATATTGAAAAGACAATTAAGATTAGTTAATAGTCTGAAACTGTGTTGGTTGTAAGAATATCGGCTAGATATTGTGGTCCTTGATTTGATTGCTATGCAGCTTGATATGTGTTGGTGTCTTCGTAAGAACTCTATATGGACAAGACAATAATTACTAGTAGGTTTTGTACTACCTTGTTGCTTGTGAGAGCATCGGCAAGATATTTTATCCCTTGATCTGTGATTCGATTGGTATCAAGCTTAAGCGATATCAGTGGCTGTGTAAGAACTGAATAGTTGCAATACAAAAATAGCTGAAAAACAATGTATTATTGAGTTCTGTTTTAGATCGTCACCACGATGTTGTACTCCTTGAACTTCGATTTCGTTATAGGCAAGTGCAAGTGTGGTGAGTGTCTGAATGGAATTTTCAGATTCACTGGATTAAGATGAGCATTGTGTATAAATGTTATAATACGTTGTTCTTCATGAGAGCATAGCCCATAAATTTCGCTCCTAGATTTTTTATTTCATTATCTGAAAGATCAATTCTAGCGACTGTCTACGTATCACGCGTATTTTGACAAAACGAAGATGAATAGTAAATCATGTGTTACGCATTTTTCTATGAGAGCATCGGCTTGATGTTGTGCTCCTTGATCTTCGATACCATTACTTTGAAGGTCAAGCGAAGTGATTGTCTATGTGATCAAAAGGCAGTTTAAAAACTAACAGAGTTCTTTTTAAGAGCATTGGCAGGATACTGTGCTCCCGCATCTCTGATATCATTACAAGTCAATGGGAGTGTGGTGATTGTCTGTATAATTTTTATAGCTTCATAAGAGGAGAATAAATGTTAAATCATATATATTACCGTGTTGTATATAAGAGAATTCGCGATACTCTGCGTTCCTAAACATCCGATTTGATTATTTTCAATATTAATTGTGGTGAGTGTCTATATAAGAACTGATGATAGACAAGACAAAGGTCAACAGTAAATAGTGCATTACTGTATTGTTCGCAAGACCATCAGCAATAAGTTGTACCCCTTGTTTGGTGATATTATTTAAGCTAAGATGAAGTTTCGGGAGTGTCTGCAAGCATCTTACTAGTTCAAATGATGAGGATGAGTGTCAAATCTTGTATTACTGTGTTCGTTTTGAAAGCATTACCAAGATATTGCGACCATAAGCTTCCGATTTGATTGCCACAAAGTTCGAGCGTGGTCAGTATCTATTTGAAAATGTCTTTTAACTGGACGATTACCGATAGTAAACCAGGTAATACCGTGCTTCTCCTGAGGGTAATGCCAAGACGTTGTGCCCCGTGGTCTTCTATGGAATTTCCGCGAAGATTAAGTATAGCTAGGGTCTGCGTGAAAAATGGACATTAACAAGATGAATTTAAGTAGTAAGCGATTTATTTTAACCTTGTTAGTTTTGAGCATGTTGGTAAGATATTGTGTTTCTCGGCCGCTTATATCACTGCGTTTCAGATTGAGTGCAGTAATTGTCTGCATGCCAAGTCAACATTAGCAAAATGGAAATGAGTAATCGAACGAATATTACTGTATTGGCAGCAAGAGCATCAGCGAGATGTTGAGCGACTTTACGTTTAATGTCACGGCTACTCAAATTATCAGTAAGTTTGAAGTTTTCAATTTTTTCGATGTGAAAGTGAATAAACTGAAAATATTTTTGTTGTACTGCAAAAGGAAGATGATCGAATTGAATTTTCAGCCCCTTTTTTCGAACAATTAGTGAAAATCAACTCGAAATGATTTAATTTTCGATTGGCAACTTTTCGGTTTGATGTTTTCCATTGCTGGCTGGTAGAATAATCACCAATGCAATATGAACTCTTCTTGTATTATTTTCCCGATTTCTTCTGTTAAATGCAACATTCTTTTACAGAGAAATTTTCGATAGCTGTTTGCCTAAGGAATGGATTAAATAGATACTTTTTTCAGTTGCTACGTAGTAATGCGATTTCAATGTCGCAATTATAAATACTACAATCCTAGAATGAAAATAAAAAGCAAATATCTATTTTTTAGTGATAAGAGTATAACAGTCTAATTTTCTATTTCTCTTTCAAAAAGTATATTTCTATGAAAGAATGTTTGGTGAGGATTCTTTTCAATAATTGTTTTAAAGCCGTTTGATGACTCTACGAGTTGTTAATTGAAATTCACGAGCTTTAGAATCTATGAAATATCAAATTAGTTATGCTCGCTGAGTTAACAGTCAATTTATCTGAAGGAGTTTCGTGAAATTCGTCTTATTGTATTATTTTGTATTTACAAAAATCACAGAGAAAAAAACTGAAAATTTAATCAAATTCTTGCAAATGTATTTGACTTAATATTCATAAAAGTCAAGATAGCATTTTCAAATAAAAAAAAGCTAAATTACTCAAAAGAGAAATTTATTGAAGTGATAAAATCTATCTTCATGACAACGAAGTATTTTACGTGCTATCGATGATAAGTATCAATAATGGTATTCAGTCGTGTGCAAACATTACGAACTGAACATAGAATCGCCAATTCATAAAGATTGTCCAGAATACGATACACAAGCGCAATGCGTAATACCAAAATTGAGGAACAGATTTTATCCTACATTAATGGTGATTGTTTTCAAATATAATACAATTTTTTTTAAATAAGTGTCTGTTGATGTGTAGTTTTTCTCTTTATCTCTATGCTTATGGACAGTGCCATAAAAATTCCTTATGACAACAGAATTGCAGTAAATCTGCTATGACTAACTCCATGAAAAAGCATCAACAACCCTTGCCGCATATAACATTTTCCACTTGCACTGTGGAGTAGAATGACAAGTTTGTTTTATTGATTGAATATAACTATTCTTTCACTCACATTCCTTGTCTTGGAGTGTTTTGCTACTGAAAATATACGATTCTTCACGAAGTCGAAGAAATTATGCCTAATCATATTTTTCAAAAATCGTAGCTAAAACACTTTCAAATGTTTCCAACGAATCATAGTATTGCTGTATTTTGGCCAATTTTTTTTACAGTACCTTCAATGATAATAGAAAACTACGCTAGAACAAAATCGTCTCTTTCACAATAATCGAAATGCTTGACTGTTTTCAAAAGTAAATAGAATTATTCACTAGAAAAATTAATTCTTAAACGAATGTACTGATTTACGCTTTTCTTCACTTCTGACAATTCAAAATTATCTTTGTGATCAATCGCCGATTTACATCACGTTCAATATGAATTTTATTTCTTAACGTCAAATTATGAAGCAATATTTTTCCGACAACAGTCAATTTATCATCATGGGTCAAAAACAAAATCTATTCTATCCAAAACAGTTCATTGATGAGTTCATTCAATTTTTGTTCTAGCGATCAAAAAAGCAGTTGATCATTATATCCAGGTTTCATTCTCAAAATTTGCTTAATGATGCGAATGATATTCAACTCCAATTGATGTAAAAAACCTAATATTTGTGTTCGTTTCATGTTAGAGCCATTTGAACCCTACGTGCAAGCACTTATCGTAGAAAATAAATACTAGATCTTTAAATAGATCGATATCTGATGACCGGAATTTTATAATGCATACAATAAATATCCCTAGTGAAGGTGTTCTTAGACAAGCACCGATAGAGTACTCACTTGAGAAAATGCCGCAAGTATCCAAAGATTTTGAGTGCTTAGCAGTATTAGGCATATCGGAATATTAGTAACTGAAAGTACAATTATTCAGTACTCACCTTGCACTATCGAGTGCTTCGTAAATATTCGTGCATGATTTCTGTGTATTCTGATGATTTATGTGGAACTGCTCATAGGTTTATGTGGTATTTAGTTTTATTGTACTACACCAATTTCATATAAAAAATGTAGGCGCGAATGAAAATTGCAGTCCCATCGTTCCCACAACCTTCTAACATTCTCGACTAAAATTAGCAGCCTCATCTAATCAGCCTTAAGACAGAAAAAAAACGAACACATGTTAAAATATATTTTGAAATGACTACACAACTTTAATTCGAATCAACTTCTTGTGACTTACACGAAGTGATCGATGAATAAACAAACATTTGTTTCAGTCAAAACTTTTATATTATCGGGCAGTTAATTTAGAGCAATAGAAATCGCCATTAATTTTTCCTAGTTCAAATTATTTTATTTTTTGATGGTAAAATTAATAGTTTGTATTTAAAAGAAAAAACAATAATCATAGAAGCCAGAGATCATATTTCATTTTAATAAAAAATCATTTATCTATACAATTATATTTGAATCATTGAATATATCTATTGAAATTTGATATCGTATTCAAATGATTTCTATTTTTATTATTATCTTAATTATAATGAAAAGAAACCGTTGGAAACACTTTGTTTACTACGAAATACAATAGCCATTCTATTAAATTCATAGCTTTTTAAAATTTAAATTTATATACGTAATACGACCAGCATATGATTTTTCTTTATTTACTCATATTCTTTGAAAAGAGAATTGGAAATCATGGTAGCAGTAATCTGCTAATATTTTGTTTCTATTAACATATACAAAAAAAAATATTTAAACGTATGAAAAAATTTATATTCGTATTTGGTATGTTTTTGTATCATTATCACTTTCTTCATTGAAATTGATTTTGTCAAGAATCCGATTTATGTTCTTCAATTGATTAATTGTACTATTCGTCATTGTTTGAGAAGATATATCAGTTTGATGAACATTATCTAAAGTATAGATTAAATATATGTAAAATAGTTTTTTTTCATGTTCTTTTACGTCGATTGGCCTAGGTAAAAGCATATATTTCAAGGTTTTTCATAAATATCACAGATCGAATTACTTTCATAATGTCTTAAAGAAATTTGTTTCCTACGAGAGAAATTGGTTAGTAAGTGTACTTATGCCTGCCGAAGACTTTTTCTTTATAACTATAATGCTGCTTGGTATCTTTTTTTGTGGAAGTCTCAAAACAACCAAGAGATGTTTAGTATTAGACTGAATCAGATCTTAACCCAATCAGAAACGAATTGGAACGAAAATAGTTACCTTACCAATGCTAATTATCGTACCATTTTTATTATTATCCTACTATCATTTTGACACTTCGAAATAGCGACTAAAATTGAAGAATAATCCAAACACATCCTTCGTATCGTTTAGAAATTCTATTAGAAAGTCGACTTCATTGAAATGATAGATATTTTTTCTCGTTAAGCGGTATTAATATAAAGTACATAATCGAAACAAAATACTTCTATTCAGAGTAAAAAGAAAACGTATCTAAGGATTCGATCAAAATTAAATAGAAAACGCATCAAAAGCATACCGACTGATCGAGATTTAGTTGGTGACATAGGTTCTTTGGTTAAATTTGTCCCAATTATGGAATATTTTACTAATGAATTTAATGATCCATGCGAATGATTCATTATCGAAGGTAAATGCTCGATAGTCGGTTCCCAAGCGCCTTAATAAGCATAATAGAGAATATTGTTAATTGCAGACGAGAAAATATTCATTCTTACGCATGTCAACAATTTGTTGTTGTAAAGCTCGGACCCAATTTCTTAAGGTAAATACATCGTGAACAAAAAGTTCTTCTCTATTAAAGCCAAGATTCTCAATGATAAATGAATGTTGATTATCCCGTGTTGAAATAATTGTATCCTAATGTTAAAGAAAACTTTCAACATGAGGAAAAATAATCGATGATAATAAAAAATTCTACCGATGTAATTGGTATAGAAAATCGATGTTGATCTGAAGCATCGTCTCCTACGATTTCTTCGCCATTTAAACAGCCGGTAGCTAATGTACATGAATATTGTGTATTATTAGTTTCTAAAATTCCAGCATATGTTGATGAGCATAGATAACATAATGGTTGAATCGTAAAGCGTGAGATAAAAGATGGACGAATTGGTAAGCGCATGAGAGGATTTTCTTGCAAGCGTTCCATTTGCAGATCGTAAACTTTAGCCATTTTGTCAGCGGATCCTTTGTTAAATATTTTACGAGCAATTAAAACAAATTTTGATTGTGGTTGAACCGATGATTTAGACTGAAAATTTTCTTTTAGTTCACTTAAATGAAAGCTTTCAATTTCTTACACTGTTTGAATTTGATTTTGGCATTTTTTGTGATCCATGCGTAGAAAAATAACTATAGCGATTAGCAAAATCTTTAACTGATGATGACAGAGCAAGGCTTTTATTTAATGCATAGACTTCCAAATGCAATTGAAAATCATGTGGAACATTATTACTTAAATTTGAAACAAGACGAATAAGGACTAGTCAAACAAACATAAACCTTACAAGATCAGTTTCTCTGTAAAAACTATTTCAGTAGATTTTTTATCAATGTATTTCATTGTTGTATCGATTATTTCGCATCCAATTCGTGCCAAACAAAAGACAGCAAATCTTTTTTGACCTTAGTTGACATTTAAAAATTATAGATGAATAAATTTACATCTAGTTAATGTCTACCTGATTTTGCTTTCATACCGGTCCATATTAATGGTAAACGAATATCGGATAGAACAACTGTTGATTTTGCTGCTTCCATGCTTTTTAAAACGAAATTTAAACGAGAAAATCAGCTTTGAATGAACTAAATATATTATTCTTTATACTTTGTATCGTCAGATTTAAGTAAATTTTGTTGCTTTCTTTGTATTTCAGCCATAAATGCTAACATCCTTTGTTGAGAAAGAATGAGAGCTTTATGGCATTCAATTGTTTGCTCGAGTGTTGTAGCCACGTTAAGTAATTTACTTATACCATCTATCATTTTCACTTCACGATCAATTTTACGTTCCAATTCGGGATCCTGTTTTTAAAATAAATAAAATATTTAATTAGTTTTTGTTGTTCTGATTTTACATACCCAAATAAAGAATGAAACAACACGTTTCTCTCTATTATTACGAGTGCTCATCGATTCCATTTGTTTTTTGAAGCGAACAAGAAGTTAGCTGTGATTGATTTCAATAGATTAAAAGAAAAAAGTGACACAGTAGGGAGCGAAAACAAACGTAAATGTCACATTTTCTTTGACGCTTGAAACTTTTTTCTTTTTCTTGTTCGTTTTCTTTTTTTTTACTTTTCGTCTCGTCTTTTAAATGTAGTGACATGAGAACAAGGCAAATATGTACTGTTTAATGTTTGAGAATTTCATCGTACAAGACTCCCACCTACGTGGGTGGACAGATGTGTCTTCGGGTTAAATTGTCATTGATTATGCGATTTTTCGAAATTTATACGATACTTAGTTTCTTTTCAAACATAAAGTAGTGATTTTTATTTATCCTTTTTTCATAGAATCGTGAAGTAAAGAATAATAAACTCAAGGATTTCAATCGTTATTTATATTTAATCACATAAAAAATGTATACCGATTTTGTGGTTTATTCAGAAAAAATGATGATCTACCCTTTAAAACGATTCCAAATCATGATTTTGTTGCTTTACATATTTATATAAATCACTACATTTGGCACGGATCCAAATTAATCGATGATTGCTCATAAAAACAAATTCTTCATCTTCAATAAATATGCAACTTTAAAAATAGCATACTCATGCTGAAGAGATAAAACACGAAATAAAAAGAAAAATTATTCAAATAAATTCGGTTCCATTTTAAAAACTAAAAAAAGTAAAGTAAATATAAAATTCTATATACATATATAGCAATTCTTTATTAACTTTTTGTTGTTTTTCAATATCAGAATTGTTTTCGTTATAAAGAAAAAAATCATCTTATTGGTACTTACACTTTCGAGAAAAAAACTTCATTCCTTCGTTATTCAACATATAATTTCTCGTACAAGACGGTTCATTGAAATATTTCATAATAAATCAAAAATTTATAAACTATATACTTCGCGATATTAATTCTTTCTTTTTGTTTCTCTCATATAATTCATAAGAAGAAAAAAAGAGAAAAAAAAACACAATGCGTACGTGACAAGTGACAGATTGAGTAAATAATAAGCAGAAATAATAATAATAATAATAATAATAATAATAGACAGACAAAGAAGAAGAAAAAAATTCTTTTTTTCTATATTTACACAAACATACATATACTTAGTACTATCAAATAGATAGTAAGGACGGCGCCGATTTGTGTTTTTGTTTTGTTTTGTTATCATTCACACGGGACAGTGTACACACTAGCAACCATTCAATAGAAAAACAAATGCAACTCGGGACTGATTTTGATCATCATATGAAAACAAAAAGAAAAGAAAATCATAGATACATAAACATGAAAAAAGACGCTATTCTACACAATAAGATCTGGCAACAGAAACCATGGAATGGTCAGGAAAAAAAACACAAACGAGAAAGAAATATCTGAGGAATGTATAATGATAAGGACGGAGACTAAATGGAAGCACGCGCACGTCGTTAAATTCAAAAAAAGAAAAGAAAGCGAAAGCGAAAACGAAAATATTATCAATCAATTTTGTTTTAATGTGGATGTTGTTGTTGTTGTAACATATCAACAAAGGCAGCATTTAAATTAAATGAAGTTGGTGATGATGGAACCATTGTTGGTGCAAAACTATTATTATTATTATTATTATTATTATTATTACTAGAATTATTTGATAGTGATGACGATGAATTCATTCGTTTGGTTGCTTGTAAAACTTGATGAGAATCAAGTAATAACTGACTTTTAGGTGGTCGACCGGGGCCCCGTTTTTTTGTTGCCATCAATGGCATATCAAGTCCATTACCTGTACCTCCAATAGCATGTGATAATTTCGTAGCATGGGATGAGGCTGGTAAACTATGACGAGTGTGTCCAGCTGACTGTTTAACCATCGATGCTGGTACACCACTAAAATACAGACCACAAGATTTATTGTTTAATAAGTTTCCACTTAAAAATTAGTTTTCGACTTACTTTCTTATAGCTGGAACAGAAGAAGGTACAGACGATGGCATGGAAAGACCAGCTTGATGTCCAAGCATAGATGCTAATGCAGATTGAAATGCCGCCGATGACGTTCGTGATGAATTTCCGGTAACACTATTTTCAATTGCAGCAAATAATTGATCGTACGATGACGGATCTAGATCGTGTGAAGATAGACCAGGCATTGCTCCTCGTTCAGTAACATATTTAGGTGGTCTACCACGACGTCTCGGTGCAAAATTGCCACGCTCAAATGTAGAAGTATTCGTTGGTGGTATCATATTTGTACTTGAACGCATGATTTGTGGTTGTGAATGTTGTTTTGGTGGACGACCAACGCGTTTAGTTACTGTACCCGGCGGTGTTAAACCTAGTAGTTGTTGTTTGAGTAACGATGAAGTATCAGTATCATTGGCTTGTGTGGACATCATTAATTGTTGAGTCATTTGCCATAGAAGTTGTTGGTGTTGTTGTTGTTGAAGCGATAAAGGTGTTGTTGGTTGTGATGATGATGATGATAATGTTTCAGATGTTTTTTGTCGTTTCGCAGATGGTGGAGAAGAAAATGATGAAGATGATAATGAATGTTTTTGTTTGACTAATTGCTGTTGAGAATTTAAATGCATCATTTTCGTAAATTCATTAAATAGTGCAGATGAATCTGATAATTTTGATGATGATAAAGATTGTTGAGATTGAGATTTAGACGATTTTATGCTAAATAAGTAAACATTTTCTTTTCATTATTTGGCAAACAAAACTTTTTTTACTAAAAAAAAACCATACAAAGCTTCATTGATAAATACATGAGAATACTTTTATGGATTCTTTATAAATGTAAGTGGTTTTGCAAAAAAATAAACTTTTTATTTTATAGAATCGATGTCAACTTAAGTTTTCTTTCTTTTCGGATCAAATTCAATTTTACTACTGAGAATTTTCGATACTAATCTTATTTTTCAATCTACGCAATGAATCAAAATAATAAATGAAAATCTAAAGGTACACCAATTAATTGAAATATAAATTATAAATGTACTTCTAGAATAGTTTCATATGTAATGATTGACGCCAAGTTTATTTTCCTATATCGTGACGTTTCTTCTCGACTTATTTATTACCGAAAGTTTTTTTTTCTGTCTGAAACTTGCGCTCTTTTCTTAATGAGTTTTTTTTCCATCTTAATCCTTCTTTACGACAAAATACTTTTAATTGTAGAGCCAAAGAAAAGAGAATTAAAATTCAATTTACCTGTTCGTATGAATAGAATCACTCATATGATGTTTACCATTGGTTAATTTTTGTTCGCGTTTATGCGTAGATTTCGATAGACCATTTGTTGATGGTTTATGATTTGAATATCCATTCGTTTTGATAAGATGGACGTGTGGTTTAAAATTCTTCTGTCGCTGTTGTCGTATATTTTGAACAATGTTTGTCACAATATCAGCTAAAAGATCATCAACGATTTCTAGAATATTATCTTCCTCGTGATAATTATTATTATTTTCATCGTAGTCATTGTGATTATTATCGATTAAATGTTTCGGTAGTAAATCTAATTGAATACAATTTTGTTGTTTATTATGATAATATTCATCAATGTGATTTTCATTATTGAAATCATCGGCTATCTCATTGATATCTTCTTGATCAGATGTCAATATTGGTTGATCATGGTGATGATGAACGATTGATGAAGATTTCGATGATGATAATGGTAATAAGCGTTGTTGTGGAGCTGAACTTTTAGCTATGTGCGGAGATAATTGTAAACGACGTGGAACACCTTTTCGACGTCCACCACGTTCAGATTGAATTGAATGTTGTTGAGGTGCCGGTGGAGGTTGTGGTATAACGATTTCTTGTTCATCTTGATTTTCTTCGTCATCAATGTCATCTTCTTCGATTTCATCTTCATCGATTTCATCGTCCGGATATGGTCGAATTGGATCATAACTTTGTAAGACATCTTCTTCCTCTTCCTCTTCATGATTCTCTTCTCCTTCTTCTTCATCATTATCATCATCATCATCCTCTAATTCGTCTTCTTCATGTTCAATTTCATCATCAATATTATTAATTGAATAATGATGTCCATTGCCATTATTATTTAAAAAAGGTAATAACGATGGATCATCCATAAAGCAACAGAAAAAAAATAAAATAATGAATTAAATCTTAAAAAAAAGGTCAAATCTCATTATTAGTAACAAAGAAAACGCGCGCGTATGTGCATTTGTGCTGTCCGTGCCGACCGAACGATAGCAATGTACGTATGTGTATAGATAGAAAATTTAAATCTTTTTCGCGTTCTTTTTTTTTGTTGGGCTTTTTTGTCCGTCCAACCTGCCGTCAGTCAATCACTCGACTACTAACCCGTTCGCTTTCACTTTCTCTCGTTCTCATTTGTTCGCGATTTATTTTCATTTCTTCTCTCTCTCGCTCTCTCTTCGTCCGAAACAATGGATTGAAAATTCCATTCATCAAAAATAAGGATTTAGTGACATCTGCATAGAAAAATATTGCTTTATTTGATTTTAATAAAATAAAATAAATCTTATATTTTCTTTTGCTTTGAGAATGATTCCTTTTTTCCTTTTTTGTCATAACTAAAACTAACTCGACGGGAAAATGTAACTATAGTTACAAAATTTGAATTGACTCGATTTTTAAATTATTTTTCTTTCGCCTAGAAGATTTATTAATCAAATAAAATATTCGTAGACTAAAAAAATTTTTACATTCATTAGAATTCCTATTCTACACTGAATGATATAATCTTTGCGAATTGTTTTCTCGTATCCATTAATCAATATTTGATTTAACACCTTTGTTTTTTCGTTTATTATACTGTTTGCTCATGTTTATATATAAAATCTGACAAACAATCGAGAAAAAATGTTTCATTTGTTTTATATTCTAAAGAGATGCATTTCATCGTTACTCATCAATAAATCGAATTTCTTTTTTTTTCTTGACTATAAAATGATTAATAGAATAAATTCATATATGAGTAACATGCTTTTCTCGCGTTTGTCGTGCACTTGAGAAGAAATTAAAAGGAATATTAATTGCGACGCAATAAATAAATTTGAGTGTAGTAGATCTAAATGCCAAATAATTGCTTATATCGTTTCTATGCTTTGTTCTGTGAAAAATGTGATTTTGATTGTATTTTACGTTAATAGATTTTTGTTAATTTTCCAATGTAACAGGAAAAACTATGCATAATTAAAAGTTCCATAACTCAAATCTTTTGAGTTAATAGGTTTTTGTGTGAACAAAGGCATAGTATGATTCTTACATTGAAAGGGTACTTCTCTTTTCCGAAGAAGTATAAAATAGAAAAATGATTGCAGAAACTGAAAGATATATTATCCTGGAAATTTTATTATGTAAAATAATTACGATTGAATATCACGAAAATGCTTTTACTCAATACGATGGATTGAGAAAGTCAGAATTTATTTTGAAGAAATTTCTAGTTCTAGCTAATGACCATTACTAATTGATTTATACAAGAGCAGATGAAGAGTGACATGTAGTTATAGTAATCAAAAATTAATATTACGTTTTCTGTGTTGAAATTCTTTTGAAATCAAAAAAGTCATTTTCGATTGATAATGACACTTGGAAAAAATCTGAAGTTATGAAGATAAATAAACATTATTAATCGATATTTTCTCATAACCATTGATATCCCAGTTGTATCTTATCTTTCAATTTTGTTATCTCACTCAACAAGATTTCCTGTTGAACAGAAATCAAAGATTCAAAATTAGCAACAAAACATTTTCGCTTCATTCGTAAAAACAGTCTTTTTTAATCAACTTCGTTTCTTCAACTTTGATAAGATCGTAAAAGTGTATTTATTTTCAATATATATATATTACATCAATCGACAATTTTTGCATTAGTACTATGTTAGATATGCTTGATCAGGAATAGCACCAGTGAGAGAGAGAGAGGGAGTATTCAAGGGTATACACTCGACCAATGGATGATAAATTATGGGTTATTTTCAAGTTAAACTAGCAAGGATTTATTGAATGTTCTCTATTCTTGTGTATAATCTGTTGAATTATTTATCAAAGTAGATTTTGGCAGAGTTCGAATCTCTTCTAATCATCAGACCATGCTGAAGATGATTCAAAGGAATCATTTCCAATATGTCGGAGCTTAAATAAAATTTTTCATTCAAATTCTGAATACAATTCAGATTGGAAAATGTTGGACCCAACAGACTACTAGTTTTGAGAGATTTTGTTATATATCCTTCATACATTCATACAAAATTATATATAAATCAAGGTTCGCTCAAAAAATTAGTTTTTATCAAATTCTCTTTTTGACCGGATGGGGCTCCTAATGGTTTTTAATTTGATTGAAAGATATTGTCCATACAAAATGCTACAATAAAAATTGTCATATATAGATTCTAGACAACCTTAAAGGCTATATATATATAGAGTATTTATCAAAGCGATGATATTTCAGGAAAAATTTTCTCTATTCTAAGTGCATTGGTATTATGGAGAGAAAATGATTTGTAAATAAAAGGATAACAAACACCGCTAGATCTATAAACCCATCATACTTTTTCGATCATAAGCCTCCGGGGATAATAAAAGTCAATATCTGGAAGATAACAAGGCCTTTACACCAGAAGAAATGTTTGTTGACAAGAATATTGCTTGTCAAAACAAGAAATGTACCATTATTATTCATCGAAGATCTTAGTTGTTTATTAAATAAGAAGGTCGCGGAATTAACCATGATCTTTCTTCACAAATATGGAAACCTAATTGAGCAAACTTGGTGTTAGTAGAATATTATCAAACCTTTTTCATGCATTAACTCAGGCGAGAATGATAGAAGAAATTTTGTTTTTTTCTTGTATTCTTCCTCAGTAACCAATGAATACTGAATGCAACATTTCTGTCAAAACTCGCATGCATTTGTTGATTACACTTGAATTTCAAGTGCATTTCTCTGTTTGACGGTAACACAGAAACACAAATAAATGGAACTGAATAATTAAATAGTTGAATACTTGAAGAGCTTTTGACTAATTGAACTTAAGTTTCACGTACGAAACTGCTGAAATATTGATGGTCTATTCAAATTTATTCTATTAGCTACGTAATTTTATTGTTATTTTTAGTTCTTCTGATCGTTTTAATGAACTGTTTGCTAATTTGATTATTTTGAAGAAGAATTATTTTTTCATCAACAAAAAACATTGTCCTATTTCATTTACATACTGATTACTCCATGATTTGTTGATGAAATTCGAGAATATTTTGATAAGTTCAAATATTAATTATAGGCAAGATTGACTTGCTGAGATAATTTAATGCGAGCAGATTTTAAGGAACCTAATGATTAACATCGGAAATAGCGATAATTATATAATCAAAAAAATTAATTTACAGTTCTTGTTCGTTCTTTAGAATTCTATAATTAAACTATGGGCTGAATGCATTTATAAGTACAATATATTTGTGATCTTTATATTTGAATGTTCATGTCAATGTATTTGATTTGAATGAAAATTTCCATCTCTACGTCAATGTTCTACGAAATTGAATAGAGAAAATTTGAACTCAAAAAGTTGTACATTTTTTGAATATACCATAATCAATTTCTAGTTAAAATTATACATCAATTCAACATATTCCAGTCTCTTAATTAAAAAGTGTTTAAATTTTAACGATCATCCTCTGAAATTCTGATTATAATTTTTGTCCGCATATTCTATGAATGCGAACTACGAGTATGATCGATAGCGAATGAATTCATATACTAGAATTTTCCATCTATGAAAGTTGCTATGCTTGAAGCTAAATTTGTTGAAATGTTATGGCATATAAACTTAACAATAAGAAAAAGAAATGCATTATTTTAAGGCTTTATCTCGCAGAAATTCGGCGTTTTTCCAATTGAAAATTTAAAAAGCCTCCCACTCTACTATCTGCTAGCAATATATATATATATATATATATAGGACATTCAATGCAATAGGTACCGACTAATGGTATATTATGTAAATCTAAATCAATGATAGGAAAACTTCAACCAATTGTATCAAGTTGTTTTATTGATAGATCTTATGATAAACATTATTTTTTTATTCAATTGAGATAGAATATTTTACCATAAAAACCCGTAGCTATTACCATTTATATATATTTTTATTCTTTAGGATTGACACGTAATTAATTGATTTGAAGATTTTGTTTTTCTCATAAAAGCAATTTTTTCGACGATGGGAAATGGACGTCACTCTCATTATTCTAACATTGTATTTATCTCAATAATTGGAGACCGGATTTTCATTCCATGAATTTTTCTCCTGAAGCATAGATTCAATTATGACATCCGGCATAAATAGTAAGTTACTCAAGCACTTTGATCAACGCCGGATTTTAACTAAATTTATCTTTTTATAAAAAAAATCGTGTCATTAAGAACGTCGTCTACATAACTACGTACTGTCAAAAGGTATGTATTTAGAACAAACTTAAAGTAGAATAGATTGTGGAACAAAGCATAGCACAGGAAGTTTTGATAGGCGTAAGACGTTTCATAGAAATTAATCATAAGAATTACAAGCAGATATTTAAAATAGAATTCGGACGTGCACAGGAAGTCTGGCGGAAAGTTGAACTCAATCGGTGGTTACTTTTCGTGTCAACATAATTCTGAGGCTGAATTTGAGCTTCATACGATTTTTTAAGAGGTTAAGACTGAAATAGAAGAGTATATTCAAATAGTTGTATCTTTTGTTTGTAGTATTGTTGTCAAGCTGAATGTATTCTATTCATAATAGAAATTAAAGCGCTTTTGTCTATTATCCATAACAAATTCAATGGGATTTCATTAATAAAGCAAAGCAAAAAAAGGCTGAATTCAAATATGAAAATCATCCAATAATTTTTAGAAATGAAGAATATCTTTCCGGCAAGTTTCTTTTTTTCTCTCGTTTCTTACTGTGAGTGAACAACCCTCATTAATATTTTATTGATGTTTACGAATATAGAAAAAGAAAACGATCACCAGATGCTTGTTAATTATTTTCTTGAACAATTATAAAAAAAAATGAATGCCTGTTTTTTTTCTCATTACTTTTTAGACATCATGCAGAAGAAATAATTCGATCGATTGTCTAATCTAAATTTAGGACTTCTCATCAATGATATTCAAAGAAAAACACATTATTTTCTCCTATATTGAGTAAAAGCAAAAATCGTTTACGACTGTCGTTAATATAATAGTTCCTATCAATAGAAATAACATGATAAAATTCTAGACAAATGAAATTTTATATAATATTTCCATTGTTTCTCGAAAAGAATTATCAATAGCTTTGATTAAATATCGCTTTTGTGATAATGTGTTCATGTGTATGTTCATCTTTGTCCGCGCTCAATAAATTGATAATTACCATTAAAAATGCATAGGAAATGAATTGTATTTCGAAAGGAAAATAATAATCATAATAATAAAAGAATACTGATCTTACGGCAGTCTAGAAATATGATGATTATATAATTCTTTTTTGTACCTTGATATAAAATTCTCATCAATTCATTGCTGTCTCGTTATTTATTTATGAGAAGTAGAAAAAAAGAGTGTTTTCATCGTTTTTTTTTAATCGAGAAATATGCAAATGAGTCAATTACACACAAATACATACATAGCTAAGACTTCTGAAATCGACTATTAATAGCGCTAATGTAAATGAACAGATTTTTCTCGATTCGCTATTCGTTAGATATAGAGGACACTGTTTTGATAGAAGTTTATCAGAATATTGTTTTTATACATATAGACATCTATATATATATATATATATATAGATGTACTCATAGGTTATGTTGCTAGCATATCTCATTTGGTTGTTTTCCTTTTCTTTATAGCTTTACAATTGTTCGCACAGAATTCAATTGCATGTAATATATTACAAAACATGTCATCTAGTAGATGCAAAGAAAAAACTCAATCGATCAGAAAATCCCTCAATAGTTATGCTAGAGAAAAACTTGATTAGATATCTATTATATATGCTGATGCACAGAAGCAAATATAGATTCGAAGATGTCTCGTCGCTATTCATTTCAATAATAGCACTTATTTCTTTTTTTTTCTTTAGTAGACTTCACATTTTTTACAGATTAATATTAGTGAGACGGAAATCTAATAGATTAAATTACAACAATCCATGCGCATAACGACAACGCCGATTACTGCGCAGCAGAAGTAGTAGCATCAGCAGACATATACGCATACACATGCAGAGACATACATATTATTATCATTCTTTCTATCTCTCCTCCTTTCTCATTATGTTGTTCTGTTTCCTACATAATAGACATGCTTTCTCTATCGTCGACATAAAACCGGACAAAAATAGACTGTTGTCGTCAAAGTGAATAAACGAAGCGCTCGGGAGACACATCTTTCTTTCTTCTTCGTTTCCTATTTCTACTACTCTTTTTCAGAGATATCTCTTGCTCTCTTTCTCCTATGACTGCCGGCGTTTCGTCTATCACTCTTTCCCTTTCCCTCTCTCTCTCTCTCTCTCTCTTCTCTTCTCTTCCTTGATTCCATCTGGTATGCTTTACCAACAAGTAGAAAGTTGACAGTGAAAGAGAAAGCAACATAAAGATATACAACCATTTTAGCGCGTCAAAGATCATTCTGACTAATACACACGAGAAACTATGGGCTCTGATACTTCGAAATCAAAGAAACGTGCAACACAATTAACTGAAGAAGAAATACAATTGTTACTAAAAAATACTCATTTTAATCGACAACAAATAAAAGAATGGCATCAAGGTTTTCTTGTAAGTAGTCGTATTCATAAATGAAACATGAAAAAAAAGCGACCATAGAATTATAATGCACTCAATCAAATAATCTATTAATGTAAAGTTCTTTTTCCGTTGGAAATAGTGTCAGAAAAGCGTAAAAAATTTATCTTTTTTTCTAATATGTTCTCGTATTTCCAAATGTAATATTGATATAAATCGACGATATAAACCTATTCATCGATTAGTGTTAATAATTAGTTTAATGACTCGTATGCCTATGCTTGTACATATGTTGATCTGTTAACTGTATCAGAACATCTTTGAGGATCGTTTAATATGAGATTAAAATTAAAATTAAACAAAAAAATTTAATCGTGACTGAAAATCAGAAGAAAAAGAATGCGTAACTAAAATATAGTTAAAAGTGGTAGATCCTTGATTGAGACTTGATCTAATTAAGTATGAATAATGAAATTCGATACGTCTCGCTTAAGATAGTTGGTATTCTATTTCCTCATGTGATCGATCGCGATATATATCGCATTCCCAAATCAACGACTAAGAATATGAGGAAAATTCTAACACCTCATACTTGAGACGCTTTTGTATTAGAATAGAGCACACATAATGAATGCGTTCAATACTAGAGTTTATTGAACGATTATAGAATCACAGTTAATTATTTCTCGACAGGACTGAAGCCTTCTCTGGTTTGTTTTTTTAAGGATTAAAATTAAATACTTATACCTTAGGAAAAATATTCATTTATTAGTTTCTTTGGAAATCTTATGTTCATCTAGATAGACTAAATTGTAAATCTTCTTTGATAGTTTACAAACTCTTGAAAATACTTGAATTTGATAACCAACAACAATGCATTAGTGACAAGATTATTGTTTTGACTGCTGATGATAGGAGAATAGAATTTTGATGGATTCTTGAAAGAGTAAATGATAGAACTCAAAAATCTGATGAGAGTGCCATGTGAACAGCCTATGTAAACAAAGTTTTCTACACTTCTAATGGACGCCAGTTTCTTTTTATGACCGAAGAATTCATATTAATCAAACCTACAGTTCGCCCGTAATGATTATAAATGATGTTCTTTTCTTTTCAGAAATAAAAACTGTATTTTAGAATATGATTGTCGGGTCATTTTTTATTTTTGATATAACAATAAAAGTAGATCTTAAAAACAAGAATAATTGATTTGTTTCCTATTAGTGATACATTTACTCGATTGATAAGCAGACATACAGGCATAGATACATATCATTATATAATTATTAAGATGATTTCATCGGGCAACTGTTTCGATCAATCAGATAAAAATTTTAGTCAAGGTCGTGTTCTTCGCGCAACGTTTTTTTTGTTTTTACAGAATTTAACTTCAAAGAAATAATAAGGCGAAAAAGAAAATATAAAAGCTTTTATTTTTGTAGCTGAACCATATTATGTGTAAATTTCAAGGCACAATACCCTTTTATCATTTCTCATTGAGGCTTTTCCTAATCGAAATGGCATGTCTTGCGCTTTGCTTCTCCAGGAAAAAAATCCATTATCGATGGCAGATTATTTTTTCCTCGAAACACATAGAAAACTGTCTGTACAAATATCTCTCTCCATTAGTTTTCACTCTAGAAGTTCTTTCGAAAATGTTGATAATCTCGTAGGAAAAAAAAACAAATGCATTCTTATAATTCTATAGAATATTATATCATAGTCATCAAATACTAATATATGAAAACAAAGCAACACTACGATAGATTTCATTGACTGTGTAGAAGCACTTTTTCCTATATAGTTAGACGGAAATCTCTGTGTTGACCGATAACTTTTTTTTATATTGATTATTTTCCTTGTAGAAAGATTGTTCAAAGGGAAAGTTAGACAAAAAAAAGTTCATCGAAGTATACAAACAATTTTATCCGACTGGAAAAGCAGATAAATTTTGTTCACATGTTTTCAAAACATTTGATACGGACAATTCGGGAGAAATCGGTAGGTTTATTTATAATTTTTCATAGGAAATAATTATTGTTGTATTAAAATAAATTAGATTTTGTCGAATTTCTTATCGCTATATCTGTAACATCACATGGCGACATTCGTGAAAAACTTAATATGGCATTTAATATGTATGGTAAGTTCAATGCAATAGAATTATTGTAGATGTTTTATATTTTAATGAATGAATTGATTCATTTATTTAGATATTGATAAAAATGGAAAAGTTGACGCAAAAGAAATGGAACAAATTGTGACTGTATGTGTACAGAAGAGAAAAAGAAAAGAATCGATTATCAATTTTTTTTCATTTTTTTTCAGGCTATCTATGATTTACTCGGTGAAGAAAATCGTAAAGGTGAAAATTCTCCCGCGAAACGTGTAGAAAAAATCATGATTAAACTTGATTCAAATGGTGATAGATCATTAACCAAAGATGAATTTATAAATGGATGTTTACAAGATGACTTTCTTAAAAACTTATTAGCACCTAATGCTTGAAAAAGATAATTATAATGTTGGAGAGAAAAAGATAAAATAAAATAAATTGTAGAAAACTTATTGTGCTTCCTTTCATTTTATTTTTGTTTTGTGATTTGTCTTGTTATTTATGTTTCACTGGCAAAAAGAAAACAAATATCAAAAGGTCTTTATAAACAATCAAGCATCGAATACGTATTATTGTTTTTATTGCAACTATGACATACAAGAACAGAGAGGGACAGGCTCAACTACATGTTTTACATTGTGGCAATGTCCTTGCAGATAGATTTCAATTTAGATTAGCTAATTTATCTTGAATGACAGCCACCAGTGCGACAAACGCGTGGGACTTGATGACGACAACTCAAACTTTTTATACAAATCATTACGTATCTGTATAAAGTTATGTCTACTGCATATTAAGTAATTCTATACATCGATCAGTCGCACTCTTCGGCTACACATAAATGGCTATTGTCCTATTGAATATGATTAGCTTTTACTGAAGCAAAATGCATTTTCTTATCGACACTCATAGCAGATTGAAATCGATGAACTATGTAAAAATAAATAAAGCGTGAATATAATCTAAAATAACTATTTTTTTTCAATTGATAATAATAGTTGAATTCGTTTTCTTTAAGAATGTGAATTTCTATGCTACTAGAAAAATGTATTTTTGTCGTTTGCAATATTAGATATTTGCAAGCCATTTATCAAAGTTGACAACGGTTATGACAGAGTAATTTATCAGGTCTGCAGATCCGACGAACTTATTATTTATATGGTCGAAGAATAGTGCGTAATCAAATGTATTGAGATGTTTTAGCCAATGTTTCGTTGAGGAATCACTTGTTAGTCTTCGGAGATATGCCAAGACTCTAGTGAATATGTAAACTAACGTCTAGCTTGTCTTTCCAAACATAGAAATTTAGAGGAACTTCTATATGACTCCCTGAGGAGTCGCGAGTGAGTACTCGATTGTCAAGAAAAATGAGTGTCGATACAAATGTTTCTGAAAGAGTAATTAAGAAATTCAGAATTGATGTCTTTTTTAGATTCAACAGTTGATTCGAATTGATGACTTTTATTCTTCTGATGTAGGTCATTTTCAATAACAACTACAATGATGAATATAAATTAAAATTATATATGTATATATTTTGTGTGTACTCAAAAAGTGAGTACACTCTAGAATCGATCAGTGTGTCCGTCCGACCGGCCGTAGGCACGATAACTCTTGAAAGCCTCCTCCAATTACCATGAAATTTTGTACACAGCATGATCTCATTAATATCTCGGTCGAGTTCGAAGATGAGAAGGATCCGTCAAGTAATGGCTGAGCTATCGAAAAAATTGTCATTTTTGGCCAGACCATCCCTGAGGAGGGGTACAGAGATTTTTCAAAAAAAATATTTTCCCCAGAATTATTCACAACATATAGAAATCGACTCAGTTTTTAACGCTGATTCCGAATCTGATATTAGTTTTGAACTAAACCGTAGCTTTCTGATGAAACATCGCCTGAAAAACGTTTCAAAATGCACAAAAACTGCATCCAGAAATCAAATTGCCTAGTTTCTCATGATAATTTTGGTGTTCAGACATTCTAGAATGACTCATATGTCCCATGCACTTTTGCAGAACACATAACTCTGGGATGAAATCCGAAGTTTCCACATTTATTTTTAGATTAAGCAGCTAATGGGTAAGTTCGAATACACTATCATATCGCGTTCTAATGAGTGTCATATGGGTGCGTGAGAAATAATAAGTCGAATAATTGTTTAAGATAGCTGTCAGTTTCATGTTGGATAGCCGGAAAAGTTCCAGGAAACCCATTTTGAGATTCCCTGTGGGGACTTTCATAGAGACAACTGATTTGGTCAAGCTCCGAGTACTCATGCCAATGTTTAAAATTATAATCTACTGAATGATATTTTCTCTTTTTAGAGCACTAACATTTCTAAAGGAAAAAAAGGAAAGTGCGTTTGCTTATAAAGACACATATCAATAAATTTGTAAATTTTACTCAATATACTTCCGTCTTTGAATATTCATTACAGTCAGCTGTTCTTTCTACTCTTTTATCAGTCCAGTTTTTTGGTTTCTTGAAATTTACGACGTAGGAAGATGTTCATTAACTATGAATAGCGTCAAATATAGAAATTCATCATCTTCTCAATAAATTAAAATAGAGATTAGTTCCTATTTGTAATTTGAATAGTATTAATAATTTCAAAAGTCATATTAGATGTTAAAGCTCAATGAGCTCAGTCGTATCATAGATCAAAGCAGAGTTTTTTTTTCTAACCGGAACTATTTTAATGAGGTCTTAGTGAACGTTTAATATGAAGATTGAGATACCAAGTAAAATATCTATGGTATAGTTATAGGTATTGTTTCTATGTTTTCACTATGCTCAATTTGTCTGTTAGGCTGATATGAAAAGCTAAGGCAATTTGACATTCTTTGGAATAATAAAAATAACCGAATTATTTCGAATTGATTTTATATTATCATACAAATAATCCTATTGACTGTGACACATCTGTCTTTTCATAGATACCATATTGAATAGAACCAGTAATAAGCTATAGGATTATATTTTAAATTGATTAGATATTCGCATTAGCCTTTTCCGTTTTAAACTAGAAGATTTTTTTTTGTTTTTTTTCGGATACAAGACACATAGTGCTCAGTTTATCATAAAATCTAAACAACAAGCGTAAGAATGAAGATGAAAACAAGATAATCGACGGAAACTCTAATCAAAGATGAGAAATAACTTTTTCAAACTATAGAACTCATCTAATACCATGGTAATATGTTATCTATTGCGAAACGATTAATCTAATAAATATCGATAGTCTATCCTCCTTTTCTGTCATTACGAATACAGACTGTAGCTTTCTAAAAACAAATATATATTATTTTTATTTCTTAGATTAACATATCTTACCATCATAACCAAAAGAAGAAAAAAATGACAACATAACTTCTAATACACTATGATAGCCCATTAAAGATGACTCTTATGCCAAGGCTAAAAATAGAAATCCTTAAAGAAGCAGTCTAGCATTATTCAATAATAGAAAAAATATGTTTTATGGATCAGTAACATAAAAATACATGACAATTGGATAATTAGATAAGCAGTTTTTTTCTGTCGCTAACAATCATCTGCCAAATAAAAATGCAGTTCATTTTATAAGAAAAGAATTTTTGTCTATTTTCAATGGCTAATTATTTACTTCACAGAGCAGTCTGCCTTTATTTCTAGGATATCGTTAAAATATGATAAATAAAATTTTGTAAAACTAAGCAAAAAGCGTTAAATGCTTTTTCTACTATCTCAAGTGGATATGGAAGCACGTATCGCCAAGATTTTTATCTCTCCCTGTCGCTTCAATAAAAAGCCACCATAGATAATATGACGTTTTTTTTTCCATTAATAATTAATCAATGCTTGCAATCTTCATCGAGTATGTTCTATAATGTTTTCTTTATCTGATATTTTTCCTAAGTAACTATCTTTGGATTCTATAGGCAGGATCGTGTATAATCCTAGCTGATGAAAACAAAAGTAGCTAATACTTTTGCCTTCGCAAATTTGGAATTTTATTTGAAACTGTTTATGTTGTAAGTAAAATACAGCTTTTGTATTCTAATTAGTTTTCTTTGTATATTCATTCGATTATGTTGATATGATAAAAACATAAACAAGTCATCTCGATGATATCCATCCATAGTTCTACTTATACAAAAAAACGCCTTCACAAACGACAATTCAATGATCGATTAATTTTATATTAGCAGATCGTTTGCAATATTCAAATTGCCTTTCGTTTTGTGAGAAATATTTTACCGAACAATATTCAAAACTTGAATATAATGATGAAACCTCCTATACTACAATCACTGACAGACTAAATAGGATATTGCTTATTCTTTAAATAATGATGCATATTACATATGATTCCAGTTTCGGTTGAAGATTAATTAATAATAATTAAACATAAAGTTGATCGCTATCTGGAATCTGTATCAAGCAACAACGGAGCAGAACCACAAACAATCTAAGTACACAATGTCAATATACAATATACAATGGATTGTATAATAAATAGTCCTACATCTGTTATTGTGCCAATACTTTGATGAAAAATGATACATCTGAGACGATCATTATAAGCTGTCCTTGTAGTTCAGATTTATTTTCTGTGTATTAAAATCAATGGCTTCGTCGAGTAGTAAACTATAGTTCGTTCTAATCCATGCATGCTTACTTCAACAAATCCTATTTCTTTATCAGTAATTGTCGATATTTAATAGAAATTTGCCATTTTTGGTAGATGACAATTTTTGACGCTCATGATTTTGTAAAAACACTAAAATAAAGAAATTTTTGAAATGCAAAAGAATAAATTTAAATTCATCACTTCTAGTAAACTTTGGCGTAGTGATCATAGCCTAAAGAGGAGAGAGTATCACAGAACAAGAACAACGGACGTGACCGCGTTGTTCAGATCAATTAACGTTATTGATCAGTTCTTGTATTGAAAATGATTTATTCTATGAATATAATTCATCAATACTATTAATTTTATCATCGTTTTCCGTGCACAATATTTTATATTTTACTTACTGTTCAATTTCATCGATCTATGTTACGTAGTAAGGCTGAACGACTTAAAACGTGGCTCCACCATCTGGTACCTACAACAGCAAACATTTCGGCATAAATAATTCGTAGGCTGTAGAGCTTTGAGAAGAAAGACTAAATAAAGCTGTATGTGATTGGACAATGTACCTGTGTAAATCGTTTCATAGGTTCTATTGAAAATAAAATACTTATACATGATTGATTCTAAGCTTTTATTGCTTATTCAACATGTTGGATAGTAATCGCTAATCGTAGTTGCGAATGAAAAGAAAAGGCTTTGAGCAATATTCAACTTCTTATTCACGTTGAATTAGTTTTTATATATCGAATATGCTTTGAGTTCGAAATAGAAAGATTGATTCAGGCTGTGAGAGTGAAGCCATTTTTAGTCATGAATGTGATTTCTAGATCACTGTTTTTTAAACATGAAATAGCTTTGAAAAAATATTGAAAAACAAAACATTGATTGAGCATCGAAAAATGAAATCTAATTAGATGGAAATAGTTAAATCTGTTAAGAATAATATATGGGCCGGTTCTATTTAAAATAAAATGAAAGATTCGTTTGCATGAAAAAATTTACGATTAGTAAAAGTACGTGAGAAAATCTGGCAGCGTGTCACATAAGCACCCTCAATTTAGTTGTTCTTAATTCAAGTAACAGTGTGAAGTTCTTTTAACCTCAGACGCACTCTTTCGCTTGACGAGTAAAACTGTAATTAGTTAATTATTTTCTAGGTTTACAAAAAACAAATCCTCAGATAGATTGAATCTATTGAACTAGAAGACCTACATGCGTAGAGAAATTTTCAATATTATCGATCTGAAGTAAAACGTATCCCAAAAATCTTCTTTCAAGAAAATGATTTTGTACCGTTTCACAACGAAGCCTATTTAAATGCTCAAGCAAGATTCGAAATTTGTCTCATTGAATCATACGAAATCGTTTGCTTTTTAACTGCACTAGCAACAGTCAAAGTCAACGTAACTCTCGCCGTACTAGGTGATTCTCGGTATACTTTTTACTAGAGAAAACTGGCCCTTCTAAGACTGTGTTCTATTGCGAAAAAAGATTTCGAAAATGAAAATTATGAATTTTTTATTCTGAAATTTTGATCAGCCTACGGTCTTAGTGGATATTTATTTTATCAAGAAAGCAAAAACAGAGCAGAAAAGATATTTATTTAATAGTTGAATAAAAATGGTGAAGCAAAGGAAAACAAAAACATCAAGTGTTCAGGAAATAATCAAACGTTTTCATTTATCATATTTTAAGCATATGTTAATGGTTTAATACTCGATAGAAGTTGATTAACTGTTTCAATAAATAACGGACTAGCATCCATAATGCGAGCGACGGCTTCCGGTGAAAATTTATCACGCGCCAAATGAAAAAATTCCGAATGATACTAAAATAATAATACCAAAGAGAATTCTAATTACACTAAATATTAAAAGAATATTTTTACATCAGTAAATGTTGATGCCTCTGTAAATTCTTGTGAACTCTCACAAACATCAGTAAATCCAACAAGTTCACTTGTAAAAATAATACATCGTAGATCATCCTTTATAATAATAATTAAGATAAAAATTTATTAACAGAGAATTTTAACTCTTACGTCATGAGTTGATTGATCAATTAATTGTTCTTTACAGCCAATAACAATTTTCATTTCATCATTAACAAAGGCATTCCAATGGCTGTAGGAAAATGCAGTACAGGTTGATGCCATCGCCATTTGATTGTAAACCCACCATTCTAATTTATGATTCTAGAATATTGATTTTATTTCTTCTTCTATTGTAAAAAGAAAAGAAGAACCAATACTAACTTTATTAATCACGCTCACATATGAATCTGAATCAGATTCAGGAAAAACATTGAGACCAAGTAATCTTAATTTCTATTCATAAGCAGAAGAAGAAGAAGAAGAAAAATAGATAAATAATCTCTAATAGATTTCGTTTGAAAAATATATTTACTCCGATTAATTCTTTTAATGGCATAAATTTATTAGCAATCGGTTCAATGATACTAACGAATGCGGGATTCGTTTTATAAATGTCATCGCCCTCATCAGCTGCTGGTCGACTTGTTGACAGAGACGATGTTGATGCTACTTGAAAAACATTGGGCTTAGCAGCTTTTGCAGCAAATAATGAGGCTGGTTTATCTTCAACCGGTAATTCCACTTTACGCGGCGGAAGATATACAGCTACTTTATCGTACTAAAGTAAAAGAATATATGGTTATTTCAATGGAGAGAAAAGTTTTTTTTTATTCTGTTCTTTCTCGCAGTGATTTTATTTGAAAGTTAAAATAGACAATTTTCTCTAGGTACTTCATCGATCACAAAAAGTTGCATGACAAGAAAATCCTTCATTCATTTTTATATTATATTAAAATCGCATTAAATAATTCTACTCTTTTTATGTAGCATGATTCGAATAGAATAAAATTTATTCTATAGAAATAGATCTAGCAATAAGTCCGGTTTCTTTCTTCTTATTTCATTGAATAACTTATAAAAAAAGAGGCGAATAATCAAAGCTCATTTCCGGCGATCTTGTTTTATTTCTTTTATGATTGTTAAAAAAAGTCTCCAGAGAATTTTCATCTCGTAGAATTAGAAAATAAATACATTTGACAATCTCGATAGGACAATCACTTTAAATATGGAAAGTAAATGAAAGAATGTATGAAGCCGTCAAAAGCTTTTTGTCTTCAGTTCGTCTTCTTCTTGTTTTTCTTCTTTGCGTTTTAATGATCAGGCCTATGATAATGGCGTTAGACATGCGTTAACCCTATTAGCGATGATGGCTATGTTGATGTGTTATCGTTCATTGTCATCACAATTTCTTGAGGCATCTTCTTGTGCTTACATCGATTTTTTTTATATTTGCACAACCTTCACAAACATCATGATGATGGTGCCGGATAAATTTTCTATCGGAGATCGATATAGCACAACAACCATGATGATATATTTATTTGAAAAGGAACGAAAATATTTTTTGTATGTGACGATTTTGAATGCAATGTGGGATAGCCCACTCGTACATCTGTTAACAATCAGTTTCGGTAGTAAGATAGAAGAACAGTAAAAAGAACAACGACACGAAGACAAAGTTAGTAGTTGATCAAAGATATGTGTTCTTCAAAACATATAGTTGCGCTAACGAACAATAAGGTGATATCCAGTTTCTATAGTAAAATATCTAACTATCTATCTATCTATATATATATATTAATTCTGTTATTGGTATAAACATTCATGCATAGTTTACTTACATATTTTCTATCTAAGAGGAGGTTAAGCCTACGGGCTTGCCGATCGACTATGTATTTCTTTCGTCGCTGTCATAGTTATTATTCTCTAGGATGAGAATGATGGGACACACATTCAAAAAAGAAATAGGATTAACCAATAAATGTATTACTACATCCTGCTTCCATTTTGCTTTTCCATTAAAAAAAGTAAGCTGAAAGGCATTTATATCTATCTATAGATATGTTAGGAAAACTGACAAGAATAAGGTCAAGTTGATGATTTGCTAACTTATTATAAATGGACTGGTGATATATTTGACTTGAGTTTTTCTGCCTTAAATTAAAATAATTGAATTAATTATAAATACTTTACATTCATTTCTTTCTTTAATATTAATCATAGTCAGTTTGTTTTTTGTTTGACTTATTTTATTGTAGGTTAGGAAACAATCGTTTCTTCTTGTCTGTTTTCTTAATTAATACCAGTAGACACCCCCATAGAAAAAGGGAAGAAAAAGAAATTCTTTCTTTTTTCTATGCGTAACATGACAGAAATCGTAGTTTGTATCCCTGTTCTTCCCACGTTGACAACATGTCCTTAGTTTAGTAGACACCAGTAGGAAGTAACCAGAAAGATGTCGATAAAACATATTGTATACAACAAAAGGCCATAGATGACATGAATTTTTTTTTCATGGATCGTAAGTTTGAAGGCCAAGAAGAAAGAAGAACCTTGGCTACGTTTGAATGCATTAGACTCAATAATCACTCGTTAGATTTCATTTCACTCTCTTTTTTTATTATTTCTATTAAACATCTGCATACTTCCTTAATTTCATCATTTGTGTCTAGGAATGACAGCTAGAAAATCACTTGTCATCATATTGCTATCACTGCTGTTTCTATCTTTTGTTCTTCATTCACTCATTCTTTGCATTCGGATTTTTCTCTTGCATATAATGGATTTCTTGTCACTTGTCTCTCTCTATCTGTCTACTTGTGTGTTCTCATCACATTGGCATATAAGCAGCTGACGTTGTGCATTAATTTAGATAGAAATGCAGAATTTTTTCTTTTGTTTTTAATGACAGCTACATTTAACGTTATTCATTGACAATTTCTAAGTGATTATATAAATATGTCGTTGGATACCGATTTCGAGGCATCAGACAACTTTTCAGTATTCAATAATCATGATTGTTTCTATATATTTGCACTTGAAATCTTACTTTATTAAAAAAACAACAAGAACTGTTAATAACATGTTTCAGTTCTACATTGTATTATATCGATATGAATAAGAGACGAAATTGAAATGAAGTCACGACATGTATATCTATAGATCCTGCTGTGCCATGTTATTTTTCTACCACACATCCTTGTTATTCTCTTACTATTTACACTTTATACACTCATTTTTCTTTTGAGTTCTCTTCAACAGAGATCGATTGCATCTCATTTTCAAGATAAGAATCAGCATAAATAGTTTCTTTTTCCGTTTTTCTTTTTCTACCATTCATTTTTTATAGGATTTAGTACTATTGTTAGCATATCGAGTGCATAGAGGAAATGACATCACTGGGATATATATATATTGTTATATACACGCGCACATTCACGCGAGTCTATTCATTCATTGGCACGAATAGAGGGAAACAGACAGATTTTTCAGTCGTCGAAGAAGATAGAGATAGAATGAGAGATAGAAACAAAGAGAGAGAGAGAGAGACAGAGAAAGTTTTCTATTTACTAAGAATGTGCAAGTCCTCCTCGCGGGAAAAAAGACGAAGAAGAAAAGGAAAGAGAGAAAACGAAGCTGTAGCCCAATTGTCGTTGATGATAAAAAAAATGGCGAGAATAACAACACATACACACCCTATACATCGACAAGAAGATAGATAGGAAAAGGTTTACATAGGACAAACAAACTGAGTCTTTCCTTTGTGTTTGTTTTTTATTCAAGCGTTCCTTTTAGTTTTGACATATCAAATACATATACTATTTTATTTCATTTATAAAAATATCAACTTTCTAGATATAGAATTGAACAGCAATAACAAAAGGAAGTTCATAGAAAAATGATCTAGAAACTGAATAATTCATCTAATGGACGTACTCGAATTACCGCGACCTGTTATTAATTTTCTCCGAACAATGGCCAAAGAAAGTTGTCGTTATGCTCTTTCATGGGATATATTTGGCGGACCAGATTCAGTAACACTTACATTAACATGGAAACTCATTGATGATGAAGCACAATCATCAATAATTAATGAAACATTATCACCATCATCATTAAAACAGCAACAACAAAACCATGATAATCCTAATACTTGTCCACGTTCAGCAGTTAAAGAAAATACTCGATCATCATCACCCCGTCGTTCACGTTGTGATGAAAATACTTCTGCGAATGAAAATATTTCCGTACCAGCTATCTTTCGTTCATCTCGAGGCAAAAGTCTCGAAGGAAGTCATATACAACCCACTAAACCGATGGTTTCTCATCATCAACATATAAAAGAACATCAAAATGTTTCAAGTTTAGAACGTCAAACAGTAATAAATCATCATCATCAGCAGCAGCAGCATCATCATCATCAACAACAACAACAGCAACATCCATCAAAAAAAGAACAACAAAAACAAATATCAACACAGTCAGATCAAATCTATGGAAATCTCAACGATCCACGTTCAACATCTGTTGTCAAGTGTGCCACCATATCTTCTCTATCTAGTTCTTCGTCATCTCCACAATCAAATAATAACACTAATAGCAATAACACTAACAATAATCCACCTTTATCTGTTGCTTACACGCATCATCAGCGCACTAAACAACCACAACAACAATCTATAACTCCGCCAACTGTTCGAAAACCAATTAATTCATTAGTTAATACTTCTCGAATACCAACAATACCTCCTACTAATACTGTTACTACTAGTAATACATCATCAAACTATACGAAACTACGACGAAATGAGAATCAAACGATTCATGATAATATGATTCCTACTAGTACTACTACTACTACTACTCATAATAATAATAATAATAATAATAATATTAATAATAACGACGATGATGATGGTGGAACTGATCCATGGGTAAAACGTTTTGAATGTTCATTTGAAGATAACGATGATGACGAAAGTACAGAACATTCAGAGGACAAAGAAGCTTTGTCTACAACTACGGACAATGTTGAAGAATGTGGAAATACATCTGGCAAAGTTAAATTCAAGACTAAACCCGATTATTTCTAAACATGAAATAGAAATTCTAATCTGTTTATATTATTTTCTTGTTGTTGTTGTTGTTTCTCAGGAGGAGAATGAAAAAGCTGAATATAATGTATAACTATCCATGATCGAATCTCTGCATAAGCAAGCAAAAATAAAATTTATACATTTGATCGTCAATGGTTTTTTTTTTTATTGTTACCATTTTGATATATTTCTTTCTTATTTATTCGATAAAAAAACAATTTTTGTCAAACGATGAACTAAACAGGCATCACATTTTCCTAGTTAGCATTATGACCATTGGTCAATATGTCTGCATTATTGCCAACAAAGGTCATTGCTGTCATATTATATTATACTATAATACATTTGTCCGTTGCGTCAATCGGTGATTTTCATTACATATTTCCCCCTTTTCCTTCTCTGTAACATATTCTTCGTTTATGTGCGTGTGTGTGTCGTTTGGCACATCATACTATTTCCGTTTGTCTTTTGACTCGACTATCAACCCAATTAGCGCATATCCCGTAGTTTTGACTCCTTATTTTGTCGTTTTTTTTCTTGTTCCTGTTTTTACAGATACAATAAGAAAAATAAGACAAGCAGTTGGTGGGATCCCTAAGGATAAAATTGAGACCATACTATGATGATCGATACCAACTGGTCTTAATACGAATTAGACAAATGAACAGTTGCACATGATAAAAGAGACGTATTTAGAAACATCAGGTATAGGATTAAACAGCAAAGACGACATTTCTTTTACGTATATAACAACATGGTGGTGTATTTGATATTTTTCTTTTCTTCTGTATTTTAACATGCAAGCGTATGACTCATACAGAATAGATACATATTTATATGATGAAATTGACCACTGTGTTCTTAACATAATGTCAATTGTCACCAGGCTAACGTAATTCATAATGAACAACCATTTTTCTTACAATCGGTTCCCTCAGGAGTCACTCAAAACAAAATAAAATAAACAAAAAGGAATATAATTCGTCCTTATCAAATTATTGCTCGTATCGATTAATGTATATACTCTTGAGGCAAGATCTATTCCTTGTTGTAGATGCACTGGTAAACTCAATTCCATTGTCAAAAAAAACTTCAAAGCCTAGAACTTTCTTTTTATATTAAAAATGATAATTAGACCTAGAAAATAGGTCGACAGGGAACTATTCATGTATCTTCTGTAACACATCGAACAATAGTTAATCAATGAAACATTACAATAAACCTAATTTACACTACACTCAATTATTTCCAAGGCTCCAGTCAAGTTTTCAAAATGTTTTCTTTGCACATTTCTTAATAGCAAGGCAAACCCTTCCACTGATGAACTAACTACTCTTGAGTCAAGACATAGTACATTGTGTGAGTAGTATCTAGAATATAGTTCATGTTCATAGTTTATTACTGCCAGCAAACTCTACTATTTGGCTATTCATTAAAAACAAAATCGATTCCACCGTTTTATTGCACCAACGATGAGAAGGACTAATTTCAAATAGAAAAAACACGCCAGAGATCTTAGAGAAAATCATATTTTGTATCTTTTTCTAATCTTGTTATTGTTTTTATCCTAAGATAGAAATGTGTCAATAGTACGTGTCTTTTACATGACATATATAAACTGTCAGATCCGACGCTCGTATTTCACGATTGAAGTAAATCAAAAACACGTATGCTCTACGCCAAATTTCTCGTTGATTCTATGAAACTAGTTTTTCCAATGCTCCTAAGGAGTATCAATGAACCCATTTAGAAATCAATACTAAAGTATCTCGGCAATAATAAGCTTCATAGATGAATTCTTTTCAAAGAATCGAACGCTTCTTCAAATCGTAATGGCGCACTTAGACTCAACTCAAAAGTGGCTTATCAATTGACGGATTTTCTTGTTCAATAAATCAAAAAAGGATGACATACTTTTTTCATATATCACAAATATATACCTCTTGACAACATAGTAGAGTAGAAAAAAAAACCCGAGCACACTTATGTATATATATATATTATCAATATAAATCATTGGCAAGGTTTATTCTCATTCTATAGATATACTTATATAAGATATCTACCTATTTTAAACATGTAGTACAAGAAATATCGATACTCAGCGACAGATTATATAAGTATGACGTTTCAATACATTTTCTATCCATGATGAATTTACATTCGTTTAAACAGAAAAGAAAAACTGTTTCTTTTTCAGTGTTCTACCTGGTTTCAAAAGCAAATTTTACTTAAACTTTTAAATGCAACATCTCATACTTCGATTCTTTTCTTTTTCTAATTACAAAGCACTCGATCGAAAAGAAAAAGAAGGTGCACATTTCAGATGCTTCTCTAATTCGTCGATTTCAATCTAGTTCTAAAATAAATTTTACATAATACTCCTCGTGTATTGTAAATATCAAATGATCTCATGTATTCTTTGACATTTATGGAAAAAAAAATAAACCGATGTAAATCAATACAAAGAAAATACTTCCGATTATCTTCTCAAAATAAAAAAGAAATGATATTACACCTGTCAAAAGGAATTTGATTACTCATGTACCGGTTTCAGGAAATAGTCAATAACAATATCAAGAAGAAGGAGAGGAAAAAAAGAAAGCGATGCTATTCACACATTTGATAAGGTTCTTTTTCTAATAATTTAATCTCTCAAAGCTAACGAAGAATTACATCCATTGTTTCGATTTGATTACTAAATGGTCTCAATTAAATCAGGCTAAAGTGCAATTCTGCATAATCCGATAATATTCTCTATACAAAGTGTACTTAAATGATTTAAAAACGAAGACAGTTCTTACATAATAATTCACACCATTTACTTGTCTTTCGAAATTCTCACTGTACACAAAAACACGTAAAAAAAGAGAAAAGAAGAAAAAACGATTGGGCAATTATCTGATGTTTTTCAATATTCTATCTTCTATCATCATCATTATTCTTACTCATCATGAGTAACATTTCTATCAGTCAATCATTCATTAACATTTTTCGTTTTCCTATCACAGATATAAACAGATTGATAAGCACAAAATTTTTTTTCCTACTTAATGTTAATTATCATTTTGTCAATTTTATAGACGAAACATTGATATTCGCTATCAAACTAGTTGCTTATATAGCACATACTACAAATGCTAAAATCGAAGTATGTATGAGAGAATTTTTATTTTTGCTTTGATCGATTTTCTCATCGATTCTGTTTATAACGAGAAACCTTATGAACCATATATAGGACAGCGAGAAAACATTATCATCATCATTATTTTTATTATTATCATTAAAAACAATAATAATATTCAAGCAAGAACAGTTTACGAATAGAAAATTATATAATCATCATCATTTACTCTCTCTCTCTCTCTCTCGCTCTCTCGTTCACATTGATAACTTTCTTTTTCTTCTCGTCTCTTCATTGAACATCACGTCAATTGAAAGATAAAAGAATCAGAACAAGACTCATCTTTACATATATACAATACACCTGTACACTACAATAATATACATCGATATACAAATAACAAAGATACATAAATAGATATTCATATGCCGAAATCAGTTTGAAGTAAGTGAATGATACGCATCTTCATTGAATAATTTTATCAATTGTATTAAATGTAAAAACAGAAAAGTAAGATTGTGTATGGATTAAATCAAGAACGAAAATATGAATTGTTCATTTTTCTTTTTGTTCTTCATCTTCTTATCTTCAATAGTTTATTATCATAATCTCAATGGAATAGAACTTCCTTCCGGACATCTGCTAAATGTATATATTAATAAAGCATAACAAAAAAAAAATGAATCTAGTTAGTATCATAATATCTCACCCTTTGAAAATTCGATATAAGATCAGATTTCATTCTATATTTTATGTGCGGAACAATAGAAAATTTTTCTATGGTCTATAGAACAGATAGAAAAATTGTTGTTTTCTTCTTAAATTACTACTACTACTACTACTCGTAAAATCATTCAGTAGCTTATTTATATATGTGTATCATGACACCTACTCAACTGTCATCACCTGTCTGCCTGTCTTGCGATTACTTGGTCGTCTCTTTGTCTCTCCTTGTTCGCTTAAGTTTTTTTTTATCCAAATGTCATTGATTTCTTCTCTTCTTTTCTTTATTCTTTCTCCTTATCGATTGTAGGTTTGCTGCTATATATGACCACTGCCGTCGGCGAACCGAATATTCCTTCTTCTGTTTATTCGTTCTAAAAATAATAATCACACGCATCTCATATTAACGCGATTATCTGGTTTGATCTATATGGTATTCTATATATATTTATGCGCTCGTTGATCATTCTGGTATTCTCACCTTTTCTACGCAAATCATCATTTATTATTAATATTTCTGTCGCTCCACATATTACCTTCTAATTAGCATTGAATCTATCAAGTAGAAAACAAAACAAAACAGGAACACAACTAAAGATAATCAATGATTGAACATTTATCTCGTTGTCTTCTCCGTTAGTTTACATTTATCCCCTGTTTTTCTTTGTATACAACTACGACCAACAATAGTGAAGATATGGAATATCGTAATGCACTGACTTCTAAAATAACAATGATCAATTCGAGTAATAATAACAATTTGCATCCTCATAATCGACGAAAAAAAAGAATAACAACAAAAAGACAAGAACTACCATCGCCATCATTAGCATTAAAAAATCAATATGTACCATCGTTACTCATTACTGATTCTCGACTTGCTGAGCCAAGAATCAATCAATGTGAACAACAGATACCGATGAAAACTTCCTTCTCATGGACTAAAAAATGGACGAAATGGTTTTCATCCTGTGGGTCAGAACGAACGACTCCTATAGATTTAAATTCAAAGTCAAAATTAAATGAAGTGAGTTCAGATTTATTTTCGTTGCATTTCAAATCTACTAGCTATGTGATCAATCGATAAAACAGGGGTGTCTCTGAATGTTGAACATCAAATCGGTGAATGATTTCGAAAATTTTAATTCTGTTCGTTTTCTTTTTTCTTTGCAAGTTCTCACATATTGAATTTATTGTCTGAAAGACGTGATTGAGTGTCGATAGAAGAAATAACAATATATCTAAGTCATCATCGGTACATGTGTAAAATGATCTTATAATGTCTGCTTGATGGAAAGAAAAACAATCCAAAAAAAAATCTGTTTAACAGAAACAAAAGAAAAGATAAAACTTCAATTTTTACGGTTTGACTATGATTGAATGACATGAATATTAATTGTAAGAAATGAAGTGTATTAGATTGTCTTTATGTACATCGATTGGTCTTTTAACACCATTTGCATTGATGTGATGACAAGGAAGGATAAGGACGAGAACGATTGAGCGAGAAAAATATGGAAATTTACGAACGTGAATGTTGTATGCACACCGTTTATGTATGCGTTGATAGATGGTAGACAGTCGATGACCAATGATACGAATCGTACTCATTTTTTGCGCTTAGATCGAAGGATAAAATTTGATGAAATTATATTTAAATGGGGCTATTATTCATGTGAAAATAATAAAGAAGTTAAATCGAAAGATTGATGACGATTTATTTAATCGATTGACTTTTTTCTTCGATACCGATCACTTGTTATTAGGCTAGTTTTCATGAATGCATTCGTCACTATTTTATTTTCTTATGAAATGAAAAATCCGAAGCATTGCATATGCTATGATGTTTTTCTTTTAATTCTTTAGTATATATTTTGTAAAGTATAGTCAAAGTAAAGTAATTTTCTCCATTAAATTTTTTAACACAACTTTCATTTTTTCTGCTTCACTATTGACAAAGTAGTAGGTCAATACAATGACCGAACACGTGTTATATTAAATACAAATTGCACTATAACTATTGCTTTTTTTTCTCTCAATCGATTGTAAATATTTTTATGACAAGAAGTAAACTTTATTGACGAATACATTCATTTACATAAGTGCATATCAGAAGAAATCAAAGACTTCGAAAACAGTATTTTACTACTATCGGATATTATGAACCTATTGGGGTTAAGTCGTTAATGCAATGTGTCCCTCTCGTGAAAGCTCGATACTATGCCATATGCTTATCAAAAACAAAATATCACACTATCCGATTGATAGTAATGAGAAATACGGAAACTCACACAGGTATGTGAGCTATTCCTCTATTACTATTATAAAATAGAATGCTAGTCTTTAGCATATTTTTGACGAAGTATGTTCTGATTACGTGACATTATTGTGTTTAAATGCTAGTCTTTTCCTTCTATTGCTTCGGATTGAGAAAAACAAAAATTTAATAGGCAGCTAAACCGTGTTCGTTATATTCAACGAGGAAGATAAAAAAAGACATGAATGGATTTTATGAAAGAGAAAAGAACAATCTCTGATATAAATAATGAAAAACCTTGAAGATAATTATGACAGCTATGATAGTAGTATTTCACTTCCGTAACTTTATATTTATTTCTATAATTATAAAGAATATTGGTAAAACTTTGCAGATTTACTAATAGAAAATCTATTAAATCATTTTCATCGTTTTTATTTTATCCTTGAAAGCTCGGCAAAAAATAGAAATATTGTCATCAAATTTTGTGCTCTAATTTTTTTTCAAGGTAATCATGATTTTTTACCGAATGAAAATGCATCTTTAAAAGAAAGACGAGGTAGAAAAAAATGATTAAAAGAAAAGCCTTTTGGTTATTACTATAGAATTACATATGTTCAATATGACCTTTCATCATATACATTTGTTTTTCATCAGAAATTCTCTCTGTTCATTACGTCAATAGATCAGCACACAAAAAAATCATTGACTTCTGTTTTCTTCTTTGCAGAGTTTCGAACAAAAAAAAATAGAATAAGCATTTGACTCTTACCTACTTATTTGTCATAATGCATTTTTCCTATTTAGTTTTTAATGTGACACAAACTGATCATTTTGACATCTAGACTAACATGTGCTTGACACGCGCATACGCATATCGTTATAAGAATATGACGAAAAAAACATCGTTGAATATTTTGAGAATATAGGCTTACGTGACAGACTCATTGAATACTATAACAGTGAAAATTACGATTGATTACTGATAAATATAAGCTTACGCACACATATATTTAGATGTTCGTGATAAATATTTGTATCTTTTAAGAATTCTCTATGTATATATACATATATACATATATATATATATATTCATAGAACTCTTTCTCCGATTACATCATCAAGAAAAATAAAACAATAATAAGAATCTAGTGTATTGTTGTTATTGCATTTGTTCAAATCAAAATCCTATTAGTTATAGTCGTATATTGTCTTGTGTAATCTTATATATATCTTCAAGATTCAGCTGATAACTTTAGTATTATGCAGATTCAATCGTATTTTATATAGTTGGGTCAAGTGTATATATATATATATATATATATGTATGTGTGTGTGTGTTTGTATAGGTGGGTGGGCAACAGCTTGGTCTCTTTCGTTCTTGATCATTTTGAACTTAGACTTATACAATTATGAAATAGATGTTTGGATGTGTGCAAGTGACAGCCGGAACGTCTTACGCAAATTCAGACAAATTACTGTCATGAAAAGTCATGCTATAAAATAGAAATTTCTGTTCTTAAACAAGAAAAATAGAGAGAGAGAGAGAGAATAAGAAGAAAACAAGTTTTGATCAATTATGGTTTTCCTATTATTATATTGATCTGAAATAGGCTTATTGAGTTACTTTCTTTACCTATTGAAATACAAGTCAGAAACAGGAAATTTTTTCTTCACGATCCATGCATGTGCGTTACCATAAAAACGGTAGTGAACTGAGGGGCTTTGCTAGTTTTCTTAAGAAATTTCCCGATTGTACGATGCACTTCAGTTTTTATATGTCTTGAGAAACAGCATCTATAAATGTGTGTATATATATATTTATTAACTATTCTTCATCGCAGAGTGACGCTCGGATTTTTTTTCTCACTTCTTTCTATTCTAGTTTACTAGTTTAGGCGAATGTGTGAGAATGTGATGGCTCGTTAGGCGTTTTTTGTTTGAATACGTGCATGTGAAGCATGTTAAAAAAAGTGAAAAAGAGAGAGACAGAGAGAGAGGCAGAGGGAGAAAAGGAAGAAGAAGAAGAAGAAAGAAACGCACGAGAAGAAGACAAGCAGGAAATCAGTCTTTTCTCTCCTGACTATGCTTAATAGAAGAATGATAATGAGTCGCTTCTGTTGGTATTCGTTTGGCTGATGCATCATCCTTAACTGTTATTGCCGTTGCACTTGTTATTATAACTATTATTATGTTAACAGAAAAAAATTAATACAAAGATAGTCGCGCTCTTCGCGTCTCTTCATTTATAATTATTAATTACGAATGAAACTCTTTCGTGTCAAAGTAAGTCTCATAAATGTATACGGGAGTGAATTTAGTCGCTAGAGACATTGAGACACTTAGTAAACAAAAAAAGAAATTAGATTTGTGAAGAATAACATTATAATCATTTTTTTTGTGTATTTTAAATTATAGAAACGTTCTCGAACCAAGTCTGAAAATGACGTGTCAAAACGTGCCAGTCTTGATCACGACGAAAAGGTATGTTCGATAAAAAATTAAAATTTCATTTAGCTTTGCTCGTTTTTCTTTTTTCTTTGCATCTTAACCTTGAATCTATTTTTAATCAGGTTACTTGCGATATTAAAAATCCGGATCCTCACAGGCAGAAGCTTTTCAACAGCAAAGAAAACAAAGCTAAAATTAGTAGAAATAAGACTAATAAGAAAAGACTTTTTATATGATTACTTTTTTCTTCTCTCTCATCGATTATCGTGCCATATCATTTTTATATAAATTTACTTTCACTTTCAATAGCATCGTTAACAGAAGTGTATTCTTTAGTTGTCGGCAATCATTTGTGCGGATGCATGTTGCTCATCTTCTCTTTTCCTTTCTCGTCATCATGGTAAAGGTTGGCTATTTTTCTCATTGTGAGCCATCTTTATTTTTCTCTCAGTTCTTTCTGGTCTATCACACTCGTAGATGTGTTTACAAATTAAAACCTATCATGTGCTAATAATAGATTATTTTTCTCAAAAATACGATCTCCATGTTCTCATCGTAATCGATGCTACTGATTGAGTTTGTTTATCAGAACTTGTGCTTATCATCATAATATTAATCAGACGTTTTTCTGTCTCTCCTTTGTGAATGGCAAAGACAAATGGATAAACACATGGCATGTACAGAATACATTTATTTTTGTTTACCACAGTTATCCAACATAGATATCGATATGTGCAATTTTACGTCTTTGATATAGACCGATGAGCGCTCTCTATTGATTTAGTGTAGCGCACTTTCTTTTTTTTTTTACTTTATTTGTATCGATATAAAAAGTCAAATTCAAGTGCAGTTGAAGGCTGCATATATTTAACTTGACAATAATCCCATATTCGTTTTTAGAAAGTTACTGATAATTGACTTGCCTTGACCACAGAAAAAAAATCGAGCATACACATACTCATACTTTTACACATAAGTAAGAAAAAAAAAGAGAAAACGCAAATAATGGCGACCATAAAAGTTGATTTTTCTCCGCCTTTTATTCACAATTTTTTTCTTTCAACTTTTATTATCATGTCAGACAGAGTCGTGCATGCACGTGCTATTTTTACTTATCTAATTTTACGATATGATGCGTAGTTTGCATTATTTTTTATCGAATAAAAAAGAAATCGCTGGTCGTTGGTGATTCTATTACATATTGCTATTGCTCAGAAATCGGAGAATAGATGAGACGAGAGCTGGATGCCGCTCTATGTTCTGTCTGGTGCAACAAAACAAACCGATCGAAATAAGGCAGAGAACGACGGATAAAAAACTGCAAAAATAGTAATGGCTGCAAAAATAGTAATGTCTGCAAAAATACTACATTGACAAGAAAAACAGAATCGTATAAAAAAAAATAACAAGAAAGATATGATGACGTCGTCCCTGCACTCGGCATATTTGTCTTTCTTTTAATATTTCTCTTCTGTTTTTTTTGCTGTGGTTTTTCTTCTTGCAAGCAGCTCTCGCCTCCCTCACTATTGTACAAGTAACCTTCAAGTTATTATTATATGTTTTCGATGAGTATAGGTAACAACTAATACCAGTCATAATATCATCCGTTCTGGTACGTGTTTTGTTAACAGTTAAAAGACATTGGCAATAAGATTGTGTTAATTATACTGTCATTTTTCGCTTCTTCTCCATTTTTAGTTGTTATTTTACCATTTCTTTTCATTTACTCTTTGTTCCCATCATGACTATTCAAATAGTTATGTTAAAGAGCAGATACCACAGTAACTACAAGTAGTCCAAGTAACATCAAACGTAGCGACCGCTTGATGCATGCATACCCATCATTGCGCGACAATGAATAGTAAATACGAAAATGCGTGCCTACATGCGCTTCAAGCGACAAGCTTATTCCCTCTTGCACCTCTCTCTCTCTCTCTCTCTCTCCCTTCGATATTGCATGTGCAAAGGGATATAGAAAGAGAGGGAGAGGGAGGAAAAAATAGAAGAGAGTAAGTCGAGAAGAATTTTTGACGCTACACCTTGGCGTCGTGTCGCGCGAGAAATGATTTAGATCAACTAAATCAACATCGATAGACGAGACGAGGAAAAGAGTGAAGTGAGTGTATGTACGTATTCTCATAAAGAATGAGCGAGAAACATGTTATTGATACGTAGTACAACGGTAGCACCGCTGACCAGTAGAATCATATATATATATATATATACAAATATCCATCATGTCAATCTTTGACCGTGGATGACTTGTATCTAAAATTGTTCTCTGATGAGGATTTATTACTGCTTCAGCTGAGTGGAGAGAAAAAAATCAGGTTACAGATATAAACAGGTAGACATATATATCTTTTTTCTTAGCCAGAAGGGATGTTGTGTAAGTATGTCCATGAAAAGGTTATCGATAATCGATAGACTGGGCTCCGACTCCGGTCTCGAGCCTAAAGAGAGTAAGAAAAAAAAGAACGAAGAAGAATATGATGATGATAATGATGATGATGATGATGATGATGACAAGATGACGAGGGAAAAAGAGCACCAGAAACGAGTAGGAAAGAAAAGATCGATGCTATTTGCATTTCTACTGCTGCCATTGTCATCGATTAGAACAAATAGATCCACAAGCTTTGTTTTTAGTTTTTTCTTCTGCATGATCAAGACAGTGAATGCAATAAAAAAAAATCGAGGCTTACTTAGAAGAAGGAGTTACAAGCTTTTTCTTCTTTTTTTCTTTTTGTACTTGTTTCTTATCGTCGATCTATCTATTTGATTTCGTTTTTTTCGTTCTTTTGCTTCTTTTTTGTGTACGCAGAACAAAAAAGAAACCTTTCATACATCTCTACACATATATGAAATTTACACCTGCATAATAGTCTACTCTTTAATTTTTACGGCTAAAAAAAGGTAACCAGCTACGAGTGGCGTGCACTAGAGCAAATAAAATTCCATGTTTTATTGATTGCTACTTCCTTCTTTTTTAAATTACCGGCATATGCACAAATAGATGCTAATATTGTTTCTTGAAACGATCTTAAACAATTTTCATTAAATAATAAAATGACAATAACAATTGAGAATAGAATAAAAAGTGTGGTTTACTCATTTTCTTCGTCTTTTTTTTTGCTTACGCTTACATTATACTCAATAGGAAACCTTTATAATTTCCTTCATAATCATATTGTACTCGAGTATAAGATTGGTACTTATAGTTCTTTTTTTTTCGTATTATTTCATCTAGAAAAGATTATCAACAACCAATTCAAGTTTTGTTATCGGAGAAAATTCGAAAGAAAATCAAGAAGGATCTATATCCCGGACAACATCGCAGAAGCATCAGCATCTTCATCAATCAAACGATAGAGTTAATAACTCAAATATAGTACTTCGTCGAGATAATTCTCGTCGTTATTCAAATTCATTTTTTACCTCAGCACGATATAGTGGCATTCATACATCAGTGAGCGCCATACCAACAGGAACGACGACAACAGCAACAGCATCAACATTAAATACCTCTCAAGCTAAACAACCCACAAATTTAAGCCGTTCTGTTGATCGTCTTCATAGTAAAGCACATCGTCGAGAATTACGTTATGAAGAACATGATGATTACATTCCACCACCACCACTACATTCGATTCAATGCCATCCAACAATAGATCATTACAGAAGAAGTTTAAATCAATCAACATATTTTTCCTCCACTCATCGTCGTAGTCAGATAGATACATATAAATTATCATCTATTAATAATCGTTTAGTATTACCAAGACCTTATTCAACAAATATTCCTATTTCACAAAGTATTCAAATCATGTCGAAAACATCACTCGACAATACTAATAGCAACAATAATAATAGTGCATATGAAAAATTATCTGAATGTCATTCACGATTGATTCCATTAGAAAATTCATCTGTTAAAGCACCACGTCGTATTGAATCTGCGTATAGTCAATTTCCAATACAAACCGAGCCAATCTATGCAAATACTCAATCGCTCTATGACAATATAGTTTTTCCTCAATCAGTATCAAAAATTTCAAATATAAATTTGGAACAAGAAAAAAAGTCCTGTGCTTCCCAAACGCAACTAACATGGACAATGGCAACATTTTCTTCGTTTGTTGATCTAGAAAATCAATCTATTGTTATTCCACAACCAGATCCAAATACAATTTACTCGATTGTAAAACATCAAAATGCATATATATCACCATCTGCATCACCAGAAACTATTCAACATATGAGAAGAATATCACCAGGAGTGAGTTATCCAGAAAATCTTTGTACGAATTATTTTTCCTTAGATAGATATCATATTTCCCGAATGAAATAACACAATAATATTTATTATTTCATCTCAAATTTAGTGAAATAGTTTCTCTCGCTCGTTTTTAGTTACAACACCTTGATGATACAAATGCAGCATCGTACTACCAACGTCCACTTAATCCGGCACCAACGAATATTCGAGTTGAAAAACGGGATGGTTCTTTTCAAACTCTTCTTACAATAGGTCCATCGGAAGATATCGAATCAAGTAAAAAATTATTGATTCATGATGCTAGTTCATCACCAAATTCAACCGGTTCATTAGGTGGAACCAATGGTCAACTTCATCAGCATCAGCATCATCATCATCATCATCATCGCAGACATAAATCACGTAATAATTCGAGTCCTAATCATATCTCAACGCGTGATGTGGGTCTTCAAGTAAATATTCAAACAGTGAAAAAAATAACATTTTCATCACAAAAAACTGATGATTCATCATTGGCAACGACAACATCAACACCTAAAACTACGAAAACGTCGCCTGTATTAAAACATGTCGAAACAAATACTGAACCATTAATAACAAAACGTGATAAAAGTACATTTTATGAATCGAATATTCGTCTAGTAACATCATCGTCTCAAACATTCGATTCTCCTGCAGTATCAACCACGAATTGTCAAACGAAAGCTGCTCAAACAGTAAATAAAACATTACGTGATCAATCAATTGAAACAAATAATCGTGGTTTATTTGTATGTGATCTTAGTTCACTATTATCAAATGGTTTAGATGAATCATCATCATCATCGAATTCAGCATCATTAAATACAAAACAAAAATCATAATTGTACTCTTAGTTTCTCACTATTTTATCACAATATTCTTTTGCGTGTGTGTGCGTGCGTGCGCGAGCGAGCGAACGAGTGTATTTTCTTTCTTATTTTGTATTTTTTTTTTCGTTTTTGTTTTTTCAATAGAAAGAGAGAGAGAGAGAGAGAGTTTATATAAATATAAATCTCATTTGCACAAGTAGAATGCAGCAGAACTTACTTTTACTTCGAATATTATTTCAAATGATTGGCTGTTTAATATAAAAAGTAAATTATTAACAGATTTAGGTCTCATTCGCCATGATTGAAATGGCATATGGGCATGACGATCACTTAATAATGCATATGTACCGAAATCATAGGTTTTAAATGATATAAGTCGAGTGTCTAAATGGGAAAAAAAATACTTTCTTTTGTTTTACTTTTGTTTAATAACAAATAGGTGTGTTTACCAGGCGAATATTGATACTCGACATAGCCTTCTTGTCTCCAATGATTTCGGTCTGTAATCCATCGAGCAAGTAGTGGCTTTTCAGTAACAAATACATCATTTGGAATTCTAAATAGAAAGTTTATTTTTCTCGAAATCTTTGTTGGATAGGCTTTGAAAAAAAGATGAGGAGTTATTCAAGTGGAATACAAGTTTTTATTTTATTCGATACACATTGATTTGATGATTAGAAGGATATTCGAATCGAATATTTCTTGTGTAAGAGAGCAGATTGCATTGACAGAGCGAAAGAATGAATAATTGATAAGGGAACCATCTCAAGTGGATACTCCAGATTCGTTTGATCTCATTTATCCGTAAGTAATTTACAAAAGATTATAAATGTGCTTATTAACATTCCAATGAAATGAGGCCTATGAAATCAATTACGGTAAGTGGAAAGTGAATCTTAATACTTTGAAAAGGATCATATTAAACATTGAATTAATTTCACAGTGTTATTGTTATTATTCTTAAAGAAAGTGAGCCATACTTATATTTGAGTACAAGTGCTGATTCTTGTTTAACTGCAGCATCTAAGAACATTTTTCGTATTTCAGGATTATTTTCGATCATCGTTGCGTCAAGTGTCATCGATGGATCCATTGTTTCTTCAGTCTAAAAAAAATAGTTTCAAGATGAGATTAGAATTTTCTTCTAAACAAACAGCAGTCTTATTTTTTTTAAGTACTTTTTCTTCTGTTTTGCTTTTCCCTGGTTCATTTTCCATAGATTTTTGTTTATTACCGGATGAATATTCTTCGTAAAATCGCTCAGCAATCATCGGATCAGATGGATATGGATAAGAAATAAGAATATCGTCATTATCAACTATAAACCAATCAAAATCAAAAGCCATAGCAACAAGTACTCTTACAAACCTTCGACTATTGTCCATTCTTGTACCTTTTTCGGCTGTGGTGGGATATTATAGAGATTGATTTGAAGTAATGGCAATATTGGCCAATGAGAACGAAGGTCAACAACCGATTCATCAGCTAATTCTTCTAAGATTTGATCAGCAGTTGCTAGAAAGATATCATCTTTAAATGTATATGCATTCATGTTCAACACTTTTACGTCCAAATCAAGGGGTTATTAATCTTAAGCTTTTTTTTCAAGGATTAGCCCACACCTCTAATCTCTTAATTAACATAACTGTTCTTTATCTTTGACTTATAGATTACAAAACAAAAAACGTTTCATACAATGAAATTTATAATAAGGATGTTTTTTTATTTTGTTGTTTTTAAAAACAACCAGATTTCTATGAATTAATTTATTTTTAATGAGAAATAAAAATTGCTAGTCATATCCATTATTGTATATCGTTTTGACATGTTTTGTTTCAAAGTAAACAATATAATCTGTAAGAGAATGTGACGGTTAATTAACGATAAAAGTTTATCAAGAGAGTTCAATAAATCCAAGATGATATCTAGATAAACTAGCCGTTGAATATCATTAGTTGTTGACATGCAATCAACACTCAGAGGACATAATAATTATCTGTCAAATGATCCTATTCATGATATTCTTTTTTTGATCTAGACAAGCGATATAAATGACATTTGTTATGCTTATCACATATCGATTTTTTAAATGTAAAGAGCGAATTCATTACAATGAAAGTGACGCAATCAGAAAAGGGATGAAAAAAAGAGAGCTTAGATTGTATTCAAAATGTATAGTGGCTCTTATAGTGGGACGATCAGGAGAATCTTTACTCTCACTAGAGACATAATGAATAGCTTGAGTATATCACAACCAATTGTCTTTCTTATGTCATACAAATCGATAAATAATGAGTATGAACGACTAGTTGCTGCATTTTTTAGGTATATTTGTAATCGAAATTTTTATTGTCTGAATAATTGAGTTTTGAATTCATTTTTTTTTTTAAATAATTTTATACTATTGATGCAGACCGAGAGATTCGATGCTTTTTTGTTTTCACATAGAATCAAATCAGAAGATCTGAATTCAAATTCGATTTTTCTTTTATCCTTGAAGAAGATTACAATTTTGATTGAAAAGAAAACGACCATAAAATATAGTATCTACGCAACTATTAGCTAACAAAACGATCTTTGCTTTTCTTACTGAGAGTATTCATAATTGATTAAATTCTACCAGACAGACACACAATCCCAACTTAAACATAATTAATCAGTTGAAAGATGTCCCTTGTTTATTTTTCTTTGATTTATTATAAAAGAAAACCGACAGTAAGTAGGATTTTTTTTTGAAATTTTTCTAGTTAGACTGACTATTCTCAAAAGCTAAATATAGTGATGTTGAATAATATTCATTTCTATCCTACCATTTAATAGTTTCTCATCCTTTGATTTTTGTCTTTCGAGTGATGTTTGAGTTAAATTTTTTCCATCGTGCGCTTCATCAGAAACTACTTGTGTAGCAGATCGATCCGTCATTGTATTCTCTCTATTAGCTTCCGCTTCAGCTGCTGCTGCGGCTGCTGCAGCTTCATCTTCACGCTGTTTTGTTTCTTCCATTAGTTTTCTTAATTCAGGTGGTAACGAAGCATCAAACAGATCTTTCTCTGGATCATTACTTTCAGCTGGTTTCTTTTCTGATTCATCAATGTATGGTTCAGGTATTGGATCTAATTCAAAGAGAATAAAAGCTTTGGAAGCAGAAAATTTGAAAATAATAAATACCATAGCTATATTGATTTATTTTTACACGGCATTTTGCAAGTAGTGAACGTTCTGAGTAATAATCATATTTTAGAAAAAATCCAATTATAGCTATATTAGCTAATGATAATGGTTTTGGTAGATCAAAACCAAAAGAATATTTATCAAATTGATAACCTTTGATTCTAAGTAAAAACAATAGTCGAGAATAAATTATTTAATTTCAAAACCAAATAAATATCTAACCTTGGATTATGACTAAGATTACCCCAAATACAAACCGTAGTATTGTCATTTTCAGCTGTATATTGTAAATTATTGGTTTCTAAATCTTGTAGGTCACTTGCTTTAAGCATTGTAGCATGAACTGCATGACGCCATTTTAAGTGTAATGTATCTTCAAGTTCTTCAATTGTCTAAAGAAAAAGAAAATTAGATTAATTATGGCACATGTCTTTCTGTTTTCAGTCAGAACCTTTTTATAAGTTGATACATGTTCAAGTTCAGGCGAACCATTCGGAATTGAATTCATCACATAATTTAATTCTCTAATAAGAGATAGAACAAGATTCGTTTGTTTCATTGTGTATTCAACATCAATTCGTTTTTTTTCATCACGCCATAATGATATAAATGTATTGATTTCAGGTAATATTGTTGGATCAGGTGTACCATCACATTGCATAACACGTTTCCACTTTAAAAATAGAAAACAAAGAAATAAAAACTTGAGCTTTATTTTTTGTAAAAAATTATTTTACTTTGAAGTCTTCTCGTTGTCTTTCTAGTATTGTGATTACGTCTTGTTGTCGCGGCAGAATAAATTCGTAGAATTCGCTTAGTTCTCGACGTCGTAATTCATTGATCTAAATTATGTAAAGATAATAAAAATTGAAAAATACTACAACGTGGTAGTACAGACTTCTTTTGCTACATTTGTTTTTTCTTCAGCAAGTCGTTTTTCATTTTCAAGACGTTCTTTTTCAGCAACTTCAGCACGTTGTTGAGCTTCTTCTACAAAACGGTAATATAATGTGAAAATAAAAGTGGCAGCGTGGCCGAGTGGTCTAAGGCGCTGGTTTTAGGCACCAGTCGTAAAAGGCGTGGGTTCGAATCCCACCGCTGTCAGTACAATAAAAGCAAGATGGCTTGCTTCTTTTTTCCTTTCCTGTCACTGTCCGTTTCATATAAGATTCTTACAGACGTAGAAGCTTTTTAATGCGTCCATTGTTCTTGAGTACATATTTTTGCGTATTATTTGTTACAAACATACAAGAAATTTCGAAATACAAGAAAAGGAGGACTGACGTTGAATCATTCGTTGGCTACGAGCAAGATTTATGTTTCTACTATTTATTCATAACTACTGTTTCTTTTTGTCTATATTAAAGTTCAATTGTTTTGAAAAACGAGATGAACACTCATTAAAAGTTTCGAATGTAACTAATTACATCTAAAAATCGATACTCGTCACAAGTGAAATATGTTACTTCGATTGATTGCTCAATTTATGTGATTTTACTAATTGAAGTTTAAATATATTTCTAGAAAGAATTTGACGATTTTTCTAAATTTGATATCATTTTTATTATCTCTGTAATAAATATGGAATGTCAATTATCATTTTCACCAGACCGAAAACTTATTTGATGCGTTTATGTCGGAGAAAGTTCTCACTTCTTTGTTCCGGGAAGGCTTTATGTCTGTCGGTTGAAGTGAAAATGATGTGTGAACGCTGCCAGTGGCATATTGAGGTCGTTCTAGACAAAGCAATCAATTGTTGATTCATTGTTACAGAGATGTTGAGTTTTTCTTCGGCGGAAGAGTATTGTAATAATAATTACATCGATATTTTATTGAAGAAAGTAGTACCCATGTAATAAAAACCGCAATGAAAATCGACGGTTAACCGCGGGTTTACCGGTCCGGTTACCGGCTTCCATTACCGCAGGAAGGATAAATACCGCGGTAAACCGCCAGCTTTAATTAATACCGCGGTTACCGCTAAAAAAAACGGTTAACCGGTTCGTCTATAATTTTTAACAGAAAAAGTCTTCCAAATCATCAATAAAGCTATTTCAAAGATTCTTTTTTTTTCTTTTGCATGTGATAAACATGCGCTAAAAACCACCGGTTTTATCGGTCCGGTTACCGGCTCCCATTACCGCAGGAAGGATAAATACCACGGCTTACCGCAAGAAATGACCGGGTATTTGCAGCATGGGTAGAACGGTACGTCTGATATTATTAATTATTTCTTTAATAGAAATGATTATCTTGTGATAAAATTCTCTACGTCAGATAGTTGATGTACAACTAGAGGTGCCAGCCAAAGGGTTGAACGGCGGCGACGGGCAACAATTTTCAATTTTTGAAGATTTCCAGCGGCTTGTTATTTGAACGAGTAATGTCTTCAGCGGCGGCTGCTACAAATTCTTAAAAATTTTTTTCACAGCGGCGGCGTCAGCTGATATTTGCAAGTCCTTATGTGACGGCGGCTGCTCAGTTAAAAATTCACTGATGAAAATTAAAAGAAAAATGTTCGATTCGATCGCATATGTATTGATGTCAGCGGCGGCGAATAACGCTATCAAAAATTTTTATCTCTTGCAGCGGCGGCTCCCCCGAAATTCTTAAAATGACCAGTAGTTTGGTGGCTGCTGCGGCGGCTCAGCCGTATGGCTGACACCTCTATGTACAACCTACTGAGCAGAGGAAATTTCAACTAATGTAGAAACTTAAAAGTTGGAATCGGATTTAAATAACGTAAAGTTAACCATTAGGTGAACTAGTTCAATTCCTAGATACAAGTTATTTTCTTCGATGAAATCATCAGATCTTAGGTACTTTGTTAACAGTCGACTTTTCACTAGATAGATTTATAACCAGATAAAATTCTTAGCATTATTCTATTAAATTTTCTCGCGATATTTCATCAGCAAGTATCACAAGAATATACTTTCTTATTAGAAAAACGTTTTTTTTTCTATAATACCCAGGAGATTCAATGCGACCAATGAATCCAATCGTTTCCGGCATCGGATCCTACGGATTCCGTTGCTTTTCCGTCGGCTCCGTTGAATTCCGACGATTTCCTAACTAACGGATCCTGGTCCGGTTTCCGCCGGAAAAATTCCGTTAAGTTCCGCAAAATTTCGACCCGGAATTCAACGGAACCAATCGGTTCCGACAGATTCCGACGTACCCTGATTCTCCTGGGTAGTAACAATATTTAACACAAAACAATGGAACTCTCATGTCCTACATTTTACTATGCTCTGTCAAACACGAGAAAAAGTCGGTGTCTAGAATGAAGCTACTTTACCGACGTAGAGATGCGCTCGTCAAAGTTCGCGTATAAAAAAAAATGCAAGATGAAGGGAATTTGAGGTGGAATGAAAATGAGAAATCAAATAGATATCAATGGATTGATGTAGGAGTAGATCCTAAGCTATCACACAAATTATTTGTTACACAGTTAACTTTTAAATGCGTTTCAATTAAGAGTGACTGCACGCTTAATAATTCATTGGATAAGTCTTTCGACAACTACAACGCATGTGAGAGTGCCATTTTCTATTGAATGTACTGAAATTCAGAAAAGTTCACATTATTAGTAGGAACTTATTGAGACAGCTATATTTCTTTTAACGATATTACGAAAATACTGTAAGGAAATTTATAGGAATCTCAGGTAGATGCAGGTTTATAGGAGAGATGTTTCTTACAAGGTAATATTTCAATAAGGTTACTAAGGCTAACAATTGAACACTAACTATAGTTTTATGATGAATCTCAACTGAGTACTGCGTCAATTCGGAAAAGTGTACAGTGCTTGTAAAGCGGAAATTACTTTTACAGTCTCCATATATCTTAATAAAACAACGAGATTTTATTCGTTTAAAGAGAGAAATCAATGTAGAAAAACGTTTTCTCTACGTCAATTTTCTCAAACCATCTAAAAATAAGACAAGATGATCATTACCTTCTTCTTTTCGTTTTCGTTCTTCGTCTTCTTTCTTCTTTTTAGTTTTTGCACTTTTGTTACTTGGTGTCGCTGATTTCTAAAGAAAAAAATTTATCAAATTATTTTAAAAAATCTCAGTCATAAAAAAATAGCAGCAAAACAGTAAGTAATAATCTTTTCTTGCATACATTAGTTTTTTCTTTTCCCTTCAATGTTTTTGTAGAATATGTTTTATTTAATTTTGTTTTCTTCGATACTATTCGATTTGTCGATGTGACATCAGATGGATTAATACTCGTGGGAATTTTCAATGGTTGATTTTTAATCCTACTCGTTATTTTCGATCGTAACATCTAAGTTACTTGTTTTTTATTTTTTCTAGATGTGTCTCTACTAGAATGTTTTGTTTGTGCATTTTTATTCAATATCGAACATATTTGAAGAGTTTCTAGTAGCTTCTATTTATAGAAAGAAAAGCCAATATTTCGTGTGGATAAAAATGAAACCAGAGTTTCGTTAAATATTAACTGAGCATCTACAAATCTTAACTTACCAACGCACTCGACATTGATGAATTATTTTAAATTAAAAATGAAAATTTACACGTGTGAATATTTTCATTATGTAGTGTGTTGTCATATCAACAACATTTTTACTAGTGACCTCTATGTATTTCGATTGGTAACTAAAATAAATCGATTTTTTTCTATGATGACTCATTGTTTGATCCTAGTATTATTGTTAAGGTATCATATGTGAAATAGTATACATAGACATATTCAATGCGCTGTAGATAACAACAAATAAATTAAATTTCTTATTTTATCAAAGCTGGCATCGATTATTTAAACACTAAGAACAATAACAAATAGAATTCATTGATTGAAACAAGATAAAACGATGGGCAATATGTTTGGTTCAATATTTGGCAAGAAGCACTATCGGATATTAATGCTCGGTTTAGGTAGAATTTCAATAAAAATCAGTAAAATACCATTTCAAAGATATTCTTTTGAATTATTAATTAGATAATGCTGGAAAAACATCAATTCTTTATCGTCTTCGCCTTAAAGAATCTATTACAACAATACCAACTGTTGGATTTAATGTGGAAGCAGTCGCATTAGGACATGTGAAATTCAATGTGTGGGATGTTGGTGGCCAAGTAAGACAATAAGAATTTGTTTTGAAAAGTTTATCGTTATAGAGCAATATTTAGTTTAAGTTTGCGTTGACTAGAAAGTGGGTACATGCCTTCCACTTGCATGGCGTACTGTGATTGTACGAGCAGGTATTCGTTAATGCGCTCTATGATTAATATGCTATAAATAGATATCAATCTATATTAAAATATGTTATGATTCAGAAAAACATCATCAGAACTGGGCAAAATACGCGTACTTGAGTACGATTTTGCTCGTACTCAAAGGATGTAGTACTCGTGCTTGGATTTTTTTAAAAATTTTAGTGAACGCATTCTTTATATAAGAAAGAAAGAAAGAATATCTAATTTGGTTTCTTCAAGAAAGAAGAACACAACTGATATTTTCTTTGCGGATCGCAAGTTGCTGTTGACGCAAATATGCTGATAAGTGTTTGTACGATATAAAATCGTATGGTCGTCACCATATTTCAGTCTTCCTATCCTCTTTTCTAAATTATTTTATTTACTATCCATTAATAACGCTGTTCATACGATTTTACTTTTTATCAAAAAGCATTTCTATTCTTGTTTATATCAACTTAGTTCAAAATACTTGTCAGTGCCAGCGACATCGGCTCCCATTGAACGAATATTTTCTCAACGAGGTTTTCTTATGCGCCCTCGTCGCACATCATTAACTGCAAACGATGATTGTTTACTCACTTTTCTTAAATGTAATAAGTTTTTGTTATGATTTAATTGCTTTGAACAAGATAATAAAATATAATACTAGTAATGATTTGATATTTTGCTCTTATAATAAAGGGTGATCCAAAAGTCTTAGAATTTCATATAAACATTTTATTTTCTCCCTTTTCTGCAAATCAAACAATTCTCAAACTTGGATACATAATAGCTTGGAACTAGGTGAATATTATCCTAAATTATCACATTTCTAGTTTTCACTTACAAAGAAGATGTATACACTCAAATAACAGAGCGGATCTTTTTTCCTATGATGTGGTAAACTTTTTATTGATAAAAACATCTAGAATAATTAATTTTTATCATAAGTACAACAATAAATTATGTTTTTATACGTTGCCATAGTCTTTTTTGTTGATTGAGCAGCCGTTTTTCTTAATCAAAGCTTGTAGCCGTGTGAATATTGAGTTGATCCATTTGGAACACATTGGCGGAGTGATTGTATTCCAGATTGTTACAATTCTTCTTTTGATAACGATACATTTTCAAATTCTTCTAATTTCTCTTCAATATAAGCTCATATGTTTTCAATGGGCCATATATCAGACATTTTGCTAGTTTGTTCTACAGGTGTAATACATTCGTGAAAATCTAACTGATTTTTCAAAGTAATTCTATTTATCATCATTCTCCCAATTTTATTTTATATTAATCAATTCGTTTTCTTTGTTTTGCTTAATGTAGATCGAAACTATTCAAACTTTACCACGTCATAGGAAAAAAGATCCGCTCTGTTATTTGAGTGTATACATCTTCTTTGTAAGTGAGAACTAGAAATGTGATAATTTAGGATAATATTCACCTAGTTGCAAGCTATTATATATCCAAGTTTGAGAATTTTTTGATTTGCAGAAAAGGGAGAAAATAAAATTTTTATATGAATTACGAAGACTTTTGGATCACCCTTTATTTTATTTTGACATGTATATACAGTACGTTGTAAAACATTCAGTCTATTTTTCGTAGAAACTAATTTGAAAAATTCTAGTCGTACCGATACCATGGTATGGATGCTCGTGCTCGAGAAAGTCTGCACTTGCCCAGCTCTGATATATATATACTCAAAGATGAAAATATCAGACGATTTATTGAGTTGAAATATTTTATACTAAAATGACAAGTTATTCAATATTATTCGACAGCTAATTTAAACGAAAACCTTGAATCTATCATTCTTTTAATAAAAAGCTTCATTTTATTCTTTTTTTTTTCTAGGATAAAATTCGTCCATTATGGCGACATTATTTCACTGGATCTCAAGGCCTTATATTTGTTGTTGATTCATGTGATCGTGAACGTATGGAAGAAGCGAGTCGTGAATTAGAAAAAATAATAAATGATCGTGAAATGCGCAATATTGTTCTTCTTGTATTTTGTAATAAGCAAGATATATCAGGATGTATGGAACCAGCTGATATACGACAAGCATTGCATTTAGATAAATTAAATCGTCCATATGCCATAATGCCATGTTCAGCTTTACATGGTACTGGTTTATCTGAAGGTCTCAAATGGCTATCTGAACATTGTAAATAAACATAATCCTAGAATTCTGTATTTGTGTGCAGTGATGATGATCTGGCGGCATTTTTTTCTCTTGTTGTTTGTCCTTTTCTTTTTTATACGTATCTATTAAATTCATTCGTTGTTAATGTGTGTATGTGTGCAGGATAAAATTTTTTTTTTGGTAACGAAGAAATGAAAAAATAAGAACAAAGAAAAAACACTCAAGCTATATAAATATATATATATACTAAATGATTTCTTTAGAAATAATGCTGAAATCTTTATTTCTTCTACGTCCTTCATCATTTCAATGTATACGTCAATTTCATTTAACGATACCATCATTAACAGCCGGACAAACACAATATCGCGGTCAAAAAGAATCGACCTGGTGGGAGAAATATGGTTCACATGTTGACCCGGTTGCAACACGTTCAGATCTACTCAATATGGATGATTTAGATGAACGACATTATCGACCCGTTAAACCTGTTATACCAACCTATCAATCGTTTTCTTGTTTTCATGATCCACTTGTATCTCGTGTGCTAGGAGTTCTATTGCGTGAAGGAAATCGTGAATTAGTCGAAGAATTAATGCATAAAACATTTCGAACAATAAAACTAATACAAGTAGGAAAATTGAATCGAGCTAAAACTGATGAAGAACGTTCATCAATTGAATGTAATCCAGTTACTTTGCTGCAACAAGCAATTAAAAATGCAACACCTATTGTTCGTAAGTAAATTCAAATAAGAAACACAAAAGAAACCCCGGATTTTATACTCATTATTGTAATACGTGTACATATATAGGTCTGACAAGAATAGCTAAGGGTGGTACTCTATATTCTGTCCCAATACCAATGTCGCCAACACGTGGTACATTTACAGCTATTCGATTATTAATTGATAGTACACATGATGCTCGACCACATGATCAAAGATTTTGGACATTATTTGCAAAAGAAATAATGGACGCAGCACGAAATCAAGGACGTACAATAAAGAAAAAGCAAGAAATACATCGTAATGCTGAACTAAATCGTGCTTATGCACATTTTAAATGGCAAAAATAATAAAAAAATGATGCCTATGTTTTGTTTTTTTGTTTAATAAAAATAAAAGCTAGATAAAAGGCTTAATTATTTCTACTCACGTACCTAGTACACAAAAAACAAACACAATAGAAGAACGTAATCTGTGACGTTGGTGATATCTAAGTAAAGTACAGATACTTAAAAAAAAAATTTTCTACGATGTCAGAGAGCAGAATACTTTTGGTCAACGAAAGATCAAGTAAGTTCACATTTTTTCATGAATAATACCTTTAGAAAATCATAGTTCATTTGCTGAATATTTTTTCTTGAAGAAATTAATTATTTTGTTAACAAATTATTTTAAAAGGATTGATAAATCCAGCAGCCATTCACGAAACAGCGACGTAAAATGTCAGAAATCATCAGCTACTCGTGAGAAACAAGGTAGTACAACAGTAAGTCCCACTAAAGATGATCACAATGCAAAAGACTAATGTAATGATGTAGCTATCAAATCAAATGTTTCATCAGATGGCAGTGCTCATGCGTCTATAATTGATCAGCAGAAACTGAATGGCCTCATATCGAAATTAGATGTGTGATTTGAGTTTTACTCTAGGATTCAAGATGGATTGATGAATTTTCATATAACTTTAATACATGTACAAGTCCATGAATATACCGAACAGAAGACAGAAACTCAATGAAATTATGATGAGGGTACGTGCAGAAAAAGTGAAATTTTTTAGAAAAACGAATGAGCATATATCGGTACTTGATACTGAGTATCGTGTACGATTACAGGAAAAAAACTTGTTGAAAAAGTCGATGTATGCTAAATTAAAAAAGCTATTGAATCAACTACAAACTGCTAGAAATTATACTAGTCTATTGGATAAATAGATGGTGAACCTTGAAACGTGATGCTTTACTAGAAGCACACACATAGGTCGTATCGCAAATAGCTGCTATTATTGTTCAAGCATCAACCCGTAGATGTAAAGAACGATCAAAACAAAAGAGCATTAGCAGTATCCACAGAATGAATTAAAGAAACTGCTATAGTGTACTAAGAAGAATATTTAAAACGATACCAAAGCATGAAATCCAAATAAGAAAAAAACTTTTCTGTGCATTTTCACTTCCACACATAACATGGCTGTTATCAACTTGGTTCTATTTCACCAACCTGCAGAAGCAAAAATTAGAGCACATATATGGAACAGGTCTAAGATTGGTATATAATCTATACGGCTATGAAGACTTTACAACCTTATGTCTGAGTAGAGAATTATCATTAAGGGGCTATGTTTACAAATACTGGATTCGTTTTCAGAAACATCTGGATGAAGCACCAGAAGCCGAAGCATATAGACAAACATGGACAGCATTTTTAATTGCCACTGACCCCTCAAAAGCATACTATAAGAGCGTGGGCATGAGGAAAAATAGCAAATTTGGAAATAGACTGTATAAAAGAGCAAACCATACATATCTGGATTTTCTCTCATTCATGAATGTACACAAAAGACATTTCTGCTTTTTCAAAACTACCTCTTCTCTTCTTGAACACTTTGTTCTAAAATACTTTTCCAATGTATCCACATAAACTTTTCATTTTGTTTTTGTTTTTTGTTTTTTGTCTCTGCCATTCTATTCTTTCTCACTCTTCTTAATTATCTCTATCTCTATATGGTGTAAAACGGTGATTTTGTCTAATTGTTAACCCAACTATGGGAACAATAAACATATATGTTAAAAAAAATAATGAATTAAAGAAACTCATGATTCAATTAGTGACACCGTGAGAAACGATTGAAAACAGAAAAATTGATATAATCTATGAATATGAGGATTCTGTTTTGTTTTAATGGTAATCTGCGCGAAGTTTGTTCATTACAGTATACGTTTGGTTTAATTGTTTCTGGTATGAAGTAACAAAACTTATCGAATAAAACATTTAGAGCAGATATTAATTTATCAAATGGCATTCATGAATTTGAGTATATAAATATGCTCCTGATGATCAACTATGGGAAGGAAAGAGTGAAGAGACACGAGTACGGTTATAAGATATTTGTTAGAATCGTTTAGATCAAGTTTATTATTGAATATTGGACTGATCTTGAATTTTTTGCTTTTGCAAATTCATTTTCTCTTTAGTAATCGATGAAAAAACACATGTGTCCAACTGTTACAATGAAATCGTAGCTCATTAAACTATACATTATGATCGAGTTAATGATAGCGTATGTGTTGGTAGTTGTCCACGGTTATTAACACATATTGAAAATGAATTAGTCGAAACATTAGGTTTCACAGTTGCCATTGATTTACAAGCGGTTGAAGGTATTGAACGCAATCGTCAAGGAATTCTTAGTGATCCATGTGTACTCTAATAGAATAATGAATTTAATTTAGCATAGTATTTCTGTGTGTCCTAATTACAGATTGATCATCAATCGGAATAGATTTTATGTGAGCACAACCAACATTTGTACTAAAACAGAATTAGAAAAAGGACAAAAGGTTTATATTCATGGTAATACAGGTATGTTAAGTAATGAGTTCAACAAATTTGACCTTTACTCAAGGTTAGGTAAATGATAGTCTTTTTTTTTATAAATTTACATTTAAAAGGAAGCTAATTCAAATGATCTTTATTTTAGGTTTTGGCCGAACATTTCATATTGTTTGCCTTTATCTGCATTTCACAAAAAAGAAGTAGAAATTTCATCAGCCAAAGTCCAATATAATTTAGCTCCAGAGCGTTCATGTGGCCTTTTTACCGTATATTTCTTCAAAATGCAGTAGCAATATACAATAAAAAGCTTTTGAATAAAAAGAAAATTTTTAATTAAAAAAAAAAATTATTATTATTTTTTTTCTTTTTTCTTTTTGCTTATCTATTTTCAGTTATCATTTCTTTTTGTATAACTTGTACGTATTAGTTCTTGTTTTTCAATAGGCTTAAATTGAAAATCAAAATCCCGTTGCAACGGTAGCGTTGTTGATGTTAGATCTTGCAATGATTGCGAGCGATACTGATGAAATGGAGAATTTTGACTATGTTTTAATTCGACGCCATGCTTTACACACATTTCATCGACTAATTGGTTGAATTCGTGTGTTTGCGGTGTTGTTGAAGTTTTATAAACCACTATTTTTTTATTTGGATGTGAATGTTTAACATGCGCAAACACCGATGATAATTCATCTGGATTCATCAAGCACTCTTTCGTACCCTCAACACGATAAATAGCCGATGGCTGCTGCTGCTGTTGTTGTTGTTGTTGCAGTTGTGGTTGCTGTGGCTGTTCGACACTTTGTCTAGTTCGATGTGAACGACGATGTGGTTTTAATTCAGTGACTGGTATTGATAAATCACGATGAACCATTGGAGTTGGATTTTGACGATAATGAGAAGAATGTTTTTTAGTTGGTGGACTACTATTAAGTTGAGATTTACTATTTGGCAATGTATTATATGTTTGATAGGGAGGTGGAGGAAGAAGATCATTAGAATAACCATTTGTGCTAAAAAAACCAAAATACATATATATTTAGATCAATCAGCAAATTGAATGAATTGTTTTTCAATTGAACTTACTGTTCGTCTGTATATGGTAATTGTCCATCATTGTTCCTATTCACTGATAGATTAAGTAATAATTTTAATAATAAGTCTCGTTCTTTTCTCATTTCATTAATCGTTTCAATTAAAATCGATTCATTTAATTTAGCTTTTAAATATTCATTTTCACGCCACAATACATCGCGCTCATCAGCCAATCGATGGATCATAGAAACTAGTTGTTCATTATCAAATTGCTTTTCATGACCATTAATGACTGTTTTTATTGGAATATTTTTAAACATCTTTGAAGTATAACCAGTCAAAAAAAGAAATGTTCCGATCAAATCTGATCGATACCTAGATTGTAATTGTTAATATTCGATGTTGGTATTGATTGACAGGCCAAAGTGCAAGACAGACTATACAATTACCATCGTATTCTTCTTAGCCTCTCTACGTGATCTAAAGAGCAAAGTAATTTCAATGGTTTGCTTCGCCTTTTCTCTTGCCTCATTTTGCAACACTTGAATAATATTACGCGAAAGAGTCGAGAGAAGCAGCACATGCTTCTCTCCGTTTTTTGTTATTGACTCTTGTTCGTTTTCTCTCATTCTCCTCTCTTCGTTGGCAATAGTTGTTCGCTGTCGTTTAGTGTTTGTAAATATCAACGATCGAAGCAGCAGTGTTACACCTTGAACAAATGATGCCATAGGAAAGAGTAAGCGAAAGGAAGAGTAAAAAAAGCATTATTGATGTTTTTGGGGGGTAAGAATATGAAAGTGAAGTTTTATTAGTTTTACAAAAGAAATGAATATTTGATTGAAATTAATCTATGTTAAATTGAATTTTAAACGTTTTTTTTTGTTTCGTAAAAAATTTCGAATATGTTTTCATTTGTTCAAAAATAATTTACATATGTAAGAACTCAAAAAAAGACAAGATTGAAATCAGAGGTCACATCGACTATATAGACAATGCTTCTCAAATGTCCAATTAATAATATATCGACTAAAAGTTTATTTAAATTCAGTTCGTTACAAGAGAGTTATATTTCAATCGATATTGTATCGAATTCAACATGTAAAAAGTACAAGTTACGAAGAAAACGGCATTGAAAAAATCGAAAGAAAATTGTCTGTTTTAAAAACATTTATATTTTGTTTCGACTCAAATGTCTTGAAGTTGATGTCTGCTCTAAACGATGAATCCTTAGAAAATATGACGTACGAAAAATCAGAATTCATTTTTTTCTGTTCTAGTTTTGCATTAAAATTTTTCCATTGTAGTTTATTTTTTATTTATTGAAATTTTAATCGTTCTTTTGTAGTTGTTTTTATGTACAATGGCATTTTAATGTATTTTTCTTCAAAGAAAATGACAAGTAGCTTTACGTGCGAAATACTATTGCTGACCTGCCACAAAAAAAGTTGTATTCTTTCTTTGTTTGTCTTTTTCTATGAATGAGTCATAGTTCGAAATTGGTGAATTCACATATTTGACAAAGCAAAATGATTTTAAGCTTATCTCTCTATTGCAATATATTGATCTTTAGTTATAGTTATACAATACAAGAATAATTTTAAAAAATAATTTAATATTTTCGTAGATTTTTTTTTATTTATAAATAATTTAGACCATTTCTTCTAACTTAATATTCATTGATTATTGTAAAAAAGCTCTAGCATATGTTGCTAATAATCCAGCTGCAAGACCACTTTTATGTGATAAACATCCGTGATGCATTTCTTGTTCGATTAGAAGATGCCTTTTAATTTTTAAATTTGGTTCCGCTGTTTCCGATGCACTGCTAAAACATCCATACTGTGGTTCTTGCCATGAAAGTATCGCATCAAACCAATCGAAACGTAAAAAGTCTTCATAACCAATAATTGAACATAATAGTAATTGTTCAAGAAATAAATCTTGATTTCTATTTTCTTCGATATTTAATTGAGCATCTAGATAAATATTCGAACAATATTGATCTTCTAAATATTTTAAATTTTTATTTGAAACATCTGATACTGCTCGATTATCAATACAACCAATGCTTTTTGCAACTAAAAACCATAATAATTGATGTGTTAAACGATAATCTTTAGTCATCGATGTTGTCATCATACTCCAGCATGGCTGAGAAATGAAACATTTTGTTGCATTCGGACGATCAGTTGAACCAAGTAGTTCAGCAAAACAGCCATCAGATTCATCTTCATCAAACTTCGCAGTTCTTGAACCCTTTTCAAAGAATTTTTTCTTTATTTTTCGCAAGTCATAATCAGCTTGAAATGGTTTCGATGCAACCAGACGAAATCGTTCTAAATATGAGGATGCCGTATCAGCCAATGCAATTAAACTTCGGTTTGCTATACGTTCAATTTGTATCGATAAGTTTTGTATATAGTGATTTTTATCTGTAAAACGCTGGTTTTCGTGGGATGATGCAGTTAAAATTTCATCAAGACTATTTAATTGTCCTTGTGCTATGCGTAGGCCATATACACCATCAAGATTTAAATCTTTGGCATCTGATTCGAAAAAATTTAAAAGACGTCCTAAAGCATTCAGTGCTAGACCACCATATTTAATATTTAATTCAGATGATGGTAGAGTAGAACTTGTTACAATTGGAATAAAAATAGAGAAAATTAGTAATTGGATATTCATCTAAATATATTAAAAAATCATATATTTCTATTTGTAAATATAAAGAGAAAACAGGAATTAAATTGTATAGAATGGCAACCTGCCAAAACTACCAATAAGCCAATCGTCAGAAATATGATATCAAGAATAATCATTGGTTACTTGTGAAAAAACAGTTGTATATGTGCTACGTCCTATGTAAAGGGCACCATCGCCTTCGTTCTTTTCTTTCTTCCATCGTAGAAATCATTAGAAAAATAAGAGAAAGACAAGAAGCGAGAATAAGTATACGTTGGAACGATAAACCTTATCTTTGATTCAATTTATTATACATAGCTCCCTATCTTTCCTTATCTGTCGTGATATTAGATATAATATAGAAAAACAAACTTGTATTTTTTCCACACAGATGATATCATTCGTAAAGCTTCCAAATAAAATGAACTACAAAAAGAAACGGATTAGTTTTCTCGATGAATATTTTTGTTCGTTTTTTGTGATGTAAATCAGTGTTAGTAATACTTTCCGTTCGTGGATTCATTTTTTCATTCAGTTCGAAAACAAAGCATGATTCCGTTATTAAAAGTCGTAACAATTGTCGAAAGCTGATTGCTTCAGGCTCCTATGGATTCGAATTACTCCTTTACATAAAATACGACAACCAGGAAAGAAAACTATAGTATTAATAAAGTCTATTTTATTTTTGAGAACTTACAAGAAGTGATTTTCTCATCTATCGACTATGTAGAATAGCATTGATTAGTAAATCAAGCGCTAAAATATTTCAAACTCATCTTTATATTATAGATTGTGATTAAGAAAATCCAAAAACAAAAAGATTTAAATTAGTCCCTACATCAATGATGAAAGCTAAAGGTAATATACCGAAGATGTATCGATGTTTTCAAGGAGAAAGTTCGATAAGAATTCCTAGATTCTTGAATTTCTTAGGAGTCTTACCTGATTTTTTGAAAGTCACGTAGAAAACATTCCAATACCTGTAAATTTTGAGAAATATGGTTTGATTGATGACAATAGCAAAATCTAATATGTCGAGGATTATATTCAGAAATCTTAGTGTTTCGAACGTCACTCTGCCTGCAACAAACATTGTATTTATGATCAACAGATAAATTTCCATCGAATAGAATGTTCGATATCATAAAAAAGATGTTTCTTTTAATTTCATTTATACTATTTACAGTGTCTTTCGTGAGTAATCTAACCTATACTTGTATTTAATATTGAAATTTCATTTAACCATGAAGCATCTTGTTAAGTAAAAATTTATCTAAAAAAAAATATAAATATGTTCAAGTTGTTCGTTCGATAAAAACAATCTTATTCTATACCTATATTACAATGTGAAATATTTAAAACAAAACGTAATGTGCTCTACAATGTGTCCTGACGAAGCTCTGCTACTGACTGTGCTGCTCAGCTTTATAAACGAAGAAAATAAAAAGTGAATGAAAATTTTATTTGGTGACTTCAGCTCTTTCAGAGTTTACCAATCAGCTGGTGAGAAATAAAATATAATTGGATGTAGTTCCGTAGAAAACCGACAAGAGAACATTTGCCTATGTAATATATCAGCAGTTGCATCGTTCAGCAATTCTGTACATATGAATTTGTGCAAATAGGATATTAGAAAAGCACAAACTAAATGAACGGTAAATGAGAAAAAAATTTAACAGCACGTATATAAATTCATCGATCCAAATGACGGTGTTTGCAGTGACTTACTCAAAGATTAAATCAATATTTACATCTAACTGATATAGAAGCTGCATTGGTAAAGAAAAGATTGGTATTATATTTGTGCTTCTCTTCGTATGCATAGTGTGCGTATTTCCATAAGAAGAACATATATTATATATTGAAGACGTATTTTACGATGGAAAGCCTCTTTTTTAAGATATAACGATGCTGCATAAAACATATGAATCGGTAGAAAAATAATTCTAAATACAAATGTTTTCCGAAATTTAAAATTCTAAGAATCAGTCGGTAAATTCTACGCTTTCACTGTTCACTATGTCATATTGCCATTGTTATTCAGGACAACAATTGCTTATTCGATGTAAACAGGACCGATAATCATTTCTTTCTCCATTCACAATCAAGACTTCGCATAAGGAATTTGTTTTCATAAAAATAAACTCTAAGTGACTTCATTATCTTGGCATGCAACTATTTTGATTTGGTTCCAATTATTTGCAAGAACAACTATTATCACAGAAAATATATTCATATTCCAATAATTGTCTTTTGTTTTAGTGTATTTAATTTCCTCGAACAGCAAAATTTCTTGTTGTATACATTGCTATGTATGAAATATCTGCTAAATCTAATTTATTTTTCTAAACAACTAGTATTTCGAATACAGATGATCCTCTGACTTTTCTGATAGAGAAATATAATTGTAAAAAATGTGTAAATGATTGACGTATACATACACCGTACATGACGCGCACTTGTAATAGATATGAATTCATCTACCTAGTATTTCTACGTATTTTATTCATCACTATTCATGGTGTACTATAAAATATTTCTTTATATAAAATAAAAGTGTGCCTATCATTCTACGACCTAATAGCCTATTTTTACTTATATTGATATATCATGTTCATGAAACTCAATTCGGGGCATTTCGATATAATAAAATAGTTTGTTTCGGTGATTTACACTTTGACACTTAATTTGTGTAATTTAACAGGTTTGAAATGGCCTATCAATTCCCCTTACTAGCGAGATCGATTTTCCAATGGACATATTTGGATAGAACAATTAGGCATAGCCAACCTTATGAATTATGCATATGGAAGTGCCAAAACGGATAGTAATTTAGTACCAGACGTTACAGAAATGAGTATAACCGCACCAGATGTTCGTCAACAAATAAGCCTGCACAAAAATAATACCGATTTGACTAAGATAAATTTCGATCAAACTATTTATATCATATGGGCTGGAGCTAATGATTATTTCTTTAATCTCAATTTATCTCCATTTGCTGTTGTTGTAAGTTTAATGAATGATATCAATGATCTAATTCAGCTAAGTACTAATCATATTATTATTGTTAATCAACCACCTTTTCAATCATATCCAGCTGTTGTTGGTTTGAATATTAGCTCTTATTTAAATCAGCTAACACTTGCACATAATAGTAATTTATCAAATGTTATGCAATCACTTCAGTTGAATTTTTCGAATGTTTCATTAGAATTATTTGATGTCTATTCACGTATTACAAATATTCTTATGAATTCTTCTACTTATGGAGTAAATAGTACGAAAAATTGTTGGGACACATCAAATCATACTTCCATCCAAATGTGTTCATCTCCTGATACTTATATTTTTATTGGTGAATATCATTTTACTACTCGTGCACATCAAAAAATTGCTGATAATGCGCACGTATATTACTTGTAACTTTGAAAGGAACAATTAAAGCTCTGTAGTCTATTTTCTTTATCTTACTTTTTTGTCAAATTAATCTTTTTTTGCTAAGTTAATAAGTATGCCGCATGGTAATGATCTTTTAGAACTCGGCTACATGTAAAATATTCTAGGTGATTTTATTATTTATCATGTGAAAAAAAAACGAATAAAGTCTATTTACACAATAAATTATATAGTCAAGATGATCAGTCTTTGACTAATATTTTAATATTTTTTGATGGGAAAACCCAAGAATGAATCTGTTTGACTCCAGTAAAATATGCTCAAATTGAATGTCCATCCCCTATATTGTAGGAATCGTATTGATTCAATGAAAAAATTGTTTGAACGTTGAAAAGTTCGATAAAAAAACTCTGTATTTTTGGATTTATTTAGTCTCACTTATTTGCTATTAAAAACACTACTTCGATGGATAAGTGTTAGAGTAGACTAGTGGATAACATAGCTTATTGCATCCAACTGAGATGAAAATTCGAAATGAATATTGAGGGTGTTCTATGTCTATTAGAGTCAATATTACGGAAGAGCTAGCGATATTTCTGAAATTCTCTTCTTGCAAACTTTCATCTAGTTTTAGAACATCCAATGCCTAAAACAATAGTACTAAGTAGCAGGCACCTGCTTTCTTCACGCACCAATCTATATCTTGATCCTAGCACAGCATTACACAGCTGTAGTGTTTTCATTAAGATTTGAATTGCAATAGTGTTTGCCTTTTTTTCTTCGAGAATACTGCTTGTTAATCATTTTCTATCTGATTGCATATTTCGAAGCTGTGTGTAAGACAACAATGAAAACATCATAGTTGCTACTTTGGTATTTGAAAAACGTTGACTTGGATATCAAATGAAACCATGCGACTGTTTGCTATTCATGTGCCATATATGAGGCTTTTGGTGACATTGGATGAGCGTTCAGTAGTTGTAGTGCACTCTCTCTACAAAAACTACTAGGCTGTTGTAATATATCTTGTGGGCACGTCTCAAGTTTATATGATTAAGTTCTTACTTTGAGTTTTGATTTTGAAATTCTGTCATGTTACTTCATTTTTTCCTCGTCTTTCACTGGAACGTCAATACGATCCATCAACACTTGCACATATGTCTACATGCAGGTAAATTTTAATGATCATGATCTCATTTTCTACACACATTCATACCACTATCCGTAGTACTGTAATAAACAAACAATGATAGTGATATCTTGACTGACTACTTCATCTGCTGTATGTCTAGATTGACTAAAACCAAATAGAATCAGTTCGAGATCTACACAATACCATTGGTGACCATTATGATTATAAAATAAGCAATGTTGCCTGTCGCCATTTTCTTCTGTTTGTTGTTTTCATTCAAGTATACATTCAAGTGACACTATTGATTACCATCGAAAAAAACATTTTGAAGAACAGTACACATTTCATTTCATTCATTCTTTTCTTCAAAGTTGTTTACTCAAAACCAATCACTAGATTTTGCTGTGTGGTGCGCTTTTTTGGCTCATGTGTACTTTCGGTTTTTTATATTGAAAATGGAAGCATGTCTCATTTCTTTCTTCTGTTACTATTAGTGAAGAACAACGAAACGCAACCTGACGAACACCTGAAAAGAATTTGGACTACAATAAATGGCGGATTTTATAACGAAACCACGCAGCATTTTCCCTAGTAACATTCTTCAGAATTTTTCTTGGGAGTCCTTTTTTCATCATCTTCTTGCAATTAGATCGTTTTTTACTAGGTAAGTGTGTGTATCTGGAGTTCATCAATCACTAACTATATTAAACTTACTTGGTTAACATCTAACATGGGATAGTACTACTAGTTATATTCCATTTATTCTCCTATTTCCATGATCGTTGAACTTTTGGCTTAAGATACCCGCACACTGCTGAGCCGTCCTATATCATGCATCACTCACTCAGTCTAATACACACTACCAAAAATCTGTAGAAAAATCGATTGTTTTGTTTGAATAGCCTACTGTGGGATATGATGAAAGATGCAGAAGTGAAAAATATCCAAAAGAAAAATAGCAAATATCAAAGTGGCAAACGTAGAAGAAGAAAAAATAGAAAGGTAGACTATGCCGAATGAGAAAAGCAGCGAAACAAAAGTTATGGAAAGAAAAAGTCGAGTATTCATTTTTATTTGATCATAAGCTTAAAAAGAAAAAAATTAGGTTTTGTGTGTTAATTACCGCTATTTGCACCATTCAAATTTAAGAATGAGTTCTGACATACTCTGCAATTAAAACTACACCAACATCCATATCTACACTTATACTATTAGGCTCTGTACAACTAACATTTTTTTCCTGTTACAATTAAGATATAATTACAAGAGAAAAGGCTTTTTTTTAGCAAGTTACTAATACGTAGAATTAACCGTAACGGTAAACTCTGACAGATGTCTGACAATTTATATTCATATTTTCATTTCAGTTTCGTCAATTCAACAATGTTCATGAATAGCGTTTCTCGTGTAAAAAGCATGCACATGGATGATGCTAATAACAATCAATTTTGCCGTGTGTTAACCAAAATCTTCTTGATGTTACTTCTTTTAATACTATTCATTACTATGAGTAATGCAGGAAAACAAATGAATGATTGCCAGCCAATGTTTATAAGTGAAGTCAACTCACCCTCAAGACGACGCCAGGGTCCACCATATTTGACATATATTATTTCTTCAATACCTCAGCGCTTCAATTCTACATTGAAGGAGCTTAATACCGTACTACCGGGGTTTTTCAATGTCAAACATAAGGAACCTGTCCCACACTCTGATTCACGAATTCTACGCCATGGTGATATGAATGCTTCATCACTTTTACTGACGAACATCGACCTTTGGAGTGCATTCGGATGGAGCTCTTCGGCAAACTACTCTGATAATGACTGGATATTGATATTCGAAGACGATGTCCGTATAGTTTCACCTGAAATAATGAAGACATTTTATGAAGAAACTAACATAACACGGAATCATATAAATTCAAGTCATATTATAGCAAGTAGGCAATTTATTTATTGAAATATTTAGATTTACCAACATAACCGAATAGTTTTATGAGCACTATAACTACTCTATAGTACTATAGTGTACTGTAGTAGTTCACCCATCGGTTCTAACTTTTAGGCGATGATGAGACTAATAGAAATCGCTGTCAATTTGTTCTAACAGATATTCTTTTTATAAAAAATACAAAATTCAGAAAGTTTAGAAAAAATAACATACGAAAAATTGTTGAATTAGATCAATTCTGAAATTTTTAAATTTTTTTCTAGATCTTTTTACTTAAAAAAAACTCTTTAAAAGTGCAACAAAATATAACTAGGGTGTTACTAGAGGAAGATGACGATCAAAAACTTTATATTTTAACCGAAAATGCTCTTAACAGAGAAAATAATCTTAAAAGCAAATCCATAAAGATGCTTAATAACGTACAAATAAATGTGAAGTTTATCGTTAATTATATTCATACTTAAAAACTATTAAAAGAACTTGTACTCTAGAAAAGTTCAATTTGACATAGAAGATTATCCAAGAATATCTGATTGAGAGTTTTGCCGATGAAGAATTTCTCAACTTTGTATTTTTCATCGTTCCGATTGTTGTCTACGATCAGGTGCGGCGGATTAAATTAGCGAGAAGTCGAAGGTATACTCATATATCTAGATCATGTTTTATATTAGTACCTAGAACAATGTCAACTATGCTGTTCGATAATCCAATTTTAAACCAAGGATAATTTTCATACGCTACTTTTGTGAATTTTTGAGATATTCAAATGAAAGTGAACTGTGTTTTATGATGAAATCAGAAATCATTTCGTAGATCCAAAGGGAAATATGTATAGCTAGATCTCAATTATTATTTCATATAATTACTTAATAAACAATATTCATTTATGCTCTTTTGAATAGAAACTATTGAAGAAAGCTTTGAATTGGCCAAAAATGATGGGATTCTATATCTCGGCACATGTGAACCGCTCTTCAATGATTCAAAGATCCATCATTCGTTCGATGGCTTAATGCAAATTCGTCGTGGCATGCATTTTTGTACACATGCCATAGCATACACAAAATGGCGCGCACGAAAATACTGGAATGATATATCTATTTCTCGGCTCTTGCACTACGAATTCACTCTTCCTAAAATAGTTCGTGAATGGCAGCGTCTTACAAAAACTTATCCATTCTGCACTGCTCCAAATGTCAATTGGCCACTAGATTCTACTTATTTCGGTTTTTTCTACCCAGACAACGGAACGTATGCGTCAATTACATAAAAAAACATTTCGAATGATTTAGTATTGTATATCAGAGTGTAACAGTAGGCGTAAGGACAGTAAAGTTCATACAGTCACATGGGATCATCCGTTGCATTTGAATTTTGAGCACTAAATATATAAATGTGATAAAAGATAAAATATAAACAATGCTAGAAGAATTATATCAAAAGAATCTCTCTTAAAGTTTTTCAATTTGTATATTTAGCATAATGCAAAATCATCGTTTTTCGTGTCAACTATGAACAAATAAAGTATTACAAATTCTATGAGTACACTAAACTTAAATATGAAGTGAGTCTAATATTAGCATGCCTCGTAAAAAGCTGATATTGTTACAAAGAGTCCCCTTCTAGTTTCCAAAAAGAGCATCGTTAATGAAAAGCTTTGATAGGATTCTTGCTGTAGATACCATTCTTCGAAACTATTTCCGATTCTATTCAGCAAGTTTAGAACTCCAAAACAGTACGGACATTTAGAATAAAAAGGACGGGGTGCATAACGAGCCAAATCGACCTATTCTTTAAATCGTTTAAAATTTCGTATATTCCAATGTAGAATTGTACACTGAGTTCTTTTCTAGAAATTTCAGATCGATTCGATTGTGTTTAGTGCGGAGAATACTGGGAATACGATTCTAGTCAGCATTGATATTCACATGGTGCAATATCTTGGTGATAAATTTTTACAGCAATGGCACTTCTAGATGGCGTTAATCTCACTAGATGGAGCATTTAATTTTGCATCGACTTCTATTAGAACAAGTTTATTCAATAAACTTTTCGCTATATTCTATTGATCCGATTGTTGACGGTTGAAGGCTTTTTAGTTGAATCTCTCCACTTTTAGACTCATACAAATTTATCAAGAAGTGTTGAAATAGATCTTTGTTTGCTGATTGATAGCAAATTTTACGAGCTACAAAATTGTGTTCTTTCCATTTTCATCAGAGCTTGACCAACTGAAAAATCGCATGGATAGTATTCAAAAGGTAGGATTCTCTGCATTTTTTGGTTACTTTTTGGCAGCTAGTTCCAGCTAAAGTTATTAGTATAACAAAAAATAATAGCATATTTGGAATCAGCATCCAAGACTAAGTTAGTTCACAAGCATTTCGACTTCTTCTTTAAACTATTATTTTTCTTTGAGAAATTCACCGTGGTATCTCTCCAGCTTCAGCCAAAAATGAATTTCATCCAAAAACTTTCTTTTATACTTCGAATACTCACCATTTCACGTTTAAATAAGATTTCATAAGCTTCGCCGTTAATTGCGATCATCTAAACTAGTTTTGGATGAAATTCACTTTTGACTGAAGTCGGAGGGATATCACGATGAATTTTTCAAAGAAAAATAAGAGTTTAAAGAAGAAGTCGAAATGCTTGTGAACTAACTTAGTCTTGCATGCTGATTCCAGATATGCTATTATATTTTGTTATACTAGTAACTTTATCTGGAACTGGCTGTGTTACAGTGTGCTCTACTGTAACGTATATCTCGATTCTATCTATTCTCTTTTCTTTTGTCTTTTCCTCTCTCTCTCCGTTTCCCTCTACTTTCTTGTCTCTGTTTTCGTGTGCGTATATAAACATTTGTCTTCTAAAAGAATAAACAGAGAGATAAAAAAAACATACACATTTAAAGTGTTCGTCGCTCTTCGTGAGCGAGAGCGTTAACAAGCTACCAAAAAGTAACCAAAAATGTAGAGAATCCTACTTTTTGAATACTATCCATGCGATTTTTCTGTTGGTCAAGCTCTGATGAAAATGGAAAGAACACAATTTTGTAGCTCGTAAAAGTTGCTATCAATCAACAAACAAAGATCTATTTCAACACTTCTTGATAAATTTGTATGAGTCTAAAAGTGGAGAGATTCAACTAAAAAGCCTTCAACCGTCAACAATCGGATCAATAGAATATAGCGAAAAGTTTATTGAATAAACTTGTTCTAATAGAAGTCGATGCAAAATTAAATGCTCCATCTAGTGAGATTAACGCCATCTAGAAGTGCCATTGCTGTAAAAATTTATCACCAAGATATTGCACCATGTGAATATCTATGCTGACTAGAATCGTATTCCCAGTATTCTCCGCACTAAACACAATCGAATCGATCTGAAATTTCTATAAAAGAACTCAGTGTACAATTCTACATTGGAATATACGAAATTTTAAACGATTTAAAGAATAGGTCGATTTGGCTCGTTATGCGACCCCTCCCTCCTTTCCAGTTTCAATAGATACACCTAGTACTGAAACAACAATCTGAATATGATACCCAATAATGGTTCAGTGTGACATATCTTCTGTCCAAAAGCATATTGTCTCATTGTCGAGTTGTCAAAACCTGTAGAATAAATTCATAATAGACGAATCCAACAAAGGCGCTCTGTATTCACATTATTTTGACACCCACAACCAATTGTTGCAATATTTGTTTTTTCTATAATAAATTATTTTTCAATGCTCCAAAAGGCTGGTAACGGAAATATCATTAATTTTGAATAGGCACATATTAAACCAAAGAACTACGTTTCATCCAATAGCATGACACATTTCTGTGAAAACTATGAAACTAACAAGAATAACGCTAAATATTGAATCACTCCAATTAGATTGCTGATCAAAGTGGATACTTCGAGACCATTTTCTGGAAAAGTTTGATGAAATTATAATTGACCACATCAATTGAAAACTGTTAATCTGCTAAGCTTGATTCAACTCCTGCAACATGATTTTCCCGATAGTAGGTACTTGTACTTGTGCGCACATGATAGTAGATGACTATCTGGAAGTTTACAATTACAGACGAGTCAAAAAGTATTTATTTCAAAACTTCGATTGCTGATTGATATTCTTCATTTTTGTATACTTTTTTAACAATTGATATCATTTTCTATGAAATTATCATTCAATTTACTGGTGTTTTTCTCATAATATTAATTACAAACATGTTTCGTGTGAGTTTATCGAACGGTATTCATGACATCCACATGTATCTGTTCTTGCAGATAGTCAATTCCAATGCATTTAACGGTTAATGCTCTGATGATTACACGACAACATCTTTATCGTATGAAAGTTATCTCACAACTCCGATATAAGATTTGTTCAATCAAAGTGAACCTGCTTGGAAACATTCAAAATCTAGTTCTTCAATGATTATCCGCTAATCGAAATTGTGCCCTTAGTTTTTACACTCTCTTTTTTTGTTCTGCATTCAAACTTTTTTCTTTTATTTATATTTGGTTCTGATTTCGGCAATCTGTTGTATGTCTTCATATAATCAATTTCTTGTCAGGTTTTGTTCTTCTTTTCTTGTTTATGTTTCTTCCATTCTATGCGTTGAGCCACCATCTTTTGTTACTATAGAAGCATATAGTATAGATGTAGAATTCATATGATATTACCTATTGAGTTCATATTGATGTTAAGTCTGTTCTGTTCAAAACTTTTATTCGTTTTTCTTCTTAATATTTCTACTGTGTTATTTTTTTATCTAATTCATGCATGAGTAGTCACAAGTAATGTAGAGAAGAAATAGAAAGGAACTCTAATAAATGCCTTCAATAAGTATTTTTTTTGTCGTTCACCCCATTAAATCAGAAACTAAAAATATACTGATCATCAGCAAGAAAGAAAGTGGCAAATTTCACTTCAGCTATTCTTTTGGCGTGAGACATTTCTGAAATAAAATCTTCGACCTTGACGCTCTCTATGCTCTACAACTGGAATATCTCCCATATGCTTCAAAGTAAAGTGGCAACATTGAAAATTATCCTCTTCTCCCACAATTGTAGAAAGCATTAATACAAAAAGGCGTTTGCAGTAACATCTATGTTATGTCTTCTTCTCGCTCACATTATTATACTCAGTTATCAGCGAGACAGCAACGTGATGGTATGACAACAGAACGGAACAAAAGGATAATCCCCCTTCGCATGGAATCGAACCATGCACCTCCTGCTTTCCGGGCAGACGTATTAACCACTGTACTAGAAAGGAGTGTGCATTATTCGTTTGTTCCGTCTTACGATCGAAGGGGAACACTTCGGTCGTAACAATCTAACACACAAATCAACATAAAATAACTATCATTCCTACCGGTAAAGTTCTACAGATATGTTTCGGAAGTTTTATTGTTATAGTCGTCTTGTAATTACGATCTATTCGGCATGGTAAGCAACTCTAAGAAATCTATCAGCTACTTTGTTATGTTGCATATGAAACACTATTGCCGATTACGTCGTGGTCATAGGCAACTCTGATATGCGTTCAACAGTTATGTCTTTTGGCTTATTTCAGATATTTCGATGCAATAATGCTCCCACAGAAGATTTCTAATGTAGTGAAAACATTCATGGAAGATAATGACAAAAATCAATTTCGTCGCTGGTTTACTAGAATTTCCTTGATATTAATTCTCACACTAATTGTGTTCGTTATGAACCAGTGGGGAAAACAATCGAATAGTTGTCGATTTCTGATTGTGAACAATAGAAACTCATCACATTCACAAAGTTACCGTGGGCAACGATATTTAGCGTATATTATCACTTCTACATCTCCACGCTTCAACGCCACATACACAGAACTTACCACCGCATTACCGAAATTCTTTAAGATTATTCGTAAGCCTTCCGTCTCGCATACTGATTCGAGAATTGTTCCTAATGATTATGTTAGAGTTTCATCGCTTCTCCTGACTCACATTGACACATGGCATGAGATTGGATCGAAATCTGATCATGAATTGGGCGAGAACGATTGGGTGTTTGTATTTGAAGACGATGTTGGTATAGTACCTCCTGCAATCATGAACTCTTTTTATCGAAAAATTTACACAGTATGGAAATATGCCAAGCCAAATCCTATTTTAGGAAGTAAGGACTTTATTTGTTGAAATATAAACTTTGTAAACGAAATTCAGCTGTTATTTGAGCGAGGTGACTTATTATTGATAGTGAAATTATATAGTATCTGAACATATCGACTAACTTATTAATTTAAGTAATTATTCAATAGGTCTTGGTTGGTTTTAAGGGGTCTCAAGAATTTGTCTAAGTAACTAATTAGTTTTACAGCCACTTTTCTCACGTTTCGTTCTTGACATTGTGTATGTTAAGCGCTCATTATCGATCATGAGAGGGACTAAAGCAAGGGGGGAAAAGCGATTTATGAGTTTCATGATTTTTCTGAGTTTAGCTGATTTAAAATGAGTTTGAGAAAGCGAAAAATTTGCTGAGCTAACTAAAAACTATTCCAAATCATAAATTATTACTGAAAATCATTCAAAGACACCGAAACTCACGCAAACTCATTCCAATACAGTTAATTTATATTGATTGTAAGTTGAGTTTTACTGTGATTTAAATCAGCTTTTTCCCCCTTGGACTAAAGTCTCATGAAATATATTAACGCATTTCAATCATTGAAATACAAATTTTAAAGATACTTACGTTAGAAAGAGTTTTGGAAACTTTTCATTCAATTTTCGTTGCTGAAGAACCGCAGTGAAAGAGAAATATTCTATATAAATATCTAAACTATCCTATAGCCGCTGTGAAGCCTAATAAAAACTTCTAATTTTAACATGATTTGAACAATTTTTCGAACACTTGTTAGAACGTCTAAGAAACATTTGATACTCCACAAGAACTTCTTATCTGTCAGTTTTTTCTAGAAAAATGCTTCGCTGCATATTCTCTGACATAAAAACGCATTCTTGTTGAGCGCTCACAAAGTGGTTTTCAAAGCTCATACGCTTCCTTCACAATTGCTGGATCAAATGATTGAAAAAGAACAGCTCCATTAGATATCTAACACATGAAATATCAGAGCGAATCTCATCTTAAAGTCGAGCATTAAACGCTAAAAACCATCATGCAGTATAGAAAATTGCTACTTTAGAGGCCAGTATTAGTCGAAAATATCATATTGAAAATTCTTTAGAAAAAGAATTTCTCAATGTCGTTTATTTTCGTGATTCTGGTTATTCCCCATACAAAATCAAAAAAAGATTATATCAACAATGACTCAATGACATGACAGAATATGCAGCCTCTTCGTCTTTTTTCGCATTTGGTATTGCTTCAATATTGCTTTTCAATACTTCCATAGCACACGAAAGAGAATTTTTGCGTATTTAATTGCATTTTGAGATAGTCAGATGATAGCAGCGTCTATTCCGTGCTGAAATATGTGTTCTAAAACTCAAAGGGTGTTTCATATCACTAGAACTGACTTAAGTTTCTGTAAATTATATGGCATACTTTTTTCATATTAATCTTTGAATAGAAACTATCGAAGAAGGACTCAAATTGACAAAAAACGATGGAATTCTATATCTTGGCACATGTGGACCTGTGTTCATGGATAATGATACCAATATTCAGAATTCACGCAATCGTCTGATCCAATTCCGGCGTGGTGTATACTTTTGTACGCATGCAATAGCCTACACAAAATGGCGTGCACGAAGATTCTGGAGTGCCTTAGCTACATATAGACTTTTTCACCGCGAAGTTGGTAGTGGCACAATAGCTCGAGAATGGCAAAGACTTTCAAAAGCGTATCCGTTCAGTGCAGCGGCAAATATACATTGGCCGCCGAATACTGGTCACTATGGGTTCTTCTATCAGACTAGAGGGAACCATCCGTCAATAATACAAGAAAAGACTTGAAGTGATTTGGTGTCATGCATCAGAATGCAAGTGTATTAAGTGTGAAGTAGAAAAATAGTCATAGACATTCGATACGCTTAACGAGTACGATTAACACGTATTTTCTTTCTCTTCGATCGTATATATATACAAACTTATCCTTTTCTTTCTCTGGTCACGTTTCTTCTAATCTTCTTTCCACATGATCTCCTCTTGGTACCAGCTCAGTATACTATTCTGGTCTAGCCCAAGCGGCTAAGCCGTCATGCTGAACAGCATGTACAACCCTCAGTATCCACAACTTTCATACCTCAACGAAACAATTCAGCACCCTCCTGCTAACATTACAACAACGAATGAAAAATATCAAGCAAACAAAGCAACAGTTCAAACAAACTCTCAAAACTACCCATCGCAACGAGTATCAGCACATCATTTTCAATCTTTACATTCTCACACCTCTCCACCCAACCAAAACAGCACTCTGAATTACAACAACAGCACCAACCAACAACATTTACATACCTATCCATATATTATACCACTGTTTCCACAACAACGAATACCAACCAGAGATGTGCACAGGGTAGGACGGTCCTGCTGCCCTGTCCTGTGCACGTCTCTGATACCAATGTGCATCAACTCTCATATTTATCTTCAAACGATTACCAATACCCAATACTGCACCATCAACCACCACTCAGCCGATTATCAGCAACAAATGCACCAGCATCAAAATCAAGATGCACGAATGTCGATGGAAAGTGGGTGCGATGAGAATTTTATTACTGTTAATCGGGAAAAAAGAAAGCAAAAACAGATCATGTTCACTTTACACCTCCATCTCGAACTTTGTCAGCATCAACACCTTCAACAGCTATCGATGACTCTACTTCTTCGACGACCACAAGTAGTATTATAACAAACAATCGATCTTGTACAAATACACAAACACCGTATCGAACCAACAACAGTTATGAGCCAAATGAAATTTCAACTCAAGCACGCCGATATGCTGAAACACATTATCCATTTTCACCGTTTATAATTAAATTTAAGCAGGATGTCGATGAAAAATTAATTATCAACAGTATTCTGAAACACTTTAATGACATCTACAAAGTCAATATTATATTGGCGGACCATAGGCTAAAAGAAAAAAGAGAACTGTTACTATTTATGAACAATCGTTATGTTCTTCGACGATGACAAATGATCAAGGACATTCGATTCAATTGATTATATAAAAACTCGGTCGAACCAACTGCCACCGCAATTCTCAATTATTCTTCGTAACATTCCAATAGATAAAGATATTAATTTGCTATTAGAAGATATCAAAGTCATGTACCCCGAGGTGGTCAACTTATTTCGTCTATCCAACAAAAATAAACGTCCAGCAACAATTGTACGTCTCCATATCATTAGAATTAAAGTTATTGATGATTTATTGAGTAAGAAACACATCTACATCAATAATATACGTTATCCTATATCTGAGTACTTGGTTCCAGTCAAATTACTTGTTTGTACAAAGTGTTTTCAGATTGGACATATTCGTAGCACGTGTCGAAGTTCAATGGAATTCTGCAGAATTTGTGGAACTGCTATCAACGATTTAAAAGAACATAAAGATAAATGTAACAACAAACCAAAATGTATTAAGTGTGCAGGTGAACACGATTCGAATGACCACCGATGTCCAAATATTAAAACTTTTCGTGTTATTCTAACAAAATCTTTATTAAATTCTGCAGGTTCAAATAATCACAATCGAAACAACTCCACAAACTACTGGTTCAACGACCAGGATTTCACGGTCTTAAATGGAAATCGTCTTGATATTCATCAAACTAGTGAATCACGTATTGTTGATGATAATCGAATTGGAGACCTGTTCAATAAGCTGAACAAATTAGAAGTAAATTCTGATAAAATAGTCGAACTTAATAATAAATATTTAGATCAAATTGCTCGTGCACAACAGATGCTAGCTAAACATCATCATGAACTGCAATTATTACAACATGATGTAATGTTTCAAAGGGAATTTGCCAGTCAATTTATCTCGCCGCTCGGTCAAGTGTTGATCAGCATTATTCCGGTATTAGTTAATCAAGATATTATTAAAGACAAAACCATACTATGCACATCAGTAACAGCATTAATCAATAAGTTGACTAACGATTTACCTTTATGAACGAATCGTTTCGTTCAGAGCGAAACTAATAAATCCAAACTCATCAACGATTTCCACATAATAAACCAACATATTAACTCCATCAACAACGAAGCCCTTATATCAGCAGTCCCAACTTAACTTACTCAACATCACCACAACAAACAAATCAACATCTAAAACTAAACTTTCCCCCTCGCCTCCTCATTCCAGCCATTGGATCAGGTACTGAAAAAAAAACTCCGATATTAACTATGCACTATCACTCACTCAGTCCCTTGCTACATCATATGAGTTTTGTTTACTATCAGAAATAGTTATAGAATGATCTGATTCTCCCACTCTTTCTTCATGGTTTTCACTTTGGAAATCTTTCAGCCAGACTTGCACATATTCACTAAACTCACAACTAATGATAATACTTTTCAACATGCGAGTACTAGATGAAAGGCGGGAGGAGGTCCTCCTTCTCTTCGAGAAATACAAAACAGATTGTTTAATCCTCACAGAAATTGGAGCGATTGAATTCTCCTTGATACAACAAATTTTTTCAAACTTCAGATATTTCTACCAAAAAGGTGAAAATTCATGGGGAGGTGTCCTAATGTTATTTAAACTGAGTCTACCAGTAGAGCATGTCAAATGTGATATTCAAAATATATGCGTAGTTGTTGATATCAAATTAGAAAAGACAATTCACCTTATAGGTGTCTGTGCTCCGAAAAGCAAATCCTGGAAATGGGATAGTCTCTCGCAATTTACAACCGAGCACTGCTATCTGTTTGACGATTTTAATATAGATTTAGATCAGAACATAGATGAAAAAGCAGCGCAGAAACTTCTAGAATGGGCTGATGCGCGACTATTAGCCCCTATAAAATCCAATAAACCTACTTCTCTCAGATCGGATAGCGTGGTTGATAATGGGCTCACGAGTAATATCCCACTTGCCATTCAAAACATTAATGATAACACAACCAGTGAGTGGTAGCAACACACACTGGAAAGTGTTCAACTATTTCTTGGCACTTACTGTTGATTTTTGGGAGAATGAATATAAAATCTCGACAACAGAAAAATACTATAGTAATTTTATCTGTCTGCTGGACCCCTTGAAAACTAGATGTACCACGTATTTTAAGCTTAAGAGTTACCGAGCCGTAATATCAAGGGAATTGAGGGTAAAGTTAGCCTACACGAGAGCCCCGAGTTTTCAACATAAAAGAATTGGAGATGTACAATTGCACAATAAGGTCAAAGAACTCAGAAGAAGTAACAGACTAGAATTAGTTACCTTACGAACCAATAAACTCACAAGTTTAGTGAATGAGAGATTCGACTGATCTTTTTCATCTAGCACCTTCTGGTCTAGAATAAGGAAGAACTTTAAAACCACGAACTCCTTAGACGCATTAATAGATGAAGGTAACTCTATAAAAAGAAATACCGAGGACATGTTAAACATAACAGCTGAGCACTGTGAAAAACTACTTTATGAATCGATTGTATATCGCCTACACACGTATGTAGATAGTCCAGAAATAGAATGGGATAATCATGAGGAACCCATCCTATCGGCTACAATGACAGAGTTAGTAAAGGTGATATCTAAAATAAAGAAAAAACACTCTAGTGATGCCCATGGCATATCACCATACATGCTGGGCTTCCTGCCAATCAATTATTGGGGAGCTCTATTGTAGATATTTAACCGCTCGTTTACTACGTATTCAGGACCTTCATATTGGAAGCACGTAAAGACGAATCTATTAGCAAAAAAAGAGCGTATCTGTTCAATCAATGATACTAGACCGATTTCTCTGCTCAACATCTTCCTTAAAGTATTAGAGCGATTATGCCTGACAAGATTTCAACGTGTACTAAGTAATTGCGGAGTTATATACGAATCCCAATCTGGATTCCGATCGAATTTCAGACTACAATCACAAGTACTTATTCTTATAGATCAAATAGCATCACTGATGAGCACGAGTACATCAATGGCAACAGTATTTGTAGATTTCAAACAGATACTCGACTAGTTATGGTGTGAAGAATGCTTAGGTAAACTAGCGAGACTAGGCGTTCCAGAGACCTACGTACTATGGATTGAAAGCTGGCTTAAAGATAAGGCGGAGTTTATAGAAATGAAAGAAATAAGCTCGAAGCTTTTCCCTATCCGAAGAGGAAGACCTCAAGGCTCGTGCTTATCTCCTGCTATATTCATCTCATACCATTGTGATATGTGATATTCCTTGAAAGCACCCTATCCAACTTCTTCGCTGACGACCTAACCTGTGTGGTAGGAGGAATGTTGGGAATAAAGTACTCCCAACAATGTCTCGATTTAGAAAAAGAGACTAAAAGTGTTATTGGGGTACCACGAATATTATTCATTCCTATCTGCCCAGCCTATAAACTATGCTAAAACCGAGCTCATATGAACAGCCCGAGCGATCGGAAGCCCTAAATTTGAGATTTCGATTGGAGATAATGCAATCTCCTGGAAAAACAGCTTTAAATACCTAGGCTATCAGATCGCATGTAAGCTATGCTGAGGAAAAATGATCACTGAATACAAAAATAAGATAAGACAAAGAATAGCGATCATGAAATCTTGTCATATGTATGGTTCCTCAACACAGAAATTTCGAAGAATCCTGTTCTCTACCTTCGTGTTCCCGCTGTTTAATTGGTTATTCGGGATATTCCCAGTGCTAACAAACTGTCAACAGAACGATATGAACCACGTTTATCTCACGTGCTTGAAACGAACCCTAGTAGTATGGCTCTGAAACGACTATACGTTCTCACTACTATTCGAAGACAAGCCGCTAGAAAATCTATGTAGTAAATATTGGACAAAGTACAAGCTAGCGTTAAAGAGCTCAGTAGATGGAACGCTGCTTTTTGAACAGCACACCCTAAATGTCTTTAGGAGTCGATGACTGGAAAAAGCTTTCGTCGTGAAACATGTGTTCAGACCAAAACGCCTAGTTCCACGTGTTTCCGCCATCGAGAAATATCTAAAATGGTTAGAGAACAGTGAAGAGAATTCAATCCCCCAGATGGATCAACTTGTGTCGTAAACGGTCGTTTTACCATAATTTACGGCCGTTTGGTATGCACCGTATTACGGTCGTTTTGCATCGTGCTATAAACGATCGTATACGGTCGGATACTGAAATATCCGACCACATTACGACCGTTAGTAACCGTTTACGACACGGCGAAATACGGCCGTAATACAGTGCATGCCAAAACATCGAATTACGGCGATTTACGGTCGGAAACGTTATAAAACGGTAGTAAACGTTGCCGTATACGGCCGTTTACGATCGTATCAGGCCACCGTACTGTTCGACCTGGGCCCCCACCTCGATGAATCTAATTTCAAGGTACTGGCAGAATTTCCGAGCTCATTCCTATGAAATGAAACTAGACTAAAACTAAAATAAACTAAGCTAATCTTCCCACTCCTAAACTAAGGACTGCTCGTAGACCATCTTCCACCTTTGCATCAATCACGCTACGAATGCCTCTTCTTTCCTTCTTCTTTCTCTGTGGTTTTATGTTTCTTTTTGTCTTCCTCCTGTTGTACCCTTGGATGGATTAGACGTTTGTGTGTTCTATTCTCCCTTTTCTCTTCTCTTGTCTTCCTTCCACATGGGAGCACCATGTATCCTTGTGATGGTGTTCCACCGGTGAAGGATAGGCATGTCTATCTCTAGTATTATTTCTATTTTTCTATCTGGCTTGTATTACGTTTCGTCTTGATGTCTCTTTTATGAATTCCAACTTGTACCGCTCATGATGTATTAATAGGCCTTCGGGCATTAATTCTTCCGTTAAAGCATAAAAGGAATAGTCATAGTGACATGCGCTACCCTTTACTGTAATTGCATTTCGAGCACAACATAACAAGATTTTGTGAATGATACAATATTATTCTGTACAGTAAAATTATGCGTTGATAAAAATTTAAGGAGTGTTAATAAAAAATGCAGCACATCAGCGTATTTTAGTCTTTCCTGATTCTTAATAAATAATAAGATTATGTTGTGTGTAATACTGAATTTTCCCTTGATACATGAGCCTCATTGAAATTGAAATCTTTTTCATATAATCTTACCGCTGTATGATTTGATTGGATACTTGAAAAATTTTGAAGAAACTGTTACGTGCAAGTGTAAAAGAGAATGCCTTGAGATTTAGTACCTCGTCTTTCCATTAAAGATATTAAAACTCATGAACAAATAGGCTATCCCATGACAATCATTCCAACCGTCTGAGCGAGCATCTTAAAAGGTCTGAAACGCTTATAAAACGGTATAGAAAAGGCATTAATTTTCACCGCATTTCACCGTATTTCGCCATAATTCGTCAGCTCGTTTTCTGAGCTGGCGGAAAACGGCGCTGTTTTTCAACGTTTTATATGGTGTTTACGGCGTTTTACGCACCGTTTCTTGGATATGGGATGCTACAATTATAAGAATATAAGAAAGACAATAGATTTCTATGGAAGGCTTTTCCATCATGCTATTTTCAATAAGTACAGTGCGAATAAAAGATATATGTTAACTTTCCAATTTAGCCCCAATAGAACTGAGCTGATAATCTTTTTCAATCTAATGTCAAATGAATCATGAAATCAATGTCTCATCTAGCAAGTCGTTCTGATTTACTAGGGCGTGGCTTATAGAACAACTAAGTGACGCTGAATATGCATCTCGTTTCGGATAAGATATTTTCACTTTGAGAAGACATCCTATTCCGCAATATTGAACATTCCGGGACCAGTCCCGCGCACGGAACCAATTCCATCTAATTCCTGCAATTCTGTTTATCATTTCCAACACAATTCCGGAATTGCACTGAATTCCGTGCTATTCCGTGAATCGTTCGAAGGGATTCCGGGGGCGGAACTGGTGCTGGAATGTTCAAAATTGCGGAATAGGATGACTGCTCTTCACTTTGAAACGATATTCAAAAAAAGTATTGCGATGAAATCAATGAAACCTTCGATAGTTTAAATAAATGAATATATGTAAGTAACTCCCAATAGTAATAAAAGATGTCGACGAACTAAAACTTACAGTGTGATAATTATGACATTATTGGTTAAATAATATGTTGCTACATTTAACGACAAATGTTATGACTATAACTCACCACCATTCTTGGTGAATACATTAATTCGATACCCAGATATCCAGAGTGTATCTGCTTTTACATACAGCACACATGCTGCGAGTATAACTACTATAAATATAGAACCGATAGGGTGGGGCACAGCGACGAGGTGATTTTCCAAAATTCATTTCTTGTACGCTACACTCTCGAATACATCCATGTATTGATGCATTGATCTTGTTGACTATAGAGTGTTTTCCCACTGCATGATCGTTTCCTCAGTTTGTCTGTTCTCTTGTACACGATCCACTCTTATGTCAAGTACATGAGAGGATGTAAATGAAAGGAAAACACAAAAAAGATCTAAAAATGGCGTAATACATCATGTTACCGGTAGGCAGAGAATAAATATTCATCTGATTATAAACATTGAAGATTTGAATTCGCTTCGTGCCAGCTCAGTAAGGATTATTGTTGCTGTATAAATAGTATCTTCTCAATTTTCAGATGGTTCGTAACTGGAAGACTGTTAATTTACAATTAGTCAGCAACTTCACTAGTTTTTAATAAGCATTTTCTGAAAAGAAAGACTACCTTTTCTATCTCTCTAATCAAACCAAAGAGTTCTCACTAAATTTAGATACAGCGTAAGCAATTGAAGTGAAAAATAGCCACTTTTTCTTCTCGATAATGCGATGATTAGTTCGAATCTCTCTGAAGACTCTCAAAATAAAAAGCTAGCCATATTATATTATTATTAAGAATACCGACGGCTTTCAATTGCAGCCAGGCAGCTGAATAAGATGGGTATTTTAATATCCCATTTTTGGAAACGCTTCCTGAAATCGGAATGAACCAAACTGCTGAAAAGTTTTTATTTTTACTAAGCTCGATTTTAGTGAAACTTTCTTTATTTTTGTTCCCTTGACTCAAACGATTATTTTGTTAATATTTCATACCTCATTTTCTGCTATTCTTCTCATAATATTAGTCATAAATATGGTTCGCGTGGACGTATCGAACTGTAGTGATGATTTCGACATGTATCTACACTTGAAATCATAGTTAATCCACTACCATTCAACTGTAAATGTTCCAATGATTACGGTACAACATCTGGATACTATGAAATTTACTTCGTAACTATGAAGTCTTTATGAAAAAGCTGCTAAATCGTCACTAAGTTTCGAGTCACATTTGACCTGGGTTTAATCTATGTCAACCTTCTGGGCAATCTCTTCAATGTAATTCTTCAACTAGTTATGCATTATCTATATTTTGTTCTTCATTTGTTTGCCATTTTGTGACATTATCGATCCTATTTTTTTCGTTTTTATTTTGTATGTGAATTTTTTTCTTTTTCTTTACATTAGAATTCCCTTAACGAATTTGTCTGTTTTCTCTTAGTTATGTTTCTTCGGCTGTACGTAAATGCACATTGTCGTCCGTGGAAATTATAAGTTACAGATGCACGATACACATGCTGTCGAATATTGAGTTGTGGTGAGTTTGTTCTGTTTGCATTCTTCGAATCTTATTATTTTGCCGAGTGTTTGCTTATCTTATTTTTTAAGGGATTCATTCATGAATAGTCACAGCAAACATAGAGAAGAAATAAAAAGAAACTCTAGTAAATATATTTGCAAATTTATTTTTTTTCCTTCTCCACATTCAGTCATAAATTAAAATCATATTAAATAATTAGCATCGACGAGAGCCACAAATTTTGCTTCAGCACTTATTTTCTTACGACATATTTCTCAAATAGAATGTGAGATAATGATTAATAGTTGTGTGTGCTCGTTTTGTCTTTTCTGGTGAGTATTTGCGTGGATTCCGATTAAGTTTCGATCTAAGTAATGGTTTACACAGTCTGCCAAGGTTTCCGATATTGTAGAAAAAACACAGTATATGCTTTCCATACTTCACATTGTTGAACTCGAGTAGCTGTCTAATTCGAGTTCGAATATAAATTGAGAAAAGGAAAAGTTAAACTAAAACTAAATCTATTCCTAGATTTAGTTTTAGTTTAACTTTTCGATATATGCGGCATATGAATACATATATACCCTTCGCCCGCACCCACATTTGAGCACTCCTCCATGGTATCTATGACTCACATTCACATTTGAAGTATCCCGGATACCCTCTCTACACCCCTTCCGGGTACCCTTCACCCACACCCACACTATTAAAGTGTTCACTATGTTTACTTGGGATAGACCTCCGATTGAGCATATTAAAGCTTACTCAATGTACCTTATAACACTTACTTTAAGTCACACTACACAAATGCATATAACAGAGCAACGAAGAGTTAAAGTGTACACTGATCTCTAAAGGAGAAATGTGTCAATCTGATTGTGAGGTCTCTCGTTTATTTTATTTGAAAATAACGTGACTTTTATGAAACAAAATATTAGGGGATGACATTCATATAGGTGAGACGAGAGTTCACGTGTAGAAAACAGCTTACTCGTCTGTAAGGAAATAATGAATATGGCAGAATGAGTTCAACAATAGTTTATTGTTAATATACCGTATGTATTTGTACAATATATAATTATATATTAACGACGATATAATAAATAATAATAATAACAGAAAAGATAGGAGGATGTTTTATATCGATCGAGAAGAAAAAGCAACTGGTATGGAAACAAAATCTAACTACCAAATAGATACTCAATCGTGCGAATGAATTATATCTGACAAATGACGTAATAAATCCAACGAGATTGAGAAACATAAACATATTTATAAATAGCTTAGCGTCAGTTAACGACATACACTGACACTAACACTGATTTTGATTTTTCAATGATCTGCCTTGTTCTTCCCTTTTAGTCTTCCTTCTAGTATTCACTCTATTGCCATCGATCTCTGTAGCTTTCCATATACAAACCTACTTCAAATGTGCAACACATATAATTCATTTTTAATAGTATGAAAATATTTGAGTATCATAAAAGAACAGACAAGTCAAGTATTTTTACAATAAATCTAGAGAACAAGCTTTGATATACATTCAACAGTTATGTCTTTAAATTTTGTGAAACACGATCTGAAAGGAGTGTTAAAGTATATAGCTAGGGTAGAAATTTGGACCCACCCCCCCCCCACAGATCGTTACAGAGAAATTAATGAACTAATTTCTTTGTAACGGTCTGAGATAGTTTCTGGGGTCTCTGTAACAATTTGTGATGCTTTCTAGAGATTCCATACATCATCATACAGGCCGTAACAGAGAAGCTCCACAGACCAGCACTGACCGTGATTGACGGATTCCAGAAAAGGAGTTTCATCGTGTTTCACATTTTAATCCCACAGGAATTGCGCTAACAGCTTTTATTTTAGATTTTTCAATAGAATAATGTTTCCGCAGAAGGTTTCTAATGCAATCAAATCGTTCGTGAAAGATGGCGACAAAGATCTACTTCGTCACTGGATTACTAGAATTTCCTTGATATTATTTCTTATAATCATATTATTCGCTATGAACAAGTGGGGTAAACGATCACATCGCTGCCGATTGATGATTATCAAGAATGGAAACTCATCATATATACAAAGACATCATGGTCAACCATATTTAGCATATGTAATCACTTCTACACATCGACGTTTCAACTCTACCTACAAACAACTTACCAATGCGTTACCAAGGTTTTTTAATATTATTCGTAGACAATCCGTCTCACATAATGATTCACGAATTATGGGTCACGCCCAAGTAAACGTTTTATCACTTATTCTTACTCACATTAGTGTATGGGATGAAATCGGATCGAAATCTGAGAATGAACTGGGCGAGAACGACTGGGTATTTGTATTTGAAGACGATATCGGTGTAGTTACGGCACCACTCGTCAAATTTATTTACAAAAGAATACACGCAAGACGACGCTATGCGATTCCTACCAATATTGTAGCAAGTAAGTAGTTCAATATTTTTCAAAAAGTAAACTATTTTTCATAAATTTCAATAGCTTTCATAAAGGAAGGAGACGATAACGGCGTCGCATTCGCATCTTATCTGATCTCATAAACTGTTCAATAGTTTCTGATACTTCGATGTCGAGCTGATCTTCTATTTTAAGTTTCTGAGAAAGTACATTTGCTCATAAGCTTTGTATCGTCAACAATTTGATTGCGTTTATATTCGCTACTCACGATTATCTAAAAAGAATAGCATAGGCATGGTTTACTTTTTGTAGAATCATATTATCGATGAAAATAGCGTCAGATATTTTTAACATACTTTCCGATAATTACATCTATATAGTTTAAATGAAGAGTTAAAAGCAATTAGAAAGTTAGTGAAGATGCTGAGACAACACCCTAGCAAGAACACCTAACAGGAAGAAATATTCCACATGCAACGATATTTTTTTCCTGCTTGATCAGCAACTTCAACAAACTTTAGTTGGGTGATCGAAAAAAAACTGTTTGTAGATGTTCAAGTTTCATGTGTAACGCTATGGGGTTCACTTACAAATACGATTCGTGTTCTCGTATGGCAATGGAAAAAAACAAAAATTCAATTTGATATAGACCACATATACAATAAGAATGAATATCAGAGTGATATGTATGAATAAAAAGTAAAAAGAAATGTTCGACTAGAGAAAATTCTGCTTGTAGAGTACATGACTAATTGGTAATATCTGATTGAAAATTCGTCTGAGGAGTATTTTCTCAATGTTGTATTTCTTTCTTGTTTTTTTTTATTCCCTATTCAAAAGTTAAATAGATTCTATGAACAATAAATCAACTACATAACAAAATATCAAGGCTCTTTGTTTCTGTCCATGCTCATTAATGTTTCAATCATACTTTATGATAGTTCGAAAACGCATTAAAGGAAACATTTTCTGATTCGATTGAGATTTTCAAATATCTCGATCACAACAGACTCTACTGCATGATGCAAATGCAAAGAGTAATGTTCTCGAAATGTCAAAGCTAGTTTCCTACCACTAGATCTGACTTACTTTTTTCATATTTATCTTTGAATAGAAACTATCGAAGAAGGACTCAAATTGGCAAAAAACGATGGAATTCTATATCTTGGCACATGTGGACCTGTGTTCATGGACAATGATACCAATATTCAGAATTCACGCAATCGTCTGATCCAATTCCGGCGTGGTGTATACTTTTGTACGCATGCAATAGCCTACACAAAATGGCGTGCACGAAGATTCTGGAGTGACTTAGCTACATATAGACTTTTTCACCGCGAAGTTGGTAGTGACACAATAGCTCGAGAATGGCAAAGACTTTCAAAAACGTATCCATTCAGTGCAGCGACAAATATACATTGGCCACCAGAAACTGGTCACTACGGTTTATTCTTCCAGGATAGAGGAAATCTTCCTTCCATTATACAAGGATGGACTTGAATATGTTTGATTTCTTAAAAAGCGAGGTTTCGTACCAAACCTAGAAAAAACAATTAAAAAAAGTATCGCCCGTGGTATGCATACTACGGCTTCCAAAAACACTCGAGCAGTATACATACCACAGATGGTACCAGAGAATTAAAGTCAAATCCACCGTTGATTTCCACATTTGAAGTTACCTACAATATAGAAATAAATAAATTTAATCATTTTATAAGATCAAACTTACTCCATTATTTTTGTACTTGGATCAAACCTAAAATAAACAAAAAACGACATTTATTTTGTTTCATAACATCAGAATAAGGCTTACCTAAAATTTCATATCTATATTAACCTAGAATTAAAAAATGAATAATTCTTTCGATTTGTCAAGATAGAACTTACCTAAAAGTGCGTACATACATCAAACCTAAAACAAAAAACTACACAAACTTATTAAATTATATACGATCAAACTGACCAGAAATTGCAGCTCTGAAGCAATCTATAAAAAAAACAATTTGTGTTATTTTGCGAAATCTAATTTACTTAAAATTTTATATATGAATGAATCTATAATAAACAAACAAATTTATTCATTTTCATCACATCAAACTTACCCACGAATTGAGAGTGGAGTTGAAATAAAAAATCTACGTTGTGAATTTTAGACTCCTGCTCGATGCATTTTCTCAGCCATGAAAGCTCGGATACAAAAGCTGATAACAGATTTTGAACTCTGGCACCCCGATAAGCTATAGGAAGTTTGGCATAGATAATAAACTGGTGAAAAGTTAAATGCAAAAACTATGAAACCTTGGGATAGTTTCCGAAACGAACGCTGGTTTGATCGGTATTTTACAAAACCTTCAAGCACACTAGCAAGTGTGAAAAAGCTCCGTACAAATAATACCAAACCTTCGGATCGTCCACGAAACCAACAGTGGTTCCGTGGGTATATGACGAAACCCTCTGCCATTTCACAAAACTATCAGAGGATTCGTACATGACGGACCAAACCACAAACCACTTTACGGAACCTTCAAAGAGCTCAGGCGAAAAATTGCGAAACCTTATGAAATCTGCTGAATACAAAATAGTTCTGAAAGGAGTCGACGGAACTTAAAATCTTTCGGTGGAGAAATGCGGAACTATTAAGATTCGGTAGAGTATCGATTTTTTTAGAGTGTAGTACTGTTAACAGAATACGATTAGTTTTAGGCAACAAATATTCATGTTGCAGAAGATGAAATGTTTTCATGGTGAATGGATTGATTTGTTAATGAAGTCCTGTTGATGATTCTTCTTAAAAAATCTGTATCACGACTAGAACGTTTCATTTATACATATGTTTCAATGTATGATGTAAGAAGTTTATATGCTATTTCAAACTTGTTACTTTTACCTTAACACCATTGAAATTGAAATGTTTATAATATCGCGTGCAAATTCAAAAGAGAATGTCTCATGACTCCCCCACTTCCTCTTACCGTTGAACTCATTGATAACTAGACAATTCCATAATTCCACCTGTTAGAAAGAAAGTACCCTTTTAATAGGAGACTGTTCAGTGGAGTGATTTCCGATAAATTGAGTGGGAGTAACAGATTTATGTGAAATTCCAAATTTAGCCCCGATAGAACTGAACTGATAATCTTTTTTAATCTAATGTGAAATGCATCACAAAGTCAATGCTTCACCTAGTATTTTCATCTATGTAACGCATTCGTCCTCAAGCAATTCGTTCTGATTTACTTGTGTATGGTTTATAGAACATAAAATCTAATCAGAATTATAAACGAATAAGCTAGACAGTCTTGAGATTTATAAAAGCATACATATATATAAATCACAATAGTAATGAAAACAATTGGCATCCAAAAATAGAGACACATAACGTGTTGGTTTTATCAATTCAATAATATATTGCTGCAACATAAGTGATTGATGAGACGTAAACTGAAAAGAACTGGTTTTATCAAGTCAAATATCAGCACATATACTGTGAGTACACTTAATATGGATAGGGGAGCGGATGGAGAGGGACAAAGTGATTGGGTGTTGATGGCAAATTCACTTCTTGTACGCTATACTCCCTACTAAGTTTTTGTGTTCATACATGTCTTATAAAAGCAAAAGATTTTTCATTAATTTCAGATACAGTGTTAGAAGTCGCAGTGAAAAATAATCAAAATTGACTAAGATCGTTTTACTTCGTATAAATCAATTTAGTAATGTTAAAGAAGCCAAACTTAATAAGTCTGGTGCATCTCAGTTTAGTCAATTGATTTTAACAGATACACTATGAAAATTTCGCTCAACTGTTCTTTATTTTCATTATAATCATTCTCAAATTAGAACAACATCAATAGTTACAACAAATCTTACACAGTTGATAATTATGTTTTATAGTATATTAAATGATGCATCGATTTATTCTCTTATTCCTTTGCTTCGCATTCACTGTGCATTACGAAGCCTTTGTGTGACAATCAAAAGTACATATGTAGCAGAGCTCACTAGTACAGAGCAAGTATTTATGCTGGTTTGTGAATAACTTAAATCCATTAGTTTATTTATACATAAAAATATCTATCTTATTCTTATTTTAGTGTGTCCGGTCTTCCATTTATTAATCAAAATGATTTTCCTATATCGTGAGGGTGTGCGTGTGGATACGAATGAGATAAAGACTCACACCGACACCCTTTTTATGAGTGCATTTCAATTTCGATGTGTCATCTTCCCAGGTGAATGAATCCGACAGTGAATCCTATCGGATCTCATGGGATCCGACAAGTCGACAAAATCCGATCAGATTCCTGGCCACGGACCGCTAACGGATCCGACGGAAAAAAAACATTTTCTTAATCACCAATGAATAAGCATATGGTGCCAACAAAACACATAGGGCGAATGCTTATGTTGAATTCCGTTAACTTTCGACACTGGAACCTATCGGATTCCAACACTAAGGTACCGATTGTGGGCCCCACACCCGGATACCGATAAGATTCCGAGACGAATACGATAGGATCCCACTATCGGAATCATTCTCCTGGGCATAAGTAAATTCATTTTAGAAATACTGTAATGATCCATTCACATCAGTCAGTAGATCACAGCTAATGACTAGAAACAATGATAGAAACGTTGATCATTGCGATGATTGTCCAACGAAATTAATACTGTGCTACTGGCATCAAATACATTAGTTTACATTTTCTTTTCTTTTATAATAATTATACTTCTAAAACAAGAATTTGATGCATTTAAATATGTATTTGATGTGAAAATATGTGAAAATTAAATTACTTAACAAAAAACTTGTTCTTGTAAAGCGCAAGCTCCGATTAAGCGTTCTTTCCTCCAAGCGTCGCGAGAAAATATGTTTTAATCATTAACTGTTCTGCGAAATATGATTAATCTGTACTTTACGCCGATTTTTTTCAAAATCACCAAAATCGCGCCTATTTTCACGACATGAGTATCAAAGAAGGATTCGAATTAGCGAAATATGATGAAATTCTATATCCCAATATGCAGTATCCCCGTGATGGTCTGATCCAATTTCGATGTGGTCTATATTTTTGCATGCATGCAATAGTCTACACAAAATGGCGTACAGGAAGATTCTGGAGTGATTTAGCAGTATATAGAATTTCACACAGCGAAGTCGGTAGTGATACATTAGTTCGAGAATGGCAAAGACTTTCAAAATCTTATACACTGAGTACAACGATAAATATACATTGGCTACCAACATCTGGGTACTACGGGTTCTTCTTCCAGGATAGTGATAGACATCCCTTCATTATACAAGGAAAGGTTTGACTTTTTATGATTTGGTTTACCCGGTTTTTAGCGGCGATATAAAGAGAAAAACATTCACAGTCTCACCCACATACGCATTGCTGTTCACTGTAGGCGCGTTTCAGATACAACAAGTATAGATGTAGCAGAAGATAAATCAGTATTGTGTGAAAGCGAATGATTTGTTGATGTCATTATTTTTTGGCATACTTTACAAAGAAAGGAAAATTCATAGAAAGTTTAAGAATGCAATTCTTAAAGTACATTCCCACTATGTCAAAGCTAGGATTGGATACAAGCGACTCGATTCTTATCTATTATAACATGGGAATAGCACCTTCAACTAAATTAATGTAGTTTTCATTGGTTTGAATATTTTATATAGCTTGGCTATGATGCATCAAATTGTTATTGGTTTGTGTCCCCGATTCGGAAACAATTATTCAACAATTTTTTCGTCATCTAAATGAAGAATCAATGTGAAATGGGTGTCTCTATTCAATTTACTATGGTCATGGTTACAAATATTGAAATTATTAACCTTCTAATTTTTGCAAAGCTCTTTTCCATTTTCGTCATTGTAAAATTTAATGACAATCTTGCAAATAGTCTGATAATAATAGTGAATGAATGCGTATATGGTAAGCTACTATACGATGTATTTCAATTGCGTTTCAATAATTATTTCATTAAATGACCAAATGCTTTTCTATTTGAATACTAAATAGTCACCAGAATGAATATTTATTTATTCATACGAATGGGATATATGGTGAGTATGGATAATGATGAACTGAACGGCAAGATATTGCTCTACCAACATCAACAACTGTTCGTTTCTAAGAAAACAATGCTATTAGTACAATTAAAAGCTTCTAGCTTAGAATTAGTTTATTGGTTTGCCAATCCAAATATGTAATCTAGAATGTAGAACATCGTTATATTGTTTTCAACACATTCAAAAGGAAAAAAAATAATGAACTGTTATATTCAATAACTTCGATTGTTCATTCAAAAATAAGAATAAGTCATTGGATTGATAAATCGAAAATTGAAGTTGTTCGATATTTAAAAACATTTTACAAAATTCTTCGATCTGAGAACAAAAATATTAGGATGATCATTATTTTTGATAACATCTAATTTTATTGTAATATTCACACAACTCGTCGTTGTAAATTGATGCTAGTAAACCATTTGCATCAATTCGCAATGGGGATAATTGGGGTGCATTTTTGAATATTTTTAATAATGTGATTGATGATTCTATTCTACTAGTAGTTCCAATATCCAAGTGTTTTAGATCTGATAAATTAACAAGCATCTTAAGTGATAATATGTCTTGTTTTTCATCGTGAATATCGTCCAATATACCATCACAATAAAAACTGTTTTGTAATCTCAACGAATCCACATTTGAAAAAGAATGATAAAAACTTTTTCGAAGAGTTCATTCAAGCAATTGTAAATATCTATAATACTGTTGAAGCAATTTGAATTTCTAATCGATGTATCACGATATCGGTTTGTATACATCGTTAATCTATGTGCATGTAATATATATGGTATAGTATAAATAATTGCAAAGACTTTGTTCAACTCATATGATGTTCTCTATGCCAAAAATTAGTTTGAAACCGTTGAAATTTATCTAAAACTTCAAATACTGCCTACATTGGTTCGATCTTATTGTCAAATAAAATATGAAATCGGAACTTAAATAACTTTAAATGAGGTAATGAAAGGGAAATAAAATTCTTCCAGAGGTCAGCATCAATTACTTTTTGCCAGTGGTACCACATAAGGTTAAACTCTGTAAATTAGGTGTCTAATTTATTTAAATTTATATTTAGAACTAATGCCGTAAGATAAATTCCTGGTATGTCAATAAGACTTGAGTTGTTGCCCGTAATACCATAGTTAGATACTAGATGATATTTCGACATTTTAATATCTTAAACTTGGTAAACATTTAAACAGTTGATACAAGCTATTCAATGAAGCACAAAAAGAAATTGTTAACTTTGTTCATGACGTGGCATTTTGAATGGGAATTACATCAGCATGTAGTATAGAAATCACTATTTGTATTATGTTCAGCCATGACAATGACGCTGCTATTTTATTATTCATATTTGATCTATCAATCCAACAGAAATATCATACATTAGATAGAGAAGATAATAGTGGGCCTATTTTTACCATATCATTCTCCTTAATATCTATCAAGGATAAAGATCGAAGTCGAGAAAATTCTTCGAGAGAAAACATCGACAAAAATGCTTGTACTCGACCCTTGATTACTGGATTAAGTAAAAGTGTTCGACAAAACTGATCAAATGTCGTTTTTTCGAACATGTTGAAAATTAAGATGCAATAAACAGTTTTGTATAAGCATGTGAAAACGATAATTTAATCGTTCAAATGAATAACACACGTATATCGGGTGCATTGAAATATTCAAAGCATTTTGTTAATATCTCGTTTGGTAATGCATCAAGCTGCATTATTATACTCGACATGAGATCTTAAGAAAAACAAATGAATCACTTTTATTTTTATGTTGTAAGTATTCATATATTGCTACTAGATAGTGCATTGCACAACACAAAGAAATAATTCTTTTCTTCACAAGCAGATATGACAAACTACTTATAGCGCTGACGTTTGCCTCTACTGAAAAATATTTTAATTTATCAATGAGTGATTGTTTGATGAAGTTCAGTTGGCGCAAAGCAAATGATATTCTTACCGTTAACATCTAAAATGAGGGTGTAAACGAGAGCGTCGGCATAGTTCTGGTCTTCTTGTTTTTCACATGTTTACGCTTACAAATAAAATATGTATCGAGCTTCATTCAATGTGCATTTGAACGTTTAACGAAGATTTCGGAATATTCTAAAATATTGTTTTTGCCAATGCTATTTAATATCGACGTTTGTTGGCAAAAAATTTTAAGGAACGAGTCTAACTTCTATTTATCATTCGTGTATTACTATGGGAGAAGAGAATCAGAAAAACTTGTCCTACAATTTGTAAATTCTATATTTTTTTCAAGAAATATAAAAGAAATGTCGGTAAAATGCAAATAAGATGTTCTCTACAATAATCAACTATTTTATTAATTCAAGTATCCAAATATTTATTCATAATAATGAAAGATAGAATATCGATCAATCTTATTATCGTATTAATAATGATTGACTTCATATACGAAAATGTTATTTGTTCTTAGATTATATTAAACTAGTGAGAGGAAAAAAACAAATAAATGTTAAAAAGCAGATTTGAAGAATTGTTCACAAAAAACTTATGAAGTTTTAGTTGATATTTGATATAACATTTGATCTACGCTTTAATTAGAAATTTACGTCTATTATGAATTTAACAAGCAGGTGGTATAATACAATGGAAAGGATGTTCAATGTGTGAAAAGAATGTAAATTGAGCCTTCAACTTGATAAATACATGCACAAACTCAATGAGGTCAAAAACGTTAATCCCTTCTTTTTTTTATTATTATTTTTTATTCTGAACAAACAATAGATTTGCTTCCTCCTTCTTTTTCTTTTCTTTTTAACGACCGACCGTACAAGTGTTCTATTCTTGTGATCATTTTGTTCATCAACATGCATTTGTGTAGACTTCAATTGTTCTTTTTCTTTGTACTATTATCGTATGTTTCAACAAGTAAATAAAAATCGAAATATTCAATTGATTATTTATTGTTATTTTATTTTTTAGTAGACATGCGAATAGTTTGTTATTATACAAATTGGTCTGTTTATCGTGTGACAGATATTCCTATATTATATCCTGATAAAATCAAGTCATTACATTGTACACATATGCATATCGCATTCGCAGTTATCAATCCAGTAACGCTCAGAATTGAACCAAGTGAAAAACATGACACGCACTATACGGATGCATTTGATACAGTGAATGAAAAAAATAAAATGCCTTATTTTGCAATCATTATTTGTTTTATTTTTTCTCTCTATGATCTAGCCATTATATTTGAGAATGAATTCATTGAAGAAACGTAAATCGTCATTAAAAATATTAGTAGCTGTTGGCGGATGGACGGCTGGCAGCGAAGCATTTAATAATATTTTAACGAATTCTTCAACACGAACATTATTCATTCGACATACGAAACAATTTCTACGTCAATGGAACTTTGATGGAATTGATTTGGTATAAATATCAAATAAGCGATAGAATTCATGAATATTTTTTGTTTCATACATTATTTTTTAAATATTTACAATAGGATTGGGAATTTCCTGGCGATATTGAACGAGGTGCTATGAATAACTCACGAGAACAATTTAATATTCTTATCAAAGTAAATGTTTAATTATTTTGATAAATGTGTATTCAAGTTCTTCATTTTTTTTTGTCTTAGGAAATTCATGAATCATTTCATAATGAGAGTAATCCATTTCTTTTGACAGCAGCTGTGACGGCTGATCCAACAAAAATTGATCAGGGTTATGTCGTACCTGATTTTTGTCAGTGAGTATCTTGATATAGAACTTGATTTCAACATTTTGTTTTTTTTCGATTTTTCTGTTTTTCAAAGTTATCTTGATTATGTCAGTGTTATGACCTATGATTATTATGGAACTTGGGATAATGTAACTGGAATAAATGCACCACTTTATGGAAGAAATTCATCAGCAGAAGACGATGATGATGGACAATGGAAGAATGTCGTAAGTTTCGTAATAATGGTAAAATTCAATTCAGTCTTATGTAAATATTCTCTAGAATACTTCAATACATTATTGGTTGTCTAAAGGTTGTCCAGCAAATAAACTTAATTTAGGTTTAGCTTTGTATGGTCGCAGTTTTACATTAGCCAATGGCACCGATTCGGTTTCGATTGGTACAGAAACAAGTGGTCGTGGTTTAGGTATGATGAAATAGTTTCTTAGTTTTTCTGTGAACAGTTGAAAAATACAAATGTTTTTTCTCTAAAAACAGCTGGACCATTTACAAAAGAAAGTGGTACTTTAGCATATTTTGAAGTAATAATTTTGTTTAATTAACAACCACATTGAACAAATTGTTTAAATAGATTTGTCAAAAATTGCGTGTACATAATTGGACAAGAGTTTTCGATGCGGATGCTCAAGCACCCTACGCTTTTAGTTCATCAGTAAACTCATTGGATACACAATGGGTTGGTTATGATGATTTACAAAGTGTCACTGTTAAAGTAATAACATATTACATTTCTTAATATTCGACTTATTCAACAGGTTGTCTTCGTCTTCTGTTCAGGTTTTGCATGCTAAAACATTAGATTTAGGTGGTATAATGGTGTGGTCCATTGATCAAGATGATTATTCAGGTTTATTTTGTGGTCAAGGAGAATTTCCAGTTATAAGACGTATTCATGATATTCTATTCTCGACAGACAAAAATAATAAACAAAATTCATTTCTTACCACACAAGCAACGAAATTTCGTACGAAACCAAGAGTTAGTTTTGTGCCTATTCAACGCTTTACAACAAAACGTCAGAAAATAACATTAACATCAATGCAATCGATACCAAAATCAAAGATTTTTAATCGAGGTGCTAAGAAAAATAGTCCTTTTTATTTTTTATTTATTGTTTGGGTGTATTATTTAATATAATAAAGTATGCATCGATGTAGATTATGCAAATATGTTATTTATTCAGATAATAGACTATTGTGTATTTAATTCGGCAATTGATATGGTGACGTTGGATTTTCGAGTATCAATATAATTACTTTTAAAAATTATTCGTAAAGCTATAAGAATAGAGAAAAATACACTAGGTCTGAACGTAGTCATAATTTAGTAGAATATTATGATTTGATGGTGATTCTATTTTTTTATGTTCTTCATTATTTTTGTTTATGCCTATGTATAAGATTTCGATAATCTTCAACTTGATTAAATGTTTTCATATAGGTCACGTTTGACCCTTCAATTGATAATAGTCTTATGTCATACGAAAGGATTGTACCTATTCAATATTTTTTACTTCCTTTACGTGATAGAACAAAAAAACATTTTTGTCTCTTGTGACGTGCTTTCACTGAACTGCATTGTTTATTAATTGAAGTGTTAGGATCAGAACTCATAAGGTCAAAAAATATTCCGATATGAAATTCTACTCACAAAAATTCTCGTGGAATTTTTGTATCTGAATCGAGCAGTCGCTCAGAATGTACGAGACTATTGTTCTCAAATATCTGAATCAACAAACCGGATCTATCTCATGGTATGAACTTCTGTTGGCTGGTTTTCTTTCGATTCCTCGGTTTACGTAAACCACTCATCGACTCTGTTCGATTTAGAAAAGCAATTCTTCTTAATCATGTCGTTAGTGACTACTCGATCCTATCTATGTCGTACAAATTTATTTATCATATTTTATCGAAAGAAACGTCAAGATTTTGCTCAAAACTGATGAGAGTAAAATAAGTTATCGAATGAAATACAATGTTTTTAGCAAAACAGCTGATACGAAACAATGAGATCGTATCTTGAGTAAATTTAATTTCTCTTGAAAATACTTTATTCAGTTGTGAAAATCCCAATGACGAGAGAAAAACGCGAAACACACACATATAACGGTGCAATGTACAATACTAGTATATAAACAATATAGATTTAATTATTTCGTTTCTTTTTATAAACTGGTTGATTTTCATATGTATTGCCATAATAATTAACTGGTAGATTACTTTCATTGCCATACGGCGGAGATGGAGAATTATATGAGTATCCATAGTAATTATTTCTTTGAAAGAAAAGAAAATATTTAGTATTTCAAAAACAAATATACGAATTGATCGTAATGAAAACATACCGATTATCAGAACTTTCACGGAAACCTTTCGCAAATGGATTATTATCAATCTTTAATTGAGTAACCTATAAGGAAAAATCAGTTATATTGCCATTTAAATTTAAATTTTCGTCTGAATAACTTACATCCGTATTTTGATAAGCTGTTACAGCAATGAATTGTGTTTCAGGAAATGTAAATATATGTTTTGTTGATGAATTATTTCTATTTGATGATCCTCTTGAATCAGTTGATTGACAAGCGACTTCAAAAATGTTCAAGCGCGGCATATATTTATGCATTGAATTCACAATAATCGCCATCTAGAACAAACAAACACAAAAATCAAAATTAACCATTTCATTTATAATTCTAATGAAAAAAGACTTACTTGATTTTGTGAATTACTTATTGCAAGTTGTTTATTATTTGTTAATTTTAATTTCGAAAATGAAATTTTCTCATTTTTCATCCAATGCATTCCAGTATTTGGTGAATCAGGATGCAAATAACGATGATCTAAAATTACATCATAATAAAATTTGATGTGCTTGTTTTAGTTGAAAGCAATGTTTCTTATTTATACTTGTTTTTTGACATTGTTCAGCTTGTCCAGATGGTATCCATTGGCCAGAATTAAATTTCCAATGATTAACATCAACTAAAACCATATCAACATACATATCATACATTGCTTCAGGTTTTAAGCCATAGACTTTAAATTCAAGAGTTGGATACATTCGGCGACCAGCTGGAAATGAACAATAAAAAACTATTCAATATGATTTCATTCAATTTATAAACTCACGTTTTGTAATAATGTTTTCAAGAGTATGTTCAATAAATTTCAACCACAATGGTCGATTGAGGAGTTCGACAACAATCGAACCGGATCGACAAGCTCCATCTAATGGTAACTTAAAATAAAACCAATTGAAGAAAGGTAAATAAAAATGCTTTTCTTCTTCGTCTACATAAGCGGTTGCGGGGACTTGATTTTTCTCTAAGGGGTTTATCACAAAATTCTAAGGGAATTTTTAAAAAGTCCAAATATGTATTGATATATATATCTCAAGGAATATTCGTACTATGAGCGAATCAAAATCGCTTGGCTTTATGAATGGGATTAGCAATGAGAATAAAACGCAACGCTAGAAAAATGAAAAGTATCCTGAGCCGATGAATTATTCCGTAGAGTTTCTAACTTACATAAGGTGCTACGTATCCATTACTATTGTTAGTACTACCATTTGGTTGTTCAACAGAGGGTTGAATATAATTTGATTGCTGATGAAAATTTGTATTCGATGGATGTGGTGGAATTGATGGTAAATTATAATCATAAGCTGATGCTATTGGCTGATTTGATGATTTTTGTGAATATAACATTTCATTAGCGTGTTCTTCAGGTGAATAATGTTGATGATAAGTTGGTAAATAAACTGTGGATGGGATTTGATTCTTGGATTCATCTTCATTGATATCATTACTAACTTGTTGATGCGAGTAACCAGGCGAAAGTGTAAAGTACTGGTTTGTTTCATAAATCGATGGACGATAATGTTGACCATTATTTAAATCATTACTAATCGATATTGGGCAATAGTAATGTTGTTCTGGCGATGTATAATAATAATCGGTTGGAAATTTACTATTATTTTCTTTGGTACCGAGTGGCGTCAACATTGCAATGATACTGGTATGCTGTTCACGCTTTCTCCGCAACAGGTGCTAATCGAGTGAGAGAGAAAAAAAGATGAACGATGATGAAGAAATATATCACTATTTTTTCGGGATAGAAAAATTCAAATGACCAATGAAATTAGCTAACCAATCGAAAAAGGAAAAAGCTTAAAATATGATTATTCTTCTTTCTGCTTTTTGATAATTAATCGTTCATCACGGGAAAATCAGGACAACTTCTCATACGACTCAATTATAAGCCAATATGATATGCTTTTTTTTTTAAAGAAAGAAGTTTTCCATAGCTATAGAGAATTAAAAGAAACCGAATAGTTTATTGAAACACAGCAGGTTAATATTGATTTCAAGTGATAATTACACTCGGATAAATTCTTTTGTAAAAATAAAAGAATGTCAAAAATAAAATAAAGTAATAGATGCGCGTGTCAAGTGTGAATAACATTTGAACGTTTCTTTTGCTTTCGTGATATATTGCTTTCGATTTTCCATTATCAGCTTTTTCATTTCTGTGATTTACTTTCATCTCGAGCGGAATTGAAGATCGAACAAGAAATCTACTTGTTTTCTTTTAGTTTGAAGATTTATCAATAAAATGTAAACAATTGATGAGTGTTATTGTGTATCGATGGATTGACATCAGATTGAATATTCAATATTTCTTCATTTGCATTACCTTGTCATTCTGGGAAATAGGTAATGTTACGGTTAAGATTAAGTAGAACTGATTGATACGATATTCATTTTGTTAAGCTAGTTTGATAACGTTGATTATAATTAATCCAGGAAAAATATGTTCACATATGAAATGAGATTAAATCTTTTACGAGAAAAATAGAATAGCCTCTCTAATTTTGTATAAGTAACATGAAACAAGCTGTAGTGGCTTTTACAGAGGAGATATACCAGAATTTTAGGACAGTACTGGAGATTCTCTATTGGTGAATCAAACAATTCATATCTACGTTGTATCTTTTATGAAGAAAACTACGAAAATAACAGGTTAATTAATCGATATAGGTAAATGAAAATTTGAACTGCGTACCATCATGATATATTAAATCAATGCAGGCATTCTATGAGAGAAATTTCTAGTGTTATATACATTTTTTTTCATTTAATCAATGCCATGTATCACACATTCAATATCTTCTATTAAACGACTATTATCACGTTTTCAACAAGATACCGCTGGTATATTATACGTAGAAGCATGTTGTGATAATGAAATTATGAACATAATGTTTCTTTTTTCCCCGTCATTTCATCGCCGCTGAGTGTTCATTAAGGTAGTTCTACAAGTAATGTCGATAATCACGGAATAAAAGAAATTGAAACGATTTGATTCACAGTTGAGAGTGATGCTAAGTTGTTCTTGATCAAATAGTGTTCAAAAATATAAGAATATATAGCAGAATTATTCAAGCAGACTGTAAGCGCAAAATTTCTATGTGAATTCGATTTCACTTGATTCAATGATACCTAAATGTGCACATACCTTTAAGGTGAACACAGGTAGCCGAAACACTGCATAGATCATTTGATAAATATTTTTATCATGCTCGATTGCTTTCTACGATTCAACTTGTGATATCACTTCCTTAAAATCTTGTATACGTTGCGAACTATGAGAAGTGTATCTCAATAATATTTTACTGGGCTCCGTGTTGGACATCAATTTTCTTAATAGTCATTTTCAACTAGTGTTTTATAAAAACAATCATTTTAAGACATCGTAGTCTTACAATGTACACCGTCTATTTTGGGCTAGTATTTGATTCACGTTCAAATTAAATTATAGAACAAACATAACAATCAACCATAGAGATAACTCTTTAAGAAGCCACTCTTCAAAATGACAAAAATAGAACATTGAAACTGACTAGTATTAATTGATCAAAAGTTATTTCAAAGATAAGCAAAAAGTTTTATCTTCGAGATATTGTTTGGCTTTCGATTACAAATGAGGTCGAATTTCTTAGCAAGATTGAATAGTGAAGAATTTCATAGCAAAAGAAAATAGATCAATACTATAGTTTTGTTTTTCAATCATTTTATTTTTTGTAAATTAAAGTTTAAATGTATATGAGTATAATCGAAAGGAAAAAAACAAGAGCAAAAGTTACAGACGCGAGGAGTACAGAGGCAACGATTACTTAGACTATTTACACACAAAAAGAAAGAAAGAAAGAAAGAAAGAAAGAAATGAAACCAAACCGAAATGATAAAAATCAACTTCAATAATAATCTCGACGTGGATTGTTCTAGAAATGACAAAATTCAACTTTAGTATTTGTTGAAATTACACAAACATAACAATACTTACTAATGGATTCGGTCGAAATCTATAGGCAAGCATCATACGTTTACGATACATTTGGAATTCATCATCATTACGATCTAATTCTGATGGACGATCTTGCCCAAGACCTGCATGATGTACTGGTGTTGTTCCTCTGTGTATACACATACAAATGTAAATCAGATAATTCGAAAATCAGTTTATTAAATATACTTATTAACAGGGGTGACTATTCCTTGTGAATTTTTACCTAGACCTTGCCCTTCTTTCCATCCAAATTTTTCCAAAAGACGATAACCAATATTTTCAGCTTGAATTTTAAAATCTCGATAATCAGAAACATCAGGTGTTTCACCGTCTTTTAGTGCCTGAAAAAAAACATCAGAATTTCAGTTTCTTGTTTTTTCAAACTATCTTTAACCAGTACTATCTGCTGTTCGATAGCGCAATATAATTTTTGCTTCTTCTTTATTAGTTCAATTTTATTAATTACTAATACGTCCGAGCGCTCGGCATATTTATGTATTGTTCTCTCTATCAAGTATAAAGCGCAAAATTTATAATATAGTTCTTTTGAATCTAAACAAATTGATACCGATGTGCGATGCCAACAGCTGTGACCTGCACAATACGAATTATTTCTTTTCTCGTTTTACATACCAATAGAGGGGCATATGTTGCTTTCAGTACGTAAATTCTTATTGTTGATAGGATGACAGATAAACGCCTACTATTCAACAGTATCAGGCGCACACATACAACAATCTTATTACGCTTAATAGAACTTACTGAATAAGTTTTCATGAATTTTTCTAATTCATGTGCTGGAATAAAATCACCAATGTGATGTTTTCCATATGCCATATCCGTTAATTTAACTGCCCATTCTAAGTAAAATTAAAAGAAGGATCTCTAATAAATTTCAATAGATAGAAAATACACTGAACTAACCTCTTGTTATATCCATTTCGGTTGCACGTAATCGGTGTTCCCATGTTCCTGCTTTACTATCAGTTTCTTCATCTGAATCATATTCACGTTTATGTTGTTGCTGTCTAGCTAAATTTTCTAATTCGCGTCTTTTAACCATCATTGTCTGATAGATTGATTGAAGCTAAAACAAATATTTATTTACATGAAAAGCAAAATTATCGTTTCTGCTTTGAAATACTTCTTTCTGTTCAACATATTGTCCGCGTTGTTCAACGCTCATTTTTGTTCCATCATATCCTTCAGGATATAATTTCATTTGTTCATTAAGTTGTGTAACAAACCTTTTTGCTTTTTCCGTGGCTAGACAAACAGAAGAAACAAAAATTAAAAACACAATTATCAAGCAAACTGATTTCCCAAACCTTCATGAATTTGTTCAACAAATTTATATTCACTGGGTTCTTGTTTAACGCCTAATGATAATCGTTTAAATTTTGTTTGATATTATTATCAAAAAACCTTTTTTTTGTACTACTTACTATGATTACCCCAACGTGATTTACGTTTACGATTATTTTCTTCTGCTTTCTCTTTAAAGTTAAAAACAAAAATTAATTATTATTAAATAGAAAGTATGAAATGCATGTTTACGAGTATCAGTCATTGATTTATTCACTGAATTTGTCTTTCCTTCATCGGAATCTTCATTGTCATCCCACCTTTATATTGCAAACAATAAAATAGAAAGAAAACATTTAACTAATAATCATATTGATAAAAAGAATAGAAAAACAATTATAGCTCAACACAAGAATAAATATATCCAAAGTGTGTATGTATATGTACCACAACGCCGACGAAGAAGAAAGCTCGGTCGATGTGGTGGCGACTTGCCGTCGACGATTTCCACCATTATCATGTTTCTGTTGTTCATGCTCTATGGAAGAAACTGGACAAACACGGCATTAGTGATCATGTTCTTTTAAAATATGGGAAAAACAAGGAAATTTAAAAAAAAAACTACCTAAAATTTTTCTTTTCCTTTGGTGGTTAGCTTAAAATAAAACTTACGGTTATTATTCGCATTCGTTGATGAATCTAAGATAACAGAGATAAGTTTTATGGCTTCAATGATCAAAACACGACTTACTTGGCTCTATTTTAATTGTATATTCTTTTTTTATGTTGAATGTTCGACTTGCTGGTTTTTGAGTTGGCGTCTTTTTTTGTTCGTTATCTTCTTCATCTTCGTCTTCAGCTTTTAATGGATCGTAGAGATCAGCATTATTGATATTAATATTTGCTGTTGTCGTTGTTGATGGGTTATTTATTGGAGCAGGAACTGGTAGTGGTGGAGGTGGTGTTTGAAGCATTTTTGAAAGAAGTTCAGGTGATGGTAAGGCAAACGATGTTGTAGGAGGAGCATAGTTTGACGGGTTACTTGTGGTAGGTAATGAAGATGGGGGGAAAATTGATGGTACATTAAATGAAGGAGGAAGCGGTGGTGGTGGTAATGCAGCTAAAATATTTAAACAAGTTGTCTTTTTTCTATTAGATAAAAAATTCTTCATACATGGGTTGAATGATAATGGAGGTACAGGAAACGATGGCGACCCACTGCGTTGATCAAACATAGATGGAGGTTGCGAACTAGAAGGAAACCATGATGGTCCGCACTGTGAATAACCATTGGTAGCTAGATATTTTGATCCACGAGACAATGACTAAAAATTTTGTTGTACAATAAAATTTGTGTCTGTTAATAGAAAACAATTGAATTTACTTGTTGCGTATTGTTATTCAGATATTTTACATCTGAAGGAATCAATGTTGAAGGTTGTCCTTGAGTTTTTCGGAATTGTTCAAGAAATGACCCATCGTTTCTAAAAGCATTATTTCCCATTGTTTGATGTTCGACACTTTTATTTTTTATTTAGATAAAAATTATTTATGTATAAAAAAATTATGATTTATCCTCTTACGTATTGTTGATAGTATTTTGTGGAACAGCTAGATCGAATTCATAAAATGAAAGAAGTTTTTTTTTCAAGTAGTTTTTCAACTTACAATCATTAGGATTAGTTTTCTTCGCATTATCTAAACGTAATTTTTCTTCTATGATACGTTTTTTTTCTTGAATCAGTAATTCTTGCGCTGACATCGCTTGCAGTTTTTGTTGAGTACGAGACATTTTGAAAGTAAAAACACAATATGAATATGATACAGAAGAAAGGAATCTATAAGGCAAAAATGCAAATGCCAAAATTTTTACTACCACTAATAGTAATGAGCCACAATCAAAACAATAAATAGTCAAATGCAAGAAAGTGATGATGTACTGTTTGTATCATTTATTGGTTTCTTTTCGACCAATCTAAATCACCGATTCGGTATCCCTCTATCGAATTGTCTTCTGTCAGCTAGTAACCAACTTGAAAAGAATCATTTAATGGCATTGAAAAATATGCCGAGTAAAAAAATCTGTTAAGTTTTTAATAAAAATGAAAACAAGTGATGAGTTAGAAATTGAAAGACTTGTACAATGTGAACTTGATGCAATAAATCTTGATGATTCAATTGAAGATCTTGTTGTTGATGGGGATGATGATGATGGTGACGATGACGATCGAAAATATTCAACAGAAGTAGAAGATGAACAAGAAATTAATGAAACAAGACGAAATTTAGAACGTGATATGCATGAAAGATTAGCAGCATTTGAAAATGAAGTAAAAACTAATCTTGACCGATATGATATTGATTATTCAGAAATTGATGAATTATTACAAAAACCTACTGGCACCTATGAAAATGATATTCAAACAAATGTTGCACGGGAGTGTGGAATCGAACGGGAAGAATTGGAAAGAGTAAATAAAACGATGAATTACCATTTTTTGTTTTTGAAAAGAAAAACGTACACTTGAAATTTAGATTTTACAAAATATAAATACGGAAGACGCCTCATTAGATTCAAGCATCGATTCAGATTCATCAGAGTATAATGATTCAAAAATTGAAATCATAAAGCAAAATTTAACTACGATTGACACTGACAAAGTAATGCCTATTTGAGATGCGAAAATTGAATAAAATTATATATTTATTCTAGTCAGTGGAAATAACAACTCGAGAAGAAGAGAGAGAACAAGAAGATCCGAACAAAAAGCTTTACGACGAACGTCTTGCTGAATCTCATCGTCGTATGCTTGATGAATTGGCATTACTTGATCAACGACGAAAAGTAAGTTTAACCGTTTGAGAAACAATCTACTTTGAATGCGATATATGAATACTGAAAACAAGCCGGAATTTACTTGAATAAAGAGACACAGCGAACTCGTATAAATATTGTTCGTGTTTCTTATAATCTAATCGAAGATCCAAGGAAATTGTCAGAGAACTAGAAAGGAATGAATTTCCGCAATTAATAGTATTTGTCACGGTTTATAGGACATCCGTGTGTTCATCATTGTTTAAACGTTTAATTAATTTTCTCTTGTATTTGAAAATATTTAGGAAGAAGAAGAACGTTACGCTATTGTTCTTCAAGATCAACAAGCACGTTTAGCTGAAGAATATCATCGTTTTCAAGTGCGAATAATCTATTGTATCCATTTATTTTCCTAATATTCAAAAGAGTTTGCTTTTCATAGGAGACACTAGATGAAAGTGCCCGACAGACTCGTAATGAAAAACTTCAGTTTGAAACATTATGTCGTGAACAAGATCGTTTGACGAATGATCGACAAATTAAAATGGCAACTCTTATCCAAGCATGGTATCGAGGAAAACGGTAAAGTTAAATAAATCGTACATGGAATTAAGAAAACAAAGTGATATATTATCATATTTCAGTATCTATCGTCAATATCATGGGGAAATATTGAAACGTGCAGCACCAACATTAAGAACCATAGCTAAAAAGCGTAAGAAGAAAGAACAAGAATTAGCTAATGCTGCTAAGTTAGCAAAAATTCAAGAGGAAAAAAGAATTGAAAAAGAAACCGAACAAAACGTTGAAACAAATTCAATACCATTACCAATCGACAATATTATATCGTCTCCATTACCGGATACTACCAATAAAAAGTTAAATCAACTTCCGAGAGTTCCATCATCAACAGAAACAAGTAAACGAAGAACATTGATTTATTTGATTTTTCAATTTGATTTTGATTTTCTAGAAGAAATAATTCCACCAAAAGAAAATACAATTAAAAAAAAGAATATTCAACCAAAACCACAAATTGTATCAAAACAAACTTCAAGGTTGAAAATTATTTCTTTATTTATTCATTTAATTTTTACCATATTTCATTTCAGTTCAATATTACCAACAACTCAAATACTTCAACTTGAAAATCCAATTGACTTCATTCCAACAATTATTCCAAATCAAAGAACTATTTCATCGCCTCGTAAAATTCAAATAGAAAATAATAATAACAATACAGCACATCAAATTCCACCACCACCACCAATTCAAACTAAAGAACAACGACCAAAATCATCCAATAAGCGTCAACCTTCAGTGAGAAATGACCGGACACAAAAGTAGATAATCAATAATATGAACAGTATTACAAATTTGCTTTCATAATTTTAGCGATTTACCGCCAACCACTGGAAATATTTCAATCACTGAACAGTTGAGTACGACTCTGATCGAATCAAGTATTTCCTCAACATCAATGATACGATCGAATACATTCGAAAAAAAACCTGAAAGTTCACGACTACCAATTGAAACTATTTCGACTCCACCCAAGTCAATATATCGATCTGATACATTTCACAAAGACAGAGACACTCATTCATCGTCACCGCAACCACCAATCATTAAATCAATAGATATAACTTCATCCATATCGATAAGTCGATCGAATACATTTGTTGATAAACTCGAACGATCTCCGTCACCACCCATTGAAAAAATTACATCCATAGACATAAAACATCAATCTAATGGGTATAGTAATAATGATGATGATAGTGTTTCATCGTTCAATGAACAAATACCAATTAGAAATTCTATCGATACAGTACCAATAGAACTTCCGAGGACATTAAAACAATCTGAAATAATCTCAGCTAAACCCGATATTCCTATAACACCGAGAATCTCAACGGCTCGTAAGATATCGAAAGAAGAACAACATCCACCTAAAAAATTGAATAAATTTTTAAATGAAGCGCGTTGTTGGGCTGAAAATACTCGTGATGTAACTTATTCGAATCTTATTCTCTCAACTGAAGAAAACATTCAACAACATCCAACGCGTAAAACAGGTGTAAATCTTCGAAAACTGCCTGATATTGATACTCAAGTATTAGCAAAAGCAACTAAAAATCAACCTTCAAAACAGGTATAGAAAAAATTTCTAGATTATAAAAACAAAAAATAACCAATAGCGATTTGCATTTTCAAGATTCATTATTTACTTATTGAGCAACTTCTTACTCCGTGTTCATTATCTTTAATTGGTACGACATATCCAAGTTTAACTCATCTTGTTCTTCGTCAATGTAAACTTGTACAGCTTGTTGGTCTCGAATCATGTAAATTACTAACTGTTCTTGACGTACAGGTATTTTCTGAAAATTCAAAAACACAACAAAATGCCCATCCTATTGGAAATTCTATTTTTTATATCAATAGGGAAATTGGCTGGAGCAAATTCATATTCAATTAAATCATTTAGAATATTTAAATATGTCTCGAAATCGTATTACATCGCTACTCTCAATGAATACTCCAAATTTAAAATATCTTGATGTATCAAAAAATCGTTTAACACGTTTGAATGGAATTGAAACATTGAAGAATTTAAATATTCTTCGTGCTACAAGTAATCAACTATTAACAACAATTGGTTTACAAGGCTGTACTAATCTATTACATATTGATCTATCCGATAATCATCTTGTTGAAATGGAACAAATCGATCAATGTCCATTATTAATTACAATAAAAGCAAGTTCAAATGCTGTTATACAAATACCAAATCTTTTAAATGCTATTTTACTGAATGAACTGGATCTTTCATCGAATAGTTTAACTTCGTTTGATGAATTATCTATTGGATCATGGTTACCATTTTTAACACATCTTCGTTTATCAAATAATAATTTACAAGAATTATCATCAATTAAATTGCCATCATTAGTCGAACTTGATCTTGGATTTAATCAAATATCGGGTAAGAATATTTCAATAGAAAAACGAATTTTTATATCAGACGTTTTCTGTCGATTATAGATGTAACAACGTTAGAACGCTTTGTAAAAGATTGTGCGTTGTTGTCTCGTCTTAATTTAGAACAAAATCCTGTTCTATGTGATATAACAGATTCATCATCGTTGATTAAAGAGAAATCGCCTTGTGAAAATCCAATATCCATTTTACCGCAATCATTAAATGAAAAATCATCCCAATCAATTCAATTGTATTTAGATTTCCTTGCAAATATAACTTCAATATTCATAAGACTTCGTCAAACCATCGAACAACATCAAATCGAACCTTTTAATCTATTGAAATCAATTCATACTCGATGCCAACAATATTATGAACAGAAAATAATAGAACCAATGGAAATCTTCGAACCAATTATTCCTGATAATAATTTGAAGAGTAATTTTTTAAGCTGTTTGAAAATAAAATTTTTCTTTCTCTTTTCTTTTAGTACTTTCAGTTCAAGAACAAAGTGTCATTCGATTACAAGCACATTGGCGTCGTTGGTTAGTCGAACGAATATTATTTCGAAAATGGCGAGCTGCTCAAAAGATTCAAGCTTGTTGGCGAGGTTATGCAGTACGTAAACGTATGCGTAATGTTCGATGTTTATTTAGTCAACAACAGCAGACATTTGATGAAGTTGATTTAAGTCAATTTGATTTCGATGAAGTAAAATATGATTTTTTTTAAAGTTAATTAATCGCTGATTAATGTTTTTCACAGGCAGCTTTTGATGCACGTTTCCAACGACCACGCACACCAACGACTCGTGTTCGACAAGGATGGCAATCTCAATCTAAAGTCGTTGCAAAAACTACGATGATAACAGAATTACCTCGTCCGAATTCTTCTCGTTCGTCATCAGCAGCTTCATCACGCGCTAAACCAATCGTAGAACCATTGTCGATACAAGCTCGAACTAATCTCATCACAGATGAATGGGGTTTTTCACCTTCAAGTTCAACAGCAGCACTCATGTTAAAACGAGCAGAAAAAATGAAATGGAACTCAGAACGAAAACATAAACGAGAACATATGGGTTTGTTTGAATTACATAGATTTTATAGAAAAATGCGATATTTTCCCATCTATTAGATGCTTATCAACGTTTACAAATAGCACGACAAAGTGAACTACCACCTGGTTCACTACGATTGGCTCGACGCCAACCAGCATTAGCACATGCTACAAAATCGATTGCACATACAAAAAGTATTAATTGTTTTTAACTATCATTTATGATTACACGATGATCTCTCCATCTCTTTTAGCTTTGTCTCCTCCTGCCACATCTCAATCTCGTGGAAACCGTGTCTTCGAATGGGTACATACTCAAGTAGCTCGATTCGACGAGTAAGAACCAAATTATAATTATATCAACAAAAAATGTCCTATCTGATATAAATAAATAGTTCTTCGGTGGTAAGTAGTAATAGTCCAAGAAATGAACGTAAACGTTTACCAAGTCTTGATGGTTCAACTGATTCAATGAACGTAAATATTTTTTTGAGAAAACTATTCACAAGGAAATTCAATTGTTGATTTTTAGCGAATGCGTTCAAGTGAAGCCTTACAGCAGCAACAACGATGGTCTTCTTCAACAGGTAACAACAATTTTTTAGTCATAAAAGTTGTTTTAAGTATATTTACTTTTCTATAGTATCTATTCGTCATCCACCGCCATTGTTGCCACCTATCAATGGACATTTACCACGCGTTTAATTTTCAGAACAAAGTTCCGGGTCAGATTGTTGAAGTTTATAAATTATTTTTTAAAATAAAATATTTTGTTTTAAATGTCATGATTTATACAGAAATCTATCTTATTTTATAAATGAAAATATTAAATTATAGTAATCTTGTACGTTAAAGATTGCTAATCAAAAGATTTAAATGAGTTTTTCATCAGAGACCGACATCTATGAAAGAAAACCTTCATTCGTTTTTTCGTCATTTCCAAGAGTGACCTGCTTATTTTTTTTTATGGCGCCTGATGATTATATAACTACAGTTATCTTTCAATCTTACATAGCATAAACTAACTTCACGAACATACACAATCATGACAAAAACAGCCATATGGAATGGTCAAATTCTTGCTGAAAGTGACAAAACAGTTGTCGTAGAAAATAATCATTATTTTCCAGCTGATTCAATTAAAAAAGAATTCTTCCAAGATTCGAATACACATACAACATGTGGATGGAAAGGTGTTGCATCATATTACACAATTGTTGTCGATGGTAAAGAAAATAAAGATGCAGCTTGGTATTATCCCAATACAAAAGAAGCAGCAAATAATATCAAAGGCTATATTGCATTTTGGAAAGGTGTTAAAATTCAATGAATATTTATTTATTTATCTTAATTAACTTTTCGCATTCCCTGAGATTATAAAATAAACTATACAAGTAGAAAAACTTAATTGTCTGATACGGTCTTTTTCTTGTTTTCTTTCCATGCAAAATGATCACATCGAGCTTGAGGATTGTTAGAGGCACCATTAGCACGTGAACATACATAGAAGTATCGTCCCCAATTATTGGATGACGTATCTTTGACCTGACGTATGACACAACGTTCTTTATGACCAGAACAAAATGGTGGTGGAGTTGGAGGGCGAAAGATTTGATTCCATGTAGCTGTTTTCTTTGGTTTTTCAGCTATTTCATCGTTTGATAAATTAATAACTTCCGTATTCTTTAATACAAATGCAGATGAAAAAACGTAATATACTAACAAATGAAATATACTTTAGCTGGTGGATTGTCGGAAGCACACGGACGAGGAGAAACGACAATTTTTGGTTGAGAAGTTCGTTTAAAATGTTGAAAAAGTGATGATTGATCTGATTTCACTTTTTTTAATGGAGGCTTTACAATTGGTTTTCGTTGTATTATCATTGACGTCTCTTTAACTTCTTCAATTGGTGGATTAGTCTATAAATACAAAAAATCGATAGCCTTGCTTGAGTTCTTCTTAAAACTATTCATCAGTAAAGTCAATTATTTCGAACGTCATTTATATCAAAGAAACTGTCTGCCTGAATGATTAAAAATCATGTTAGTTTTCTGGCAATATCTGATGAGAGAATCACCAGCATAGATAATTCCTGTGTGAATTCATAAATAGATCAAATAATTCTTAGAATATCTCGAAAGTTTCGAACGACTTCAAGAGTTCAATGCTTTCAGAAATCAACAATCAGTCCTAGTCATTCTTAAATCTCTTAGATTGGAATCATTACAAAATGGAAAAATACTATTAAGCTGTTTTTATCGGGTAACAAATATCGTGATCATTCTCAGTATGATAGATTTACTTTTGCTAGACTTGTTTCGGCTTCGACATCTGTCTGTTTGCTTGCTACTTTTATTTCATTTGTTTGTTGTTTTCTAAAACGAAGTGAAATTAATTCACATGAAAATCTCCTCTACTTAGTCATATATTCCTTACTTATCACCATCTACGTCAATTTCTTCATCGCGCATTCGTTTCTTTTTAATCATAAATTGATTTAATTTCATTTGCGTACCTTTAAATTCTGACCAAAATTTTGTACAAATAGAAGGTGGTTTTGCTGCTGAACGATCACTAAATATAAAATTAAATTCTCCAATAACTGGACAATGATCACTGGATTCAATTTCAATCCGGTGTTGACAATCAACAAGATGTGATTTCGATACAGCACCGTCACAGAAAATATAATCAATTCGTACACCGTAATTATTCACTCGAGCATTCGACAATGTTTCCCAGCATGTATAAGCTTCACGTTGATCTGGATGTAAATAACGAAATGTATCAATAAAAATATTATTCTCAATAAATTTTGAAAACCAAAGACGAGATGGACTAGAAATAAAATACTAAATCAAAGAACAAATAAAAACAATGTTAGAAATCACTATTTTTAAATTCACATTAATATCGTCTCCTGGATTACATGTATCAATTGGTTTATGAGATACGTTGAAATCACCAACGACAATAACGCGACTATAACAAGTAAACGAATCTACGTGTAAATGAATATACAAAAACAATAACATACCAGCCACGTTCTAAAAAGCATTTAGCACGTTGTTCGATTGCTGAGAAAAAGTTCAATTTATAAGTTAATCGTTCAGGTTTTTCTCTATCAACACGAGGACAATAAACATTGATTAGAGCAAGACTTGTACCATCTCTATCACAAGAAACGAAAGAATAATCAAAATAAAGCTTTATAATTTCCTTTTTTTATTTACTCGAGTTCATGCTCAGTCATGATGGCACGACCTTCTCTGTCAATAGCTAAAAGATCATTCTCATCCATCGATGGATATTCGCCACCTAAACTATCATCAAGATTTGAATGTAATTTTCCAGCAAGTCCTATAAACTAACAGAATATTCAAATCATATAAACACGTATGACTGCTTTTAATATACCTTCTTCGGCTCGAATTGGTGTTAGCGAAGTTTTGCAAAAGATAGCTACACCGGAATAGCCTTCTCGCAATCGAGACCAACTATAAAATGTATGATAACCATCTATTCGAGCATATGTTTCAGCAAGTGCTTGACCTATGATGATATTTGAAGTATAAAAAATTCTAATTCTAATATATAGAAAGTCTTTCAATATCAAAATGATTGAAAACTTACGAGTGACTTTTGTTTCTTGAAAACAAATTATATCAGAATCAAGTTGTTCAAGTACATTTCTCAATGGTTGTCGCAATGAACGAAGACCATTAATATTCCAAGAACAAATGCGCATCTAAAAACGAAGAAACATCTGTCGTGTTCGAGTCTCTAACACCTGTTACATGACAAGTTGGCGTATTTTACTATCAATGTTAGAGATAAGAGTTTCTGGAAGTGAAAGTGGAATAAGTACTCGCAGTTTGCCAATGGGCTTTTTTTAGTAAGAGAAAACATTACATTTTTCAACAATGCATCGGAACAATGAATCATAATGGTATCATCGCTGAATAAATAGCGAAAAGAGAGAAGATTTCGAAACGTCAAACAGCTGAGTGTCAATCCATTGTTTACCTCTGGCAGTTAATTAAATCAAACATAACTTTTACTAGTAGAGTATTATTATGGCTATGAAGATTATTATGAAAATGAATAGACTTTTTTCTTTTTTCTCTAATGAAGAAATTTCCCAGAAGATGTCGCTAACAATGTTCCTGTTGTAATTTTCAAGTAACGAAGAAATAGTAAACAACAACAAACATGCTTTCCTCTTCACCTCGTTCTCTTTCCCATTCAAAAATACATGAATCAAGCCATTTAAAATCAAGATTAATTTTGCTTTTTAGTCAATAAATTTCTGAAGCATTTACTTTTTGACTTAGATTTTGTTTTACCTTTCTTCTAACACCATACAAGCATGAATGAGAACGGTGCATTAACAAAACGAATCGTTAAGGTCAGATTTCCCAAGTCTCTCTTGTTCTTTTCCTATTCTATGAATAGTTTTTTTTTCCAGGAAAGTGCTCGTTTACAACAAGAACCAGTACCAGGCATAGATGCCATAGTTGATGAACATAATCCTCGCTATTTTAAAGTAATCATTGATGGACCCAGTGAAGTATGTTCATGTGTGAATTATACTTGTATAAATTAATTATACCATATTTAATTTAGAGCCCATACGAAGGTGGTAAATTCAAAGTAGAATTATTTTTACCTGATGAATATCCAATGGCACCACCAAAAGTTCGTTTTATGACCAAACTTTATCATCCAAATATTGACAAATTAGGTCGAATTTGTCTTGATATTCTTAAAGGTATTCAAATATGTTTTATGAGTATAATTGTCATTTGGATTATTTTTTTCTAGAAAAATGGAGTCCTGCTTTACAAATTCGTACTGTTCTTTTGTCAATTCAAGCATTATTAAGTGCCCCGAATCCAGATGACTTTTTAGATGCTGACGTGGCTGAAAAATGGAAAGCTGATGAAAAAGGAGCAAAAGCTATGGGTAAAGAAATTGAATCATCTCTATATTATTATGAAATAATTTATATTTGTTTGTTTAGCTCGTGATTGGACTCAAAGATACGCACATGAAACTTAAAACAATAAAATTAATTTTTTATTTATTTAAATTCGTCGAATCTTATTTAACAAAAAAAACATCCGAAAAATAGGATGGTGAAAAATTATTCTTTTTGTATGTTTCTCCTTGCGCATGTTCATAGTCTCTTTTTCGTCTTGTCTTTTTCTATTTGTAATCAAGAGAAAAATACGCCTGAACCACAATATTGTTCTAAACTAACAGTTGTGTGTGTATTTGTGGCTGATCTTTTATTTCGATAAGAAAGAAAATATCACGTACTTCTTTTCATTTTTCTTTTAGTTATTATCATTCAAATATTTGCATGTGAAAAGTAACTCAACAAAGTAAAAGAACAGAGAAGTTATATCATTATTGCATAGAGGAACACTAAGAACAGGCGCGAGCCACAAATAAATAGGCCGCTCGATGTGCACAGAACTTTCTTTTTTTTCTTATGTGTTTGGTAAAGATAAACGGTTGTTGCATGAGAATGTGAATAAATCATTCAACTCATGTCTACGACATATTCATAGTTGATATTAGATCAAGCATGTATATTCAATTCTTGTTCTTTTACAGAAAATAACTTCATTGATCAACTAGTATTTCATTTCTATATACAGTAATGTATTTTTTTTTTCATTTCAAGATAAATCAAAAATATTAAACGATGTTTTAAATCTAAAACAATGAATTAATTATGCGATCATTAATCAATCGATTAGCCTTTACTAAAATGCGCCGTTTACCTGAATTCTTAATATTATCTTTCTTTTTAATTGCTATTTTCACCATTAGCTTGAAATGGCCATCATCATCACCATCGAAATCAAGAATAACTGATAATAATAATAATAATAATAAATATCCAAATATTAAACTGAATAATATATTTACCAATCCATTTTTGCTAAAAGATAAATTTTTTTATCGAGGCAATGATAGAATGATAGAGAAGGAAATTATTCCTGGCCTACCTGATTTAGACAAATATATACATCTTGACTTGAAAGGTGCACCACCAAAAGCAAATAAATTTTATGAACCATTTTTTAATTTTATTGATAAAATACAAATGGGTGTGAAAGGTATTGTAATTGAATATGAAGATATGTTACCGTTAAATGGTAGATTTGCTAACGTAAGCTAACAATTATAAATGAAATATCCATAATTGAGGAAAAATTCGTTTTCTTCTTTCTCTTTTTATCAAGGCTACCAATCGACTTGCTTATAAAAAATCTGATATTGAATTGATACAAACAGCAGCTAAAAATCATCAACTTAAAGTTATTCCTTTGATACAAACATTTGGTCATCTTGAATGGTTACTTAAATTACAAGAATTTGAATTGTATCGTGATGATATTGCATTGCCTATGGCTATATCACCATGTATTGATTCAACATACGTGTTACTTGAAGGTGATACTGTTCGTAGGAATTAGTTCCATTGAAAAGAATATTATTTTTAAGATCTGCTACAACAAACTCTTGATATGCATCCCGATAGTGACACGATTCATATTGGTTGTGATGAAGTTATATTAACAAATTCTCATCCGCAATGCCAACAAGCATGGGCTGATGTACCCGAACGATATATTACGTAAGAAAAGATAAGATAAAGGGATAAAATAGACAAATTACTATTTTTTTTTGTTTAATTTTTGAAGCCATGTCAAAAGAGTCGTTGGCATTGTTCGAAAAATTCGACCACAAATACGAATACTTATATGGGATGATCTTATTCGTAGTGATCAATTTATTTACAGTGAAAAATTGGTAAGTATGCTACAAGAAAATGAATGTATCGTGGTTCGTACGAAGAAAATATTAAATAGTATTTTGGAATCTAAAAAATATTTAACCATGATGTTTTTTTTGCTAGTCTTAATAATGAAAAATTCTAGTTCTAGAAACAAAACATAGCTGAATTCCACCAAGCGGTATTCTCTGTCAGTTCATATTTGCTAAATTTATTATTCATCCGTCAATGGTCCTTGGAAAATTCTAGAATTGCAACAGAATGAAATCAAATTTTCACTATCTTAGGACATGATAATTACTAAAGCCTTGACTATACGTTTGCCAAGCGCTATGTTGATAATCAAATAGACATATGGAACTGCTTTCAGCACTAGACAAAAGAAAAACAATTACAGCCCGTAGTGACGTGATTCATAGTGCTAATATATGTGAAGCATTGAATGACGGCTGCTTTTATTTAAGACTTAACTGATCATTTTCATGTTTGAATAAGTTTTCTTCGCAATAGAATTTATTCGAGCAACATTTTAAACTAGACTAAAATATTTATATTGGCTTATACAGATATATCTGTTTTATTTTCAGTTAAACCAATTAAAAGGTCTTGTTGAGCCCGTCGCTTGGCATTATCGTACAAAATTTGAAGACTCTTATATATTTTCACCTGCTTGGGATATCTACTCAAGATTATTTACTAATACATGGACAGCAAGTGCATTTAAAGGTGGCCTCAATCGTTATTCTATGCAAACAAATGCAACACATCATACATTAAATAATTATGCATGGTTAAGCTTGATGAATTCATTTTCAAATCAAAAAAATAAATCGATTTATGGTATTATATTAACTGGTTGGTCACGTTTTGATCATTTTATGCCATTGTGTGATTTATTACCAACAGCTTATGTTTCTCTTATCAGTAGTTTACATGTAATTAATACAGGCAAATTTATTCTAAATGATTATACAAATGATTGTTATGAATTAATGAATTCAATTGGAAAAGATTCACGATTATGTCAATCATTACCAGGTTATAAAATAGTCTTAAAATAAACAATAATAGACGCTTGCTTATTATTATGCGAGACATGAGCTAAAAAGAGTGATCAGGCAGAGCAGTCGAGTACCATTTTGGTCGAATAGATCTAGACAAATCTTTTTCCAGATTTGAAGCATACTACATCCTAGATAAATATTTCCAGTTACATCAGTTCATTTGGGAAATCGATAATTAGCATAATCTTGAGTTCTCTTCTTACTCGTATCGTATTTCATATTCTTTTGATTGTTTTGTTAGGTTTTTCCATTTGGTCAGGTATTTCATCGTTATCATTATCGTTATCACAAATTGAAGATCGTTTAACATTTCTACATACTGTAGCACCACCGTATAATCGAAAACATTTATTCGTACGTCGTTATGAACTTGATACACGTTTAAATGAATTAGAAATGTTAAAAAATGATTTATTATCAATTATACAATTATTAAATAATAATTTAAGTGATCTTTATTCATTAGATGTTATCGATGAATGGTTTGACCTCTATTTATCGCCTATATTAGGACGCATTAATACCACTCTGATTGAGTTTTCACCTGTACGTAATCAAAAAACATGGCCACGACGTCCGTTGATCTAGTCGCATATTTTCCTACGCTGATCTCAGTTTTTTTTTGTTTTTATTTTCTTTCTTTTCTTCTTGTTTATAACGCTAATGAATTTCTTCTATTTATGCATATCTAATCAGTTTTGTGGTTTTTACTACATTTCTAAGTAATGATTCAATTTTGTTTTTTACTTCGATGATTTCAAATGTTCATTTACTATCAATGATAATCGACATAATAAATGATTGGGTGTTTTTTTAATATTAAGATTTATAATAAAAATCTATTTAAGTCAATTAAAACTTGTAGTTAAATGCTTGATAAATTTTTAGGAAAGTACCATTCTGCTATCGATTTAAATTACTATGTTCATACATTCAAGTACAAGGCTATCCAGGGGTATCCCGAAGCTCCCAACTTTCGGGGAGGAGGAGGGTGGGAGTACAAGACATTTTTTCAAGAAAATCCTGCAGAAAATGTGTAAAATCTTGAAAGAAAAATGTTTTTTTGCTTGTAGAAATAATCTTTTTTAATGACTAGGGGGAGGGGGCGGGGGCGGTCGGGACACCCCTGTGGCTATTGAACCTACCACTCAGCATTTATGTACTTATGCAATCTGTAACAATTAACTGAACTTCATATCAGACATTCTTGAGGATAAGTGCAGTAACAACGATGTGATCTTCACAGAAGCTTTAGGATAAGGCTTTTACAACTAAAATTATATAACAAAAAAAAAAAAGAAATTAAATACAGTAACAAATGAGAAACTTAACGACCTAATTCATTCGTTGTTCTCCTTTCTATGAAACAAACCATTAACAAAAAATTCACCAACCAAAAACAAACTCGCAGACAACCAAACAAATCTCTCAAACTATTCATAGATACCAGGCAACAACCAAGAGTTGACGCATATGCTATTGAATATGACATACCAGAGCCCACAGCAATAACCATGATGAGAAAATAGTTCAAAGAAATATAGAGAACCATCTTGCTTGGAATTATATGATTTAAGACGTTTTGAACGTTTTGAGCTCATCTACATACCGAATCTCAGCATATATAAGCACTGAACCGAGAAGAACCATTAGTCACCTTAATCAAAACGGGATTGTTTACGATCCGAATACGTGCGGAAAATATTGTTTACGAAGAATGGGCTACGTTGTAGTATCATTAAATAGAAGAATCTTTATAAACTGAAATGACGCGCTACTTTAAAAGCGATCGGACTTATTACAGTATATATCTGAAACATTTAATAGAATTTGAATTTTATTTCGTACATTGCAAGAAAATAAACTGTATTAAGGTCTGTTGAGTAGCTGTCTAATTCGAGTTCGAATATAAATGGAGAAAAGAAAAAGTTTAACTAAAACGAAATCTAGGAATAGATTTAGTTTTAGTTTAACTTTTCGATATAAGCGACATATGAATACATATATACCCTTCGCCTACACCCACATTTGAGCACCCCCCCCCCATGGCACCCTTCACCCATACCCACACATTTGAGCACTCATCCATGGTATCCATCACCGACAACCACATTTAAAGTACCCCCACACCTGCACCCTTTCTGGGAACCATCCTACCCACTCCCTCACTCGCATCGCCACCCATAGTTACCCCTTAGCCCCCCCTCAACCCACACCCACTCCATGTTAAACTAAATCAAAAACTAAATCTATTTCTATCACTTGTTTTCGAATTGATACCATGCAGTTGGGTGTCCATTTATGTTCGAATTCGAACTAGGCATCTCGTGGTGAACAGGAGCTCAAGCTCGATACCCAACATTTACACCCACACTCACACTCACCAATCGATAGAACTCGTAAATATGAGCCGAGTCGCTTAGATTTTGGCGTTGGTACAAGTTATAGGGCGAATCGGTAGATAAAGTATCACAAAATTTCCAAATTTCACAGGTGTTTCGGGTATTTTAGACTCATGAGTTTTTAATGTGATAGGTTTGAACACTCTACTAGATAGAACTCATCGAACTGCATCAAATGATATACTTTTCAAAAGTGCCACATTCTAGACATCGAATGTATTTAGGAAATATGAAGTGAATGCATGTTTCCCATGGTGATGAATCGTATTTTGATCGGTATTTCTATTGCTTTCATAGTATCGCAATTTTTGAACATATAGCATCAGATAGAGCTCATCAAGTTCTATCTGGAATGCTACATTCAACAAATGGCACCATTGATGAAACAAATCGTTCCAGGAAAAATTCGAATTTGTCGCTAACTTCCTTTACATGTTTATGCACTAATTTTGAAAATTTAGCCGATTTTAATTTCAAACAATTTACTTTAGTTTATTTAAATTTCTTGAATTTAAATTTTTGAAAATTTTGCTACCGATTTAATAAATTTTTTAAATTTAAATTCGGCATCTCTAATCCACACCCACAGTACCGCATATGCTCGGTCCCATTTGAAGAACAAGGTTAAGATGCAAATAATTACAATTGCAATCACAAATAACTTGGGCTGGCGGTAAATTCGATGTCCTTTCGAGTAAATGTAGAGTAAAACCTTGTCATCTAGGGTGTGCCACGTACGTCCTTCTCCTCTCCAGACAAAGCAGTCAGTGACAGTAGAAGTCAATATTCGCACCGCTTGTTGCTCCGATGATTTGAAAAGACGTTCTTGGATTATGACATAAAGAGGACCGGCACTCATATATACAGTCAAATAGTGAAAAAGAAAATTATAATTAAATAGATGAAGTCGAGAAATGAGCTGCTTATGGAATGGATGGCCAGCAGTGCTAACAATAAAGTCGATTAGAAAACCGAACCCATCATCGGTGGGAAAAGCAAGTAGATGAGGTGAGTCTGGATCAAGTGCCTCCAATGTAGCTAACAAGTCTTTGAATGGACGATTGCAGCCACTATCCATATCAATGTAGATACCACCCAAATGATACAGTACCACATTGCGAAACGAGTCAGCACGTTGAATATTGTATTTATAGGTGATATATGTATTTTTATAGAACTCAGGCTCATGCTTTCGAACAAATGCGTGCATTTTTTCGTCTGTCCATAGGTAGTGCTTGAATTCGTTGACATTCTTCGTAATTACTGAATAATGTGATGCATTCCATTGCAAAGGCACATTATTTGTACGCCAAGTCTGATGAATCAATCGAGGGATACGACGTCGAACCCCAGTAGCATTTACAAATCGAGTTAAATCTGTCTCTTCTACCATCCGAATAGGCGAACGACGCCGCAGTACGTAACGTATCGTGTAATAACCAGTTAATAATAGAATTATAACGATGAGGATACTACTGTACCGTGTGATATACTTTCTTTGTATCGTAGCCATGCTATTAATCTGTAAGGTAGCACGAAAAAAACGACATGGAATCCCCTATGAAAAAGAATAATTTATGGAACTAAGACGAGCCATAATTATTCCTCAATGAATGACTCAAAAGAATGATTGACAGATAGTAAGTATTTAATTCCTATAAAATAAAAAATAACATTTTCAATGAGAATTTTTGGTTCACTTCTGACACTTTTTCTAACTAGACGTATTTTCTCTTTTGAATTTTAGAATCTCAAGTCCTGGTATATATATAGGTCAATAAACCTACTAAACACAAAAATGCAGTCATTTCAATCGGAATTTAAAAATTGGCATGAGTCAACTTACCAAAAACAGTTTCCTAAGTTTTGGGAGTAGGATTGCGGTTTGTTGAATATTATATATATTCAGATCGACATGATAGTGCAATCACAGTGACGCTCGTGATTGACTTGGTTGTTTGCATTTCTTTGCCGTTACTTATTGATTTCATTGACTGTGTATATAGGCTAATATAATGTGCGCATGTCATTATCATCTACGTAATGCTTTGGTGTTCCTTTTTCTATAACTATATATCTTTCATCCGCTAAGCGCTCACTCTTATGGCACCAAGGCAATTGCTTTTGTATTTCTTGCTTTATAGATCCCTTTTCCTCTCATTCTTTGTTTAATTATTCTCTCACTTTCTATCTGCCCTTCTCTCTCTCTCTCTCTCGTTGTGCCATATAAACTTAAACGTTGGATGCAAACTGTACGGCTATTGATATGAAGAAGCTAAATAAAGCGTATTATCATTCATATATGCACATCTTTCATCAAAAATTGTCACACACAGATTACTCATTCATCGTGGGCGTCCATCGCAAACCTCTAAATCGTCGTACAAAACAGAAAGCCATGATGTAACCATTCTATTTATCACATTGAATTTTGTGATTGCTCGTCAATCGCTGCACATTTCTTCTCATTCTCACCGAGTAACATGAACAAGTGCGTTTCAAATATCTTCGTTACTCGGCATCCAATACAAAACCCCCATGAATTTCATTATGATCAAGTTGCATTGAATAAGCATCATACTGTGATCCCGCTGTGACACGTAATCATACACAATTGTAGTGTACGTGGACATTACGCGTATTTGTACTTTGGTTGTTCAAAAAGGGGAGGCATGAATCGGATGAATAGCTAATTATCTAGAAAGGTATTTTCGTCGACAAGTGATAAGAAGGGTAGGTGGATGAATGGAAGAGCAGCAGACCCACATCCTCACCTTCCAATAAAACATGCTATTACACAGTAGAAAGAAAACAGTGTGTGGCAGTGAATTCATCAAAAGAAAAAGTAAATTTATATTTTAATTCAATTTTAACGAAAACCTATTTTTTCCTACATCTCTTTTGGCAACAAGGCGCAAAAAATAACGCACGGTGTTTTTTTTCTCAAGCTTCATGAGTGTCAAAGTTGACTGTATACGAAATCAGAAGCAGAGTCAAGTTATTCGATTGCATGGAGTTCGATTTGTGTATGGAATAATGTCAAACGCTGTTAGATGATGCTGGCGAGTACTAATCGAGCGAATGGTTTTGATAGAAAGAGGTATATCTGAACTGCAAATCTTGTATCAGACATATTCTGTCAGAATAGTTTTGGAAAGGAGAAAAACCAAAGTCCAGGCACCTCAAAAACATTGCTTGTAACCTCATCTTTTAACAACGTAATTTTCGGTCTTTATTGATTTTTTTAAAATTTGCAACAGAATGGACAAACAAGTTGAATAATATTTCTTGTAGCACAAAGAATATCTTTCGTATAGTGTATGACAAACCAAAAATGAATTCCTTTATAAACGTTGCAAAAATAATTTAGCTGACGTATGATTTCTGAAGATCATTACTGCTATTCTTGCAGGCTGAGTTCTTCGAAAAAGACTTTGTTTCTTCGAAATAATCATTTTACAAACCTTCCATCAAAGATTCAAGAGTGAATTTAAAAACAACTGACAAAGTTGATCTCGATAGAGTTTTTGGACGTTACAAATGATTTTTTTAAAAATTGCTTGGTCTGTAGCTTTTCTCTCTTTTGAGAATGTTCCTAATAAAATATGCCTGGTACAAAATTTGTAGTCTAGACTTCACTCTTACTATTGAAAAATAATTCGTTCGATTCTAAGTCTCTATTTTGACCTAAAAATGTTTGCATTAGTAAATTTTACCAATATTCGCGTTTTACTACACTGCTGCTTGAAACTGGTGGTGAATAAACGTTGAAATAACAGGTAGAAGAACTTGTTCAAACACTGTTGTAAGCTTCGGAAGAAATTATTTACTATAAGCAGAGGTGAACTATGTTGAATTTACTACGTACAGTGGTCACTTCTTCGAAAATAATATATGGTTCCTTATTTCCAGTTTTCCTGAGGTGTCGTTCTCACAGACCCATGTGAATGAATCTGATGAGATTTCATGTTGAAGAACTACTCATGGATCCTACAGGAACTCGTCGATTTTATCAAAATTCACATGAAATCTGATCGGATCCGATTGTCGGAATAATTCTCTCGGGAATACTCTATTAAAAGAAAGTCAATTGTGATCGAACAAGAAAAGATAATATATGCTATCTTGTGTTGGTCGCCAACTTTTGTTGTGCAGCTGCTACTAGTACGTACCGTTATCAAGTGAGAAACGAAACAATAATTGAGTTCATTGCTGTGCAAAAAGTGCTACCGACTGGTTTTCTCTCTCCCTGAACTCCTTGGCAAGGCTGTGAGTAATACTTAATACATTTGATCGCTCTTGAATCAAAATTTCTTTGCCAAAAGACATGAACCATGTGCACTGAAAGCAATATTCAGTTGCTTGACATTTTTAATGGAAAAAATTGTGTCGAAAACTCACACTCAGTTTAACTTCGAAGGCGTTTTTACATTTTGTGTTGAAAGTTCACATAGTTGACTTTCACCGTTAATTGCAATTTTTTTAAAATTTTGTTCCTAAAAGTAACACTCGGAAGTGCCTACATGATAATATGAGGATGAGGTTCAACTAAGCTATTTAAATAATAAGCAATAACATAAAAACTTTGATTTCTATTACCACCACCAATATCGTTATATCAAATATTAACTCAGATGGGTATATTAAAAACTCAATAAATTTTAGATTCAAAAAAGAATAAGACGCATTGTGACCGTAGCTTATACAGTCATCATCGAGTATCTGATGATTTTGTTACGAATTATGAAAATTTTGAAAATTATATTGATTTTGTTCTTTTCGACTGTACATATAATATTGATTCCTATATTAAATTGGGATAATATTTAATCTTACGGCTTCTTTTAATATAATACGAATGTTATTATGTAGAAATGAATTCTAAATAAATCTGATGGGTCGTTTAAAAAAAGAGCCAAAAGTCATATTCGACTTGGAATCTATATTTACATTTTGACAAACCTCTGACGCTTAGCACAAAAAAAAACATGCGTCGTGGATGCATTGTTCTCTCGCTCAAAGTATTTAAAAATTGGTTCATTCATGAAGTTCATTGAATATAATATTTTGAAAGCTATTTCAATTTATTTTTTTAAAATATTAGTAAGAAAAAAGATGAAATTCTAAATAGTTTTAACAAAATTTATGAATTTCAATTTATTTAGCAGTAAAAACACCATCCCACAATATTGAGCGATTATATACGTATTAACTGATAGAAAATGAAAAGATAATAACAATTACCATGCAATACGTGCCACAAAACCAAGTGGATATTTCCGTATGCATAATTTTCGTAGTTCATCAATAATTAGCCAGAGCATACCGAAACCAAGTGTTGGCATGATATATTTGGCCGGTACGCGGCCTGTGCCTAAAATACGATTAAACCAACCAATTTGTGAGAAAAATAACTGAATAGCAATAGATATGAGCATGGCACCAAAAATGTATAAATTTTGACCTTTACCCCAAAAAGGATTATGTTGAATAATAGATGCATATCGAGTACGTGTAGCGAAAAAATTGAAAAATTGAAAAAGACACATTGAACAATAATAAACAGATTGCGCTACATTATTCATCGATTTTAACTGATCCGTTGTATAGGGAGTAGTGCCATTAAGACCGAAGTTTTCATAAGTAAACAGAAATGACTTCAATGGGACACCATTGTCAATCCAATAATAACAAAAGCAGAAAAATGCTGTGAAACATTCGAGATTTCCAACAAAAAAATAAGCATGATTAAGAAGTTTTATATCGAGTAAATGATCTTTTCCACGAGTCGATGGTGGTCGAGACATAATATCACGTTCAGGCTTTTCTGTTACCACTGCTAATGACATAACTACATCTGAATAAGAAAGAATATCAAATGAAAATGTTATATACAATAAAATTCAGTATTGATGTAACATACCATTAAGCATACAGAAAACTGTAGCCCAAAGAGCAGACAAAGCTAATGGCATACCAAACCATAAATTAAAGAAAACAGGCCAAATTTGTGACCAAGAGCCTAAGATTTTAACCAAACAATTATTTTGAGAAATTCATCAAAATATTGTTACCTCCGGGTAATAGATAAATGGATACTTTCTTTAAATTATCGTTTAATAGACGACCGTTTTCAATTGCTTGAATAATCGATGCAAAACTGTTATCGAGTAGAATCATATCACCAGCTTCTTTCGATACTTCTGTACCAGATTCTATGGCTATACCAAGATGAGCAGATTTAAGTGCTGGTACATCTTTAGCTTTAGTGCCTGTAACAGCGACGATTTCAGCACGACGTTGAAATTCTGAAACGATGCGCAATTTTTGTTCGGGTGATATTCGTGCAAAAACTAATTCTTGATGAGATAAAACCCAATCCCATAGAAAATCATCCATAAAGTCAATATCTGTACCCGCAACCTATTGATTGAAGAAAAAAATATCTGAAGTAACTCAATAAAATAAAAGGCTAACCACAATTCCATAAGGAATATATTCCATTTTAGTTGCTTTTGGGAGATTTGATTTAGGTTCACTAATTTGATTTCGACACGATGCCCAAGCTCGCTTGTACCAGGGTAGATTCTGCTCAGATTGCGCCTCATCAACATTGATCGAACTTTGGTCATTTTTTTTGTTCGAATCAAGGGATGTCACTTGATCAGAAATGTACTGATTCAACAATTGCTCATTTCGATACATATTGATAGCCATTTGACCATTGGCGTCTTTTTCGATTTTGAATGTATCTAAACCATTCATTTCCGATATTTCTGGTGTTAAAATATGAACTTGTTTTGCAATAGCTTTAGCCATCGTTGGATGATCGCCGGTAACCATGGCTACACGAATCTGAGCACGGCGAGCTTTAAAAGTGGCATCGAGCACTTCTGGTCGGGGTGGATCCAGTAAGGTGAAAAAACCAATAAAGCAATAATCATTCGATGGAAATCCATTGAGATCTTCAGCATCGGCCAATGATTGGAAACGATATGCTTCTTTGTATCGTTCCATCATTCGATCATATTTTTGTTGAGTCAACCTTTGTTGACACATGGCGATGACACGATAACCATTTTTTCCTAGAAACGTTCAAATTAAAGAAAAAAAAATAGATCCTATAATTTTATTATCACATCATTCATCGCACCTAATTCTTCGTGTCGATGAAACAATGCCTGTTTCATGTCGGCATTCAATGGTAAAATCTCATCATTGTTGGTTTTGTATGATAAACAACGTTGAATAACAATATCTGGTGCACCCTTCATTATAATTAAAACGGTACGTTCGCTTTCTAAAACCGATGGATCACTTGATTCAATTTGATTAGCCGATATCATAAATTTATTCGATGAATTAAATGGCAAAACTTTCAAACGAGGATTTAACTTACGTACAGCATCTAAATCAACATGGCATCGGTCAACGCATAAATTGTAAAGAGCTGTATCAGCTGAATCACCTACGAGACGTAATTCAGATTTCATTTTAGATATGTCTTGTTCAAGTTGAGGATGATGAACAATCTTGTTTTCAGCATTATTACATAGACAAGCGCCGAGAAGAAGATCACGAAATGCTTGAATTTGAACTTCACTGGCCACATGCGGAATCTGATTTTTCTCATGATCATCATCGAATGATGGCATGCGTTGTGGTACGTGGAGACTACCACTTGAAAATACTCGTCCAATCGAAACGACATCATTTGATAGGCGACGAACTGAACTTAACATTCCACTTGATACACGACGAATCGTTTGAAGAAGAGTTTCTTGTGGAGCTGTTTCAGGTTCTGGTGTAGGTACTTTATAGCTGCCATTCGTATCCCATAAGAGATGGGTAACTGTCATCTTATTTTGAGTTACTATTCCTGTTTTATCAGTAGCAATAACTGAGATGGAATTGAAAGTCTCCATTATTCGTAAGCTTTTAACTATTATACGTTGTCGATACATTTTTTTAGCTACAAATGTTAGTACTAAAATACAAAAATTGAAATATAAATTCTTTACATTAGAATCATTTCGTGTTGGCATAAATTAAATATATATCAATAAATAAATGTCTTATATGGGCATATTCTATGCCTCATACTCGAGAAAGTAGTAATCATGTACCAAATATATAGTACAATGATATTTCTATAGCATATGGACAAAATGACTATGCTACATGCGAAATCTTGCCAAATGTTCATTTATGACTCACCTATGGTCACAGTCGATGGCAAACCTAGAGGCAAAAATGCGACTGTCATGCCGATGGAATTGACAATATTTGAGTTATAGGAAATAAATTCATGATGATCTGGATTGAGCCATGCTGCCCAAGTGATCCACAATATGGTAATAGAGACAATAGTAGCGACACAAATAAATAAAACAAAACGATTAACTTCACGATGTAGACCAGTGACATCATTACTAGATTTATTCCGTAATAATCGTGTCATTTTACCCAAAACAGTATTGTCACCAGTGGCAATAACTAACGCTTCACCAGTGCCCTGCTCGACGATTGATGAAGAAAATCCAATATTAGTTGATTTCATAAAGTTTTCACTCGTACAATGTACTGTTGGCGTAACAGGTTTCAATTTGTCAGTTAATTCCGATATAGTGATCTAGGTTTATTCATAATAAAAAGAAAATTCCTTAAAAAGATAATTACTTTGAGTTCATCACAGATCAAAAATCGACAATCCGCTGGTAATTTATCACCGATACGAATGAGAATAATATCACCTGGTACAATTTGTTCAGCAAATATTTGTTGTTCTTCACCATCACGTCGAACAGTCACAATTGTTGGCAATAATTTTGAAAAGGATGCGACAATTTTAATTGATTTTATTTCTTGATAAACATTTAACATTGAATTAAAAACTACAACTAGGATAAGTACTACAGCAAGTGCTAAATTTGTTATCGATGGATTCGGTTCACCAAATGGTTTATAAGCTAAGAAAGTAAGAATACTGGCAATCCAGAGAATAGCATTAAAACCAATGAATAGTTCATTGATAAATAACCGTAAATAGCTTGGTTGTTTAGGTGGTGTGGTTTTATTTGCACCATATTGAACTTGTGCATTAATGACAGAAGCAGCTGACAAACCATATCGTGGATTCGTATGAAAACGTTGATAGAGATCATCAAGAGGAATTATATGAACATCTTGTTCAAGACGAGATCTATCCACAGTAGCCCAAAGATCAACAATTGAATCGTGTCGTTCATCTGTTTTCTGCCCAATATCGATGGTAGTTATTGGAGGAATGTGCTGTTCTTCGATTTCGACACCTTGATTATTCATAATTGGATGAGTTTAGTGCACAATATTGATGTTTAAATATTCTATCTAAAATATTACTATATGCGATTTGCATGATAAAAACTTTCAAATTTTCGTTTGTAAAGGAATATTTGTCATGAGCATATTAATTTAGTCGTTGTCTAGATTAAATTGCACATTTCAAAAGGAATAACTATTTCATCAAACGAAAATAAGAATCTAGTTCATGCTCTCAATAAACCTATAGTGAATGCATCTGCTAGAATATGCTTACTTCGCGGTGTCGTGTATATCTATGTGAATCAGACAAAAACGAAATTTCACCAAGCAATGAAAAATGACATATTGCATCCTGGTTGACAGTCTCATTCAATGCTTCTTAACTACAAAAATGTAGTCAATAGTGATCAACATGAACAAATGATATGACAATCAAATGCGCATGAATGCATAGTTACCTATGATTTTTTACAGGTACTCACCTGCTCTTTATACGTATAAACATAGAATGAAGGATAAGCTAGCTATGTTGACGTGTAAGCATACTCTTTTGATAACAGTCAGCACTTTATTTTGGCGCGTTGCGCTTGAACGAATGCATTTATTTATTCATCAATCATCTTAAACTAAATTTAAGTGGGACCTGCCGTAATTTGCAAAACGATGTGCGACAAATGCCTGTACTATGCATTCGTCACATTTTGTGACTAAATTCGCATGCTTTTATTATAATACATATTTTATAGTTTCTATAATTTCGACGATAAATGTATTCATAATTTATATTTAAGATTGTGTATTTAGTAGCAAAAAACTTCATTTTATTCTGTTATATTTATTTATTGAAGAAATCAATCTTTAAAAAAGAAAAACGTAAAAAAAATTATTTCAAGTGGATAGTATTTTTTCATATTCAAAAATGACATTTAGAGCTGCTAAAATTAATTTTCTTGCAAGAGAAGTCATATTTTTAACTTTGTCGTTGTTTCCATTAAGTGCAAAATAATCCAATATTTTGAAGATTGGCTTACTGTAAGCTGAAACTTTAATAGAACATACCCAAGCAGACAAAATTTTTCAAACACGTGTTTAAGCGCACCAAAAAAGGACCAAAAATCGAAAAAAAGAGGACGTGTTTGGATAACAGTCGGAGTTCCAGACTGTGAGCGAAAAACGCCCAGTTTTCACCCTTCTTGTGCGTTTAAACGAGTTTCAGCAAAAAAAAGCGTTTAAACGCATGCTTGAAAAATTTTGTCTGCTTGGGTAGTTCCCTCTACTGAAAGGAGGGTATTATGAAAAACGAGTTCAATGTGTTCGTTCATCTGCTCGTAAGTTCATTTGTTCGTTTGCACAAAACAAAAAAAAATGTTTTTTGACCTCTTTCATGGAAATGCGCTAAAACGCTTGTCTGGCCGTTTTTGGGGTCGGGGAATCCGAATCCGATGCTAGTTTTTTGAAATTTTGTTTCTTGCTTTTTTTAGGAGAGAGAAAGACTTATTTAGAAAACAAAAACAGTTTTTTAAAAGGGTTAACCGAATACAATCGGGATCGAGAAACTCGAATCCGGTGTCAGAACTTCAAAGATTTTTAATCCTCAATTTTGTTTAGGAAAAAAAATGTTTTTTGAGAAAATAATTTTTGTCATAAAGTTTGACGAAAGGCTTTCGTGGTCGAAGAAATTGAATCCGAGGTCATGTTTTTGAAGTGTTGCTTTTCACTTTTTTTTAGGGAGAGAGAGTGACATTTTTAAGAAATAAAGGATTTTGTATAAGGTTTGACCAAAATGCTTTGGGGCGGGTTTATTAGATTTCAAGTGTAGTGTTAGCTTTAATATGTATAAAATGAAAAGGATATAAAAGGAATGAAAGAGTCATATATTAAGAGCGAAGAGAGACAAGCCGTGTCACTGATATTATGTGACAGAACGAAGAAAAAATGAGCTTTGTGGGACTCGAACCCACACCTTGCGCTATCCGGGCAGATGTCCTAACCAGTCAGACTAGAAGAACATCTTAATCTTCGTTTAGCGTTAGTAAGTTACATCACTAACACATGAGCTTCTGAAAAAGTAAAACTAAGTGACTAGAAACTGACGAGTGATAGGTATTTTCGAAAGCGTTTAGTAGTAGCACAACGACGTTATTAGTGGCTATGACCCTGAACAAATAAATATAGTTGATTCAAATAAGATAAAGGCCTTCGCTGGATTGAATATTAAATGCTTAATGGTCTTTCATAGTTCAGGCAAGTTTATAATGCATTAGGAGCTTTTTAGATCGTCACATTTTTACGATAGGAATTCATTGTAGGAAAATGTTTTAAGGGTACCATTCGATGATGTTTATAGTGGTAGATGTATCGTATGTTTAAATGAGATATTATTACGAATAGGCTATAGGCACCTTGTGGTGGAATTGATTCTCAATTTGGCAACGGCTAGCCACTTAGTTAAGAGTCTGTTGTGATTATAAGACTGCAGGCCTTGTAGACTTATAGAATCGCTACACGTTGCCTCGATCAGAAAAGCTGAAACAATTTTCGGGTGTGGGTGTGTGGTGAAGGGTGTACACAGCGAGAACACACACATCACAGCCCCCATATTTTTAGGACCTTAGTAGACCTTAGTAGACCCTAGTAGACGCTAATAGACCCTCGTATAACCTGGTAGACCATGGTAGATCCTGTTGGCCCTGCTAAACCCCGATTTCCCATGACAGACCCTGATTACCAATGGCAGACTCTGACTACGTTACATTTTTGAAGTATTTTGTAATTCATTTGTGTCATGAAGTCGTTTTGGAAGATATTTAGATTGTATTCAGTTTGACGATAGATAATCGAGGTCTCAGAAGTGCTACTTCATTTGGGCTATGTGAGTTTAGTCTTTGATTTTCCTGGAAAAACAGTGTCTTTGAATATGTGAAGAATCATTCAGGAATCAACTGAATATTCTTCAGGGATGAAGCGTACGCTCAATTTCATTTTAAGATACGCTGATCATCGACTAGTTTCTAATGNCCCCCCCCCCCCCCCCCCCCCCCCCCCCCCCCCCCCCCCCCCCCCCCCCCCCCCCCCCCCGGCTGCTCTACTGATGGAGAGAACGGTCAGAATCAGTAGGCATGCATAAATATTCCTCGACTATCTAGATATAAGGGGTTTCAAAATTGATGAAAAGTATCATTGAATTCGAGTGTTAAGATGTACTCAAGGAAAAGTTATTTTTAGAGGTCGCTGATCGAGGAGCTGCATTAAATGGGAATCATATCCTGGTTGTTTTCGATTTCATAGACTGAATGGAAGGTTTAGCTCCCTCGAACCACTCAGGAGAGTCATTATTTCCAAGAATAGGTAGCTTTTTACAGTCTTTCAAAAGATTATTTTCATACAACTGTCTGATTTGTATATTCATCATTTACTTATTTCGCAGCTTGCTCAAATAGGAGTTTCGATCACAAAGATTGAAATCTTTCTCCACAGGTTCGACACGACTTATTTTTTTTGTTTTAGAGCTTTAAACTACGGCTAACTATTCACCAAACCGATTTTCTACGATTCATTCCTAAGTTGAAAAAAAACTGGATGTGGCGTTGTCAAGTGACAAGTTTTACGTCCTTTCTCTTGTGATGCGCAGTAAAATGGCCATACATATTGAACCGGAATGCAGTTAGAAATTCTTTTTGATAAAGGCTTAGGTGGTATTGGTAACAGCATTTTTAAGCGATCATTGGTGTGAATTCTACGTCTTCTCTGAGGACGAAGTTACAATGATTCTCTGCAATAGTAGAATCCAACTATGTATTAGCTGTAAATCATGTCTACGATGATAAATCACGATAAAAGTTGTATTGTGGATGTTCCTTAATGCGGTCAGGCATATCTGAAAATTTCAGGTTGACCGAAACATCTTACCCGGTGAAAAAATTCGCTGATTTCAATCAAATTATTGTGCAGCAGAATCCAGTCCGCAATCGGATTGATAATTTCGATTTTAATCGATCACCATTTAACCCAAACTTGATGTTATTGCTAGCCCAGTGGAAATTAGTTTGATAAAGATCTGATTGTTCTGTAGCGCAATTCAAATTATCAATCGATTGGCGATGTGGATTTTACTGGAAAACAATCCGATTTCAATCAAACTAACTTTCACTGGGTTAGCAATAGCATTAGGTTTGGGTTAAATGGTGATCGATTAAAATCAAAATTATCAAGCCGATTGCGGATTGGATTTTGTTGCGCAATAATTTCATTGAAATCAGTGAATTTTTTCTCTGATTAAGTGGTATCATTCTTGAAAGGTGAGGGAGGGAACTTAAGCCTAATAAGATTACTATTCCTCTGCCTATGTTATAAGTAGCTCTGCTTGTATACACTGTACGATTAGTACTCTCTAAAAAAAAACCGTTTCCTACAAAACCCAAACCGATTCGGAAGCCCTCTCGGAAACGGTTTCAGGTTTCCGAGAGGGCTTTGGAGAACTTGAAACGTTTTTAAAAATACACTTTTGGTTTCCGAGACCTCGAAAACTCTCAGGTTTCCCACAATACTGATTTCGATGCCCTTAAGGTATTCTACAAAACCTTTTTCTTGCTGCTTGAAACGGAACCGTATTCTCAGACACCCTTAGGGTATTCTAGGAAACTAACGTTGCCAGAAAAACTGACTTGGTATCCGAATGGGTATGCGACAATACCTTATTGGTTTCCGAAGCCATTATTCGAAAACCCTTTCGGTTTTCAAGCCTACTGAATGTCCAAAAAGTATTTTGGAAAACCAAAATCGGTTTTCGCGTTTTTTTTCAAATTGTAAAAGATTTTCATACTTCTAAAAATGTTGAATATTTTAGAAAACAGAACATGATCCAAGTTCAAAATATCTCAGAAGGACATTTTCTCCGATCAATCTGAACCGATCCACATTCCACAGACTACAGAGTTCGAAATTTTATTTCAGCTCTGTTCTCAATTCTGATGAAAGTTTAAAATAGGTTATCGACGCCCAGGAATCGGAATCCGGCATCATTCTTTTGATTCTAGCTTCCATCGATCAGAAATTGGACTGATCGGAAATGAGACTTGTTATCCTTTTATTGAAATTTTTTTCTAACGATTCGGGTATAGATTGGCTGAGTATATATTATCATCTCATAATCTGGCAATATTTTTCTGCGTCAGAAAAGTTTAACAATTGAAGATGGTGTGGGAATTGATGGTTTGATTTCTTTTAGATTTAGAATTTGGCTGAAATTTCTAATGCTATTCAGGGACAAAATTTATATAATGGTCTTATCGGTGTCTGTATCTACAGAAAGTACGCCTGCGTTGTGCATTCATGGGTTCAGTGAGTCGAGCGACGATTGTTACTTGTTTTGTTTCAGTTTAGATCGATTGTTAGATGAGTAAATGTTAATGGTGAGTTCGATTTTAATAGTTAAAGCTGATGAAATATATTATTTCTTTTTAGATCCAACATCCCACGTCGGTCGTTCTTTTCACTGGATCCTGGAGAAACTGACGGTAAAGATACCTGAAAACCACTGTGCTCTGTACGAAAACAGATGATATCATTAAAACATGATAGCAGTGTTCCGGCCGCAAACTTTCTGGATTTGTTTTGATGATTTCCCAACCAACTTGCTGTGTTTTTCGGCAGGATGCACCGGAAATCATGAGAAAAAATTTGGAAAGCTTTACGGGCGGCATGCTGCTTCCATGTTCCAGCGACCGGTTGGTTCTTAAGCCACAGTGTTATCAGACGAATTCAGGACAGAGAGAAGCGTGAAAATGTGTGTAAGATGCTGTAATCTAGCATCGATTTTGATGCCAGGGTCTAAAATCACATCAATTCTTTTCGAAATACTGGAGAGTAGTGTTGCTGAAGGCTGCAAAGCAGTAAATTATATCGGAAGAGCAGAACATACAGTCGAGGATTAAGCGCGTCGGAGCGACGAGCGTTATTTGTGATTTCGAGCATTAGAAATCAGTTTCTCCCCCTTGCCTCGACCGTATTTGATCGAACTTTGCAAGGAAAATTATTTTCTCGAAAAAATAATTTTTTCACTAAAACAGTTGAGGATCATAAATTTTGAAAATCTGACACCAGATTAGAGTTCCTCGACCCCGATTACCTTCGGTCAATCCATGCAAAAAACTAATTTTTTTCTAAAAAGTCTCTTTCCCCTAAAAGATGCAAAAAGCAAAATTTTAAAAACTAACAAAGCCATCGTGTTCCTCGATCCCGATTACCTTTGGTTAGGGGTGTCACATTTTTATTTAATTTAATTTAAAACGTTGTACTATTTAATTTTAATTTTTTGAAAATCAAATTAGTTGAATTTTGAACACTAGTAGATAAATATAGTTTTTGACTTGATTGCTACTATTTAAAGTCAAATTTGAGTATGTTTCCTGTTTTCTAAAGTTAAAGCTAGCCATTCTTCTACGAATTTTACTATTAAATATATTTTTATGAGTATCCCAGTATTTTGAAGAAGAAAGATGACGGATCCTGCATAATCTGTAGAGAAATTTTGACTATTATGAACAAATATTAACCTAAAATACTAGGTCTTCTTCTTATTTAGTATTTACTGCTGTTAAAGTCACGTATTTTCCTCGTAGCAATGATGTGCGTCCATCCAAACAGTTTATTAAATTTTAATTTTAAATTTAAAAGATTTATTAAATCGAGAAATAAGTTTTCAAAAATTAAATTTTAATTCTGAAAATTTTAATTTTTATATGAGAAAAATTTTGATTAATTTAAATTTAACTTTATAGAACTTTATTTTAAATTAAATTAACTTTTCACGATGTTACATTTAAATTAAATAAACTGTAAATTGACACCCCTACCTTCGATGAAACCTATGTCTACAGATTTTGCTTGAGTTTAGTTAAGTTTATGCGTCTGCTTTCCTATTGGACGAAAGAACGAACGCATTTAACTCACTTTTTGTAAGACCCTCCTGTAAGTAGAGGGAGAAACATTGAAATCCACATCATACATGAATAGCAATACAGAAAAAAGCAAGTCAATACGAATCAGTCACGCATAACAAGTATTTAATTCGAACGTCAATTTTTGTGTCGTAATCATAATTCATTTGCCGAAAGAGAAAACAATAATTCGAATTGGCAGCCGGAAAAAAATCAAGATCTGCAATAATCAGGTAAATTAACCTTTTTTTTTAATCTAACTAATAGAATTTAACACATTTTTTTCTACTGATTTTCAAAAATTTAAGTAAAAAACTGGAGGAAAGGTCATTTGACGTGAATGACCAGATTTCCCGTTTTGACATTATTTTAAAACAAGGAAAATTCGAGACAATAGCTTTTTTTAAGTATAAATAAGTCTATATCAGTACACTTTCACTTTAGGCTGTTTCTTGTTTTCAATGTATGAATGTGCACACATTAGAAATCTTGTCACAGCGTGTATTTTTGAAATTGATCTTATCTTTTCTTTCATCCACTTCATTCATCCGTATAGTATAAAACGTAACTAAATTTAATTCTAATGGCGAATCTTAATACTCAGTTACTAAGAAAAAACAATTTCGTTTAAATTTGATGATACAAGGGAGAATTCCTTTGAGGTCAAATCTGTCTCAATTAAGTTTATTCAAGGTAAACAAAATCAATCATAATGCTTTGCATTTCTGGCAAGAATACCAAAATATCACGGAGTGTGCACATGGTAGACGCGATTACGAAAACATTCGGTATAGATTTTTCTTTGTGTACTATTTGAAAAACGAGATACAATAACTTCTCAGTTCGATCGAAACAAAATGACAGGACTGTGCGAAAAGTTTTTCTTTTTTTTTTATCTCTAATTGAATGCTTTCAGAAATGTGTGTAAAAAAAGAAGCGTTGTTTTGATTGAGCCAGAATATTCATTTTATTACGATTAAAGCTTAGTAAATATTTCGTTGAATTACATATAAAACAAAATTGATCATTAGTACTATAAGATAATTATTTTCATTAATTTTTGGTTTCTGAAAATATATTTAAAGTAATATATGAAGGTAAAAACTAGTATTTTCGATGATTTCATTTCTTAGGAAGTTTTATGATTTAATGATTATTTATTTTATTTCAATGTAGATTGAAATTGATTTTATGGATACTGAACTAGGATCGCTCAATTTTGATAAGAAAAAAAAGTCACAGGAAACTGAAAATCCAAATGAAATAGAAATATTAAAACTACTGTAGGTATCTCTATTAGCAAAATTAGTTTAACTTAAATCAAGATTATTTCTGATATAATAAAGGTATTCTACGTTTGGAAAACAAAATGTCATCGGCTGTTGCATGTTTGGCATATTTAGCATCATATCAATTATTGTAGGAGTGTTGGTAGTGTATTTTACATCCCCTGACCCAAGTATGTTTTACATTCATTCTTTTTTGATCAATTGTAGGACTATGAAACATTATGGGTTGAAAGTATAGGACGTCGAAATAGGGATTCTATAGAGGGTCTATGCGTACATCTATAGCGAGATACAGATAAAAAAAAAGTTAACATTCTAAGTCTAACTATAATCCATTCTATCATATGTCTACGTTGATATTCGCAAGCACATAACCAATGTTGCAGCTTCATCTGCACCTTTGGATCATACTTACACTGTCACTCTAATCTATGGAATCATATGGCGAGACAGAATTGTTGAGATTGATCGCTTGATTAGCAGTTGTGTGTAATCTGAAAGTATATTACGAGCATTTGTCAACCGCTTATTTTCGCTTTAGACAATTTGTCTGAGTGCTTTATTGATTGCAAAGTACGATAAATAAAATTTCAAGAGAAAAATAGCAATCATCTGGCTGCAATAGAATATATCAGAAAGTTCAGCATAGTATCTTCCATACTGATGACGACTACTTGGTTAGAACAACAATTATTTGATAGTTAATTTAAGAAAAGTGCAATGGTTCTACATCAATGAAAAATCAATATTACTCTACGGACTGTTAACAATAGATTTATTCGCATGCCATACTTGACCACGATAAATCGTTGAGAGGATTATTTTGTATTACTTTCACTAATTTGCAAGATTTTGAATCTAAGATAGTGAATCATTAGCTAATAATCAATTTTATCATGTATCATTCATAAAATGTTACGAGTAATCGAACAGCACACAGGAATAAGCCAAATCAGAGCATCTCAAACTATTATATCATCGGATCACTTGTGATTCGATAGAAATATCGCGAATTCTATTGGTGACTTGATTCGTCCAAGTCCACATACTTTAGGGAACAATAAAATGACAAGAACTGTTTTCAAACATGTATTGAATTCAAAAAGAGTACTATAAGTTTTAAAGTTTCTTTGTCCAAAAAGTCCTCGAGAAAATAAAATTCTTCTATACCATTGCAATCAACAAATTTCTTATTAGTGTAAATTCAAATAAAACATCAATTTCCTCGTAAAACTTTTAGTATTTTAAATCTCAGATAATATTCGAATGAGCAAGCTTTTTTTTCTTCTCTATTTTCTACTCGTACAATAAAAAATCATTGATAATGAACTTATTTTCGATTATTCATATTAAGGCAATGTTTGTAACTTCGATTTTAAACGAACCATGAAAAGTTCGGTTGTCTCCGATTCAGACCCACGCGCTGTTGCTCTCGGTGATGTAAACAATGATCATCTTTTGGATATTGTTGCCGCAAATTCGGACACTGATACTATTGGAGTATTTCTTTCACTTTCAAATAGCAATTTTACAGATCAACAAGCATATCCTACTGGACACGGTTCTCATCCAACTTCACTGGTGCTTACTGATTTCAATAATGATACTTACTTAGATGTTGCTGTGGCTAATTATGGTACAAATAATATTGGAATCTTTTTGGGCAATAAAACAGGAGGATATGCTCAGCAGAAAAATTATGCGCTGAATGCTTCTCGTCCTGTTTTTATTGTTGCCGGTGATTTCAATCATGATAACCTAGTGGATATCATCGTTGCTAGTAATGGTACTTATTGTATTGATATCTTTCTTGGAAATGGTGATGGAACTTTACGATATTATCGAGCCTATTCTACTGGCTATGATTCTTCTCCCGTTGCCATGGTGGTTGGTGATTTCAATCAAGATAATAGTTTAGATATTGCAGTGGCTAATTCTGGTACTGACAACGTTGGCATTTTTCTCGGCATTGGTGATGGTACATTTACAAAACAATATACTTATTCAACTAGTTTGAATTCGAATCCATCTTCTATTATTACTGGAGACTTAGATAACGATAATCATCTCGATCTTCTAGTGACGAATTCTGGTACTGGTAGTATCGGTATATTCTTGGGCAATGGCAATGGTACATTTTCACAGCAGACTACGTTCTCTATAAATTCAGAATTTCGTCCAACTTATATTCAGTTTGGTAATTTCGATCAAGATACTCAAATAGATGTTGTTGTTGTTGATCCAATTAATGATGAAATATATATATTTCTACGATATGCTAATAAAACATTTGCTACAACAACTATTTTTGATGGAACTTTTCAATCTTTTCCATGTTTCGTCGCTGTGGCAGATTTCAACGAAGATAATCAGTCAGATATTGTTATTGTGAATTATGAGACTGATGAAATACTTCTACTAAGTAATTATTTCATATTACCATCAGTAAGACAAACCAATTATTTGGTTGAACAGGGATCTGCACCGTCATCAGTCATTGTATATGACTTTAACAATGACTCTCAACCAGATTTAGTCACTAATAACGCTGCTGGTGACAGTTTACTTATTTTATTTGGTAATGACAATGGAACTTATGATGTAAAACTATCATATTCGACTGGTATTGGATCTTTTCCGGAACGTTTATGTATTGGTGACTTGAATAACGATAAACGAATGGATATTGTCATTGCTAACTATGGTTCTGATAGCATTGGTATTCTTATTGGAGAAAACAATGGAACTTTTTCCAATGTAATAACTGTTGCGATGGCTCCTGGATCTAAGCCAGTGCCAGTGTCAGTAGGGGATTTCAACAATGATACACAACTAGATATTGTTGTCGGTAACACGGGATTAGGAGGCTTCACCATTTTACATGGACACGGCGATGGAAATTTTACGATCGGGATGACATATGCCGTTCAAACAGTCAAGCAGCCCTTATCGATTGTAGTTGAGGATATCAATAAAGATAAATATTTGGATCTCGTCATTGTAGGCTGTACCTTTGGCAATATAGGTGTTTTCTTTGGATATGGAAATGAAAACTTTTCTGAAGGAACATTTTATCTTGTTGGCAGCTTGGCTTGCCCTACTTGTATTGTCCTTTCCGATTTAAATAATGATACTCATTTGGACTTTATAATAACTGTTTTCCACGGAGGTTACATAGGTGTCATGTTCGGATATGGAAATGGAACTTTTCAAAAGCTGATAACATATCCAATAGATTCAACTACGTCGCTTTATTCGATTGCTCTTGCTGATTTAAACAAGGATGATCAACTTGATGTTATTGTGGCTGATACTGCAAATGAAGTAGTAGTGATCCTCTATGCATACACCAACGGCAGTTTACAACTTGAAAGAAGGCATTCTACTGGCTTTCGTTCGAATCCATATGCAGTGACAACTGTTCAGAGGAAGAACAAAACAGAAATAGATATTGTTGTTACTCTGTTGGGAACTGGATATGTTGCCGTTTTAACTGAGTATGATGCAGCAGAATTTCAAAATGAGACAAGATGTCTCACTGGTGAATCTTCACAATCATATTCCGTCACTGTAGGTGATTTTAATGGTGATAGACACCTAGACATAGCTGTTGTGAACTCGGGAACTGATGACTTAATTATAGTTTTTAACTCGGGTAACGGTACATTTGAAAGACAAATACAGTATTTTATCGGTTTTAATGCTTTCCCAGCATATGTTACCACTGAACACCTGAATAGAGATAATTATCTAGATATAGTAACTGTCAACTGGAAATATAACAGTATTAGTGTGCTGATGGGACAAAACAATGGAATATTTTCTATCCCAAAGATGTATTCAACTGGCCTAGGTTCATATCCTATGGTAGCAGCCATCGGAGACATAAATAATGACAACCGATCGGATATCATTATTGCTAATTCAGGTGTAGATAGTATCGGCATTCTTTTTGGATATGATTACGCAACATTTGAAAGTTATCAGAACTGTTCCGATAATAATACTCTACGACCAGAAGGCATCATCACCGCAGACTTCAATAATGATGGATATCTGGATATTGCTGTAACTCTTTTTCAATCAAACAGTATAAGTATTCTACTTGGATATGGTAATGGAAGTTTTGAGCTTATGAAGACTATCTCGACTGGACTGAACTCACAGCCTTACACGCTCACTGCTTATGATTTCAACAAAGATGGATCATTGGATATTGCCGTTGTTAATTCTGGTACCCAAGAGATACTTATCCTTCGTGGATATGGTAATGGAACTTTCTTAAACGCTACAAGATATCCAACAGAAAATGTTTCTAGTCTGACTTCGATCATCTCAGCTGATATAAATAATGATAATCACGTAGATATGATCGTCTCGAACTACTACATGGATTCCATAGACATTCTATTTGGACGTGGTAATTTCACTTTTGATTCTATAGCTACTTATTCTATTGGAAGTCCAGCAGCGCCACAATCTGTTGCCGTTGCTGATTTTGATAACGACAGTCAACTGGATATTGTCGTAGCTAATCATGGTGCTAATACTGTCACTGTATTTTTAGGTTATGTAAAAGGTAATTTTACAAGTCAAATCTCTTATTCAACGGGTGTGCAGTCATGGCCATCTTGTGTTATAGTTGGAGATTTTAATAGAGACAATCAACTCGATATCGCTATAAGTAATTTCAATATAAATAATGTTGGTATTTTACTTGGATACGGGAATGGTTCCTTTTCCAATGTCACGACCTATTCTACTGGTGATGGTTCTGCTCCGCACTTTATTGGTGCTGGTGATTTTAATAACGATAGCATTTTAGATATTGCTGTTGTCAATAATGGTAATAATGGTTTCGTTGTTCTTTTTGGATTTGGTGATGGAAGTTTTCTATGCGGAAACTTTTATGGAACTGGTCAAGCATCAGCTCCATGGGCATTAGCTATTGGCGATTTTAATGAAGATAATCGGTTGGATATTGCAGTCACTAATAGTGCGTTAAATAGTATAAGTATATTTCTTCAAAATGGAAAGGACATCTATGCTGGTATGCAATCATATAGTACGGGTTCGAAATCACAACCTTATGCAGTCGCTGTTGCTGATCTAAATAGTGATGGCCTATTAGATATTGTTGTCGCTAATTATGGCACTGATAATATCGGTATTTTTCTTGGACGTCGTGGTCGAGTTTTTAGTACTTTAGCGACATATTCTACGGGTACCTCCTCTGGTCCGTCCGATATTGATATAGCAGATTTAAACAATGATAATCAATTGGATATTGTCGTTAGTAATTATAGAATAGATAATATTGCAATTCTGTTTGGTTATGGTAATGGATCATTTTATCATAGAGGGAATTATTCAACTGGTGATTATTCTCAGCCAAGCACAGTTGTTATATGTGATTTCAATAATGATAAAATATTGGATATCGCTGTTGCAAATTCGGGTACTAGTAATATATTTATACTTTATGGTTTTGGTCATGGAATTTTCGGAAACGAAAGCGTGTATAATCTCGGTTTTGGATCTCATCCTTACTCAATTGCAACTGGTGATTTTGATGAAAATGGTTGGATGGACCTGACCGCTGCATGCACCGGTACGAATCATGTAGAAACTCTAATAAAAATGTGTTAGTGTAAATATGATTATGAACATTCTCGCTTTATCATGTTTATCAATTGTTAAAGCCCTTTTACAGTAACCATATTATTTGCTTTTTTGCTGAATATTATGAAAAATAATCTGAATAATTAGGCGCAGCTATGTCTTTTCTGCTTTTTATATAGTATTAATCAGTATTTAACTTTTGTGAATGCATAACTATCTTCAAAAGTGAAAGCGTAATTTAGCAAATAATAGGAATATCGGTTGTTTTCTACCCCTTCTGATGGCATAAACGTCACTGCTGTTATCTTAGTGCCTGTTTGTTTCTTTTTCTCTTGTTTGTTTTTGCGCCTAATATTGTTAATTCATTATTCTTATTCTTCTCTTTTTTCTTCATGATTCTTCAAGCTTCTTCATATATCTCTCCTCGTTGAGATATACCTATACTCATTCTTTCAATATCTTTCGCTCATCATTCGAGCGTATCTTCTCTGACTACTATTCTTCTTCTTGATTAATTATATATTACCTTTGTCTTTCAACTTGATTGTTCATTATAATCAATCTAACTCGATTGGCTCTCACAATCGCTCGAACTTGTGTCAACTACTTGCTTGTGGAGTCCTTCTTATTCACAACTATTTCTGTTCATTGAATAAACAATTGGATCTTCATCCAATATTCAATACTATTTTATTTTCATTGTTATCATTCTGTCATAACCAATACTGTGGCATCTGGCATTTTTATTAGTTGCGTCTCTGATCTTCATCAGGGCGTTACACCCCTCCTTAAGTCACAGTTGAAGGTGTGGATGCCAACAGGCGAGGGGTAAGTTTGGCTGTGTATTCTTGAAGTGTTTAAAGATGTCAAACTCGGAATCCTTTGTGGATAAATTCTGTGCAACTGACTTGTTATATTTGTGTTGAAGTGTGGAGGGCTGTGTAGCATTCCAGTCGCTGCTTCTAGTATGGCACAGCTACTGCAACTGACTGCTATCTATACTCCAGTAAAAGAGCGATAAATCTATTTAAAAATTGATTCATTCAAACTCTTCATTGATTGAGGCTATGGAATACGTTGAATAATTGAATTCAAATTTCAATGATGAGACAGTTAAAATATTATTAACATGAATAACAGAGTCATATCTTTTTTTTGTAAATGCTCGATGCAATAAAATAGAAATATAAGAAAAAAATAGTAAAATAATTATCGTTTTTTTAGTAAACAGAAAGGAATAGAGTTCTTGATCGATGATAAAGGATTTATTTTGTTTAAGGTAAATAACGAAAAGTATCTTTGTCATTTGAATCTCATTTCGATTAATAAATCAATACATTCCTACTAAAATAAATTCTATTTTTTTCATAATAAATCAAACAGTTTTACCTTGATTATATGAAGGTTGCCTTCAAAACGAAACGGTAATTTCTCAAAGATTTCTTGCACTAATGATGAATATTTAAAATGTGTTTTTTTTTGCTTTCATTATGCAAATGATAACAGCCTGAGCAAAGTTTAATATAATTCTGTTTCTTTTGAAAATAATAGTTTATTCTTCCATAAACTAGCAAGAAACTTAAATAATAATTTAGATTCAATATCCTCACCGATCCAATTGTTTTATTTTTCATTGAATAATAGCAACACATATGATTTGATTTATTGGTGCCTTTTGAAATTATTTACTCTTTATCTGAATTTAATAAATAATCAAATCCTCTTTGTAACGTAAAATGTTGCTTAATAAAAAGTATTCGTAATTCGCCTTTTTAATATTGATGAAGTAACATCAATTTTCGACCATTATGACAAATAGAATTGAAGCCCTTAAATTTATCAAATGTTTATTTTAACTTAAAAAAATCGTCATATAAGAAAAAGAAAACCGAACGAATTATTAGTATGTCAATTTAGTAAGATAACATTTCGTAGAGCTTTTTTCTTACCACTATTTTGAAGGTTTTTACTTTCGTAATAGAATTGATATTTTTCCGTTAAAATTTCACTGATACGAATATCTTGAATGGTTCGTTCGAAATTTTGATGTGTAGTCACAACCTCACATATCTCCTGTCAAAATCAAATAGATAATTTAAAATATTGAGATTAAACTCTTGAATAGTTTTATTCCTAAAAAATCAACGTATTATCATTTCTTAATGTACTATACATTTATTGCAGTTTCACGAATTTCAATAGTTAGTTTTTGATTTTTAGAATTTGACTAACTAGTTCAAATAGATGTCTTAAATCTACTGATTATGCCAACATGAAGTTCATTTATTATTAGGAAATGCCACAGCAAAATCTTTAGCATGACAATTTTATCCTTTATTATAATTGGTTAAATAGCGATCTGGAAGAAATATTTCAAATGCTGTTTTAGATACCGACAAGATAGATGCAGAAAAATTTATTTCATGATCGAAATGTTTTGATATATCTATACAATCAATCAAACAAATAAAAAATGTTAATTTTGATAATCTAATTAAAGGATTCACTTTCACTGATCGAGTTTTATTCAGGCGATGGGATTTTTTTTGTTCAAGATAAATACAAGTTTTATTTAAAACAGATATCCATGTAAAATATTCGAAGAATACGAAATAATCACTAAGTATTAAATCGATTTGTTTAAGGAGTTTTCTAATTTTTTCATTTTTGATAGGTAAAATAGGAAAATTGATCGAAATACGGGAATCAATTATATAAAACATACGACGAATCCGACTCCAGTTTGTAGCTCACGCTTGTTTTTCATTTTTTTTTATCCCTTGTCTTTATAACGCATAGAAACGCGTTTATGATGTATTCCTGTACTTCCCATTTTATATTACACCATATTGACAATCATTGGCGTGTATAGGTAGCACCGTGTTTCAGTTGATTGTGTTCGACAGTCGTGCACAAAGTTGGAATTAAAGGGAGTATAAGAAAAAAATCTCGTATTCGCGAAACAAGTGTCTATTGATTTTCTTTTTCAACCAGAAAAAGAAAATAAGTGGTAAGTAAGTTATTTTAGACTAACTGCTATTAGCTACTTTTGCTTTCAGAAGATGAAATATATCCAAGGGGGAAAAGCTGATTCCATGATTCTGTGATTCTACTGATTCTATGTGATTCCAGTGATTCCATTGACTCCATGTGATTCCAGGCGATTCTATTGATTTTGAGTGATTCTGTGTGATTCCGATGATTCTATCGCCATAGAATCAGTTTTTCCCCCCTTATCAAGTATACGATAAATATTTTGACTTCAATACACCATTTATTAAAAGATACGAATTAGTGAAACATGCTAACGCAGTGCTTTCTTTTGCAATGCTCCACAAAATTGCATCGAGGATTAATCTTAGTGAACTCATGAATACTGTATCTTTCATTACATCCATATACGTTTTACTCGAAATGTAATTACAATAGAAGATGGCGCATGGAAAGGTAACTGCTTTTCCTCTTCACACTTACACTTACATTCGGATATACGACACTAAATCACTTCAAACCAATCCTTGTATTATTGACACATGTTTTCCTCTATCCTGAAAGAAGAACCCGTAGTGTTCCTCATCTGTCGGCCAATTTATATTTGTCGCTGCGCTCAATGGATACGTTTTTGAGAGTCGTTGCCATTCCCTTGCTATTGTATCACTACCGACTGCACTATGTAAAAGTCTATATGTAGCCAAGTCACTCCAGAATCTTCGTGCACGCCATTTAGTGTAGGCTATTGCATGCGTACAAAAGTATAGACCACGGCGGAATTGGATCAGACGATCGCTTGAATACTGAATATTGGTATCATTATCCATGAAGACCGGTCCGCAAGTACCGAGATATAGAATTCCATCATGTTTTGCCATTTCGAGTCCTTCTTCGATAGTTTCTAGTCGGAAAAAAAATCATATAAATAGTATTCGTCATGTAGTCATTCACAAAAGGGAACAAAATCTAGTGGTATGAAACTCCCTTGGAAGCGAAACGGATATTACTCATTTCAACATGGAAATATACTCTGTTATCGTCTAAATATGTTTTAGGTGCAACTGAATGGAAAAATATTCCCTTTGGTGTGTTCGAGAAGTATCATACAATATGATTTAAGTATTAATGAGCACAAACAGAAAAAAAACAGAGCCTGATACAACATTGAGAAATTCCTCTTTAGAAGAATTCTCAATTAGATACTATCTACTAATCTTTTACTCAAAAAGCAGAATTTTCTCCACTGGAAGATTTCTTTTTAATTTTCACTGATAAATTAAACTCTGATATCTGCTCATATTTTTAATGAATTAGATATTTTTTCGAGTTTTTCTTTTTCCATTATCTGTTCAGGCAAAATTTATACGGCTAAGATTTTGAAGTTACAATAAGTAATTTGTTGAATGACAATACCGGATTCATCTTGTTTCAGATTGTAATCTTGAAAGGATGATTCCGTCGTTTTTCAATAGATTTACATAATTGCAATGAAATGGGAACAGTAAAACTTAGAGTCTGCAAGAAGTAAGTGTAAAATTTATCATGTAGTAATTATTCTCACTACAAATTGACCACAATGTCAGAGCGCAAATGATATTCTTGAAAGAATCTGCTTTCATTGTGAAGGAAGCATTTGAGCTTCCAAACATTTGTTACGTGTGCTCGACGACCATTCGTTTTGATGTTAGAGAAAATGTAATCAAGCCTTTCTTTTCTTCATCATTCGTGATTGTCGTAATTTTTCTCTGAAAAAATGACGCGTGATAAGTTATTGCAGATGACCCAACATGTTGTAGCCTTTCAAAGAAGTGCTCGAAAAGTTTGCAAACGACTATCAGATTTCGAACTCTTGTTTAGTTTCAGAGAGACTTTAAGAAAATTTAGATATCCTTACAGAATATTTCTTGTTCACTGCAGTTCTTGTACTAAGAATGTTGAATAAAAACTTTCCGAAACTCTTTTTCAGCACTTTGAACTTTACATTTTAATGATGATTGAAACACCTAGATAAATTTTAGAAAAATGGTTATTGAGTTAATTAGTCATTCAAACTAGTTCTTGAGATGCATGTAAAAGGAAGCAAAAACACTTTCTAATTGCTAGAATTAAAAAAGCTAGTCCATCAGTTTCAGTAGCTGATAAATTCATTATCAATAACAAGTCGCCTTGCTCAGAGAACTAACTTTATTGCATTTACAAAATTTTAAATTTCAACAAATAAAGTGCTTACTTCCTAAAATAGGATTTGGGTTTTTATACTTCCATGCTGTGTAAATTTTTCCATAAAAACCTTTCATGATTTCAGGAGGAACTATACTAACATCGTCTTCAAATACAAATGCCCAATCGTTCTGGCCCAACTCATGATCAGATCTCGATCCGATTTCATCCCATATATCAACGTGAGTCAGAAGTAGTGATGCAACGTTTATTTGACCATGCCCCATAATTCGTGAATCATTCTGCGAGACGCATTCTTTACGAATAATATTAAAAAAGCCAGGTAATGCGATGGCAAGTTCAGTATATGTGGAATTGAAACGCCGAGACGTAGAAGTGATAATATATGCTAAGTATGGTTGACCACGGTGGCTTTTTGAATGTAATGAGTTTTCATTGTTCACAGTCACCAATCGGCAGTCATCTAATTCTTTTCTCCACCTGTTAATCATGAACAATATTATTGCAGCAAAAAATATCCAGTAAATTCTAGTACATCGGCGGTGAAATTTTTCTTTGTTTCTATCTTCCTGCAACATTTCTATTATATAAGAAATCTTCTTTGCCAACATTTTTCAATCGACAAATCTGAAATGAAAGTAAAAGATATAGGTTTTGAACCAATATTACAGCTCGCTATCAGGATTTATTGTACCTCCGGCTTACATGTCTTCCACATTCAACTTGTATTTCTATACGAAAAATAATAGAAATGGATGAATATAGAGTGAATAACAATGGAACGACAAATCCTTCATTTTCATCATCTGATACCCTAATCTATGTAACGACTTTTGAATTTTCAAGGTTCCCCGGATTCAACGTTTTGAGCCGTGTGAATACTTTGCGTCAATGAGGTTTATAAAAACATAAAAAGAAACTAATAAACGTCTTAGAGTTGCTTAACTTGTCAAATAGGTTATAATGAGCAGTGAACGAAAATCAGAAACCTTTCAAAATATATTCGTAGAACTTTTATTGTACAAAAAAACAGCTAGTTTATGTTGATTCATGCGTCAATTGCTACAGAAAACATTTCTTTTTGTACTTTTTTGTTTACCTTTTCTTCATTTCTGAGTCAAGTAGAAGGTTATGAATGCTGCCACATTAACGATAAATAGTATGAATATCCAAGATACTATTTGAGAAGTGTTGTTTACGAAGAGAATATCTGAAGTGAAATTTGTTGCATGCATCTTCGATGGCGATGATTAATATTATTTAAGTTTATTGTTGAATGTGGAGAGCGAAAAACACTACAATTTGGTGACGGTATTTATTAGAGTTTCTTTCTGTTTGTTCTTTGCGTTCGTTGCAACTACTCATGAATGAATTCTACAAAAAAGTAAGACACATAAACAATTGACCAAACCAATAATCGAGGCACACCAACAGAGCAAGTTTGTAGCAGCACAGCAATGGATGCCATGTGACTTATATATCATTAGAATGTGATTCCTATGAACAGAAACGTGGATATGCATAAAGTTGAAGAAACGCAAATAAGAAAAACCAGGCAAACAAGGTAAGAGAATTTTAATGTAAAGAGAAACAAAACTTACGAAAAGAAAAAAGTACGATCGACAGCGTAAAAGCATGGTAAAAATGAGGAACGCAATGTAGATAAATGCACAAGTATTTGAAGAATTAAATTTAATCCTTAAAAGCCGAGTGTCCCGTCCAAGGGACATTTGAATAAATGCAATAAAACCCGTAATAAGGTCTTGGAAGCAAAAGCCAATATTTTTCAAGTGACTCTCAGACGGAACAGTAGATCCTTTACGACGGATGATTCTGTTTGAATCGCTTCTTTTTTTAAAATTTTGTATGTTCATTAGTGCAACGTGCAGCCTTGTTTCTTGTATGTACCATCCTTGAACATAGAGTCAAGTTATCTGTTGAACTCGTTCTGTTATTTTTTAACTGATCGAGTGACGAATTGCACCATTATAGAGAAAATGCTCCATGGACGAGAGTTTCAGCCCCCTACAAAACGAAAACGAAGGAATTTTAATTTGAAACTTCACTTATACATAGTTCTAGTCATATTCAGATTACTCTGAAATGTTCAGCAAAAACAGCTGTTTTCTTTTCGAGATACTAAAAGCTAAAGACATGTCGATTTTTACAAATTTTTGCAAAATATGACCAAATTTCTAAGTAAGAGCACTGAGTAACGCCGGAAGAAGAGCAAGATAACTATCTTTAACGATAGTATGAGTGTACTGAGGGCTCATAAACTCTATTTTTTGTGATTGATTGATTCCTTCCTATTAAAAGAGAAAGCCGCTTTGGCTTTTAAGGGTTAAGAGGTTGCCAAGTATATTCACCTAAATTAAGCCAAGCTCAAATAATACGAGTCGAGACATTCTGAGAAGTTGGCAGCGTTTCATAAAGGTTTGATAGTTGTGAGGTAAGTTACATAGCATAAATATATTGAAACGTAGTCATTAGAACATTTGCAATTGAATGCACATGGATTAGCTATGATTGGAAGAGTAGATGCATGCATGTCAACAACATCAATGCAACTCGATACATTCAGATGAAAGATGTTTATGACGTTTATTATGACAAGAATGTATGAAATAGCAGCAAAAGAATCGTTTGAGTCACGCGAAAACAAATGAAGAAAATTCTATCGGAAAAATTCATGTTAAAAATCTCCGTGGAATCAAATTGAACAGAATAATTATTTTCAATTGATGTGGTTAATGTTAAATTCTGGAAACTTCTCCAGAAGGTAATGTCGAAATTTTCACTTTGTTCAGTTAACCAAATAGAATCATCTTATATTTATATATATTCTTGTTCGCTTCATATGTTTCACTAAGATTTGGTAATGTCAATTGCAGCAAAATAGCAAGCAAAACCGTAATCTATAGGAATTGTTAATGAAACCAGAACATAATGAATTTTGTCTTTTTTCAGTCTTCAAAAACCTTCGAAATATTCATCATACTCGAACACAAAAATCGATTCTTTTTCACATAGACTTCTGATGTTAGACCTGAACTTAACGAAAACTCTTTTCTTTTATTAGAGACACACAAAAACTAGTTTTATTCTGTTCATATCTATTTAAAATTTAATGAAACTGCTAGTAAATTGTAAATTAACAATCTTCCAGCTACTGTCTTTCTGAGAATTCAGAAGATAATTGTGTTTCTAATATGACCGCTGGTAGGACGGTATTTTATGTCATTTGCATATATTCAGTCCTACTATCATTTCTTTTACATCTCCTTATCGATAGCAGATACAAATTTTAGTAGAGAGTATAGCATAGAAAAAGTGAATCTAGTAGAAGCATCTCATCACTGTACCCATCACATCCATCTCTCTATCTATATTAAGTTATATTAATTGAATTATAAAATCGAATTCTGAACTTTCACTGTTTAGATTTTTGGATATTCATAGTGAAATTACACCTCAATGCGAAAACGCATAGGTTGCTGAATAAATATTCATGGTCCTACCAGATTTTATTGCTCTAATCAAATTCATCTTGCAAAATGTTCTCTCAGATCTAGTGGGACAGTCTATTTTTGAGCATCTATAAAGCATGTGCATGCATGTCAAACATATTTCTTCAGGATGTTTTACGGTAAATGATCTTCGTTTAACTCATATCCTCTTCGCAACAAACGCTAATTAAAAACCCACAAACCATTTTAAAGACTACGTGATGAAAATAAGTTAGTCTAAAATGCCGCAATTTAAGCCTATTTGAGTTTATTCTTCTTTTCTGATAATTACTGATGCAGAGTTTGTCTAGTTGCCAAATGAAATGTGTTACACTAGAAAGAATTTAATACGTAGAAACAATTAAAGTTTGCTTTATTTTGTCTACTTTTGAATCTTATTTTCCAATCCAGCACGATCAGTTCTATTCAATCATCACAAGAAAAGAGAATATAAATACTGCTGAAGCTTGGAATCGTAAATTCACCAAACGTATTTTAAATACCTTAAATTCAAAATATATCTGTCTTTTGATGCTATCAATAGCACTCATTTTCAAGTTTTGGATCCGATGATGAGATATTCAGTCGACTTGAAATCTCTAGTCTAATCGAACGAAAAGAAAAGCAGCTTGGTCATTCGACAACGAAAGAGAAAACTGAATGTTTCATGTTTCATTGATCTTATCGATGTAAACGAAGTTCATTTTTCTAGTGACCAGTGATTTGGTTCAATTCGAACGAATCCTAGTTTAGTTGTACCACTATCAGTGATATTATTGATATAATTGATTGAAGAACTTTTTGAGCGCAGAAAACTATTCAGGTAAGCGCCGGTAGTTTTGTTTTGTAGCAAAAGAATTGTAATGATTGGAACAAAAATTAATATAAATCATTGATAAACCAAATATGCATTTTTCATTAAAATGAAATCAATCTTATTCAATAGAATCACTAAAAATCTATTCACGCACTAGACAGATTTTTACATATAAAGATTTCTTTTTTTTTTTGTCTATATGAATATCAACGAAAAGATATAATAGATGTCCACAAAAGGCTTTGATAAAAAAAGTGAATCAATCATTATTATCTGTTTCAATGATCAACGTCGATATAATCGAAACACAAATCACCATTCCATTTCACTTCCTATAATAACTCATAATTTTCGACCAATGTCGACATTTTTTCACGTGAACTCGATTTTAGATCGACTCACTGATTTCTTTTTCTTTTTTTTTGTCGAAGTAGAACTTCTCATTAACATTCAGCTTTTTTCCGATGTTTATCTATTTGGTATTCATTTTATTTGCACAAATATTTACCATTCGGAAGCATAGTAAAACTAAATATTGATTCTCATTTATTTTCTCCTAATGTTCTAAGTGAAATTGTGTCTAATAATCGTTACAAAAGAACACTTTTAAGTCAAAAACAATGTCAATGGTTTTAATTTATATGTTTTTATTGAATATGTGAAGAAGCAATGAAATACACTGAAGAAAATAAATGCTTTTTTTTCTATATAAACCATGTTATCAGAATAGAGTTGGCCTCTGATTATGTTAAATCGTCTGAATTAGTACATAGCCCGAAAGCATTTCTCTTACATAACGAATCACAATAAATAATTTACACAGGTCAACAACTTATGTTTCTACATTGAAAATAGTTTCATATAGCTGGAAATTTGTATTACAGATCATTTAATTCAATTATAAGAACAAAATGCTATTGAATAATAATCTTAAATATTCTGCTCAGTAATGATTATAGTTTCTTTGAACTTCTCTTATTCAATTCAACAAACTATTATAGTTATTAGAAATTTTTTGTTGTCGAAGAATTGCGAATCTATTTTAATGTTTTGCTAAAGTCTAATAAAGTGAGAGTGTTGCCTTACGAACGAGAACCATTTTGGTTGAATCTATATAAACAAATATCAATATTATTTATGCACACTTTCTACAACAATTAAACACGATCTTAGCGTACACATTAATTGATAGATAGATAGAGAAAGAAGTGATAAAAGCCTTGGGCATGATCGTACACTGATAATTTAATGGCTTGTTATTGCTAGCGTTTCTTTGGCTTTTTTATGTGATGAAAACGGATGGCGATATGCAAATAAACTAGTTTATCATGAGCCTTGCCGTTGTCCTTCGATGTTTTTTTTTCTGTGTTTTTTTTTCTTATTGTGATTGTGTTGTGCATCTTCGATGAGTGTTAGCATATCTTATTGCACCCGCGACCATTTCTCCGCCTCGTTTCCAGCTGTATTCAAGCGTATAAATAAAATTACGACATTTGCCTCATTTTTTTCTTCCGCTATCCTTTTTTCGTTAGAAGGTTTTCAGAACTCAAGTGTTTTAATGAGGCGATAATTTTAATAATAACATACAAATTTCAACATATCTATATATATATATATATGACAAAAAAGAAATCATTGTTTGAATGCAAAGTAAAAGGTAAAGATGAAAAGGTGTTTAGTGCCTGTTATATGTGAGATATGCAACTGAAAATATGAACTTTTTTTTACATTGACACAAATTTAGTTAGACTTTTAGACCAAATGAGCTCAAAAAAAATCTAATTATGTTAGATAAAGATAATAACCAGCAAGACTGCGTGACAATATATCATAATATGAAAAAAGTGACAATAGAAATTGATGAGTGACTCAGTTGAGTCTAGTAAGTTTTGTAGAAGTGATTTTTGCAGGTCGTCTCTCTTTGTCTGTAATAAAAGCGAAGAAAAATAATAGAGAGCTATAAACATAGCAAGAAGCTCCTTCGTCCAAGTTTCTATGTCGTCGTTTCGCTTCCTATTTATGATCACCGATTTTCATTTGTTTAATAGATGCATGATTTCTTTTCTTTGTCTATCACATATAATGAAGCTGAGCAAAACAAAAGAAAGAAAGAGGCATGGAAACAGGAAACAGTCTTATAAGTAATGCCTTTTCTGTCATCCTTTCTTTGTATGAATTGAGTTAAGAAGAAATGATGATTGCATATATCAACTTTTTCGACTGACAATATTAATGAACATAGAGAAACAAAAAAAAAGAGCAAATAAAACAATTAGAAGATTAATAGTTGTAAACAAAATAGCAAAGGACAGGTCTATGAAAATAAGTAACTTTATTAATCTATCAATCATAGTTACTATGTAGTATAAAAGAAACATCAATAGAATCGTTTCGCATTTTTCTATGAGTATTTTGATTTTTAATTGTTTTTTTTTTCTTCTTCTTCTTCTCAGTCATATGAATCTCAGCATATCTAGAATGGTTCATCATTGTCATATGGAAGTTTTCAACAGTACTATAAAAATAGAAGAGATAAACGTAGCAGAGTTTCTGTCTTTTCCCATCTTATTTGTCCGGATCTACATTTTTTGTCTTCTTACATATGAGAGAATTTGCGTCCAATGCTTTTACCCGCCGATCATTGAATTTTAGTAAAGCAGCATTAATGTGTCAAAATCATTCGCACGTCATGTTGTTCATTGTATGCCGGCAGTTGTCATTATCAAAGACGGCATTGCTCCGACGACCATCATCTTTCATGAAAATTGGTCCCATAGAACTATATAAATTCGATTAGATACAGCATAGACGAACGAACGCATGTTAGACGAGTCAAGGGAGTGAACGGGATTCGACTATATATGAGAACAAGCAAGACTTTCTGAGAAGGATGGCATTTTGCTTGATGGCGCGTCATTCACTCGTACACACTTTCGATAATCATATAAATGTTTTTTGCATCAGTGATCATAAGAACAACAGTATACTCAAATTTCTTTTAAAGATAGGTTCGTCTGTTTGAGTAGTGATTATACATTATTGATTTTCTTTAAAAACATTCTTATAGCTATTGAACTTTTTTCGATGATGTGAACTATTCGACATATTCATTTCTAATCAAGAGTAGAGAAGAAAAGATATCGACCATAAAGATCACAATCTATGTAGAATTTCTTCTTTTTTTAATTTTATGTAATGAAAATACTTAGTTTCGAAATGTTTACAGTTGACTGTCAAATGATTTTCTTTTATTTAATAACAAATAGAAGAGAGAGAGAGAGAGAGTAACATTTAAGCGAATTAATATGCCTCATTTCTAATTCAAATTTTACAAGAGGGGAACGATACGTGTACAGCAGAGTGTAATTGCATTTTCTACCATAAATAAACTTTCTTGTTTCGTTTAGAAAATTCTGTTTTACTTTTATCTTTTGTACACTGATTATTCGTGACATCCAAGCATTAGAATATGATTTCTTAAGACATGAAAACAAGCATCACGTTTTTACATTCATTTACATTAAAATTTTCAAAAACAAGGCTACAGATAAGTTTATTCGGAGGCATATTGATGTAAAACTAAAGATAATCGATTATAATATGTAGCGAACAATAAAAACGACCCTTTACATTTTTAATGCGTAGTTTGATTACAACTTGTTTTCTTCTCCGTGTATGTGTGTTTTAATAGATCCAAGCTTATGTCTGCTTATTCATACATTTTCCACACATGTCATGTTGTCTAATGCCCTTCATATCCATGTACTCTTCCTATCCTTCAATTCGCGTTTATTTGTGCATACTAGTTCCATTAATCAAAAGCCGTCTTCTTGCTTTATAAGAGACTCTTACTTATTCTCTTGTAATAGGGAGAGAAAATTACAAGAAGCAAAGGCAAAATAAATAAATAATAAATACTGTACTATTACCGATAGTACATGAATACATCTAATTAGTGAGTAAAAGATGGAAAATGAAACAGAAGAACAAAACAATATGAATATATAGCGCTATAGAACAGACATCATTGAATTAGTAACTTTTTTCTTTTCTACTGAACTTTAATGGGTGCTTCCAAACGATGAGAAAAGACATTGTCGGTTGATCAAATATTAGCTGTGTGGCGAACAACAATGCTTTCTTCGCTCCCTCTTATATCTCTCTTACACACACTCTGTGCCTCTCCCTCCCTCCCTCTCTCTCTCTCCCTATATATATCTATATATATAGACATATATATATATATTTGTATATATATATATATATATATATTTATATTTATATTCTATTGATGTGATCGGTTCGGAGATGTAGAACAACATAGTGAGAGACAGATAGAAATTGAAGGCGGATCGAGAAAAAAACCGAGTAGACTCGATTTTATTAACATCTTGTCGTCGAGATTCATGACCATGTTCACGATACTCTTATTCTTATTCTTTTTTTTTATTCTTGTTGTAGTTGTTCCACACTAGCGCTCTATCGTTACCGAATGTAAAGTCGCTGTTGCCATCGTCGCCAACGCTACTGCTGCCTTTGGTTTCCGACTACACAACCACTGCTGTCATTGTCCCGATGCCGCCGTCTGTGTTGCATCCAATAATTTGTTCATCGAATATTCGACGACGATTATGCTCGATTATGTTCGTCAACGGCCATCGCCGACAATATCACTGTCATCATTATCATTTTTATTTATTCGTTTATTAGTTATATTTTTTATGTTTTTTAATTTATTTTCACTTTGTCTACATGACATTGATACGAAACCTATTGAAAAACATTCGTTAAAGACAATATTTCAATTACGAAATACACGAACAGTAAATCAACCGCAAAAGAAATTCCTACGTATTATTTATTTTCGCGAATTTGATATGACTATACATGAAACTCGTTTAAAATCCGATGTGAAAAATTTAACAGAATCACATGACATTGATTTTAAATTAAATATTCTCGATCAATCACGATCATTTTCCATTGCAAAACTATGTTCAATAATATCCGAAGAACGACGAGATACCATTTTAATTGCCGATTTATATACAAAAGAAATCGATTTAATTTCTCGTTCGCTTAAAATACCTACAATAGCCATTACAAATCGTTATCAAATTGTTCAAGGAAAACTAGTAAGATTTTAAAACGAGAACGATTTCGTTTTCTTTCTTGTTTTTGTATACGTAGAAGACTATCTTTAACACAAAATCATACATAGCTGAATGGATTATATTCATGATTTGACTGAAGTTTTTCTTTCTAAACCTTATTTGCATTTAATTTTATCGCTAAGAAAGATTCAATTCATAAAAAAACGAACTATTTTATGTATTTTTAGCATAATCCTTATCTGTTTAAATTGATGCCCGATGCAATCGAAGAAGCAAAAACAGTAGCATATACGATTGATAGTCGTTCAGTTTATACTCGTATTGGTAAAGAATTTTATTTTCATTGTCAAATAAAATTCTTTTGTTTATTTCTTTTTCTTAGCATTAATCTATGATGTATCACTTGATATGGTTGAATTTCGTTTATCCTATCTTCGTCTTGCTAAACAACATATTGTCTATCGAGCACTGTTGCCACGTATATCATTTTCACATGAATTCAATCATGCAGCACATACAATTATATATGATTTAGCACGTATTGATATTCATCTTATTCTATGTATCATGTCAACTGAACGCGAAACACAATTTGTTCGTTTAATAAAAGAATTTAGTTCAACACCAATAAAACAATTATTGTTAAATCGAACAAGTTGGTGGTTTGCTTCTCGTCTCGATGAAATGCACGAGTTAAATTATTTTCCAAAAATTTTTACTGCAAGTGAAGATCGTCGACGAACATTAAGTAATTTTTCAAGTACCAGCATGAAAATATTATTGAATGCTGTTTTAAAAACATATATACGTTTACCAGATGCATCAGCAATATCGTCATTGTTGATTGGTTCGCCTACCTGTGATAGTCGACTGAATCAACAGCAACTACGAAAGACGCACATGTTTATCAAGTAAGTTTAAAGAAATAAAATTAACTTAATCGTTAGATTTAGTTCGTTGTCTTATGAAAGAATTCGTCAAGTATTTAATAGGCTTTACTAACCATATATCGTTTGAATCTAAGTCTATCGAATAGTTCAATTTGAAAAGACAATTAATTTAATTGTATTCTGATAAAAAGTGTCATTTATTCATATCATCGTACTATTGAACGAGTTTAACTTTGCATTCTAACAATTTCAGTAGATCACAATCGCAAATTGTTGCGAATTATAAAAGATAGCATTAAATGAAATATCAATGAAAAATGCATAGTATTCTCAATAGACCGCTAGCTCATAATTATAAAGTGTGTTTCTATGAGTACAAACAATAGAGAACACAGAATTCTCGATGGAGTTAACTTTCGATTAAGTGATACAATGAGATGATTACTATGAAAATAATGATCATTCTCAAGCCTGATGATCTGCAAATGCTGAGAAATCTTTGGAAAATACCCTCAAGATCGGCATAGATCATTAATTGTCATCAAAAGAATACAAAATTCTCCGTATCAACTTTGCAGTCGACATTTTTATAAGTAAATAATCGAGATCAAACGAATTTCGATTCATCTTGAGAGAGTAATGAAAAATTAAACAGTGAAAAAGAAACAATTAAAAAAACAACAGATGTCTGAAGTTAAAAGTATATCTTTGTGAGAACATAAGAAGTCATAAAATATTCTTTTTACTGCAACTCTTTGAACTTGAGTCAGAATCTTTTCTATAGTGTATAAATACAGATAAAATATTTTATCTAGAAATAGTTCGAATGTTACATGATGATAATATGAAAATTTGAGACCATTCTATAATGTTCTAAATTTTATGGTGATATAGAGTTTTGTATATATATATATATATATATATATATATATGTATAAGAAGATCAATAAATACGCATCATATTCAACCGGAAGACTGAATAAAGTGTTAGTAAATTGAAAGTAGAATTGGGAAGGCGAGTTTCGTCCGGAACTAGAAAAATCCGGCTTTCACGCTTGCTCGATTTCTGAAGGTTTTCCGGTCGGAAATAACGTCTTTCCGACGAAGAAGTTCATGGACTTCGGGGACCGAAGTTATTGGCCTAACTCTAAGACTACTGAAAACTTTCTAGTAAAATATTCATGATTCGACTTGTTCAGCTCATGAAAATGAATCCGATTAGAGCGTTGCTAGTAGTTTCACGCAAAAGTCTTTACTGGCCTGCTATGACCTCAAACAATTGAAAACTCAGAGATTTAATTTCAGTATTTGTTTGTCTTCAAATACTTTCCTATTGAGAATCTTAATGTCGTAAATACAACCAGTGATATTATACATTTGAAAACTTATCTAGTAATATTAACTAAACGTACGTAGTATAAAAGCTTTTTTTATTTTATTATTCAAAGACTATTCACTAATTTTACTGAATGGAATTGTGACATTCGAGTTGGTTCTGGTGTTGATCCAATACTATTCGAACCAAAAACGCTTGTATGGCGTGTTCCAACGATGTTTATGGTAAATATTGATTTTCGTCCAATCATTTTTCTAATTCAACTCATTCAGGTACATACGGAACATTTATGTCGTGGTATGCTTACACGTCTGTTTTACACAGCCAATACCAATGCAGATCAATTCTTTCGTTCATGTCGTTCAACAAATTTAGCGTCACGTAAAAGTTCATCGTCTCCACCAGACAATACAACAACAAGTTTATCGACAACATTTTCAAATGCTCTTGTTGATATGAATGGTTTCCTTAAAATGTTCGGTAAACTATGGGATGATTCAACAAGAGAATGCCGTTTTGTACGCATTCTTACACACGCGTCAGCACCGATTGTTGTCGGTGTTGTTGAACCACCGTATGTGTTTGTGTCAGATGCTCAGATTTCATCAGAATTTCATTGCAATTATGGTATACCATGTTATCAAATCGATCCACCATTAACAAATATGTCAATGGATCCATTTATTTTTCAGTCGATAACTTTTGCACCACCACATTGTTGCTATGGAATATCCATTAATTTACTATTACGTATGGAAGATTCGAATTCAGTTTTAGCATTGAAAACAAGAAGGCTATTTGTTTATTCGGACAAACCAAATAAATGGGTAGCATTAACAAAAGCCTTAGAGGATCGCCGAGCACATTTATCAATATCAGCTATTCCATATGAATCATTTCTAGCACGTTCAATTGATTTAAGTCCACCATTTTATCATTCATCCTATGTTATATTTACTGCACCAGCACCAACACGACCATCACTTGGCGTTTTTCTGCAACCATTTTCATGGACAACATGGCTAATGATATTTCTCGTACTTAATTGTGCTGCTTTATTTGAAACATTTTTTGAATGGCATAGTCCTTACGGGTAAAAATAAATACACAAACAAACAAAAAAAAAGAATATCATTTACTATGTAGTGAAAATTTATTTTTTGTAGTTTAACACCAAAAGGTCGTCGAAGACAGAAAGTCTTTAGTTTAGCATCAGCATTGACGCTAACTTGGTCAATTGTATTCTCACATACATTTAAAACGAAATCTCCTAAATGTTGGTCCAATCGATTTTTAGGAAATGTAAGTTTTCGAAGGGAAAATTTTCTTTTAATATTTCATAAGTATGTATAGGTATGGGGTGGATTTGGTATTGTGTTTATTGCTATTTATACGGCTAAATTAGCTGCTTTTATGGTTGAAATTGCCGAAACACAAACAGCTACGAATGTTCAAGGCATCGTCGTAAGTATAAATAAAATCATAGCTAGATGAATAATCAATAGATGATAGACTCATAATATTAACCAAATCTTTTTTTTTATCTATCTATCTATCTATGTAACCATTTGGTGATAGAAAGAATGGATCGCGTCATTAAACAGATTTGTTTGAATATCGCTTGCGAGAAAGACAGTCAACAGTAGTTAGAAGTTTTTTTTTGCAATCATGGTAATATGACCTTGATATAGTAATTTGTCTTAAATTTCGAGCTAAAGATTTACTACAATCGAACGTTTAAGATGTTTGCTTAACATTGAAAAGAAGAATTGATTAGATGTCTTGAAAATCAGCTTAGCGGATAGTACAAATATTGCCATTTTAGCCACAAGTCATATTTCCAAAGTTGTGATGATTCTTTCTTCGTCGAACTGTGCACGATTTACGATAAGCATCAAACTGATTTGTTTCTTATCATTTTTCAGTTTCCTGTTTTGCGCTGCGGGGTCCTCCGATGATAGAGTGCAGTTGAATGAGCAGAGGTTATTGTGAGCTCGGAAATTTCTTATTTCACTTGGAATTGTTCACGCTGTTAAATAAACATACTACACTCAAAGCGTTTCCAATTGAATTGAGAAAAGTGATTTTTCGAGGCGCGACTTATCCAGCGGCTATTCCCTTCTTAAATATCGGGTGGCCCAGGTTAAATATCCCTCTCAGTGTTTTTTCAATAACTTCATCATTTTCATTTTCTAGGCCTTAGTTTTTCCCCCAAAAGATTTGCCATTCAATTCTCTAGAAGATTGAGATTACAATTTTTTCTGTTGAAAGTTGAGGAAAAAAATTATAAAAACAATATTCAACAAGTATAACAGCATCAACTTTCAAAGTGATTTTTAAAACAAACTTTTTCAAATTTTTTTACAATGGCACACGAAACGAAACAGAAGCAAAGATGTTACTGAGTACTTTGAAATGTACTATTTCTCGTCGTGCAGCTCGAGACTCGTTGAAATCAAACGGAAGATCGAGAACGCTGACTGTTTAAAAATTCTCTTCAAAATAGTTTAAATCAGATATTTGACGCTAGCTGAATTAAAGAAAAACAACTAAAACTCAAGTTTCGCGCTTGACTTTGATACAGTAGGCCATTTCGATCAAAATGGGGAAAAAACGAATGCAAAAAATGATATTTTGATTTATTTGCGCTTCTCTTCCTCGGAATATCGAAATTGTAGATTGAAAGAGCTAAATTCTCGCAAATCTGAAAGAGAAGATACTTACAGTGTGCATTACATGGTTGAATGTGGACATTTTTCAATTATGATTGGAAGATAGAGCTTTTCAAAGACTGCAAAATACCTACATTTTTTAATTTTTATCGTCACTGACCAATGAAAAAATTTGCAGAAACTATTTTCCCGCTTTGAAAGTTGATAAATACTATACTTGCTGAATATTGTTTTTATAATTTTTTTCATCAACTTTCAACAGAAAAAATTGTAATATCAATCTTCTAGAGAATTGAATGGCAAATCTTTTGGGGGAAAAAACTAAGGCCTAGAAAATGAAAGTGATGAAGTTATTGAAAAAACATAGAGAGGGACATTTAACCTGGCCCATCCGATATTTTATAGTAACCGAAAAAAAAGTTTCTTTATAGAAAATTATGTTTGCTATACGAATTGTTAATTCAATTTGTACCACTTATCTATGTTAATAAAAGATTGCATTCACATTAGATCGTCATGCAGAGAAACTTGATTTTTCGACATATATACATAAGGACCACTTTTTTTTCTTGCTTGTTTTTGAAAGTCGATACCAATAGCCATTCAATAGTTCTAGAGAGACAGCTGACGGTTATTTATCTCGGATAATTGGTCCGATTGCAGGTTGACTACGTTGTTACATGCATCTGTTCTTCGGACGTGTTAGTATATATGAAATGTTCTGCGTCAGGCTAGTTATTCTTTCTTCTAAGATGGTTATATCGAATGAAAGACTAAAGTCCATTGATATCTTGACAAAGTTCGCCATCTATATCAAAAGACCTTTCATTGTTAATTCATTCTGCGTTCACGAAATGAGGCGAATGTTATTTCCTGATTTTTCGAATTCGAGAGCTAACTGATTAAACGTCGGAAATTGCTTTTATTTACAAATATTTATTAATCTGAATATGTATGTATAACCTAATGAGGATGAGATTGGATTGATTCTTTCTCTTTCCGATCGACGAGACCATTTCAAGCTGAGAACTAAATTAGTGAAGAGTATACTTGTTTTTCGGAATTTAAGAATCTCTTTTACATGAAAAAGATTTCGTCGTCATGTTTTATTAAATTGAGTTGTTCTGAAGATATTTATGCAAGGGCCATTATTCTTTTATCTAAGGATGAATGTCGTAAAACAGCCCAATGTAGTATTGGCGTTGTTGCAAATACAAGTGATGAAGAATATATTAAAAGATTTTTTACAAATTCACTTTATACTCATATGCAATATGTTTCATCCTATGCACATGGCATTGAATTACTTCGTGCTCGTTCCATAACTTATTTACTTATGGATCATTCAATGGCACGTTACTATTTAACACGTGAAGTTTTCAAATCAATTCGTATCAGTGGTGATAATTTTGGAGCATTTGGTTTAGCATTAGGCTTTTCAAAATTTGATCAAGAATTAAAAAACAATATAACAAATATTCTACTATCTTATGTTGATAAAGGTTAGAAATTGAAAAAAAAGAGGCTCTTGAATTATCTTTAAAAATTTTTAATTCGAAAATTTTTAATAATAGGTATTATTCAACGCTTACATGATGATTGGTATGTTTATGAAAATTGCGAAATTAAACGATTAAATGAGGTAGATATATTCATTTTTGTAACGGTGACTAAAGCAAAAAAATTCTTCAATCAATTTTGTTTTTCTCTAGAATCGAATGTTATCAGTCGATCGGTTTATTGGTGTATTTATACTACTTGCTGGTGGTATGATAGTTGGATTAATAACACTTCTATTAGAATGGCTTACATTTAAATATGCTGTGCCATATTGGCGAAGACGACAATGGCCCGGTTGGATGTTTTGTTCACAAGTAAGAGAAAAAAGGTTTAAGCAAAAAAAAACCTTACGTAACTTTCGTTTGTTTTGTTTTGTCTAGCGTTTGTACGCCACACTAAATGCATCGGATGAAGTCTATACTGAAGGTTATCATCCATCAAAGAGTCAATCATCTCGATGTGTTGGAGAACGGTTTGTTTGTTTGTTTTAACCGTTTGATTTTTTCTATTCCCCAAGATGGGTTTTTGTCATTATTAGTCTTCATAATTATTCAACTCGAAGTGACAGTCTTGATCTACGTGTTGTTGATGTTCCGAAATTATTATGTACAACCTATCAACTTAAAGAACAAATGCATAAAATAAATGAACAACAACCGATACCATTATTACCTCCGAATGGTATTCTAAGTTGTGCACCGACGATAAAAGAAGAAGACGAGGAACAAGAATTAATTCGAACACGTATTAAAGAACTTGAACAAGAATTAAATCATTTAAAACTACAAGTATCAATATTCGATAAGACTTAAACACTGTTTTATTTGTTTTCTTTTTTTTTCGAAACTTTATTTTTGGTGCTATATTTGTGTGCATTGACGCAATTTTTAGTTGTGTAGATGTCTGTTGTTTTTGTTCCATCATCACCTCATCATACATACACAGTTGTCTTGGTAATCGATCAGATGAATTTTATTTTATTTTACCATATGAAGTTTCTTTTTCTTTTCTTTTCTTTTCTTTTCTTTTCTTGAACATTGTAACAGTAAATTTTAGACACACTTACCTTGTATAACGGACTTGAGCAATTAAATCGGATAGTACAACTCGCTTCTCTATGTCAAATTGTCTGTATAATTGAAGCCGTAAGCTACAAAATAATTTGATTCGATTAACCAAGTTTAGTCAAGCATTTACGATAGGATAGTAGCATATAGTGAAAATAATCGCGAATGAGCGAAGTCAACTTCTAAAAATAAACAGTGTTCACTGTTATTTTAGTATAGTAAAATCGATCGATGAATTAATTATAAATGTTCCCAATCTTAACCTATTGCATGTTTTCTAAACTTCTCGTTCATGTTATTTAATAATAAACAAAACATTTTCAAGGGCTAAAAGTTCTTTTTTAGCTTAGAGTATGATTAAAATCGATGTCAGCAAAATAAGCATAATGTCAAAACTATCTATTGGCTTTGTCTATCGTATAATAATTACTGTCTCTCCTTGAAGATTGATTTGACACATATTGTCGACAATTCTTCTTTACATTATACTCAAATAGTTTATATAATATTTTGAAAAATGCGACACATTGATAGACGATATAATAATTGTTTACATACATTTTGATTGTCGAAAAAAAAACACGGCATACACCGACTTTTAAAATTATTCACCGAAAAATTGACTTTTAATGTTTACTTATCAATGTCTGTAATAGAGCTCTACGCCGTAGCTTCTGCTATTCATTGAAATAGAGACTACAAGTATCTTGTTGATAACTGGAAATAATCATTTTCTAACGACCAACGAATGCTGTATAATAAACAACGAAGCCATGATAGGATATATTCTTTGATTGCAAACAAATAAAATTTATTTTCACAGCATTCTTTTCTATTTTTGTTCTAAAAATTTTTAAACATAAAAGGAAAATCAAGATTATTAACATCAACTATCGTTGACATGCTAATTATCGATTATATTTGCTATTTTAAAAATTTCACTTAATCAGTAGAGAATATTTGTATTTCTCTGCTTATATAAATACTCTTCTGAGATTTTTATTTCCTTCAAAATGTTACAGAAGAATTAGAGAATATTTCTCTTAATAAAACTAATCAACACCTTGAAATGTATCTTGAAAGCAAAGTAAATAGCCTAAGATGATATTCTCAAGAGATCTCGATAACAAATAGATGTTATGTGATCTAATGAAAAACAATATGATGAATTTGTTTTTCATTCGGGCACTTTTTGCCCATGAGTAAACGCTTTTCTGGTATAAAATTTTCGAAAACACTTTTTCTCTCATGACGTGCACTTAAGGAAAAAAAACAGAAAAATTAATAGAATTTTTTCTTGCAGCCAAAAGATCTAAATAAAAAAACAGCTGTTTGCTCAATAGTTGTCGTTTGATTTCTTCTTCGTTTTTTTACATCTTTATAAATATTTCATGCCTCAGGGCGGCGTGCGACAACATCAACAAGCAAAAACTACTAGGGAGAGAATAAAAGAAAAATTTTTGATTGCTGTTGTTGTTGTCGTCATCGTCATTTTCACTCCTAAAATTTTACAGTCAGAAGTGACTTGACACAAAAAACACCAACAAACTACAATCATGAGTATGGAAGCACAGTTCTACGAAGCATTACGTCGGCAACGCGTTATTGATCGACGACAATCAGTTGGAGTTTCGAGACAAGTTCAACAGCCTAAATATCAACCACGATATATTCCAGTTGGCTCACTTCGACAAGACGATATGCACGTGCCATGGACATTTAACCCTTTGCGTCGTACTAAACTATCTAACAGTGATCAAAGTGTATTTAAAACCGAGCAAAACAATCATCCGTAAGTGAATCAAATACAAAAATAAAAATAGTTGATTTCTTTTTTAATTCGAAATTATTTATCAAATAGACATCGAGTGCCATCAAGCCAACGATATATTATGCATGGAAAACTTCATAATCGATTTTCGGTAAATTTGTTCTATCTTACACATGATTCGATTGTACGTTTTTCTATTTAGTCGATGAACTACATTCAACAATGGTAAACTACACGATGGACGAATAAACCAAACAAAAAAGGATTTTCTTTGTTGTGTGTGAACTTTCGAAATCTGTGTGAAAATATTTTTGGCGATTAATAAAAATAAAAGCCAATTAAAATTTGAATATCTATCTGTTCGCTATTTGAAGCATCATACAATAAAGAATTCGAGGTATTTAATCACACGTTTGGCGTAGATTAACATTGGAATAGTTTCAAGGAGAAAAAGTATTTTTTAAATAGTTAATATTATTGTTAATCAACTTTTCTAAGGCTTTTGTAAGCATTGAATAAACAATCTTTCAGCAATAAATTTATCGCGAAATTATTTTTATTAATAAAAAGAAAAGAAATGCTGATGAATCCATTTATTTCCTATTATTGTTAAATAGAACATATAATTCTTCAATAGCACAGCTATGTGAACTAAAATCAAAGAATCTCAGTTAAAATTTCATCTTTAGAGATGCCATGAATGTATACATGAGAAGACAGCCACTCGCAATACTCTAGGAATTCAATTCCTTGTTTTGTTTTGCTTGTGACTGTAATAATAATAAAATATACAAGATATTAGAAGAAATACAATTAATATTCTTGTTTGAGAAAAGGTAATAAAAGCAAACTCTATCAATACAATTCACTTTTCATAGTCCTGTTTTATTGTTATTGTTTTTCTCTTTAGTAATAATTACAATTTAACATATTGCTAACATATATCGATGTTTTCTCTAGTCTCTGACAAGAAAGTATTTTACAAATTAATTTTTTCAGCTAAAAAATTATTCACGATAATCAACCTTATTTATTTTTTCTCTTTCAAGAAGCGTTATGATACGACCGTGTGAAACAAATACTTACCTGTTTATTGATACTATATCAAAGTAGCTCATCGATGTTTTCCCAAACTATTTACTTTGTTCCTAGCAGCACTACAGCCATCTACGAGTTACACACGTTAACCCTTTGGTCATGAAAATAATTATTTTTACTTTTTTCTTGATATACTTTTCAATCATAATAAACATATTACACTACCATATGATTAATTGATCGAGAGAAAAAACAAACACGTTATTCCATCAAAGTAATTCTTATCCATGGCATTGTCGTGTAGGTCGTTAACCATATTGTTTCAACATAAACACACGTCTTTCCTATTAATTGAATAGCTATTTCTAACCATAAAAGATGCCTATCGTATCATAACATTAGTGTCATTTGGTTCTATTTCTCCTCCTGTCATCAATCAACAGCTTACGTATCTAAATGTTAACTAGACATATTCTAGAATATTTCTATACTATCGAAGATAAGAATAGGTAGAGAGAAAAAAAGCCAAAAGATATATTTTTCTGCTCTTTATATTTTCAATAATTTTGTTTTTATTATAAAAATAAAAAAAAAACCAAACAGTCAAACACATACATGGCTACCTATGTGAACAAGTCAATAAAGAAATGAAAAAACGAATTCCATGCCGACACAAAAACAAATGCACATCACCTTCTTTGTCCTCGCTTGTTTTTAAACAACAATGGAATGAATACAACATTTATATAATTACACATGTGCTAATGGGCCTTGTTTCGATGATGGAAGCGAATATTTACTTCCATTTATTTTCGTATGCTTATAGGAATAATTTATACCGGAAGCGTCGCGGCCATTGTGACTACTATCATAACGTTGGCGATTCTGAGCACGACGATAGTTCTGACGAATATTTTTATCAATAGGCTCACAACAAAAAAAACTTTTCCATGTTCGTAGTGTTTTATTATTAAAATTAATCCATAAGCCAGTTGTTATGCCAACAATTAATAAGAAAAAATATTTTGCCATATAAATCATAAAATTTGGTTGCATAGACCAAGGTGAATATAATCCTACTGAGAGACGAGGACATTTATTACAATGTAAATTATCTTCCCATATTGAACGATAACGTAATTCATAAAAATAAATTCCAATTACCTTTAAATGTTAAACAAGAAAAAAAGAGAAAAAATATTTAAATAAATCTCTTTTTTTTCTCTATGAACTTACAAAAGTTGCTGGTACAGTATAAAGTATTGCAAAAAGTCCAATTTTAACCATTAATTGTTCTAATTTATTTGTTTTACTTCGATCTTGAACTTTAATTACATTTCTAATACGCATTAAACTTATTAAGCCAGCTAGTAGAAATATTGTACCAACAGTTAAAAATGTTACTAATGGAAACAAGACAAATCCTCGTAACATTGATGAATCTGTGTGTCCAACATAACATATTCCACCAATAGGATCGCCATCAATACCTTTGCGCATTAATATAACAACAGTTTGTAAAGACGGTAATAGCCATGCAATAAGATGATAATATATTGAATAATAAGATATAGCTTCTGACGACCATTTAAAGCCAGCAGCAAGAAACCATGTTAAAGTTAATATAACCCACCAAATAGACGATGCCATACCAAAGAAATAAGTTAATACAAAAACAAAAGTGCAACTTGATGGACCAGATACTCGAACAAGTTGAGTGTAAGTCAATGAATCGATCTATAGAAAATTAATATTTGCAAGAAAAAATTAATCAATTCGGAATTCAAAATAGAGATGTGTATGTAGTAGTTAGATAGCACTCCAGAATGAATCTAGTAGAGTCTTTAGAATTAGTCTCGAAATCAATTATTCTACAATAAATAGTTAATCATGATTTGATTATTATTATAGTATAGAGAATCGACAAAAAAAAGACTCAGCTTTTTGCTTTAGAAAATTCAGTGTACGTGATAATATAGCATTGGCTGACTATGAACTATAAGAAGAAAATAACTCAATCTAATTAAATCTAAGTGCATTTTTTTCTGATTGACTCTAACAATGTTGCAAAAAATGACTGTTTTAATATTCCCTAGTATCTTTATCCCAGAGTAATTTTCAGCCGATGGGAAATTGTTACATCACATCGTTCAATGGATTAGGATATTTTTCTTCGATTTATGTAACAAACGACGAGTTGAGCACATGCTTAATTATAAAAACAGTTTGAACTGGACAAGCTCTAATCTCTAATTATTCATTCTAACGCATTTTTCTACTTAAAACAAAATAAAATCCTTCTTACCTTGTTAGTTAACTGACATGCAACATTTTCATGTCCGAGTATTAAACGTATTAAATATCCACATGATACAAAAAAGTAGCATAACGATAAAAATATAATTGGTCTTTGAGGGTATTTAAATCTTGTCATGTCAAGATAAAATGTCAATAAAACAATTGTGCATGATAGAGCACAAAGTATACTAAGTACGGCTAGCCATATATTTATAATTGATATCGATTGTTTATCAGAGAAATACACTGAACGACATGGTGGAAGACATTTTGATAATGTTGAATCCTCATAGTCTTCAATAAGATGATAACCTATTGATGTATTACATTTACAACATTTTTTCTGTGATCTCGGTAGAGTTTTCGATAAGGATCGATTTTCGTTCTTTTTCGGATCCATACAAATAGCTTTTTCTTCACTTGATGGATATTGTTCACATTTTAATGCATCCGGCCATATAAAACCATAACGTGAATAAAATGGTTCGCATGGTGTACGAACACGTTCACAAACCTAATGAGAGAAAAACAGAGGCCAAGGCTTTTTCTTTAATGTCAGTTCATTTCAATCAATATTTACTTCTCGGCATGGTGGAATTGGATCAGAATAATTTGCAAGACATAATGGCATATATATTGAACAAAGTAGAAAACTAAGTTCTGCTGAACATCCAACAGCAATTAAAGCTGTAAATTGATTAATCTTAATGATAGAAAAATAAATATTACAATAAATCAACATTTGAAATAAAATAATCAACAAATAACTGTAAACTTTTATTGACGTGATTATTCACAATTTTAATGATATCATAATATACACTGTTGATGTATAAGGTCAAGCAAATGTCAGTAGAATAAAGGCAAGAAATTAGTTCGCATTTAAGATTAAAATGCTTTTTTTCTTCCCTTTTCACCTGTCTATTAAGATTGATTGGCGTGTATAAGTCATTCGTTTATGCGCGTACGACGATCGAAAATCATATGAGCAAATTATTGAATTTCACCTTGCCGTGAATAAATATAAATTATCGAACTACTTAACCATAACTTTTTATTACCGTTAAAAACATCTGAAATGCTACTACTACTACTTCTATTCTACTTACTACTAGTGCCACATCCTTTTGGTCTTGATGATTGAATTTATTCGGTAAATAAGTTTGATTATAACCGATGCTTTTACATTCATAATAAGTTATCTGTTGGCATTGTCGTTGTTGGCTTGTTATTGATTTAACAGTCGTTAATAAAAGAAGCAATAATTGAATAAATTGATACATAGTGATTACTTTCTATATTTAACTGAAGGTTATATAAGAAATAATAATCTAAATGAGAAAGAAAGAGAGAGCGATGAAAAATTCTCCTTCTTGCAACAGCTGAATATTCATATGTGTGTCTAATTTGACATATCGGAAAAGAAGAATGGGCAGAAGAAGAAGAAGAAGAAGAAAAAGGAAATATATGCACATCACATAAAATGAGCATGGGAACGGAAATCACTAAGATACATTTTTTAAATATAAAGTATGTTCAAATTAAATACATACTGAAAAAAAGAAGGAACAAACTAAAAGCTATTTCGAGTGTACTCTCGAAATTTCATAAAGCCAATGAACATATTTTCTCTACTGTATAACCAAAAAGCAGGACAAGGTCGTTCTTACTTCGTATTTCTATACTATTCTATACGTCGAAACTTGATTATTTAGTAAATAGCTCTTAAGAGAGAATCTCAATAATATGCAGAATAAATTCATCAATGTCTATTATACTTCTATCTACATGAATAATTATCTTTTTGTATCTCATCATCTTAAGATCAACGACAACTACGATGATGATGATAATAATGATCATGATGGCGACGACTGCATTAGACGTACATGCACGAGCGCATCTACTAAAAATGGCATCGAATACTGTGTTGGCATCACGTACATCGATGATAAACAAGAGAAAAATCAAACAAGGAAAAAGATATAGAAAAGCAAAAGAGTGATAAAAACACGAGCAAGGCACATAAATAAAAAGAACACATACGTATATACATATATCTTGTAGGGTTTATTAAATTCACAAGGATATTGCTCTATTGACACGATTAGCGCAGAAAAACCATTGAAATCATATGTTATGACTGAGAAATGTGCCAATGCTAATTAGATGCTTGGTTAGACTTTGTCTGGTAGGTCGTTATTATCACAAAATGTAGAAACAAACAAAGAAACTCAACATATCGGAACAGAAAAATGGCGAAGAAAGGAGAGAGAGAGAGAGAGAGAGAGAAGCAAGAAGACTGACTTCTAACACAGCAGTCAGATTTAGTTATTCATCTGTTAAAAACAGCGGTAACCGAGAATAAAATAAAGATAGAAATTATGTAACACAATAGTGTATAGTGATGATGACGTGCGTGCGCACTTTTTGTATAGGAATAGGAAGAGGTCAGAAGACGTGCGATTGTGCACGCGCGCACAAAAAAAAAGAAAAAGAAAAAAGAAACAAAAAAAAAGAACGTGAACAGTAACGTTCATGCACCCGTGAAGCCTTGTACAATACATATGCCACGGTGAATAGAAAATAGAACGTGTTAGCAAGAAATTAATTTTTCCTTCTTTTGTAAAAAAAAGTCGGATGAAACAAAAAAGGCTGATTAGAAGATCCTTTTATTCATGTATGAAATTCTATCTTGTCCACAATGATACATGAAACACTAAATACACTTTATATGCATTTACTTACAACGTTGTCCTTTAGAAATAAATGAGTATCATATTCAAAGAAGAAGAGAAACAAAACTCGATTATATGTAACATTCATGCTTTTTAAAATTAGAAAAAAAAGGCTTTCACAGACTGTGAAATCTGTTACATTTTACCTTGTTCATTGAAGAAAATGAATGAATGAATGAATGAATAAATGAATGAGAAGATCGTGTAAACGACGTATATACATATGCGTGAACATTACATTACAATATCGATCAATCTACCTGGATGTATCACATATATACTCATTATATTATTGATCAAAGCTCTTTTTTTTCGCGCTCTCTCAATAACTTGTCCGCCCAGCTCATCTCATCTGTACTGTATATATGTATCTATATATTATCTACATAGATACATACATTGGTTGGACTCATCATTTACCTTACCAATTAGGCGTGAAACAGGTAACAAAAAAGAAAACCGGAGAGAAAGAAAGAAAAGCTTGATTGTGGTCAAGTTTCTTTTCTTCTTACCTTCATTTATGTATTTAAATCGTAGATTGTCATTTAATAGACGTGTAAAGAAAAAGTGAGAATGAGAAGAGAAAAAACTTGAATGAATCGATGATCTTTACATTCGTTTGTTCGATTGACATAATACGACTGTATATATTTTTCTCTTCGTGTAAATTGATCTTCTTCTTACTAGATGAAGTTTACGTGTAAAATTGAAGTGACGATTAAAAGTGATTGAAAAAAAGAATAGGAAGAACATTTGACAACAACAAACGGTTTAACCATAGAACTGAATTAGAAGTGATGATGGCTAGACACTTAAAGATTGAATAAGATGAAGAAAAGTTGTAGTGCTACTTACTTGAATGACCCCGAGAGCTACTCATCCTAATGGACAGCCACCTACCATCAATCAACATGTGTACATCTAGTGTTTCCTGTTCTTTCGTGCAGCACGAGATCGAGTCCATTTAATGGACAGCTAGTATAGAAGAAGACAAAAAAGAAAAAAATAGTATGTTCTGTCATTCACCTGTGCATATACGCCAACTAAGAGAGACAAAACAAAAAAGAAAAAGGAGGAGGAAAAAGAACTCAATACGAAGAGGATTATCAAGTTGATGTGGTGTCGTGATCTAAATCTGTCACATGTTGATGTTAAAAGGGACTAACTGATCAAGTAGAAGTGAATCAAAAGGAAAGAAGAAAACATCGTATTTGTAACAAGCGAATGTTTCTTTTTTCATCTTTTGCGTAATGATAATTGAAAAAAATATTGTATAATCCTACTTCTTTTCTATTTGTATTAAAGTACTTCAACAGCAAATGATTCACTAACTCCCGCTCTCTCTCGCTGTGCGTAGGACGCTGACAGATTGTATAGCTAGGCAAAAAAGAAAATGAAAGATAGGAGAGTCACTTGATTGTCAAGTGGACGAATTAGATTTTATAAGAAATAAATTATTTGATTCTTCATCTTAACTTAAAAATGAAGCGAAGAAAAAAAATCAATTATTTTCAAATAAAATAAAAGTATCTTCGCGACAAACACGAATTCGTCCGACATCATCACTCCAGCTGTATATATATATATATATATATGTTCTGAAATAAGACTAATAGAATTTACTTGACGACGAATGTTTAAAAATTCAGTTTTTAATTATTTTTCTTTTGCGATTATGGCTTCTTTACTGCTGATAAAATATAACATATTCGTTTGACGTTGAAACAAACAACATTTGATAGAATTGACTGATGACATTTGTTGTACCATTCAAATTTACGTTGACAATAGAAACAAATGAGTCTGCTGATAGAATATGTATTATTTAGCATTTGCTGTTATAAGACTTTTGACATTAAACCCACCTACGATTAATACAGTCGTATCCAACTGAGAAACAGCCGCACAATAATATCATCGAGTTCACATCCTATCAGTTGTTGTTATTTGTGTCTTTGTTATTAGATCAAATTTGGCGCTATTGCAGCACGAGTAACAAGAACACGGCTGTCAGTCAATACTATTCTGCTGTAGGAGTTTTACAATGGCTATCTTTCATCAGATAGGTTGGATTATAATGGAATAAAGTTGTTTGGATATTGTCTATAACTCCTCGAGCAATGAATATGCGTTCTATTGTTTAATAATATTGTTGATTATAATATACATCTTTAGGCGATATTACTTGAAACAAGAGCTTATGCTCTTGTACTACTATTAAAAGAATTCAGTTACTTTAATAGCACTGACTAAAATATGATTTCTATTTGCAATTAATAGCATTGCATGATGTTGACGATTCTGTTGAAGCATTGAACTAGTTTCTAACCATATTGAAATTGATGATGTATATATGTCAGACAATGTCATATATCCAGTTATTGCATTGCAACTATCATTGAGTTTAACAGGAGAAAAATCATTGTAATCAACTGAAATTCATCTTCGAAATCATTCGTGCAATAAAACGATTTATACAAATTTGAACTTTTACACATCTAGAGGACAATTTGATTTGAAGTTGATATGAGAAAATATTTCTTTGTATTACCTTCACGTTGAATACTATAATAAAACAATAAAATCAATGTTGTTGTATTTTTTCCCTCAATTTTTGATAGCCATGAATTAAATTACTATTCAAATAAAGATGATCTTCAATGCTTAGTGATGTATACGCGATTGAAATTGAATAGGATTATTTCTCACAGTTAATATTTCCCATGAAGAAAGACAAATACAAGAGTCAATAGAAACATAATTGCAATGAGCGAATATTGACCTTAATAGATTCTTTCGTTCCTAGACGCTTCCATTTTCGGTCGAAGCCTACTCCATTGTTTATTTTCAATGATTGCATTTATATTATAATACATAGACAGACATTTTAATGAATATTATTTTTAATGCTTTTACATCATCGATCTATAATACGAAATAATTACCATTGAAATGCGTAAATAATAAGATAGTGCATTTACTTAATATAAGGTATAAAAAGGAAACATATAAAGATAAAACCATTAAAATTAAAACATAAACAAAGAGTTTGTTTTTCTATAGATTTATGATAAACTTCTATTGTTTGATATAGTAGTAAGATTTTATTTTTCATCGGCTCATTGATTACTCAATAGTTGAATTTAGCTAATGTCTTTACATAACAAAAATGATGGCTTGTCAAGTTGAACCCTGACCCGTGTTGAACAAAAAAAATGAATATCTCATTATGATTTGACCATTAGGAGATCAGTGTTATGATTGTTTGATAAAGTTATAAAACGTGTACGTAGTAAAAATGCAAACAGTCTATAGAAAGTATGTCGCAACATTGGAGTACTTGTTTGAGTTGATGCAAACAGTTGGATTGAAACTTAAATTCGGATTCAAAACTCTTTTTTTTTATCATAGCTGACAAATTTTCATGAGGTTTTAAATACAAGATAAATGAATAAAATGAACTTTGACTTAATGTAAATTTAATTCGAATACAAAATTACACTAGTCATCGTGCCTTCGATTTAGTTTAATGTGCTATACCGTACAGAACGAACGAGCAAACATTTTAAATAAATTTTAACGGTTATTTTATTTTCTCAATGCATTGTGATAGCTCGTCGAAAGTTTTATCTTCGATGTCGGTAACATTATCCCGACAAGGTCACGATAATAATAATCGGATATCTTCATCTCAAACAAAATCTTTAAAATCTCCAATAAATCAATTCTATTGTAACATATGTTTTTGTCCATTGATGATTCATCAAAATATGAATCGGGCAAGTTTTGTTACTAGTTGTGGTCATTTCTATTGTGAACAATGCGGACAAACAAGTAGTATTGAATTAGTTTGAAATTAATCTCTTTTAAAAGCTTCTCTATTCAAGCTTTTCAAGGTCTCATGCCAACATGTAAAATATGTCAATGCTCATCGACAAATTTAACTTGTATGGATTTACGAAAAGTATGAATTGAAAATCTCATAGTAGATCAGTCATTTGTATTTTATTTGAATAGAAACAAAATGACGATGTCGATGTGATGATATCATCGAATAGTCGTGCTCGACGGTGGTTTGAAGAGCAAACAAGGCATCGAACTTCGGAACAAATGATTTCAACATTAGATCAAGTATGTACGAATAAAAAAAGAATGTCTTTTTTTTGTTATGGAGTCGTTTCCTATTTTAGCGTAATGCATTTCTTAATAAACAAAATGATTTTTGTGCTAAAACAATTCTTCGGCAAGTAAATATTTTTGTTTTTCTTGGCGAACAACAGAAAAATATTTGTATTTTAATAGGCCGATTCAGTACAATATCAAGTGCCATTCGATAAAATTTCTGTATTTGGAAATAAAATGATACAGTAAAAAATGATGCAAAGATCATAATTAATTTTGTTTTTTGTTTCAATAGAGAAACGAAACAAGCATCAGAATTCTTATATAAACTACTTAATGGAATTAGTCAAGCCAACATTCGATTGACAGCACAACAACAATTATTTTGTCAACAAGTTGTTGAACGAGTTAGTTATGGTTTTGTCTTGAATGAATATTAAAGAGGAATTTATTCTGTGTTATTATTCTTTTTAGTTTAAGACAAATCATAGATGAAAATGCATTTGGGAAATAATTATGTAGGCTATTTTTTGTCTTGATAGGAATTTTTATTATGAACAGATATTTATTTTATAAATTATATGTTTGTTGAATATTAATAGGAAGGAAATAAATTAATTGTGATTGATTTGCATAAATTAGTGGATTTGATGACAGATCTTTTTTACACGAAAAATATGTTTAGTTTTCAACTAAATTTTCATACGCGTTAAAGACTCTTGAATAAAACTTTTGAAAAGAATGGATGTCAACTGGAAAATATGTACTTTTTAACAAGTGGAATTTTTTGTTCCGGAAAAAACTTTCACATAATGGAATAGCAATATTCTCTGCTCTATTCAATTCTATTTTTATCGGTGTTTCAATTAGTTAGTACAAATATAAAGTGATACTTTGATAGTTAATTCATTTGATGATTTCATTGAAGCTTGACGATGAAAAGGATAAATTCATAGAAAACTTTCAGATTAGTAAAATAAAATGCGATACATAATTTGGGAATTTTCTAGAGGAAAAAATTCATTGTCTCGCAAAATATAAGTAAATCAAGCTGATATATTTATGATTCATTGTTTCATGATAGATTAATTCTCTTTTAAATCATCCTTCATATATCCTCTAATGGTGTGGAATGGAATGAAAATCATGACGTTGAATTGAAAAAGTTTCTAATACACTCCAGTGATCAGCTAATGAGTTTAACCTTTGCATGAATAAAATACCGTAGATAAGATATAACTTTTGCGTGATGTACAAAATATAAAGATGGCTTATGTGAATAAGTAGAAATAGCGCCGTACTGTACCGCCCCCCCCCCCACCACCACAATAAAAGACCCCGGGTCTTCTACTATGTTCCAGCGTAAAAATTTTCCAGGGAGGTCTTGTATTAAGAATCGCATTTTTTCCTAATATTTAATTTAAAAGATTTTTCAGAAAACTCAGGTGATTTTCAGGGTTTTAAGGGTCTCATTAGAATTGTGAATCCATTCTCTTAATATTTCCAGCTTAAGATTCGAAGAATCAGACATATTTTGATGGAAAAACGCTAATGAAAGTTTGTAATTAGCAAAAAACTAATTAATTAAGGGGGGGGGGTATTTGATTTTTTATATCGTGTCAAGTCAGTCGAATATATTTCCCAATATGATTAGACTACAATAAACTCTTGCACACTAAGAGTTCCCGCTCGATTCGTTCAAGTTTGTCTTTCAATGATTCTGGAAATAGAATTAAATTGACTTTCTTAGATTGGATTAAGAAGAAATACAGGCTTTCTGGCACGTCTTCGATTCGCTTTTATTTTCATAGCAAAATTTTTCCGTGCGTTTGCTTCATTGTAGATAAGACAGTTTTATCTTGTGGTATTTACAATAATGAATAAGATTTCGATTATCTGAAGCGTTTGTTGAAGAGATTTCTTGACCTAAAAAATAACGAATCTCAAGAATTTTCATGTTAAGAACACCGAAACTGATTGATTAAATGCTGTGAGATTTATCATCAATACCGCTATGTCTTGATTTGAATCAAACAAATCATATCGAATTGATGATCTTATAGAAATACAAAAAAGAAGATATTTTTATCATTTTCATTTGATCTCTCTGTCTGTCCGGGTTCTTTTTTCTTTAATAATAATAATAGAAGTAGAGAATAGTAGAAGAAAACCAACACATTAGACAACAAGAAGAAAAAAAAATGAACGAACGAAAATGTGTGTACGTGTTTACAGATGATAATAAATGTGAAGTAAACGACGCGCGATTGGGTTAGACGACAACAGAGAAAAAAAGGAGAAAACTGCATACACACACTTATACTTTTAAAAAGCTTATATAGAGAGATCGAAGTGCGCGCATTTTGAATGATGATGAATAATAGTAATAAAAAAAAAAAAACAGAAAACCTTTACGTTAGGAAGGGACAAAAAAGAAGAAAAAAAAAGAAGATATATATATATACAAATGGCGCACACGAGAGATACTTTGTAGTTTATGAATGTTTTACATAGGTACTTTATCAATATCATCTCGGTGTTCTGGTCGATTGTTAACCATAAAACCAAGTTGTTTAACATCGATCTTTTGTCCTTTCGTTTTTTTAGCTTTCTTCTTTTGTCCATTACTCGCTAATTGAAAGCCTTCATCACCGCCATTACCCGAATTCGATGACGTTGGTGCCATAGCTAATTCATGTAAACGTTCATTATCTAATTCGGGCTAAATGAAGCAAAACAATAGAAATGCAACATGAAATGTTGTTATAATAAATTATATACTTCAGCATTGGCTAATTGTTTACGTTTGACAATAAAATCACTGGCGAATTCTCTCGCTTTAATAACAGAACCTATGTATGGTTGAACATATTCAATAATTTCATCTGAACTATCGATATCTTTTAATAATTGAACAAGTGTTGGAACTTGAATAAATGAAAAAGAGAAATGAGATTTGAAGAGGAAAAAAAACAGAACAACTAATATTATTTACCATCAATAGCCTGTAAATTATCTTTGAATTGTGTTTGTGTCCATTTCGATAATGCATCCTGTGTGCGTGTCGTTGAAAAAAGACATTTTACTTCACGTTCACTTTTTGATAATTCAGCATGTGCTAGATTTGATTTTGTTGTTGACGATGAGGATGCTGCGGCAGATTTTATTTCAGTCCATGGTGTTCTATTGAAATGAGCTTTTCTTTTGGATTTTGCGAATAAAATTTATACATACAATGGTTTAGTGTTACTAGTTGCGGCAGGTTTAGCTGGTGGTGATGGACTTGGTTGAGTATCGCCCCAGAATATGGATGATGATGAAGGTGGTGTAGGCTGTTGAAAAACACCACCCCATGCTGGTGTTGAATGACCAGATGAACTTAACTGTGTTGGTTGTTGTGGTTGTGGTTGCGGTTGCGGCTGTTGTACTGTCTGTTTCGGTTCAATCTGAAAGGGAACATTAAAAGTAATGTAAACTACAAATGTAAAAGAAAGCTATTTTTCAAAGATTCCATCAATTTGAAATTTGAACAAAATTTATTTTTGATAATAGCTAGAGAACGCTCGGCAAGTTACATATAACAAGAGTTTTTCCACTCACGATACTTAAGACACTTATAACTATGAGTTTCGTTTTTGTTAAATCTATTACTAATGAAAAATCCTGCATAGAGTAAACTGAATTCTAGTCTGACGAGAATCACAGTCCAGGATATATAATGTTCGAGATTAATTTCAAAATACTTTATTTGCTACAGTTCGTAGCGGAATGATATAACAAGTAGCCTGTTGATCTTTGATTTACTCTGTATTTATATCCATATTTCACATCCAAATTTAGAAATAAAATTTTGCTAATCCGAGTCTTCAAACGCTAATTAGTACCTATGACTTTTTTTTGCTGTTATTATACCGCAAAATCTCCTATAATCTTTCTCTAAATTTATAATAAGCAAAACTAACACGAACAGATTTGTTCAGTTCTGATAAAAAGATTTTTACTCAAATTTCGAATCCGTAAAATCCCTTACTTGAGATTGCTGTTGTCGCTGAATATCTTGAAGTGATGTATTGGATGGTGTAGCACTCGTAGCATTCCATGGTGCTGACTGTTGACTTGCAGCTGAACGAGATTTAGGCTAAAAAGAAAACATTCTTTTTTTCTGTTGTCAAAAATGATCTACTGAACGTTAAAAAGATTAAATAAATACAATCATGCAATACAACTACAGCACGACATACATGAATATTTAAAATAGATAGTACCGCGTTTGTTGCCTGTTGATTAAATGATGTTGTTGGTGAATCTGGTGACGTAGGTTCTGTGATTTCCTGATCTGATGAGAGATAATTATTTCGATTATTATTATTATTATTATTATTATGAGTACTGCCAGCAAATAGTGTTCGCGCCCATGAACCAGGTTTATTACTTGATGATGAGCTTGGAATATTCACATTGTCACTTTTAGCCTAATAAAATAGAAATGCGTATCGGTATTGTGCTTTTTTCTCTTTCGATGATGTTAACATACGAGCTGTTGAGCAGCAAGTGCTGCATCTCGTACACGTCTTTCTTCTTCTTGTTCTTGCTTTTGGATTTCGGCAAAATTTAACTTTTGAATCTGATCACTATGAGATGATTGTCTTGCCCAATTGGCGGTTTCTGGTAGTTTAAATGATTGTTGTTGTTGTAGCTGCTGAGCATGTTCTCGTTGTTGTTGTTGTTGTTGAAAGCGACGAACATTTTCCGCTCTAGAAAAATGATTTTAAAAAGTTCGTTCATGCAAGGAATATTGTTTTTTACTTTTGTGCTTCAATTTTCGCTTGTTGATCTTTCTGATATTGAAGAGATTGTTGAAAAGCTAAAAATGGATCAAGTTCAACTTTAGGTTGAACTTGAGGTTTAACTGGTTGCTGTTGTTTTTTCTGATCCATTGTTTTAGCCATTTCTTTCATTTGATCAAATATCATATTTTTGCTATTAACACTAGCTTCATTTTTCTTACGCAGCTCTTCTTCAAATTTTTGTTTCTGTTCGAACTGACGTCGTTCTTCATCTTCACGTTGTACACGTAATTGTTCAGCTTGTTGAGTTAATTTTAACCGTTCGAGGTCAATTTCACGTCGTTGTTGGTCAAGACGACGTTGTTCCTCAACTTTCTCTTGCTGTTGTTGTCCATGACTTTGCATTGCTTGAGCTAGACGCGTCATTATATCGTCTGGCTTTTGGGATTGTGGCATTGATAGAGTTGTACCGAAAAATGATGTCGTCGACGATCCTGATGTATTCGATTGGGAAGGTATTTGACGAAATGAATGTTGATGAAGTTCATCAAATAATGGTTGTTGCTGATTTGTTGTCGATGTACTACGTTGTAACTGAGGTTGTTGCGGGTAGACTATTGCAGGATCATTAGCAAGATTTGATGAAAACAGAGATGCTTGGGATTGGGATTGTTGTTGAGATGCAAAATATGCTTGTAATTGAGGATTTATCATTGTTGGAGACGTAACCGGTTTTGGATCAACTATTGGTAGAGGCATTGATGTTTGTCTACCATAAAAGTAAAAATAAAACAATAAAATTATGGGTTTTAAAATGCGTAGTTTCAAATTTACTGATTATGAGAACTATACATTGAAGTTATCTCAATGTTTTAGCGAGTACGATTGTCACTGGCTCAGTGCTCCGTATTTATAGAAACGCAAGTCCTTCATGGATGAATATTACATTGCATTTTCTCTCAAAATGAACTATTTTGACTTGATTTCATTGATAAAAAGTAATCTTATTATTTATCTGTTTTGCTCTATACAGAATAACGTTAGACAAGATGATGAGTACTTCGTAACATATATGTGCTTTCTCAGTATGCATAGGATTTCATTCAATGTCAGCATTCTAGAATCCAGATTAGACTGACTTTCTTATTAGAACTAAAGTCAGAAAATATATGACCGGTAGATACGTTTATTCTACCTATTAAATAATGACTGTTGTATATTTTTTCTTGGCTGTTGTTGCAATAAATAATCATCGAGATAAGTATTGTTTGCTGTTGACGATGTTCCGAATATCATAGAATTAAATTTTTGTGATTCAGACACGATTGGTTGCTGTACAACTGGCGGAATCGATGGGCCATCGGAACGAAATGGTAAACGACCTAATTCTCTTGTTAATTGTTGTATAGATGAAAATTGTGCTTCACCAAAACGTTTAACAGGTAAATTTATAGTAAAATATCCGGCTTCAAACCAACGTTCCATATCAGCTGATGAAAATGGTCCCTGCACTGTATTTTGTGGATCTTTATAAAACCACTGTTTATCATCAATAAGCACAGCTGATGGCTGGACACGTTGCTGTGGCATGATTGACGCAACAGAAGGCTGAATTGATTCTATCGAAATTGGATGAGGAGTTTTTTGAGAAGATATTGGTGGAGAATAATCATGATCCTAATAGACAGATATAAATAGAGTGTTTTTTTTTGGATGTGAGAAATTCTATACTTCAGCAAGGGTTGCTTCAACTACAGTTGTTGCTACGTCACTCGGTTCAAATTCATCTTCCCATGATGCTAGAGTATGTTGTACAGGAGGCATTGGTTTGGGTTCTAGAATATTTCAAAAGAAAACGATTAGCAAGAAAATAATAACAATAATAATAATCTACCAAGGATTTCAATTTTCTTTGGAACATTCATAACACTTGCATCTGTTTTTGGCAATGTTGATGCATTGTCATCTTTTTGTTTAGTCAAATGCTTAAAAGAAAAAAAATGTATTTAAGAAGAAAATTTGTTGTCAATCACTTACAACATTTGCATTGGTTGATGTGTCATCAATTGAAGAGTGAGTTTGAGATTTTGATTGCTCATTATTCTCATTACTTTGTCTTTTAGATGATGCAGTAGGAAACGGTGCTTCTTGTTCAAATGGCGAACTATTTAATTGGTTATCGTTATCGTTGTCATTCATCCATTCGGGTATCCCTAAATAATTCATTTTAAAATATGTTAGAATGTTATTTTCTAAATCTAATATTCCTACGTTCTCGTTTTGGTTGTGGACGCCGAGAATTGAGATCACGATCAGACGTTGCCGCATTCGATCGCCACCCACGACTGTGATTTGATTCATAACTGTTGGATGAACCTATTTTAGTTTTTAGAAAAAAAAAGAAATAATATGATGAATTTCTGGATTTTATCTAAACACGTTTTCAACTATCTTATCAGTTGCTTATGATGACTACTAACAAAAGTCTGTTCATGACAGTCTCAAGTAACTAGACATATACAAATGTTTCTCTCTTAAGAATATTGATATTTTTATATACCGGATCGATCATCAGTGTGACTCCACTTATCATTTGACTTAGTACGATTTTCCATTGAAGCTGCTCCTCCACTACCACCACCACCACCAGTACCGGTAGAACTTCCTCCTCGTCTTGTTTGTCCACCTCGAGATGCCCAAGAAGACGCAGAACCATTTGTAGATGTCGATGGATCTTCATTTTGATCATGATTTTCATCTTCATCCCCTCGTGATCGACGCCATGCATCAGATGTTTGACGTGTGCCACCACGACGAAATGATTGTGGTTGTTCACTGAAAATCAAACTCACTTATAATGAAATATATTTTAGGAAAAATATTCTTAAATGCTAAGAATCAATCGAACACGAGTCTTGATCCAACAATCATCCATTTGAAATTCTTCTAGTAAAGAGTTTCTAATGCTCACCGATCATCATAAGACCGCACACGATTACCAAAGGCTCCACCGCCACGCGAATGATAACCGCCCCGTGACCACGACGATGATGGTCCTGATGCATCATCGCCACCACCAGTATCTCCACTATCTTCCGCATTATTATTCCCACGAGTCGGACCAAATGCATGATCACGTCCACCTAGAGAAATCGTTTTTTTTTCTTTTTATAAAATCAATATGAAATCGTTGTTTTGCTCTTGCCTCTGCCTCTCGGTCCACTACCACGTCCATTAGAAACTAAACCACCACGACTACTTCTTGGATCATGTTGCTGTTGTGATTGTTGAGAATTATTTCCTCCTCGGCCACCACCACCGCCAGGTGTTCGCCCAGATATATAACTTGATAGTGAATTCATTTTAGCCTAATGAAAAATTATGTTGATAACAAAAGAAAAACGAAAGGTTTTCGTTGTTTACTGATTCTTCAGTTGTTGGTGTTGTCAATGATAATGGTTCAATTATATTCGGTCGAAAAACACTCTCAACGTCTTTTAAATTTTCCATTATTTCATTTCTTACATCTTCCGATAGACGTTGAGTTACATTAGCACGTAGCGCTAAGATTTCATCTTTCGAATAACGATATTTTGTTGCTGAAAATTTAAAAACACTTCCACCACCACTACCGCTGGTCGATGGAATAGGTGTTGTTGATTCAGGTGTTGATAAAGCTCGAAGCCTAATTAATAAAAATATATTAATATGAAACAACAATCTATATCTATCAAACCATTCTGGTCCGAAATTTAATGGTTGTTGAGCGACAGTAGTTGAACTCATTTTTGTATTTAGTTTTCGAAACTAAAATCGATAATCGATTGAAAAAAAATATAGAAGCGAAGCAAAATCTTAAAAAATTTTAAAAAACAAATAAACAAACAAAATGCAATCAATGTAATATTTTAAAGAGACAAAAATCTATTTTTTATTTATTATTCGTTGTTGTTAAAATAAAAACGAAAAAAATAAAATTAGATTATGAATACAGGATGCAATAGGTCCGATTTTTCTTTCGATTTTTTGTTTTGCTTGTCATCTAGTTTATTTACCACTTAAACATGAGAATTCCATATTTTACTTCGACAACGGAATGTATGTGGTCGAATAGGAATGAAAGAACAATGAATAAACATATGCGTTGGAGAGAAATAGTGAAGGTGACTTGACGAAAGGGGTCGCTTTCGAACAGCTATTCTTTGCTATTCAATATGATAACGGTCTCTATAACTATTAGAAAAAAGAAGAATGAAGTCGTTATTTATTTATTTATTCGTTTACTTGAATTTCTATTTGAAAATATTCAGAGCAATTCTACAAAAATGTTATAGGGGGCGACGACTGCCTGATAACTACCTCAAAGAAAGAAAGGACTCGAGTTCTTTCATATAAACGGAACTCAGTTATTTTTAAAACAAATTGACCTTTCTCAAGCTCTCATCCTGATACGAGGCTTCCTTCCGATAGATTATTTTTGTTTTTCATGACGCACGAATTATTTAGTTAACATGTAGCAATGAATTTTCAATTTCAATACAAACGAAGATGAAATGTCGCTCTGCATTAAATTTGTGTAGAAAAAAGAAGAATTTTGCAGATCTTCGCAGCCTTCTCAAAGATATTAGCTTTTTCTGTTGTGAGAACAAAAAATGAATGAATAGTATTAATATTCGGAAATCATTGAGATCGTATAAGAATTGTAAGATACGTCCAATCTGAATAATTGAATTCCTATATCCACTTTATAAACAGCATGTGTTGTCTCGTCGATCACTTTATTTTGACGATTGAAACAATTGCTCCTTTAGTTTTGTTTTTCTTGATGTTTTGTTTGACATAATTCGTTTACAGAGACGATTATTCAACAAATGATACGATCTTCGTCGACCATTTTATTTATTCACACTGACTTCTGTAAACTTTTGAAAAAGAAAAACATCGTGTCTGAATTCAGGACATGTATTGTTGAAATTCCAGAATATATTCTGCAGAGCGAACTCGAGCAATCTTTGATTTCAGACTTGAACTAAGTTAACTGAATGAACAACCATCTATAATTTTTCTTCAAAAATATTATATTCCATTAGGAACGAATAGCTATATTGTTTATGTCACTAGACATTAATAGTGTACCTAATGTATTTCTTTGTTATAGCCTAACCCTTCAAATTGTTCTACATTTTGATAACATACTCAGTTCATTCTAAATCATATTGTGTCATTATGCTTCATATTAATAATAATACTAGAAGACATTTCTCTTTGAATGTGTAACAGGAAAACGTCTTTTTTTCTTCTTTGCTATGATCGAAAACAAAGTTGACATAAGTTGAAGATCGAAGAGAGTAAAGAAAGTGTTATACTGATTACTAATAGGAAAAAAAAGAAGAATAAGAACTAAGGGATATAAAGAAGAGAGGAATTCGTCTATTATACACGAAGATAATTAACCATCCCAATTATAAAGTTTTCCCGGTAGACGAGGTTGACTACGAGTCTTGGTTTCTTTATTATTTGTTGCTGCTAATAAACTAGCAGTTAGTTTTTCAGCTTCAGGAATTGATACAAATGCTGCAGTTGTTTGTGTATTCGCTCCAGTTGTTAATTGTCTAATCATATTTCATAATTAAACATGAGTCGAACAATAAAAGAAGTGAAATATTTACGGTTGTGCAGCACTACTTGAAAGGTATCTTTGATCTGTTGTATTAGAAAAAAGAATTTGAGGTGGTGCAACGTGCCGACGAGCATCCCGGTCCAAGTAATAATTTTTACTTAACTTATGAGCGAAACCAGTTGGTAAAAGTGGTGATGGTTGAGTTCTTTTAAAAAGAGATAAAACATATATAATAAAAATCAACCAAAATATTTTTGTTCCGGTCTTTTTACCGTTTAGACATATCAAATTCGTGTCGTTGATTCGGTGTATAATCTCGCTAGAAAAAAAAAAGAATTAACACTTAGAAATCATTTAAAATATTATTTTTACAAGCATAAGAAATTGACGTAAAGGTGCAAGCCATTTGTTAATATCACGTTTAACAACCGGTGCAGCTGCATCGACAACGTGTTTAACTTTTGAACTCATTGTAAATCTAAAAAGGAAATGTTTCACTTTTTCTATTCAATATCTTACGGACGGAAAAAAATTGTTTTATTAAATAAAAAATTTATTTGACACTAAGACGGAAGAAAATGATCTTGTAAACTTGTTGGTTTCTTGATATCCTTAAAAACCAAAGATTAAATTTTAAATCGTTCAACATAGACAGTGATTTCGAAACTTATTCGACTAGGTTTATTTTTTTTCTCGTTTGTACTCATCGTTAAGAGAATCACTTCTAACTTTTCAAGCCGTAGATTTTTTCGATGAACCAAATAACCCTAGTCGAATGATTTTCCGAGTCACTGTTTTCGAAGAATTAAACGAACTTTATCATCAGATGAAGCTGTTGACAATTGGCGAACAGGATTTGTATGTAACATATATCGATCGAGTTGATCGTAAATTTTAGAAAAATAACGTTGAACTATTTCATTAACAGCATCACATGGTAAATACATTATTTCTAAAAAACGAATTATTCTAAAATAAAATTAATGAAATGAACAATAACAACGAACGTGTTTCAAATGATCCTTCATTACTATTCATTTCAATAAATGCTTCTGTTGGATTTCGATGTAGAAGTAATAGACGTTCAAGTTGTCGATGAATCTCAACAACACATTGCCGTAATTGTTCATTTTCAATCATTAATAAACGATGTTTTTGATCGTAGTCATGACAGATTTTTTTTAATAATGCTCTTTAAATGAAAAACAAAATGTTCAATCGAAACACAGAAAAGTTTTATTTATTCTACATACTCAGTAGAAGACGATGATAGTGTTGTTGTTGATGATGATGGTATTGATTCATTCAATAGTAAAGGAGACGGATAGTCGATGGTTGAAGGTGTTGGTCTAGATAAAAATAACGTTATCGATGTATTTGATTAAACAAAAACTTTATTGTTTCAATTGAAATTAATAAAACTGGATCAATAATTCTAGTTATTGGAAACCTATTCATAGGATTTTTTTTCTCTTAGTTTTCAATTCAAACAAAAACTACTTGTACTGGCCGAAGTCATTCTTAAAGAGGTATTCGCTTTTTTTATTTTGTATTTTTGCAAGATCAAGTATTGCAATCGGACTTCTGTTACTAATCTATTTTATGTCATGATTGATCATCATGTTCACATTCGATATGAATAGTGCTGTTGATAGCAATTACATTAACTTTTAATTCTTCACATTTCCTTCCTCCAAACGAATAAACTCTTTTGGTGATTTTTATTTTCTACAAAATAATGGAAAATTGACGAAAAGATTTACGAAGAAATGAAGAGGTAATGTTTTCTCAATGTCTTAAAGAAAAATCATTGGTAGACACACACACACATGGCATTCATTTTTAGTGTAGATTAAACGATAATTCTCAGATTGAATGTCCTGTCCACATAGATGCTTGCAGGATCAACGATATGAAAAATATATAATACGATAGTGTACTCTCAAATGATCGTCTATGTGTTCAATTCTGAGAAGTATTATTACTATTCTATGATGTTGCTACTCACGGATTTCTCATGGCTAATTACGCATAAAACGAATGATGACAATGTGTTTTTTTTTCTACTTCAATTAATTCCATCTATTAAAAGAATAATTACCGATTTTTTTCAAAGTTCAAAATTCGTTCCTTTAATTTATCCATTTGTTTTTCTAACGTTCTATATTGATGTTTAGCAATGGCGCTTTGTTGATTGAATATTTGATTTAAACGACGAATCTAAAAAACTCGTTCAGATTTTGAACAAGGAATTCATATTTATATTTTACGAACTTCTTTATCTTTTGTTTGGATAGCTTGTGTCAGCTGATTGATTTTCGTTTCATACTGTTGAATATGATCTGATAAACGTTCTTTTGTTGTTTGAAGACAATCGATATTATTTTTAATAGTATCTTCTCGTTTTTCATATTTAACTTGATCGGTTTCAATTTTTTTTAATTTTTCATATAATACATGTTTATCATGTGCTAGTTTATTATAATTTTTTACCAGTTGACGACATACTGAAGCTGTTTGATCGATATTTATTGTTTTTGGAACAAAATCAAATAGGCCAAGTAAACAAAGATCCTAGAATAAAATCAAATCTAATGAAATGTCGAACGTTTAGTGAAAACAAACTTCATTTAATTTGATTAATTGTTCACTATTTTGAGTATTTTCTGTTATCGGAAGAAAAAAACTCGATGAAGTCGATGAACACAGTGGCTTTTCTGCGACAACAAGTGGTGTTGAACTGTAGATTGGTGGTTCATGTTGATGACCTGTGAGATTTAATAAAGGAGAATTTGAAAATAGATCTAAATCATTCATATTATCATTCAAAATACTTCTATTTTTTTTCTCGTTTGTAAATAATAATGTCTAGTTACACTCTGATTGATCATTAGTCAACCAATAGAATAGAAACTGAAAGGTATATTGTGTCGCCGTCGTCTTAATGGAACATCTCGTGGAACTATATAAGCTAGATGAGGTCGCTTTATGCTGAGATTCTTCGTATTCATGTCAGAAAACAGATTAGAAAATAGTAGAGAGAACGTCGATAGTACTTTTGCTCGCTTACGATCATAATTCGCAAACCTTAAATATTCTTCAGTTGGTGTGAGAACACAACTGTCGATAGAAAAACATCATAAACCACAAAATTTACTTTTTATACTGCAATTCATGTTTTAACTTCAGTGTACATAGGCCTAACAGTTGCCATTGCTTGCCAAATAGAACACTCTATTTTCAGATAGTTTTCTAATAACAGAATAAAGTATCATGATATAACCAGAAGTATCAACGAAATTGAGAAATACTATCAAGAAAATTGACCAATATTTTTAATCAATGAATCGACTGCCATTGAGCAATTAGAATAATATAATTCCCTTCATTATATGAAATTACAGTTAAATCCAGAAGAAAAAATTATTCTTTTACATTAATTAAGAAAATAAAAATCGCATGCATAATTATAATTACACTTCAGCATATATTCAATTTAACTCAAAAAGTTAAAGTGATAAATAATTAGTTTAATAGGTAAGCTTTTTGGCATAATTTTCTTTACGATAATTTCATAGAATATATTTAAATCAAGGTCATCTTACTGGATTGTTTTTCTAACCAGTCATTTTACTAACAGCATATTTCTTTTAATTAGCTACAAATAACTGTCATCATTGGTTGTGTAATAGAAATAAATCGTACCCGGAGAAAAGCTAATTTTCTTAAATGAAACATTTACGTGGTTTTTTTCTGTATGTGACTCAAATAGTGAAAGATAAATGATCGAAACTAAATTTAGTCCTACTGAGAGGAAAAAATACATAATAAATGATGATGATTGATAAACAATACTATTTTAATTAAATATAAATATATAATTGATGAAAAGTTTTATTTTTAAAGAGCATGCTTTCTATTCCATATTGTTGAATGAAAGAAAATGTCATACTTTAAATAATTTTACCGGATTTTCCTAATCTGTTATATAAATAGATAATGCATACCCTCCACCTATGATGACATTTGTATCGAAAATCTTAAATGATTTACTGTTTTCCTAACATGCACGTCTTGTAAATGAAGCTACTTCCCAATATCATTCAGTGAAAGAATAAAATTATCTTCATTATCATTGTTTATAGTTTCTTTTATATAATTTTGGAAATGAAAAATACAGAGCGTAAACATTTTGTTACTTTCGCTCGTACCTCATAATTTGGAAGAAAACGAGGTGAACTCGCCCAGACGCTTTCATGATCGTTGAATAGAGCGTATGTTGCTGTGTTACTGGATAATTATGTGACATAACTTATAAAAACGTCTTTTCTCAGTGATTTTCATTCAAGCAGAATACTTTAAAAATTATTTCCTGAATTCTTGAGTTCATCCTATCAGAAGAACGCTCACTTTTTCTGACGTATCAACGGCATTCGCTATTGAAAATCTACAAGACGAAAACAACGAACATTTTTCGTTAGATATAATACAAATAAATTTTTCTAATTAATTTTTTTGATTAATAAATATATAATTACTTCATATTTAATCATATGAATGCTAGAAAAAGAATTAAAAAAAACTTCCCTCCGATAATCGTAGAAGAAGACGAAGAAAAAAACCTCATCTATGTTTAAAAAATTGTTTCTTTTCTAATTGTTCTTTACAATATCTCTTGAGAATTCGTTTTCTATTGCCCTTGGGTCCATTATCATCATCATTGTGTGACAAAAAGGTATGTATTGAATGTTCATCTAAAGAAATTTCTCTTGATAACAAATCAATAGCATAGTCGAAATCAATTATCATCTGAATATGGTGTGATGATGATGAAGTAATCAACACACAATTGACCTATCATCTGTATTATTTCTTTTTATCTCATCAATCCATTCGAGCAGAAAATTGTTCATATTTGAATAGGACAAAGACATAGGTGAATCCTCTATATAGACAATTGACATAGCGTGTCGTTAATTGAAGCAATAATATTTGAAGTTTCGTTTATTCTTTTTTTATTTTTATTTACTCTCCGTAGTCGGTCTTGTGCCTTTCTATTAATCTCATCGCGTGCATCTAACTGCTTGCAATATACATATATGCAAAATTGATCGTCATTATATTCACAATGAATTAGTAAAAATAAGAAATGATGGCAACGTCTGGCAGCAATTATTTTATTAGATCGACTTACCTTCGTCTCTCTATTTTTTTCCTTTTCTTTTTTTTAAATGCACAGGTGCTAAAACAAATGAATCAAAAGAAGGCAAGAAAGAAAATAATGTTTATAGAAATACATGGCTAATTCATTAAATCATATTTAATATATACGTGTATAAAGAAAACAAATCTTAGCAATACAATGGGAAATTCTCTGTTTATGCACATAATTTCAAACCAAAAAAAAAAAAAATGAAAAGAAAAAAGAAAGAAAAGAAAAATCTTATGTTCTCATACACCTTGAGGCCATAGGAGATGATTTTTTGTACTATTGGTTGTCCCAATAATGGCACTCATATATTCTTTGGCTTTAATACGTAAATGAGCAATTGAATTAACATTATTATTTGGATTTAAATTTGTTGCTTCATTGATCATATCATTGGTGTCTGAAGAAAATGAACCATATGAATGATGAAATGGTGGGGAAGTTGGATATGCCGACGATGAATAAAGGGAGGATACATTACAATTTGTTGGAAAAAACGGTATATTATTTGAATTATGAGAACCATTTGTATTTGTTGAATATGATGATGTTGCGAAGGATGAAACAAGCCATGGATCCAATGGTAGTGTTGATGAACCAGGGGATGACGACGAAGGATTTGTTGGTCGAGATGTTGGAGGAAAACTTGACATGGGAAAATCAGGATTTATCTTTAATGTACTTGCTTCAGCTTTCTCTTGTCGACGCCATTTCGCACGACGATTTTGAAACCTTTAATTGAATTTCATAGGATTATTATATGGAAATGAGACTCTTATCTATATATATATAATCATCTACGTTAAGTTCTCATTCTTAAATTATATATAACTTTAATCAGAGAACACTTTTGAGGAGAGAATTCTATTTTTTATAGATTTTAAAATATCTTACCAAACTTGTACTCGCACTTCTGGTAAACTAATTTTGCCTGCTAATTCCTCTCTATTGTAAACATCAGGATAGTCTATAAGATAAAATAGAATCAATCAAGAATAATTAATATAATTAAACAAAAACCCATCATACGAGATTTTTCAAAAGCTCGTTCAAGCTCATGTAATTGAAATGTTGTAAATGTTGTACGATTTCGACGATGTTTCTTTTTTGAATTATTTTGTTGATTTGATAACAATCGATCGTCACTGTCATTATCATCATCGTCTAAATCGTCGACTTCATCTTCTGAATTACCGTTACATTTACTAGTACTCAAAACATCAATATCAGTATTCGTACGACGAATAGCTTTACCTATTTGAGAATGAAAACAAGCATATCATTTTATTTTATTTTATTTTCTGATCACTTACTATCAGGATAAAGTTCATTGGAACTTCGTTTTTTATCCAGAAACTTTTGTTGATTAAATTTTGATGATGACATACGATGAGAAGGAGGAAACAAATGCTGTTGAGGGTATTGTTGACGGTGTTGTTGATGATGATGATGATGATGACCATCCAAATTTTTAATACCTAGAATAGCTTCTATTGAATGGATGGCTTTCAAATCATCATTTGTTGGTGGAATCATTGAAATAGAATTTGTCGACAACGTCTTGTGTGTACTACTTTTCATTCTATCTATTTTCTTTTTGTGTTCGTTTGCCTGTAGTAATAGTAATAATGATGAGTATTCTCTTATTTTTTCTCTCTTTGCGCTACTCCGTTGTTTTTTTAATTTATTTAATGAATAATCTAATAATGGCCGTGATGAATGGGGGGTGGTAGTGCAACGACAACGGCGACAAAAAAGAAAAAGAACGTAAAATGAGCAGAAAAAGAAGAGAGAAGCAAAACATTAATCAACAACGTCACCCTTTCTTTCCTTCTTTTTCTTCTTTCTCTCTATTAATTTTGTTCCTATTCGTCAAAAACTCAACGACAGGACGAATAGTAAAGGCGGATGTAATTATAGACTGGCACAACCAATGATCATCGTCATTACTTTAACATTTCTGTCAGCAAATTGAATCGATGTATTAGAAAATAAATGAATTTTTTTCATATAGACATAAAAAACAAGAAAAGAAAATTTAATATTAATGGTAAGCTTTTTTACATGAGAAAACAAATAAATTGAAGGTTAATTCAATCAAAACCTTAACAAAATTGATTTTACATCTTTTAATCGATTTATAAAAGTCTTTTACCTCGCATAAAAGAAAACATAAATTAAAATATCTTTATTGACTATGATTTCTTATTCCTTTGTTTCATAAACTAGTCCCATGATGGTCACTTAAGTAAAATAGCAAGATAATGCATCATCACGCATTGATTGTCTGTATTTAATGTTGATCAAATTAGATGAAAAAAATTCGATTTGTTAACAAGACAAGAAGAAGAAGAAGAATAAGAAAAAAAAAGACAGACAAGTATCTCTCAATGGCTAAACACCGATACATCTGCTGGGCATAGATTGAGATTAAGTGGATGACGTCTTTTTTCTTCTACATCTTGCTTTTTGATGTGATTGAGTCTACTTGATTTTAATTAGCAGTTTCTGTACGGACAGTTTTATTTCTCAATCCTGCTGTGTGAAAAGTCAATTAGCTTTAATGAGTCAAGCTCGTTTCTTTCATCGTCATACAAAAATGACATGATGATGATGACAAAACTATAAAGAAAAAGAAATAGAAAGAATGAACCTTGTCGTTGACAATTAACATCATCATTACATGTAGCTATGTATAAGGCTTTTCTCACCTGATTCTTGTTATCTATAACATGCAACATACAGTTTGTTTCATTGATATTGATCATTTAATGATAATGTTCTACCGGAAATTTGTCTTTTTTTTCATTTCGAGATCAAATTTTTTTAATCAAATGAATAAAAGCGTGAAGTCTATTTGCTCCTTCAATGATTAGCTATTTCGTTAGTCTACTGCTGTCAACAGCAATTTCCTGACATGATGTGTGATTTTATATCTTAGTTAATATAAAGCGAAGATTAAATTCAGCACTATAATCGAATATACACTTTCACTAGTCTATTGATTTGCTAACTAAATTAGAGAGCAGAGCTCTTTATTTTCATTAACGGTGTGACCTATCTTATAATATTATTTTCAATCATTATCAAATTGACAAGTTGTCGTTTTTCCTTTCTTTAGGTATTTTATTTCAATTATCGTCAAAAATGAAAAGATTCTATGATGACACATAGCATCGTTTTTTTTTCTTCGTCTTCTTCTATTTTTAATCAATTTATGATAATGTGAAAATGGGCTCTTTTTTTTATTTTATTTCTTTAATGAAATGAAAAGATTGAAGATTTTTATCAAATGTCAAATTATGTAAATTGTCCTTTTTTTTTGTTAATTATTATTATTAATTATTAAAACAGCAATAGTTGTTTTCTTAATTACAGCGAAATAGCCGATTCAATCGTGACCGTTTTCTTATTTTTAATTAATAAATCATGTGTGAGCTAATGAATTCATTTGATAATTTCCGTATATAGTTTTTTTTCTCCTTTAATTGAAATAATACTGAGAAAGTACCTCTATAAGTGATAGTTTTGCAAAAAAAAAATTAACAACCTTCAAGCCAATCTAAAATATCCACGAAAAGCACTTATCTATCAAGGACAAATAATATACGTATAAGAATGATAATTTTATTGGACTTTTAAGGACACGTAACGTCTAGTAATTAAGCTCTTTCGACTAGCGACCATGTGCATGACATAAATCGAAATGAACATTGAGTATTCTAAAAAGTATTTTTTTTTATATTCTCAGCTGATTTCTATTCAAATAATGTAGTTATCGATTTTTTCAAAATAATAGCAAATTTCCATCGGGAAAAAATTCTTCTTATTATGGCCTTTGTCGGTACAAGTTTTTGTAGACAAAACCAGGAAATTAGGACATTCCTAAAGAAGCGTCCATATCGCGTCTAGTTAAAGAATACTTTCAAAATGTAGCATATCTCTGAAGGAATAACTGAAAGATTAAAGATTATTTCAGAATATTAAATATTCTTTATAAACTAAATGATGGACATTGTATCGAGGCAAAAATTAATTAAATAATTAAGAGAATTCCTTGATCAATGATTGGATTTAATATTAATGTCAACAGTAAGAATTAAACTGATATCTGCAGAATCTTAAAATTTCATATGCGATGCCATTTTATAGCAAATAAAATTCTAATCTGACTATTTACCAGCGAAAAAGTTGAATGTCTAAGGGATGGCAAAATTTTAGACCCTCCAATATCCGACATAAAGAAATTAACTTTTCTTTTTACATGTGAGCCAATTTATTGATCTGATATAATCATTCAGTAGATCTATATATGTGATGCATTAAGATGTGATCACTGCATTTGGTCTTCTCTGATATACGTGTAGAAATGGATAGGAAGAAAACGTTGCTGTGGCATAATTCATTATAGATCACCGAACGAAAAATATATATTCTCTACTTTTAAAGCGCATCTAATCTTCAACTTCGATATAGTATCACGCTACTAAATGCAATCTATCGTATGTTAAGTCCTAATGTTTTTAGGATACTTTTTTTCAAATAAGTTTTGACTGTTTCAAGTAGAACAAGATGTGCTCTTTTCAACTATGTTGCTTGTTTTAGTTTTTGAGTTAGCATGATGGCTATAATCTAGAATTTTCTGTAGAATCCTCTACAAAACACAAGAGCTCACTTGATTTTTGAAGCGAAATTCTTTTGAAATTCGTTTCTTATGGCATGATTTCGACTCTAATGATGTTAGCTCGAGACGTGACTTCTAGTTCCTAAGTTTGAATTTGACAGGGATCGCGAAAAGATAATCTCTTGACTGAATAAGATCAGGAAATGTCGAAAGTCTGGAGATTTTAATTTAATCAGACGCCAAATAGAATAAGAACGATAGATTGCATTTAGTAGTGTAATACTATATCGAAGTGGAAAATTAGATGCACTTTAAAAGTAGAGAATATGTACTTTTCGTTCGGTGATCTATAATGAATTATGCCACAGCAACTTTTTCTTCCTATCCATTTCTACACGTATATCAGAGAAGACCAAATGCAGTAATCACATCTTAGTGCATCACATATATAGATCTGCTGAATGATTATATCAGATCAATAAATTGGCTCACATGTATGGATTTTTAATAAGAGTTTGTTGCCCGGAGTAAACATTCATCTTTAAATAGCTGACAAATATTAATATGCAGTTTGAAGATAACCTTTTATTAATTAATTTGTCAAAATCAAAATTTGAATTAATGTTTTGAGATCAGATTATAATTGATTCGAAAGTTATTTTACACTCAAACCTACCCTACCAGTTGTAGTCGAAATTAGGGGTGTCACATTTAAATTTAACTAAATTTAAATTAAATTGTTTGAATTTCAAATTAGTTAAATTTTGAAAGCTAGTAGATAAACATAGTTTTTGCCTTGATTGCTACTATTTAAAGTCAAATTTGAGTATGTTTCCTTTTTTTCTAAAGTTAAAGTTTCTACGAATTATGCTATTAAATATATTTTTAGGAGTATCCCGGTATTTTGAACAAGAAATATGACGAATCCTACATAATCTGTACAGGAAATTTTGACTATTATGAACAAATATTAACCTAAAATATTAAGTTCTCCTTTCATTTAGTATTTACTACTGTTAAAGTCACGTATTTCCCTCATAGCAATGATGTGTATCCATCCAAACAATTTTTTTAAATTTAAATTAAATGAACTGTAAATTGACATCCCTAGTCGAAATCATTACTAGGATTTTAGAATAATTTCAATTTTTTCTTATTTGATAAAAAAAAAATTTATTAGAAGAAGAAAATATGTTAGATGACCCTTCTATAAAATTTGTTAACTGATGTATAATACCCGACTTGAATGTGAAGAAATACTTTGTTTTAGTAAGGATAGATGATAGAAATACAGGCAATGAATGATAATTCTTTAAAGCGAAAAACAATCGCCTTACAATTTAGATCGATGACGTATGGAAAAATATATAAATTAGAAGAGCCCACTTTTGCAGAATAAATTACTGATATAAAAAAAGAACATTTTTCGTCAGTAGTTCTAGGGTCTCTTGAGTTGAAGAGGACGAACGTTGACCCTGTTTCATCTAGTAAAATATAATTTCATTTTTTTTTCTTCATTACTTTTATTGCAACATAAATAAATACATAAATTGTTCAAAAATGAAAATAAAATAAAAAAACAACAACGAAAAACAGAATGATTTCAAAATTTGTTGGCGTCTTTCAATATATTGTTCTTTTACACTTCTGAGTAATTAGAGAAAAACAAAGAATCTCTCAAAAGTATATCAATAACGATTCAATATTTGATTCTTTTACTTAACAAAAGAAATCAATTGAATGAAATTTTTGGTTTTTTCACTTAATCCGGAGCTGCAATTATATATGTCTATATATTTTTTTTTCGTGCGCGATACTCTTAATGCACTTACGAAACATCTGAAAAATGTCATGCAACCATTGGTTGTTTAGTTTGTTTATTAGTTCGTGTGAAAGATAAACGAGTTGTACTTTCTCGTCTTGCTCCAAAACTCGATTGAGTTGTATTTGAATCACGTTTCCGAATACTCATTACCGAAGACATTCGACGTGACGATGCTATGGACATTTTATGCATTGATGATGGCGGCTGTCCTGGATGAAAAACTAGTGGAGCAATTGGCTTTGCACAAATAGGTACGAATGGTATACGATATGATGACGATACTTGTGGTTCTAATAAATGTAACATGTGTGTTGATTCACTAATTGATGGCAAACGATTCGGAAGATATTGCGAACGAGTAGGTACTGTTGACTTTTTACTAGTTTGAAGAGTTGGTACAGCTGAAAACATGAAATATTTGTCAAAAGAAAAACAAAAAGCTGATCTCTTTATAAACTTACGTAGTAGATGAAAATTTTTTTCAGTTAAACTTTTTGTTAATGTTCTCAGTTTTGCAACTGTTTTCCAATCATTGAAGTTTCTTGCTCTCTCGATTCTCGATTCAATGAAATTATAAATTTCCAATGAATCAAGTACGAATACAGCTGATGATTCGTATGATGATAATGATGTCATATTAGTTTTTGTATTTAGTGTTGTTGTAGTTCTCAATCGATTTGTTTGTGTTGTTTTCGCTCGAAACGTTCCCGTTGTTTTCAATCGATCTAATGATGGACGATGTTGTAAAAATGAAATATCTCTTGAAAGAATCATTGTTGATCTATTTGCTTGAGATAAATATTCTGCCAGAGTAAAATAACCAAGCTTTGCAGCTAATTCTTCTGGTGTATTGTTATAGCTATCTTTTACATCGAATCTTATACGGTATCGAACAAAATAACGGACAATAGCATGTACAATAGCCTCATTTCCATGTTCAATTGCATAATGTAATGAACATAAGCCTAAATTATCTATTTTAAGTATATTAAGTTCACCTGGATATGCATCTAGTAAATAAAGAGCTTCTTGTGTACAATTAAGATTTGTTGCCCAATTGAAAAGATTTTTATTATAATAATCGACTATATTTACGTCAATTTTACATTCTAATATTAAATATTGAAATATTTTAAGGCGTTTTGCTTCGTATAGAGGATCCTGAGATTTTTGCTGTTTGAGTAGATGGATAAGTAAATTTTGTCCAATATTGTTTTTAATATGAATATTATGACCATGTTTAACGCAATCGATAATTTTACGTAAATCAAATCGTTCAATAGCGTCAATAAGAAATCGTTCGTATTTAAATGACATTACTTTAATATCTAAATAGAAATGTGACAATGTCTCTAATTGTTGATTTTATTCGAGAAAAATAATACGCCTTTGAAAAACGATGCAAATGAGTAAAAAAATAACATCATGCAAGTTACTTTGACAATATTTCTATGAACATTTTCTGTTTTGCTAAACATGAAAAGGATTAAATTTTTTTATTATGTTTTTCTTTTGTTTGTAACGATAGGAGAATAAATCTCTTATATTCGCAATAAAATTGTAGTTAGATTTGGCGGCTTTACTCGTTATGCGAGGTATGCGTTTATGTTTTCTTCCTTTCTTTCTCGAGTGACGAGAAACAAAAAGAAACCGTGATCAATATGCACACGGATTGAGGAGTGTAGTACACTTACTATTTTGCAATAATAATCATTATTTTCTTTTTCTATATGTGCGTGCGCGTACAAGTTTCAAAAGATGTTTTTGGCCATCGATATATTATCGACAGTATAAAGATCAAATGTCTTCAAATATTTAGCAAGTCACTCAGGAAGAATGATAATGTCGTTTGCTTAGGACATGATTAAATCTAGGTTATCGCATTATCGATTACTGATGTACGTCATCTGGCGTGAAAGAATATTCTTACGCCTTTGAAATTATTTGGTTGTGAAATTATTTTCTCACTCTAGAGAAAAATTCGACTATGAGGAATCAACCAATGTATTACGAATGATCGCTGTGATATTTATAATGGTATCGGGTTATAGTTTGATCTCGTAGTCGATTTTATCTCTGTATAATGACTAGAGCATCTTATATCGAATCATTCGAAATGAAACTTTTCTAATGTTATGAAGAGACGAAAAACTTCTAAGAAAAATAAAAAATAATATGACAATTACACTCAGGATTATAATAAGTTGAGCGGCAAAAACAAATTTGCAATTATCAAAATATTTCTATTAAGAAATATCAAGATTTTCTATAGTTACGAAACACAGTTTTATATACCTCACCGAGTCATTTGTCTTCCAATTACAAAACAATGCTACGCATTCTTTTATGACTTCTTGTGTAAGGTATATAATTATGTACGCATGTGTTGACGAATATCACAAGTTTCTTCTTGTTTATTGACGATAAGAAAAGGAATCCTGTTAATTTCATTTAATATTTGCAGCGATTTTAAGCGTATAGCAAAATGCTGATGTTGATCTAGTGCATAAACGAAGTTTTAGTTAATCTGCTCTATTTGCATTGCTATGCCGTAAACTGATCGATAGAAAAAAAAATGGGTAAAGCATCGCGTGCCGTTGTTTGAACAAATTTTTAATCTTTTCTTTTCTCGTTCTTTCTTCAATCACAAAAATTAGAAAAAAAGACGAGATTTTTATTGTATATCAAGAGCCATTGTTTTATGATTTTTCTTCTTCTGCTCCTGTCTCATGTACTCGATAGTGTCTGTTATTTCTCAACAAAAGTAAATATTATGGAAAATTAAATGAAAGGAGCAAAAGATACACAATACAATTTTTTTCCATTATTTAAATTTTCTCTTTTTTAAAAACAACATTGATTGATGTCTAAACGCATACGAAAATATTCTTATGGTACGGTATTAACACTAACAATCATTTTAGTCTTTTTTTGCAACTCATACAATACGCAGAAGACTATTGGGTTTTCTACGAATCGCATAGTATGAATAACCTGTATTATGGGCGACGCATTTTTTATCAATACTTGGTATTTTTCGGAGATAAATCTTGATAACAATATGATTTATGTCAAAAAAACCGAACTTATTTGATCTACGATTGGAAGTTAAAAGCCGAGTGATGAAAAATACGTTTCTTGATCAATTCTCACTGAAGAATCATTCGATCGAAAATCATCAAAACTGTGCCTAACTCGAAAAGGCAATGGTTATAAGCATGGATTCATAGTTTTTTAGGTTATCTAGTCTCAAACAATTACGATTGACTAGACAAATCGTATTTAACGAATGCCTCAATAATTGAAACTGATGCAAGAGAATATGTCCGAAAATGAAATGTACAGCAAATAATATTCAGATAGCCCAGCATTCACATGCGAATAGTTTGATTACTTTTTATGCATAGTATTATTCGTATTCTTTTCTTTTTGTATATTTCGTTGCTGTCTTTTAACCCAGAATATAACAGTCAACATGGTCAATATAATCAACACACCAAGATAAATAACTAAAACTCCAACATTGATTCCGAAACGAGAATGTGAATTAAACAGAAGATGCCGACCACCATTCATTGCCTGATACAATGGTGTTGCGTATCCATAGCGAAAGAATCGTGGTGAAAGCTCAAGTGATATTTGAATGGTAGCAGCTGACACCATAATAATAACAATAGCCACAAGAAAAAGATTGGAAAATACGCCAAAATTTGTTAGAAAAAAAGCGACCATGACAGTCAATAAGGTAGTACATAACCAATTGAACATCCAATATCGCATAAACTGACGACCCGATGTGATGTGGAATAGCCAAAGAACAACAAGAGAATAGATTAAAGAAACCATTAGCGATTGAAATATACCATTGAAGGCACGATATAAGATTATATCGATGTAATGAATTTTACCCACTAGTAAAAACACAAGTATCATATTACAATTGTTATTTTCAGAAAACAAATATACTATATTCGTGAGGGAGCTTTTCAAGAATGGTGAACAGGTAAATCTTTCTTTCAATTTAGTAGGAAGTACGTGTTATACTTCAATGAGTACAGATTTCTCTTGCTTAAACATATGATCAATGATATTATAACGTACTTTTCAGCAAATCAGTCAATTTTCACACGGTAAACTTCAAATACTACGTCCGTTTTTTTTTTCTTAATTTTATCATGAGATAGAAAATATATGTTAAACGGAAAGCAAAACTAGATGTATGTCATACTCTGGAAGATAATTGAAAAAGCTTTTTAGCGCAGCTCCGTTAGGGCTAAAATGTGGAACTCACATATTTCGGTCAGTTAGATACTGATCAATGAAGTGTTTAGTGGTTTCATTGAGAAATATTCTGAATGATAATAGTTTAAACAGTATTTAGGATATAGTTATAAATATTGTTGAAAAATTTATATTTTTTCGTATTACTAGGTGAGAAATTGATACATTTTCTCATAACCGAAAATTTGATAAAAGCCTCCCAGTGGATAGAAAAGTTGCTAATTGTAAATACACTAAAGTGGATTCAAGCTCTAGAATTAGGTATTTGTGTGAGAAAAAAAAGATGAAAATCTTCATCTGTTTATTGTACGTGGTAGAAGTAACGAGTGTAATAGTAGCATAAACTAGTTGCTAACGTCTGTAATAATAAAAATATATAGTACTGTCGTAACTATGGACTATTATAATAAAAACGACAGATTTTGATGATTAATTCGAGATTAAATCCTAATTATAATGATTTCTAATTAGTGCATACAGGGGAGCCGCAGAAACCTAACAATTCAACTTACACTCGCTATTTTCTTCGAAAATATATGTGAGTTCCACAAAACTTAAAATTATCCTATTTACATTTTGTTATTTATGGCAAAGCTTACAACTTTTACAGAAATGTAGCTCTATAATCGAAACCAAAAATAACCCCAATGCATCAAATTCCTACAATATTATAGCAGTTTTACTAGACTTTCATAAATATATTCATTTTATATTTTGCGAAAGCACTCCTTCCTCGTAAAATTTACACATTTATATTCAAATAATATCTTTCTAGGCAAATCGTAGTTCTCATTTTTATAAAGTTACTGAAAATACAAATCAAATAATTGCAGACAATTACATAATCTTGAGTGAAAAAGTGATGCTCATAGAAGCATGTAACTTCATTGAAAATATACGATGACAATATTAGCTAAAGATTAGTGAAGTCACTATAAAATTGTATACTTATATCAATTAACTATCTATCTATCTGTTTGCCATAAATAATAGTATATATTCACTAAGTTGATTTAAAATTTGCCTCCCTGAATCATTTTTCATCTAGAGATTCTTCTTTTTACAGATCAGACCAGTTAATCTTCAGGCGTAATTTGGCAATATTGACTAAAGCTAAGATTTTTATCCAATCGATATCAATATAAATGATAGGATCGATTTTCTCAAAACGTAAATGTCTCTTTTCAGATAAAAAAACACCTAGTAAATAATGAGAAAACGATAAATCTTACTGAAAGGTTTTAAGCCACCAATGACCGAGCCAACCATAATCGTTGTCACTAAAAAGAAATAAATGTAGCCGATTGTTGTAGCGAATTGACCTAAATCAAACAAAACAAATCATATTAGATATGCAATAGAACGATGCTTATCTATGTTCTTTCATAGCTAAGAAATATACTAATATATTATTTCTACTGAGAGTACACGTTTAGAATTTTTTCTAGTTTAAAGAATATTAGAATCAAACGGACCCATGAAAGGAAGAGCGGGATGAAGATTATTGTATTCTGCAACAAATGGATTGGCAAGAAGAGATTGAAGACGTAGCGTATTCTGTAATTGCAATGTTCGATTAGTATTTGAGTTAGACGTTAAAGATAAATTGGAAATAATTGATGCACGTAGTGTGTTAGTATATCGATTGCTCGCTACTGCAATAGCTGCACGAATAGGTGGTAATACAAAACTATTTTGAGTAAACGAATTTCGTCCTTCTTCATAGGTAACAAGCACTGGCAGCGTGTTAACAAATGGATAGGTAACTAATGTTGTCGAATTGATAAGAGCGAGTACAGATTTATTAATAATTGATGTTGTGTTTGGTAGAAGTACGACAATGGCCCAAACTTGTCCATCCTCGACAGCTTGCTGAGTTTGACGAACACTATTACCATAATCATCAGGATACTTGTATCGCCAGTGTAAAGTCAAATTTCCAGGTGGTGTTGTGCGAAAAGCATCAAGAAAAAAGCTACCTGCTTGTTGACCATCGAAGTCAACCACGTCAACATCGATGTTGCCTGTGTATCTGCTCGGATTATGTCCAGCACCTAGATAAAACGCACACATTACAAATATGAGTAACCAAAGTGGAACATATCCAATAAGCCATTGGTATACAAAAGCAACACGTAGCTTTTTAATATCTTTTCGCGATGACCACACGTGAACAAAGTCGAAATTCTCTGTCGAATTCAACGTCGAGATGTGAGCGCGCGTACGAGTCAATTGTTGACGTTTTAGCATGAATAAAAAGTAAATAATGAGATTCATATATAGACAGGCACAAATAGTGAGACGCAATCAACAAGTCACGCTTCGATATACCCGGCTCACATGTACATACCGATAAGAATCGATATAAACACAATTATTGACGACGACTTCGATAGATTCATTTTCATTTATATTTATATTTATCGTTATCCATAGGGAAAAAATACCTTCAATGTTTGTTGCTGGCCAAAGTCAGTCATCACTACCACATCTGTGGTCTAGCGGTGCCGGTATGAATGTAGTACGGCGAACTCTTTTCATCCATACGATTCGTGTCTGTATCATCGTCTGGATCGTCACTTTTCTCATTGCAATAATTTATCTTGGCAGCGGCAGCGTACGTGGTTTGTCTAGTATACTTTAATATTTAATATATCCGATATTGTCCCGCTAGAGATGCAATTTATTCGTTTTCTTCAAATCATATTTCATAAATTAAATGTGGCACAATTAAAGTTTCTTCGCTATGAAATAGATTATGGATAGAAGATAATATTTTCCAAGAGAAAGGAAAACTTCGTTTCAAATCAAGAGCAAATTCCTTAAAATGCGAATTGTATTCAACTGGAGCTATTGAACATGATCATTACGTTATGTTGCATCTTTAACTAGACAACAGTACATTCCATGTACAGAAATTTGAGTCTTCTCATTTGAGCGTTGTTAGAAATAAAAATACTGATGGTAAACTGATCGAAAGACATAATCGCGTCATAGAAAACATGCGATCTTAGCGCACCAAATTGATTAACAGTATTAAGATCTAAAAGAAAGTAGCTTGAGCAGTAAAACGATGAGTATTTATACCTATATCAAATGTTCTTCTTCTGATTTGAACCGTTTCATTGAGGTTCATTTGCATCTTTATCACAGGATCCTTATAGTCGCACGCGTTCACTTGATGTATATGTTATCGATTTGGATCATGATACTGCAGGTAGCTACTTTCTCACTGCCTTCCATCAAACTCCACCTGGTAACTTAACACTTAATTGGATTTTCAAACAACCTTCCGAATTTCCATCAGGTTTCGCCGATAAAGTTGAGAATGGAAAGGCTTGGGCGGTTGTTTATATGCATTCAAATATTACTGCTCGTGTTAATCAGATCATTGAATCGATTTTGTACGGATATTCATACAACTCGATCTCCTACATACCTTCATCAGCAGTAAACATTGTTTATGACGAAGGTCGCAATCCAAATACTGTCGATGGGTTCACTTTACCTCCCATTCAAATAGCTATCGCTACTGCTAGCGCTAACTATGCTGCCTACATACAAGCTCGTATTGATTCCTATTCAAATGCAACATTCAACACTGTTATGATGGCTGTGTCACTGTCTCAAATTATCTCGTCGCCTATCGGTTTCACCAATGTGAATTTGCATCCAGCATCTTCCTATGCTAGATCACTCGCTACTGGTCTTGGCTATCTATTTCTATGGCTAATTATGACCGCTCTTGTAACAGTAAACATACGCATCACGACCCCGCTGGTTAAAAAAATAAAACTCATCGATATTGCCATAATACGCATTTTAAGCGCTATCTTTAATAGTCTCATTATTTCACTAATCTACAGTTTATGCGTTCTCTGGTTCGGCAACTTCACCGACGCAATACCATTCATTAGATTTTGGCTATTCAATTGGCTTGCCGCCTACACATGCGTATCTATAATAGCTCTTTTCAGTCTTAATTTGGGAGTAATGGCTCATATTGTATTGATACTGTTTCTTATTCTTAATTTCTCAACAGCAGGTTCAAGTTTGGCTATTGAACTTCAATATACATTCTATCGTATTGGCTATGGTTTACCTCTCTTTCATTGTTTGAGTGCTGGCCGTCATCTACTTTTTGGCTCACATACTAGATTTGGCGTTGATGTGGGCACATTGATTGTTTACTGTACTATTTGCATTCTGTTGACAATTATCACTAGCGCGATCCGTATGCATAAACAACAAAAACTAATCACTAAGAATAAACACGAAGAAATCTTCAAGAAAAAAAAAACTATCAATAAAGCATGGGCACGTTAGTGTTAATAATCGTATATAAAAACTCTCAACGGTAGTGACTATTGTGCAACTGTGAATGATCATCAATATTTTCATCGAATGCATAAATACATTTTGCTCAACTTCGTTTTTTTCTCCTTACACTATTTGCTTTATCTTCATTGTTATACTCAATACTCACGTATGAAATAAATATGATTTAACGGTCTCGGTGTTGCTGCTGAGTGCGGGTGTGGTGAGGGGGTAAATTCGATTCAAAAATTAGAACATATTCGGATTATATGGGGATGCATCTATATGTGTTAAAGTGAAGCAAGAAACATGACGAGTGATTCATTCAATATTTACTTTTACTCTAATCCTCGTCTTCTATCATTAAAAATTGATCTTTGACTAAATGCATTCAAACTGAATGAATCTTTGAGGTTATATTAAAACTGTAGTTCAATGTCTACGATAAAATTTTCAGTCGTCTGTTAGAAAGAATTTATATACATGAAATACAACAAAAATTATGAATTTTCTAAAAGCAGTATTTTTTGTGGAATAGGCAAGGGGGAAACGACGGACTTGAAGTAGAAAAGTAGGCTACTTGAAATCGCTCAAAGTACCACCCAAGTAGCCCAAAGTAGGAACAAGTAGCTTAAGGTAACCTCAAATAACTTCAAGTCCAAAAGTTCAAAAGTCTGCCGTTTCCCCCTTGGAAATAGGTGAGAGCCGAACTTCTGAAACATCATAGCAAGGAAAAAATATGCTCCATACAAAGCCAAGTCATTTATCAAAGACAAAATTTTGAGCTCTCTTCGCATGTATTTAATCTATTACTGTCTTTTTTTCACACACACACACAACATAGAATATCTATTTGTCATTATTGAATAATAGATAATCCTATTTCATGTTTGATCTTCCGATAGCTAATATTATTATTTATCGATTGGTATCATATTTCTTTATAATATTCTTTCAATCGATAACGAGGTTACGCTTATGTTTTTTCCATTCATTCGAACAGTTGCATATTAGTCTTGATTCGTATATTATCGTCTTTATCTATCATTGATACTATTATGTCACAAATTCACAATAATTCTCTTACGATAAATCCATGTCGATGACTATTGAATCTTTTTATATAATAAGATTATACTCAAACTATTGAAATAAACATATTTTGTAGGTAATTTTTGGAGTTATTTCATCATAACTTCAAACGATTTCGATGATCATTTGTTTAAAATTTAATCATTTCGTGTTATTCTATGTGATGAAAGGATATCATTATCGATCTCATTATTTAACTGATCAGCTATTGTTTAGATGCAACAAAAGGTACACGTCGTCAATGATTGAATTTTTACACTTTAATTTTAGATGCACGTGCTTGTTCTTCAAAAATTGTTCTCGCTAAACTTTGTTTTACCTTGAATTGTATGTCTAGACAACACAATCGGGATACGGAATTTCTATTATTATATTCATATTGATACTATTGTTGGATTCTTTGATAGAGATTATGTCAGATTTTATAAATTTGAAAAAAGTGAAATCGAAAAATATTACATCAAAATAAAGAAGAATCACGCAACATATCTTTTAGATATCAATTTCAATATTTTATTTCTGCAAACGCATAATGATCTATTGTCATTTGTGCATTGCGGACTGATTATTTACCCGGACGTTAATCATGAGTAGAAGAATATGAATGATAAAAGAAACAAAAATCATATATAAATAAGATAGAGAGAAAACAAAAAGAACGAAAAGATCTGAGCTTTCGTTCTCTTCTTCATACAGGATTAATCTGTACACTGATGGTGATTTTTATGTATGACATGTTCTTTTTACTTGTCTCGTTGCTTTGTTGAACATGTCGCCGTCGTCGCGTCATTTCTATCAAAGTTTGTTTCAAGAAAATATGTACGTATTATATATGTTTAACTAAAGACAAAAGTCAATTCATTAATTTTGACCTAATTACGATCGTAGATCTAGAAATACTATCAAACAGATATAGTCATACATTGTCATTAGATTGCGTCTATCTTGACAGACGGTACGATACGCAACAAGTTGTTATTGTTATTGTTATTATTATTACTATCATTGTTATTAGCATCACAACGATTGCAAAAGAAATACAATTATTGCTTATTTCATCCATTATGTTTTACGTATCGATCTAATTAATCATTCGTAGGTTATATATATTATGTTTATTGGTACGACAAGAATAAATAGACAGTATTCAAAATAAATGACGAATTTCAAAATAATATTTCTTTTTTTATGGATGTTTTTTATTCAAAAATCAATGACACAAAATCCACCTGCTGTACCGTTGACAAGTAAATCCAAAAAATAAAATTTTCCATATGAATATTTTTCTTTGTTTTTAATAGATGCTTTAACGGCTATTTATTGTCATAATGCTCAAGACGCTGGTTTAATGACAATTAATTGTCGAACAAATGAAAAAATTCGTATGCTGGATGCATTTGATGTTGTTGTCAAAAATAAATCTCGTTTACCATTGCAATGTTTAACACAAAAACATTTCTCAATGATCTACGGTGATAATACTAATCATGATGATTGTAAAGTTCACACGAGTTTTACATCGGCTTGTTCAGGACGAGAAAATTGTACATTACATATGCAGCCAATACGTTTAAACAGTGCTAATAAAACTTGTCATAATGAATTAGTCGATTATACAATGGCTTTTTTTGAATGTATATCAGGTAGAAAATTTATTATTTAAATATGAATTAGACAAGAAATAATCAGAGATTGTATTCAGCATGTTCATTCATTTATGACCTTTGAATGGTCATAGCTATGCAAATTAATATGATCAAAAGAGCTAACAGTTCGGCGACGTATAAAAAGGTGTAGCTTGAGAAAAGTTTGAATAAAAAACACTGACAAAACGTTGAATGACAAGTTGTTCGAAAAGCAGAATTTTGATATTAAAAAAAAAGAAGGAGATGGCGCTAGAATTTTAAGCGAGAACTCCAGCTTTCATAGCAAAATGAATATTTTTACTTTTGTTTTAATGGATATAGTAGCGTTTGAAATGTTATAAAGATTATTGAATAATAGTGACTAGCTCTCAGACTAGTGATCTTTTGATCCGTAGACAGTTAAATAATATACACTATAGAATTCACTTTCAAATGTGTAACTAGCCTAGAAAAAGCCCTTAGGAAATTTAGTGAACTTTCGTCTTCTTCTCTTTCAAATGGTGCTATTAAAAAAAAACAATTGATTCTCAACAATTATTTACTGTTGTTTTAATGTTGTTCAGTATTATAATTCTACAGATGATGATTTTTGTTTCTAATAGATATCTCTATTCATGACATATGCTCAACGCAAACAGTGACTTCTCGTTGGGGTACATTGAAAACACCAAATTTTCCCAATCCTTATACATCAAGTAATGATTGTTGGTGTAAATTATCAACACAATTACAACATCGTATTTTACTTTCTGTCATTAATTTTCAATTGATTCCTTATGACCGTTCGTATTTAATTTATTACAAAAAGCTGTATCGATATTCTTTGAAACATTTTTTTCTCTTGTAATCTTTAGAAAAATGCGTGGCTGCTGGACTTTATTTACAGAGTAGTGATGAACAACGAAGTACTCAATGTACTTATTTAAAAGGAGGACATAATTATTTAAGTGATTCTAATACATTATATCTCAATTTCTATAGTCGTACACCCACTGTACGTGGAGGATTTTGGCTTGTTTATGAAGGTTCGCATGTTTACTTTCTTATTGAATAGTAAGAAAATTTTCTTTTCATTCAAGGAAGTCATCCTAATGCTGAAGTTCATTTACATTGCGGACCAAGACATCTAGTTGGTGTTGCATCAGATACAACATCCTTACCGATATCTATTAAATTGCCACCAGCTTCATCATTATTTAATTATGGTTGGAATCGTTTAGCATTCAATAATCCACCAAATTCAACAACACAAATCAAGGATGCTATGACACATGTGCCTTCAATACTTACTACACCTCGACTAATTCAAAATACATATCCTAGTGAGTATTGTATTCTAATCTTAATCGAAGATAAAATAATAATGATATTGTCTAATGACTAATTATTTTCTTTAGAACCTGATCTACCGGTAAAGCCAGTTGGTGCATTTACATATCGGCATGGTAATCTAACGGTGTTCGATTTAGCTTATGGGCCAAACGGATGGTTTCTTAAATCTCCATCTACCACTACATCAAATACCACAGAGACTAAATTTCTACAAACGACAACTGAATTGCCAGAAGTAAAATGGAATTCTACTTGGCGTTATACGCGACGATCATGGCCAAAAGCACTTACGTCGGCAACAAAAATAACATCAACTACTGCTACTACTACTACTACTACTACTACAACAACAAAAACGACTACTACTAGTACTACTACCACTACTAGTACTACTAGTACTAGTACTACTAGTACTACTAGTACTACTACTACTACTACTACAACAACAACAACAACAACTACTACTACTACTGCTGCAACGACAACTTCTACTTCTACGGCGATAACAAAAGACGCACTGATAGGTAAGTATTTTTCCTTGGAATTAAAATAAAAAGAGTGAAAATTTTACAGAAAGTGTTGAATTTCTAGAATCAATGATTTTAATGACACCTTCAAGTACTTCTACTATTATAACTACTGAACAAAACACTATGCCGCTCTCAACCGCAACAATATCTGCATCTAGCGTTGACAGTACTACTGTTAAAAAAAGTTTATTATTCACTTTTCAACCGCGGATACATGTCATTTCTAATAGTACTGAACCTTCGACAATAATAAAATCAAACATAGCATCAATGATACAATTACCAGCATCATCATATACTTTAAAAAGTACATTAGCTCCGGCAACTCCTTGGTATGAACCTGATGGCTCATTTGATTGGTGGCAACGGCAATGGTATGCAACGATATTTAAAAGGCCAGCGTCAAGTGTTGTTACCACTATCGAAAAATTAAAACCTTCTACACAAATAACAACAACAACAGCAACAACAACCACTACTACCACCACCACCACTACTACTACTAGTGCTATTACCGCTACTACCGAAAGTATCATCTATTCAACAAATCCAAGAAATCCAGTAACTATCAATTATAAAGAGAAAACAACAATTGATTGGTTTCAATGGCCTTCAGTTGAATCTTCTTCATTAACAACGGAAAGACGATCAGATTTTGATGAAGAAGACTATGTGAACTGGCCTGATTATTTTTCTACAAGCAAGGCTCCCACAAGAATGACACTGAATTCTTTCATACCTATTTCATCCGAACAAACACTGCAACCCGATGAACGTATAGGATTTTTTCCAATGAAATCAAGTTGGCAGTTGGATGATTATCCTATGACAATCAATACTGTGCCATCGAAAAGCTATCATACAATACAAAATACAAGCAGCATAATAGAAAAGGATATGGCAAGAAGTCAGAGTAAAGGTAATATTTACTTTTCTAACTATCAAGATCAACGAATAACAAAATAAAAGGAGACATATTTTTATTATATCGTAATATTTAATAGGCACTTCAGCATATAAATGCTAGTCTATTTGATTCTAAATCGCCAGCTTGTTATGGTACTCGTTACGTAAGTTTAGTGAGATCTGAACGATACAGAAGGAGCATTTTCTTCCTCAATCCTAGTCAGAGAACGAAGAGTTGTAATGTTCGATAAAAAAATTCGATTTAAATTTAGGAGTAACCGATACTTATCGTCACAGTACAATTCAACGTGCTATGGAACGATCAAATAACACAATTTCAGATGAACATGAATGGTTAAATAAAACAGGTACACGATTTAACATAATAATAAATCTAGCATACAAAGATATATATATGTATTTAGATGTTACAATTGTCGCTATATCACTATTGTTTATTATTTTATTATTTATTATAAATTTATCCTTATATGGACTTCGAAGGTAAGTAGCAAAAAAAGTTTAATTTGAACGAATATTCAAGAAAACAAAACTTATAAATTTCTAGACGTCGCCGTCGGTTTCAAGGTCGTCATTTATTAAGTGAATCAATACCATCATCATTAAACGATAGAAGAAGTATTTCCGATGGTCAGCTACAACGAACACGATTCGGTGAATCAACAACGAGTTTAGTTAACGTTACTAATCGCACAAGTAGCACTGAGAGTACTAAGAATGATCTTTTACCAGCAGTTGGTAAATATTGAATATTGCAAAAGATATCAACAAGACTAATATATTACTATAATTATAATTTAGGCGAAATAGTCATATGGGATGAAAAAGATCAAGGTGGTTATATGATTGATAATCAAGGTGAATGGGCAAAAATTCAAGATCGACAATGGTTTCGTCGTAATATATGGAAAAATTGTAGCAAATCATCATTTTCAAAAGGGTGAATTCCATTTTGAAATAGTGATTATTTTAATCTTATATAAAACGTGTTTTCATGAATAGTTTTCGATCACACCTTCAAATGGCTCGTCAATCGAGTAAAAAATTACATGTTCGTCACCTACAAACACCAATATCACCACGAATTCTACAACAGAAAATAAAACATCCCCTTCTTTTGGACAGTGAGCATTTCTTGGTGAAAATAAGCGTTAACCTTCTTATTCGATATTTTTTATATTCAGATGCTGTTCTTACACCTGTACCCGAAGCCGATGATTATCAATCATCTTTATTGAGTTCATCAGATTTTCTCATGCGAAGTTCCGATGCAACATTGACTAATTCTAATAAAAATTCAAATTCTCAAAGAGTAAATTCAATTTATATTTATTCAATTTTGCTTTTCTTTTGTTTTAATTTTCTAGGCAACAAAAGTCGTTCAAGCTTTAGTACATGCAGAGCAAAATCACAGTGATGACTATTATAAAGGGATTGAAACTGGCGGAGCTGAACTGAATTATATAGGGCCACAAGGACATGCTCAAGGAGATTATTCTACTACTGATCAGCAAACTGATCGAAGTTTAGAAAATGAAACTGATGCTGGAGCATCAATAAATCTTAGTGTGCCAATTAAACTAAGACGTGAAGAAGATACTATTATAACAGTAGATGACGTGGAGTCTATTTACAATCATAATTATGCAACCCAATCTCTTATGAAAGTAAGATGTTGTAAATTTGAAATTCGAATGACAGATTTTTATCAGAAAAAAAACTAGCGTTATTTAAACTTATCCAATATTCATATTTGAGTTCAGTCATCATCTAGATTCGACTATTCAAACATCACAGTAACGAAATTTCTCATAAATGTTTTTAAATTATTCTTTTTACAGAGTGCAAATATAAATGTACGACCCAATTACCTTCTGCCAAATTATAGCAATCAATCAGCTACTAAACAACCTGTTAAAATATATAAAAATGCAGCAAGTAGTCCAATAATTATTGGCCATTGTCAAATAGATTTTCAGCCACTTGATCCCAATTCATTATGTAAACCAACGGCTAAATCATTACTAGCTGAGCAACAACAATGTTATACTAGTTCACAAGGTTTTCAAATATCAGCATATGATTCAGGTTTTTTTGACGAGCAATCAAGTGACAATTCAACAAGACCGTCAGCAAAAATGATTGATATCGTGAAAAATAATCTAACAAACAACTCAAAAATAGAACGTAGGAATATCGATGATCTATTTAGCAATACAACGAGTGAAGATTATGGAGATAGTGTAATATCGTTGAATGATTTATCAATGCAAAGTTTAGGAAAACCAATGCGACAAAATCATCAACATATTTCGAAACATGTATCATTTCAGAATTAAACATTCCTCCTTTTTTTCTCTGTTTATTTGTTGAACGGTTCGTCTGCCAAAAAACAAATTTTAGGATTTAACTTGTGAAATAAACGAATTGACTTTGATGACTCTGTATGATAGAGAAAAAAAAAGCAAATGTTAAATATAAAATAAAATAAAAACAATTTGACAGTGTAATCTATGTTTAATAATCATTATAGCATAACTTTTTCTTTGACAATGATACAGATTTGCTAAAGATTATGGCTGTCATTGACAAGTCTTTTGAAATGCTATTGTTATATTTCGCTCATATTCGCATTGCTACGAAAATAACATACAGTTGAATTTCAAGCATATGTTTACTACATTTAATTTTCAAACTTCAGTATATTTTAAAATCTTGAAGTATTTATTTTGTATTGACTGAAATAAAAGAAACAACGCCGTATTTGCATCTATCATGTTTCATCCTTACAGTAATTGTATAAGTGATTTCTTTTGGTAATTGTCTGAAATGCAAAGCTCTTAATGTAACCGAAAGAACATTTTTATTCTCAACTATTTTTCAAAGGTAAATATTTTCAATTCAAGAAGAAGGTTATTTTCTTTAAAAGTCTACTGACCAATAATATCTTTCATGTTTAGCAAAAAGATATGAATTAATAGGCTTCTTTACCTTGCCTGAACAAGTCATTCAATGATTTCTTTTAGAATAATACTGCTTTATATTTCGACTGATACGTCATTCAACACATGTATTTGTTTTTCTGCATTTGCAATGTTGCGAGTTGCGACTTTTATTTTATTATGGATTCTTTAGAATAAATAGAGAAGATTTCTGATCGATTCTATACATGAATATGATTAATGTTGAATATCAGCGCTCTACAAGAAGAAAAAGAAAAAAAATAGTATCACTAGAATTCCACTCAATATTTTCCGCTCGATATATTTTAAAGTAGCTACTTGTCTATTTTCAATGGCTTTATTTCGCTCCAATGAACGCACGATATATCTATGTATACTAATACTAATACAGTCAAGCACACGACCAAGCAAGATGTGTGGATGATTCACGGCCATTTCTTATCACATTGTGTAATGCTCTTTCAAGTTTTGACAGCTTCAAACCTACTTTAAGACGATGCTCGCATAGATAAATAAGAGTATCCAATGGTCCCCATACAGGTTGTCCGATTAAAAAATCCTGCATTTTTAATTCTGCCAATAATGAAAGAAGTGTTCGATCATCAAATCCATCCGATCCATCGAATTGAGCACGTATTTGACAAAGAGTAATATTTCTTTCTTCATCATTTACTTCAACGTCATTGCCTAAAATGCGTAAAAAAATTAATTGAACTATTTTATACAATGCTCCTTATGTAAACATTAGAATGTGTTTCTTTCTCATCAGATTTCTCGTACACTGTAAGTCAGGTAAAACATTATCATGATTTTTTTCTCTCCATAATAGTCATTCAGTATTTATATTAAATATTCTTCAATAACAGAAATGGTACGGGAAAAAAATATCATACTTACTGCTTCTAAGCGAATATGAAATGAGTAGAATTAATATCACAATACTGACAATTACCGCTTTTTGTGGTAGTGGGACTGTTTTAATGTTCTCCATTCGATTTTTGTGCAAATAAAAAATCGAGAAGAAAAACCAAATGGATGTAATGTGTTAGTATTCAATAGATGTCTTTGTTCTAATACGATGTGTGTGTGTGTTTTCGTTGTTATTTATTGAGAAAAGGAACGTCGCGATTGATACTTCTTATGCAAAAATAATAATGTACTGCATAAATAATTTTTTCATGGTTGCTCCTTTTTTCTTTTTCATTCTCTTTTCTTTTTTCTATATAACGCTTTGTATTCGCTGCTTCATCCCATGTTGTGAAAATCGCTGGGATTTTGGTGATTTATCAAGAAATGAACGTAACATCGCGATTAATCGGAATCGTACAAAAATCGGAATGATTAATCGCGATTAATCGGTAATTTCTTTCTTTTTAAATGAAGATTTTATTCATTTTAATTTCATAAATATAATTTTTTTTTACATTTATCGCTTATTATAAGTGAATAATAAAGATAAATTAATACCCATGATCATAATCGCCTGAAATAAGCAATTAAAATTAAAGAGAAAAAAATTTGACAACATTTTCTTCACTGCTCCGTTTAATTTATATAACGTTTCCAAACTAAGATAAATATAGTAAGTAGGGTCTAATGGATAATACACTGGTCTTTCTAGCTGAGGTAACGAATTCATCTCTAAGAGACAGCAGATTTAATATCATAAATATGATATCAGATAACACGGATCAAGATTATTGTTTCGATATATCGCGATTAATCGGCGATTTTTTAGCGACTTCTCTTCTCCGACATGGAATATTTTACTGTATAAATTAATCTGTCAATCTGATGTTATCACGGCAGTAGTCGATTAAATTAGCGGCTCACCCACTTTTTGAAAAATGGAATACGATATTATTTTTATATTTAATTTGTATACAAAGTGTATATAGACGATGTTTAATAGATTAAGATTTTATATTGTAACGAATATTCCGAATCATAATTGACAATAATAGAGAGGCCGTATCATTAATGTTTACAATATCAAAACTACCGTTGACTTGTCTCGCTTGAGTGGAAGTAGGGGATTGATTTTAGAGGTGTACAAAAAAAATGTGAATACAAGGTTAAAATAAATTTTCAGTCAGCAATATTTTCAACGTATTTAATAACTTTATTGAAGAGACCATAGAAAGATTTGCTCTCTTATAATAATATAATGTGAATCAGAAACAATAAAAATCACCTAACAATTCAATTGCACTGAATTTCTATTTGTATGTATTTCTTTGGCGAAGAAATGATTACCCAAATCATTTTTTAACTTCTAATGATGGAAATTCTCCGTTTCAAATTGGTACTATTTGAAGGAAGAGTCGAATTCAAGGACTCGATTGATTTAGTGTAAGTTTCCAAAATGAAAATTTCAGACTATGAAGACAACCTGGTGACATGGAACTATTTTAACCCTTAAAAGTCGAATGTCCCTTCCAAGAGACATTTTGAAAATTTGAATAAAACGCATAATGTTAGTGCATGCACAATATTTTTTATTTTCCTCGACTCAAGTGATCTAGTAGATCATAAAATATCAATTTTTTATTTTGAAACGCTTTTTACTGATGAATACTGGAAGAAAATCTATTTTTCAAGTTGCATCTTCGCGACACATTGTTACTCTATCGTATGAAATCATCCAACGATGTTTCGATTGATCTGTTGATGAACTGCGATGCCATAAAGACCATGTCCCTTAGAAGACACCTTCGGTCATGGCGGACTAAAAATTTTAACAACCTTTAATTATTATATCAGCTAGTTTTCATCGATTTCTTATCATACTAAAATATTGTTACATGGGAGCATCAAGGAAAACTTAGTTCAGTGGAGGGATCCAGCTCGTCACAGCCCTGAACCCTTTATGATAGTCTTGATTTTGCTCTCGTAACGCATTCTGTAGCTGCTATATTTGTTAATCAAAACTACCAGTGTGATCATAAGATCACTATTTTTTCTTCACTAACAATGTCGACAAAATACTCAGAGGACCCCACCGTCAGATCTTATTTTGAAGTAGAGAGTGGATAAATTTTGAAAAACTGATCACCGACTACACCGACAGTGCACATCCCTATCTATATCTCCTTAATAAAAAAAAATTTTGTTATTAATATTATGAATAATTCTTATTGGGTGTTAGAATTTCTATTTTAATGCTTAGTTTATCCAATTTCTGACGATAAGGCCTTCCTGCTTTTAAGGGTTAACACGCTTCCAAGTGAATATTTTTCTTGTTTATAGATTAATCAATAAGATTATTCAGCCGAATTAAACTAACATCGAAGATAGTACAGTCATCTCCTGTTATGATGAAATTCTATAGACATGTTTTTTTTGCATGATATCTTGAAGGAATTCATCGTTAAAACTTCATACTTGCTCGATTCGATAAAATTATCAATTAAAAGTGATGGTATCAACTATGTTTTGATACCAAAAGTACATCACTATTTTTACATCGGTTTACGATATTTGACTACTTGTTAACTGTGCAGACGTACACAACAGTTTTCTTGTTATAAAGCAACTGAATACATTTATTTAAAGAATAAATGTCTTGTGTGAGAATAATCAACATCATCATCACCACTTGATTATTTCACTATAATGACAAATGGTAATCAAAGCCATCTATATATAAACAATAAACTCATGGAATGGTCTCCCCCAATGCAAGTATATCGATTACACTACTAACCACCTATATAAACACAGGCATTCATATACTGTTTTTCGACGATGTATGATTAAATCTTATTGAAGTTTATTAATATACGCTAGTACATATGTCTACTGATGAGGGCACATATCCAACTGATAAGTCGTTTTTCGAATCGGACTTCATGCATTTGGTAGAACCTATTGAGGTATGAAAAACCCTAAAAGAACAAATGCCCACAGATCTTCTGTCTCGAATTATAGGTATTTTACTGGAATTTTAGTCTTTACCGTGGTATACGCCAAGAAATTGAATGATGATATTTCACGAAGGATTCTAGAACTTTTTTTTTGGAAGTTAAATATCTCGGACAGAAAACATATGTTTGAGTCGAAATTTTCAGGACATCCTACTCATAAATAGACTTGTCTATGGGTGAAATATCATAATTATACCACGGTAAAGACTAAAATTCCAGTAAAATGCCTATAATTCGAGACAGAAGACCTATGGGCATTTGTTCATTTGGGGTTTTTCATACCTCAATAGGGTCCATCAAATGCAGGAAGTTCGATTCGAAAAACGATTTATCACTTGGATATGTACCCTCGTGAGAATAATTATATAGAAAGCAGAACTATAATTTCATTACATCAATTAGAAGATATGAAAATCAGCATCATATCTATATATTACTTCAATTCGATTGCAAAATCTATTGTAAACTATGTGTGAAACTGTACAATGTGTTACAGTTTAAAAATAAATATTTGATTACGGATAGATATGATTTATTGAGTAAATATATATTAATTTTATTAATATGCTAGGGCAAAAAAATAGTGGGCAACCGACTGACAACAAAAACAAAAGTGTGACAACAGGAAAATTTTAATGAAAAAAGGAAATTGTTATTTTGATTCATTCAATGGAACTTTTACTTGAAGAACATCAAAAAATAATTGCTTAAAACTTTCCAAGCGATATGTTAGATTATCCAATTCGAATTTCAATTCTTGATTTTGACTTTTTAATGCAGCATGCCGAGCTAACAATTCCGACCGTTCTACTTGTTTTTTCTTACGATATTTTTCCGCTGCTGATTTATTTTGATCTTTCTTTCTTAATTTACGTTCAATTATTGTTAAGCTTGTTTTCTTTGTTGATTTATGTGTTGATGAACTTTCTGATGATAATGATATCGATGGTGATGGTGGTACCATCATATCGCTTCGACTTTCAGAATCGATTGTACATTCTTCACCAACCCATAATGTTGGATCATTTGATATTGACGAATCATGAACATCCGTTTCAGAACACGGAATTGACGATTGAGTTAGATATTTCTCAAATTCTGAAAATTCCATTTGTAAATCTAATTTTAAAAAGAAAAATTAATCCAAAGAATGTCAAAAAGGCATTTATTTTACCTGTTTTATCAAGTTCGCTTAAAACAGGAAATTCAAATGTTGAAAATAAATCATATTGTTGCTGTTGTTCATTGTTATCATTGTTTTCATAATTATTGTCTTTCGTTGGTGGGAACGTATATTCATTTGACTTCAATAGAGGTGAAGAAAAATGAATATCATTATCATCAAGTGAAAAGGCATCACTTGATGCTAGGATGGAATTGACTCTAGTGACACAAACATCTTTGATGTTTGGTGTCAAAAGGTCTCCGGTTTGGTTGAAAGGGAACTGCATTTTGTTCGTTTGTATGTGAGACTGGCAATACGAGAAGATTAGTGGCGGATGCCATTTTGATTTGCATGATTAAAACTAAATTATAAACATAAAATTTATTGTTTAAGGTTAAAATAAGAGCGACAACTCATTAAAACATTACTCAAGGGTAACATAAATGAAACTATTGCCGGTGATTATTGACCCATGTTTTAATGAAATTTTTTCCTCGAGAAGCACAGAAGTACAGCAGTTTATTATTCGACTGATAGCGTAATCTTTATGAGAAACAAGTGGTAAATACGATACAGCTGACGTCACTAATCAAATAGAGGTGAGTGGGGGCGAATTGTCGTAGGTGTCTGTGATATCCCTTTGCGAAAATATTTATCATGACGTGCTTTTAAGATACGTGGCACATGTATGTGGAAATTGCACCCAAAATGCTAGTATCGATATTGATGCATTCCGTTTAAATTATAGTTTACTAAAACATCTGGCACTACTAATAGATAATTCTGAAATTTTCAAACTCGAAGGATTCCATATGAGATCAGAGAAAGTATATTTTATTTCGACCGAGCACACACATCAGGATATAAAGGTGCAATGGGTGATGCAATAAAGAATTGTTTTTACGTACTTGTAAAAAACTGGCACGGTGAGATGCGTGCTAGGTAGCCAGGGCGCCTGTGTAGGTCGCGAAACGTTTCAAGTCTTCATCATTTTTTAATCAGTTGAATGAATGAAAATGCTGATGAAACTTATGTAGTACGCAGGTAGGTTTTCCAATGAGTAATGACAATGCTGATGCAATGTTTACATGACGCACGAGATGAGAAAGATTTATTTTCGCGGAAGTAGATTTAGAGAACAGGAAACACTTAGATTTCATAGTAATTCATGTGGATAAATTTCAAAAAATTTAATTTCTTTCAAGAAAATATAGTTAACTTGAAATAGATGTCGCTGTCATACAGATACAGACATATTTGGACAAAATAGTTGCAGTAAGTCGATTTTCGACAATAAAGGATGAATTCGCTTACAGTTGTGCCGATATCGATGGCACGCTTCGATGATTCTCCTTCCTCTTCGTTCTGTTCTCTTTCCATTGTTATAATATCTCTCTCCTATACATACGTGTGTTATGTATGAAGTTGTTTCACTGTGGTTATGTGAAGAAGCGAATAAACATCATTGCCTAGAGTGG